ACGAGACCTATCCGTATAGTAGTTTCAGCATGCCACAGATAAGCGTCCCCGTGAACAAGACTTCAGTGCCTTCATCTTTCCATGGTTTCGTCGAGTCTGACCGCACCATATCCATTGAGCCAGAGCACTTTTCTGCGAACTTGTCGAACAGCAGCTCCTCAAGCGCATATTACCAGATAATACCGGCCTACGGACGTACAATGTCTGGAGTGGGGCTATTCCCATTCACAGCACCGTCTCAAAAGGCTTCTTCCCCCTCAGCATCACCGAAGCTTGTCTACCATTTCTACACGGTCACCCCCAACGTGGCGAATGCCAACCTCACGGTCTACGCCGGAACTGCAATGAACACCGACCCATCAAGACCCTTAAAATACGCCGTCAGTATAGACGACGCTTCTCCGCAGCTCGTCCAGCCAAATCCACTTACTCGTCTCTGGCCGTTGCCTGACATGTGGGGAGACATGGTCGCCAATGCGGCCATGACCAATACCACAACACACAATCTCAGTGAAGCAGGTGCACATAGTTTGAATCTTTGGCTGCTGGAGCCAGGACTCATCGTACAAAAACTGGTCCTCGACCTAGGAGGCGTAAGGCAGAGTTATCTCGGACCCCCGGAAAGTACAATCGTCTAATAATTAGGGGCCACTACAGCCTCGTTTTCATTCTTGCTTGCGTTTGCATGCCGTTGGGATATGCCGTGCTCAACCAAGTAGTAAACGCGGAACTTACCGATGCCCTTTGCCTGAGGATTTCGCATTCAGAACAGGGAATAGAACAGAAACGGACATGCCGTATCACGCACGATACTGTTGCTGTACAGAATCCTAGCCCTCCGGATAAAATCCCTTTGCCAGCAACTTAGAAGCTGAACACTCAATATCCGTATCCGTACAGTAGTTTAGCACGCGCGCCCAAAGAAACCTCGGTCGCCCGGTAACCCGGTTGAATTGAGAAGCTGGCCCCCCACACACCTACCTCCTCTGGGTCCCTTCGATCCCTCGATCAGAAGATGGACGGGGATCATGAACGGCAAAGAAACTTCGGAGCTCTTTGAAAAAGGGTTGCGCCGTTTTGGGGTGGTCAGAACACGTTAGGACAGGCAATGTCTGTAGCCATAATCAGATGAGAACGAACAAGCTTGTAATGGATAAACTTCGCAACTCACCAGTCACTCTACTCGGTAAAGCCTCGTCTGATCAAACCCCCTTTGCACATCGCATGCAAGCAACAGTAAGCAAGCATTCTCTTCTAAGCAATGTGGCCGGCTTCACATCCGGAGTATCTAGTGTGTAGACATGCCGAGCAAGCGAAGTACAGTACTCCGTACTGTAAAGAGAGAAAGAACTCGGTTGAACATCGGCGAGAATTTGTTTCCTTCTTTATCCAGTTGTAACGAAGGATTCACAGTACCCACACGACACTGTGTGTACGCTTAGTATAGCACCTAGGTGTGTACATGAAATGGTCTCATGATCATGCAAGACATTATGTTGGGTTTTGAGTCTTGACAAACTAGACTCTCCAAAGTGTGGAATTTGAACCAATACTATTTCAAGGCTACAAACTACCCAATCGCCTCATGCTAATCCACTGAAGAGGTTGAATGACCGGAAGGAGAGATAGGTCTTGCGTATCATGACAGAGAATAGAAACGAAAAACAAGTGACAGAATTAAACTTGGCTATTATCAGACTGAGATCGAACAATAGAGGGTACGTACTACCCCCTCCCCATTACACTATGTTCGTCCCCTTCAAAGGGCACTTGTCAATCTCTGAGTCTTTCTCTCAAACAGAGAAAAAGCTAGAACACCAATGAGATGCATTTGTCTAAAAGTCAATCATGCCGAAGGACCAGGGCACGTCAAGAACCCAGAGAAGTCAAGGCAATTCTAAGCGGAGCAGACAGAGCACGGCACACCCTGCAGGGCCTCGCCAACCGCGTAGTAGGCGGGCTTCCGGGTAAAATCTGCATTGTACAAGTCCGCGACACCCTGGCCGGGGAAGGTGCCAGGGATCCAGGAGTACTGGTCGTCAAAGTCCCAGACGGTGATGCCGATGCATCCGTCGACCTGGACGCAGCTGGCCACGCTGTCGTAGTAGTTCTGGGCCTGCATGGCAAACGCCGTGGCGTTGGTCATGTTGGCCTCGACGAAGCGAACATCCAACTCCGTGATGGCCACCTCCAACCCCAATGCCACGTACCCTTGCTTCGCGGCTATTTGCTCCTCAAGGCTTGGGGTGCCACCCACTTCAAAGTGTGATTCCAGGCCCACCCCGTCGATCTTGATGCCGCGGGCCTGAACCTCCTTGATGAGTGCGTACGTCGCCTGGGTCTTGTTGCCCGTGTCCTCGATGCCGTAGTCGTTGTAAAACAACTTGATGTCCTTGCCAGTGGCCTCGACGGCTTCCTGGGCGAACTGGTAGGCCAGAAAGAAATACTCTGGACCGATCACATCGTACTGTTTGGCCACCAGTTTGTTAGATTGTGACTATGCAGCAACTAAAAAAGGAATACATATAAACAAAAGGGGAGAGGGAAGGAACACAAAATCGGACTTACCCAGATACTCTCAGAGAAACTACCATTGGCGGCCAGAGCTTCGTTGACAACGTCCCAGGAATAACAGGCATCTTGCCAGTGAGTGATCAATGTTTGAATGTGGTTCTTCATGACGGCCGTCAGGGTCTCGTTGCTCCAGGTGCCGTTCACAACAAAGTCACTCAGCTGCGAGTTCCAGACCAAGTTGTGGCATCGAAGGTATTTGCCGTGATCTTGGGCAATGTCGACTGCGACTTGACCACCTGTGAAGTTGAACAGCCCTTGCTCTGGCTCGGTGGCGAAGAACTTCATGTCATTGGCCGGAGTGATTTGGCCGAAAATGTTGGTGTCATTCAAGATCTCTTGATAGAGAATGTTGGTGTCCTCTCCTGTCCCCTGGGCATCCGCGTCAGTCATGGGGAATGGCAGGGACTGGTCTGTGCCAAAGAGAACTCACAGGCTGATCTGTGGCACTGCCAAACCATAGCTTCCCAGCAGAGCGAGCCAAGTCATTCAAGTATGGTGGTGCCAGCGGCTCGAAATACCCTGAGCATGATGGAGATGCAGGAGCTGTTGAGCTCGATCCGGATGATGTGGTGGATGCTGTTGGACCCGGCTTGCCAGGCCAGGATTGGGGTCCTGGGAATCCTGAAGACTTCTGGGGAGGGGGTGGCGGAGGAGGAGGCCCCCATGGGTGCATGGGATTTGCATTTGAAAGGCCTGCCAAAGCCACGAACGCGGCTGACAAAAGACTATACGAATGCATGTTATACAGCAAGGAATCAGACGTCAAGATGAGGAATGAACAAAGATGCTCTTCGATTTGCTGCACGTTACGGTCACGATGTACCTTGCAGAAGAGCTTCTTCATATACTTCTCACCGGTAAAATCGATCCTCGTCTGTACCAGGATCCAAGATTACCTTTCGTCTTCATTTGAGATACACCTGCCGATAGCGTCGACCAAGATTGCGGTGACGAGGCAGATCGAATCTTGGATAACAACCGGGACCCCGCAGCCTGAGATTCATGCTGCAGAGGAGACGAAATCAACACGTCGACCTTCCGCGTCTGGTGTAGCACGCAATACACAAGGCACGTGGCCGGTAGATATCAAGAGACAGACACTTGAGTCGAGGCGAGGTACATCTGGACAGGGAGACCCATGTGAGAGGCGAAATGTGGAGGTGGAGCATCAATATCCCTTTTGATATATTGCATTGCTACTCGGACCTATACGAACGAGGCTCAAATGCTTTTCCCAGTCAGGCTAAACCAAGCCTGAGAGCCTTGCTTCAGACGATCAATTAATCATTAGAGTCAAGCTTTTCCTTCGTGTAGCCAGCCGCTCGACCGATGGCTATTAGTTTGACGAGGAAGTGGCGTGTCGGGCGCGAAATACCCAGACGGACGTGTGTGGCCAGACGAAGTTGCTCGTGAAGTCCTTGATGTTTTTGCAAAAGTGCCACCAAAAGCTTATGTTAGATGGGATGCCCAGGGTAAAATGCCCTAGTGTGTCGATCGATGTTAACAAGAGAGATGAACCATGAGCCGTCCAGAGTCTGGCTGCTCCGTGCTTCGCGACAAACGACATTCCGGTTAATAGGATAATAGGGGGATAACTAGCCGCATGGACGTCCCTCCGTGCAAAAAAAGAGACTGCCGATATTCTGCCATATGGTCGTCAGGCTCTAGGGGATCCACACCGGCCCATGATCCCAGCACATGTCGTTTCTCACTCCCATGGGCAAGTGGTGTGCTGCCCACATTTTCTCCTTCTAATTCCGTCCTCCACACACCTCCGGATCAGGTGGCACGGATTCTTCAGTGGATTCTTTTTTCAGCTACCACCTATCTTCAACGAGTTTTGACGCGGACATCCCTGACCAAGCGAAGGGGGAAAGAATACAGCATCTTTCATTCCATGAGACCCCCTTGTCAGTCTATTCCTGATGCCAGGTAAGAAATCAGCCGTGCCCAGCTCCGGTCGGGGCCATGACTTTTGCCTTCGACGCCGCATCCATCACCATCGAAGAGACCCAAGCTAAAGTCAAGCTCCGCGACGAACAGAGGAACAACCGTTCTATTGGCGGGGCCGACTTTTACCCAGCCCTTCGCCTCGGATGTCGCCTCTAGTCTAGACCATTTTGTCTCTGGCTAAATGCATATTCAGGCGAAGGAATGGCCCCATTGGTCTCTACCATCCCATCCCAGGTTCGCTACATGGACTTCTGGTTTGACTAACACCAGACACCACACGCGGGCTCTCCAGATGAAGTGCCGGGGTATGATGAGTGTGCATGGACACTGCTACGTTGTATATAACTACTCTCGTGCATCCATTCCTGACTCTTGTCTCTTCTCCTTCATCATCAAGCTTTTCAGCCATCTCTTCTGGCCTAGGACCATTATCCCCTGACGGAAGTATCCTTGGATCAGACCATCAAACGAACATGGGGAAAGACTACTTCGAGGTGGCCGGTCGCCAGTTCCCGGCGGTGACCTGGTACAAAGATCCAGCTCTGCGAAAGACCTACATCATTCTCATGTTCGTGGTCTTGACCAGTGCCACAAACGGGTAAGCCGACAGCACTCGAAGCACTAGTCCTCGATTCTAATCACTTTTTGGCAGTTACGATGGATCTATGATGAACGGTCTTCAGACTCTGACACCATGGAAAGACCATTTCGGCAACCCTTCAAAGGGTAGACTCGGTATATTGAATGCCATCATGGCTGCTGGTTCCATCTCGGCCATCCCATTCGTGCCCTACGCCGCAGATATCCTCGGTCGTCGCATGGGTATTCTCGTGGGATGTATCCTCATGCTGGTTGGTGTCATCCTGCAGTCGATCGGTTCCAACTACGACATGTTCTTGGGTGCTCGATTCTTGATCGGTTTCGGTGTTGCCATTGCCCACGGAGCCTCCCCCTTGCTCATCACCGAGTTGGTCCACCCACAACACCGTGCCGTCTTCACCACCATCTATAACACGACCTGGTACGCGGGTTCCATCGTTGCCGCTTGGCTTACCTACGGCACCGATCATATCAGCAACAACTGGGCATGGCGTATTCCCACCATTGTTCAAGCTGCCCCCAGTTTGATCCAGATCGCGTTTATCTGGTTCGTGCCCGAGTCCCCCCGTTGGTATATTGCCCACGGCAAGGAAGAGAAGGGTCTCGCGGTCCTTGGCAACGTCCATGCCAACGGCAACATCAACGACGAAATGGTCCAGGTCGAATTCGTCGAAATCCGCGACACCATCAGACTCGAGAAGGAACTTGAATCCAATGGCTGGATGGAGCTCATCAAGACCAAGGGTAATCGACGCCGACTCATCATTCTCTTGTCCGCCGGTCTCTTCTCACAATGGTCCGGCAACGGTCTCGTCTCGTACTACATCACCAAGGTCTTGGATCAGATTGGCTACACCGACACCTTGACCCAGAACTTGATCAACGGTGTCCTCCAAATCTTCAACCTCTTCATCGCCGTCCTCTCCTGCTTCTTCGTCGACAAGATCGGTCGTCGCAAGCTCTTCCTCTTCTCCACCACCGGTATGCTCATCACCTTCATCTGCTGGACCATCTGCTCGGCCCGCTTCGCCATCACCGGCGCCCGAGGTGCCGCCAACGCCGTCGTCGGCTTCATCTACATCTACTACTTCTTCTACAACTGGGCTTGGTCCGGTATGTTGGTTGGCTACACCGTCGAAATCCTCCCTTACAACATCCGTGCTAAGGGTATGACCGTCATGTTCCTCATGGTCGACGCCGCCCTCTTCTTCAACCAGTACGTCAACCCAATCGCCCTGGGAGACATCGGCTGGAAGTACTACATTGTCTACTGCGTCTGGCTCGCCGTCGAACTTGTCGTGGTCTACATCTTCTACGTCGAGACGAGAAACACTCCTCTGGAAGAAATTGCCAAGCATTTCGACGGAGAAGATGCCCTGCTGGCTGGTGGTGCTGCCACCCACAAGGGTCTCGCCATGGCCACCGAGATGGGTCTCGAGGGCACCGTCCTCCAAGCCACCGATGAGAAGAGAGGTGGTGCTGAAGTCGAGCACGTGCCCCACAAAGATTCCGTGTAAAAAACCCCAAACAAATCAGCGCTTCTCTCTGCTCTCTGCTTTTTGTGCGGTGGATATGTTTGACGAGTACACAGGCTCACAAGAGGAAGAGGAAAGCTCGCAGTCTTAAAGAAGAAGAATGAAATGAAGGGATCAAATGATTTAGCCAACAGGTTTGAAGTAGATTTCCAATACTGATTTCTATTGATCAAAGATGTCGTTCTCATCCATTGAGGATTCTTGTAGACACGATCGACACGATGAACCTCAGAATCATGACTCGGGCATGCGGCCGTGATATGCTCCTGCAGACCAACGTGCCGACAGGGCCTTGCCGATTGCCTATTATGTTCGTAGAGCGAGAATTCTGACCAGATCAATACACACTCAATGTAAGCGTACAGTAAAGAAGCAAATAGACTTTCCGTAATAGATTATGCGGAATGTGAGCTCGCTCAGCCTCGTCGCAAAAGGCGAGGCTGAAAAACTCGTCACGTGTGATAAGGCCTTATCACAAAAAATATTTCCCCAAAGTTCTACAAATAATCCCTCTCTTTCTCACTCTCTCTGTCCACGCACAAACACGCCGCCCGCCCACTCAAGATGCCGCCGCTCAAGAAAAGAAAAATCAGCCATGATGGCCAGACCTCCCGAACTGAAGACCGCGAGAGGTCAACCACACCGACCGAACCCTCTGAAGCCAGCGCGAGCGATGCAGAAACGACAGATGAACAACAACCCACTGAACGACGTCCTCGCACATTTAGAGAGTTAGGCATCATTGACTCGTTGTGCGAAGCCTGCGAATCCCTTGGCTACAAAGCCCCTACCCCGATCCAAGCCGAGTCCATACCCCTAGCCCTCCAGGGTCGAGATCTTATAGGGTTGGCAGAGACCGGAAGCGGGAAGACGGCTGCGTTTGTACTGCCCATCCTACAAGCCCTGATGGCGAAGCCTCAGGGCCTGCACTCGTTGATTTTGGCCCCGACGAGAGAATTGGCATACCAGATCTCTCAAGCGGTGGAAGCATTGGGCTCGGTCATAGCTGTCCGATGTGTGGTTCTAGTGGGCGGCATGGACATGATTCCGCAGGCCATCGCACTGGGGAAGCAACCCCATGTTGTCGTGGCCACACCTGGGCGTCTGATGGACCACCTCGAGAACACAAAGGGATTCTCACTCCGACAATTGAAATACCTAGTCATGGACGAAGCCGATCGTCTCCTCGATCTGGACTTTGGGCCGGTTCTGGACAAGATTCTCAAGATCATCCCCAAAGAAGGAAGAAAGACATATCTCTTCTCGGCCACCATGTCGAGTAAAGTCGAGTCCCTACAGCGAGCGTCGTTGTCGAATCCTCTTCGTGTGGCCGTATCGCAGGACAAGTACCAGACGGTATCAACACTCATACAGTCATACCTATTTATCCCTCATAAGCACAAAGATCTCTATCTCGTCCACATTCTGAACGAACTTGCAGGACAGACGGGAATCATCTTCACGAGGACTGTCAACGAGGCGCAACGCATATCGATACTGTTGAAGTCGTTGGGATTTTCCGCCATCCCCATTCACGGTCAACTCTCGCAGCACGCTCGATTGGCCGCGCTGAACAAGTTCCGGGCCAGATCGAGAAATTTGCTGGTCGCATCTGACGTTGCCGCTCGTGGTTTGGATATTCCGTCTGTTGATCTGGTGGTGAACTTTGACCTTCCTCACGACAGCAAGACGTACATCCACCGAGTTGGACGGACAGCTCGAGCCGGTAAGAGCGGCAAGGCGGTTTCGTTTGTCACGCAGTATGACGTTGAGCTGTGGATGAGGATTGAGGGGGCACTGGGGAAGAAATTAAAAGAGTACGAGGCTGTCAAGGAAGAGGTCATGGTACTCGCGGAGAGAGTTGGTGATGCCCAAAGAGCTGCTGCGATGGAAATGAAGGAGCTACACGAGGACAGGGGCAAGAAAGGAGCTACACTGAGACATAAGAGGACTGGGAAGGGCGGTGGTGATAAGAGAGGAAGAGACAATATGGATCAAGATGAGGGTTGATGATTAATGAATGTTGACTGTCGTAGGTACAGTAATAGAGGTGATGAGGATAAAAGTTGGTATCCAATGGAATGTTTTTGACCAGCGTATGTGCTTGTGTAGGTATGTAGTGATGGTGTTTTGGTATTCATATCGCCTCATCAACCTACCTAGCTACCTTTTATATTTCATCAAGTCCTCGTACGGTGCTTCGATCGTATTGGAACTGAGGTGATGGTATCTGACCCACCAAACAACGATCGATGATCCACTTTTGAGATAACGGGACCCTCGTCACTCGGTAATATGTGGTCTTGTTGATCTCGAAAGAGAGAAAAAAAAGATACTAAAATAAAGTCCTCTCGGATGAGAAGGCATAAATTACTGTAGTGTGAGATGTGCTGTATGAGCTAACAAAAACTACCATCCATCTACTTAAGGGTATCCGACACATCTAGCAATCGTGAAAAAGTCATATGTATCAGCACCTCGGTCAATCCATCACAACTTGACTCGTCCTAGCACCCACCTGACCTACCCTCGGACGTCCACACTCACCAGCTATTTGTTTCACTCAATATTCACAACTGAACAATGACAATCCACCAAGACCAATGTCCTCTTCCATCTCCTCACCCTCAAGACGAAAAATCCTTGGTTCGTCAACAGGTCTGGACTTCCTTGAGGTCCGTCGCCTTGCCCGATTCGCGTCACCATTATGATTTTTCGAGCTTCATCCCGGACTTTTGGGGTTCCGACGAAGCCGTCACCAGACTTGTCGACCTCGAGATTTACAGGTCCAGCAAGGTTCTTTTCATCACCCCGGACAATTGTTTGGAAGGTCTACGGCTACGGGCGTTGAAGGACAAAAAGACAATCTTGATGACCACGTATGGCATACGTCGTGGGTTTTGGATTTTGGATCCTACCGAGATTCCTCGAGACTCGTACCTTTTGGCATCGACTTTGGACGGCATGGAGAGGTTCGGTAGACGTGTCGGATTGTCGGAAATGGCCGGTGCACTAAACCCGCACGCCAGTCGATCACACAGTGACGGCAACGACGGCAACGGCGACGCCCAGGGTGAGACGGTGGTTTTGCCTCTTCTCGTGACAGGGACAGGGGCGATCAACACCTTTGGTGTTCGGTTCGGCAAAGGTCACGGTTTTTTCGACTTGGAATGGTCGATACTTTTCAGTCTCGGACTCGTCGACCCCTTGACGAGTGTGACGGTCGCAGTCGTACACGACTGTCAAGTTTTGGAAGATCAAGAATTGACACCGGAGGAATTCGACACGGTTTGTGACTTGGTCATCACACCTACGAGGGTCATTGTCGTCGACCATCATGTCCAACAGGATGGAACGAATCCAGAACGGTCACGCACAAAGACACAGTCGAAGACCATGGTACAAAAACCTACGTGTGGGATTCTGTGGGATAAATTACAACCTGGTATGTTGGATGACATACCACCTCTACAAGAATTGAAGAGTATGATGTTGGATAAATCATAGAATACAACAATACACAGAGAGGACACAAAGATCGGAGGCAAGACAGCTTTTCCGAGTACATTCTCCAAGTTCGGAACAGAAAAGACAAACAAGACCATAGACCATGCTCATTACACTGTTCATCTCCGGTTTTTGTCTCGAGAATGAATGGTAGAACGCACAAGACATCAACTACCTTACAACAACACACATGTATATCTTCACAGTCAAATCAAACGTCACATATATCCTCCTCCACATGTTCTCCATAGGGTAAACCGTCACAACATGTTCTTTTTCTTTTTTTCAAGAAGTAATAGAATATGGAGCCACGTTTGGATCCAAAGCTTGCCACAAGAAAGGCATACCCTGACTTAAACCGTTCGAGTCAAAGTTACGAGACGACACCTGTCCGCTAAACTGTTGCATGGTGTTGAAAAAGGTCGAAGCCGCCTGTTGGGTGGCCGGGTTCATACGATTCAACATCGGTTGATCATTGAACATGTTCATCAACGTACGGTTTGACCCGACGAAGAATGGACGGGCAAAGAGAGCCGCAAAACCGAACTGAGCTTCTACCTTGACCAGTGGAGGGAGGTATTGAGCCAAATTCGAGGCTCCCTTTGTCGTTGGTGGTGGCTGGTACAGAGACGGTGGGTGGAAAGGGAGGGTCGAACTGACACTGATCAATTCGTTGGTGTTGATGGTGTGGTGTGAGGTGGATGCTAGATGTGCCTAAAACAAAGCAAATAGGTCAGCAGTGCAGATTCAAAAAAGAGAAACTGAAAATAGAGGCAACGACTACGTCATACGGCCAGGCAAGGGGAAATCTTGCTTACCATGTGAGTCAAAACATCAACCAGATCAGACTTTGTCTTGATTTCGGGAAAGTCAATGGCTTCAGCCGGACCTTGAGCCTCGGTCACCCACGCTTGCATTTCCTTGTCGGCGGTGACGTCCGAGTCTGAAGAGTAGTACGATCCCACAAAGGAAGTCATGAAGGTGTGGATGGCGTCGTAGATGGTCGAGGCGTCATCGTAGAACGGGAAATTCTTCAACGCCGGGCCAAAATCCGAATTGACCAACCCACGTCTCTCGAGGTCGGTCACGAAGTAATTGGACTGGAACCGACCGCTGCCGGCGTTCTTGTACAGGTTGGTCGAGTAGTCTTGGGCCGACGTGCCCGTGTAGGCAAAGACTTGGTCGACGACGGCCCCAGGCAAAAACAGCAACGTCGCGGCGAGAGGTTGAATCGCGTAGACCTCGTACATGATGCGGTTCAGGAGAGCCAAGACCGGATGCTGGTCGCTCAGAGATCGAATGGCGGCCATGTAGGCAATCTGCACGACCTCGTGGGTGCTGGCCAGGTGGTTCCACTGGGCAAACCAGAAATCGTTGACATTGTACATGATCTTGGCGAGAAGCCAGTCGTCGGGAGAATCGGCGGGAGTGTAGATCAGGTTCGAGCCCACATTGGTACGGATGGCCAACGGCAGGAACTCTTCCGTCTTCTGGTCGATGTAGAAGAAGGCGTCGCACGCCGCCGAGTAGCGAGAGGTCGGGGTGAGCTCCTTCTGGTCCCGGTAGTCGGCGTAGAAGAGACGACCTTGGCTGAAGAGTTGCTGGAGCGTCATGCCCGTGAGGTTCGTCGCGGTGGCGTCGTCGATGGTGAATTGCAACGTGTCCGACGCAGGGTTGAGTCTCTTGACCTGGTAGGGGCTGAGGGAAAGTCGTTCCATCGAGAACAGCAGGTCCTGGGTGTAGTTGGACAGGATACCCGGGACGGGACCATGTGGGAGGAAGCTCTTCCAGTGACCATCGTACAACAACTTGTAGTCGTCCAAGGTCTTCAAGCCGTTGTACTGTAATGCAAACAATGTACTGTCGGCGGCGTCGACGGCGGTAGCTGCGAGGATCGGTGCTTCGTCGAGCTGAATCTCGACTTGATCGGCCGCAGCCCTCGCCACGCCCAAGACTCCCGATGGGAAGAACGGTCCACCGGCGACCGGAGGGCCATACAAGAACCCGGCTTGCTTTGTCTCGATATCCGTCGACCTCAACAAGGCATTGGAGTCGTTCTGCGGCAATGAATAACCATTCGTCGCGCGTACGTTCAGTCTCGGAGCTCTTTGTATGGCGACCGACGCGACCTCGCTGCTGCCCAGCGAAAAGACCAACAGCAAGTACGACATAAACGATTGACGACCCATTTTGGATGAAACGAATGTAAGAAGTAACGAACGACAGGCGAAATTTTTCAGCAGGGTGCACTGATTCCCTTGGACAACGCGCGGGCACTGCCTCACGTAAATATCATTCCTGTGAAGGAAGAGAAAAAAGAGTGTGTTGAAAAGGCCCGGGGGGCGTGTATTGCTTGTTGACACAGGTGGTGTACAAGGACGGTGGTATTCAAAGGCGCATTTTCTTCTGGAAAGTAATAATGAACCCCGATCGCGATGTTATTGCGCCGGCTAAGCCTGTCGGTAGGGATCGACGCAAATTTGGGTGGTACCAACGGTTTCCTCATAGCCTGGGATGCCTCACATTCCGTACGGAGTACCGTGCTCCGTACGACGCCCACAGGAGCTGAAGGAGCTGGTGATACTCCGTACTCTCCAGTTATGCTGACGTTCGACTAGGCCACAAAAAGGGAAAAGGGGATAAATCATTCTCGGATAGACGCGAAATTGCGGTAGGTGACGAATTAGCCCCCCGGTCGCAGTGGCCTTGAGGCTTTCTATACCCCTTGGAGTAAAGTCGGCGGTCGATCCCAATCAAAATCGCATCCACGATGGGTTTGGAGTTTTGATGGGATTCCACACACCAGATGTAGTATATGGCTCGCTCTCCTATTATTGTCTGTGTGGGTGTCACCCCAGACTCCGCGCTGCTTGTTGACATTGTACAGTACTTTTTTGTAGTCTCGCCGTGGGTCTAGTAGTGGTGTCAGAAAGTCAGATGTCATGGGGTTACCTCGAATCCAATATGCATTGTGAAACAAGCCACTCTCCGACTTTCTGCTAGAGACGACGCCGGCGTACGGATACCAAGTTCGGATATCGTCCACCATTAATTGTTGGTCTCGTTCATCGGGTTTCGTAAGAGCGAGGCGGCCGCTAAAAGGGCCGACAATCGATCTCATGCCATATCGATTCGAAGGCGAGAAAAAAGCTTAAGAAGCTTGACGTACGTAGAACGATTCTTTTTTTCGCCAGTGCCCTTGGGCTTCAACTTCATCCACAAAGTCGACAGGTCATGTATTGATTTTAGCGTACAGCCATGTTAGTGGAGAAGAGAGGCACCCCCGTACTTATAGCACGATACACTCAGCCCTGGCGGAGAATTGACTGCTGCTGTTTTCTCATGGCAGCACATGGTGGGATGAAGTCAAGGATCAAAATCCTCCATGGACGACAATGACTGCACGTCAAAGTCCTTGACTGACACGAACTCAAATGTCTCTTCGTCCCCTGAATTATCGTCATGGTCAGAAAGATTCCTCGGTTCATCATCTGCTTGTCGACGATCATCCTTGTCGACACCATCGCGAGCCACCGAGCCGTCCCAGTCTACTTCGTTATCACCATCTAACTGGCCAGATTCTGCTGCATCGTCGACGCTGTTCAATCCATCGTGGTTATACGACATCGCCACTTCTGCTTGGCCTTCGGCAATCGCACCGTTTACGGCCTTGGTTTTCGCCTTCATACTTCTCCCCAGTGTCTCCATCGTCCATTTGGTGCTCCTTTTCTCTCGAATCTTCTTGCCCCTGTGATGCCGTCGATCCAGAGGCCAAATGTCGGTGTCTCGGTCAACCCACATGTCATGTTTGGTCCAGGTTGATATCCTCATATGCTGAGGCATTGAGATGAGAGGAGCGAATGCCGGATACATGGCTTCATAGAAGGAAGAATACTCTCCTGTCAGAGAACGCCGCGTACCTGATGTAGAAGTGAATGCATAGTGGGGTTGGCCAACCCAACTGGGATGCACACCGCGATAGCCGTAGTACTTGGAGGCCTGTTTGGCATCTCGATTTCGAGTGCGTCGTCGAGATCGTAGGTCACGGTACTGGTCGGCATATTCGAAGTCCATTTCTAAGAGGTCGTTGAAGTCGAGGCAGAATGCGGTTGTGGATGGGTTGTATGCAAAACTTGAAAGTCAATGGCCATGCATCAGAGAGGCAACTGGTTGATTTATTGGGCGTCCAGATAATGCGCCATCATCCGGAAATGCCTCGATATTAGCATGTCTAACTGCGCTGAATGAATGGCGTCTGTAGAGGCGAGGGAAAGGATTATGATGAGTCATCCAGATCAACAAAGTCGTCTTGATGCTGTAGGCCACAAACACACATCCCGAGGCCTTGATAATTGATTGGCCTGGGACGAGGAAAAGTCAATTCCATTCACCTCAGCCACTTTATACTCGCGTGTTGCAATCAACGAACGAGGCTTAGCGGTTCAATAGCTGGTGTGGCCTTCGACTTCCTTGAATCTGCAGAAGATTTGTTTTCCCAAATCGAAGCCCCATCGAGGTGGTTAAAGTGCAGTTGCAGCTGAATTAATGCGGTTTTTGTATTCACGATTTTGTACAACAGTAACTAGTTTGGTAATTATTCCCAGTATCAACATGTCTCGATCCATGTGTCCAGATCAATGTTCTTGAGGATGGTCGAAAAATGAGCTTCGTCTGGATCAGTGCAATACTTTTTCTTCGTCTTAGACGAGACCGGGTTGTTATTACTGGTGTCTGGGCCTTTTGGGTACTCGACGTGGAAGACGGGTTTCTGGTGTTGTATAAAGACTGCATACGTGTCGCACTCAGTATATTGGACGCACTGCTCATTGACACTCCATTCCATACACTCGACGACATCGTCAATGATGGCACCGGCGTTCTTGAGGCCGATCGATAAATTGCGCCCGTGTGCCTCGTTGGCAAGAAAGATCATGTAGTCGATCGAGTCGTCCTGCGTCAGATCGAGGCCGTTGTCATTGTCGTATCCATCAACGTTGTCGGGATCGACTCCGTCACAACCCTTGTGTACCGCGAGATCTAGGCGAGCCTTCATGATGGTCCGAACTTTCGGCGAACTGATGTTGAGCCATTTTTCACCAGGCCATCCGTCGAGATCGTTACCCAGATCCGAGGGGCTGAATTTGGATGCATCAGGTCGCCAGTTCTCGTAACTGCCGGCGGAAAAGTAACAGATGACTCGGTGGCCGTTGCTTTTCATGGTGCTGATGGAGGTGGCATTGTTGTCGAATAAGTCAATGTCCCACACCTTGGGTTTGGAGGCAATTGTTGATGGTGAAGCGACTGGCTTGAGCAACTGGTAATTCCATGATACTCCAACCACAGGCTGCCAAAGGCCCTTTGGTCGGGGTGAGCATATGCTTCTTGCAACTAAGCTAGGTGCTAGCGACGTCCTTTGCGGAAGTGCTGTACAGAAGACTACTCCAAGGAGCAGGTTTAGGAGGGTGAGCAGGATCATCGTTCTTTTGTCGCCTGATTAAAGAATTATAGTCATGGTGGTGGTCAGGGAACAATGATGCTGCGAGGCTTCCGGCCTTATAGAAAAAAAAGTATGGAGTTGTGCTGCAAGGCTGCAGTAAAAAGGCTGTAAGCCACGACAACGTCGCAAGCGTAAATCTTTCATTTGCTGACGACTCCAGACAAGGCGCAGTTACACAAAGCCACACTTGTAGTTCGTATTTGTACTCACAGGTCTCTCGACTACAGTTGGTCCGCGCTCCAAAGGCTGTGGAAAACCTAAAGCAAAAGCCTAGATCGGTTTTTGGGGGCCTGGAACTTCTCACACTTTTGCCCTAAATGAACAATAGCGCTGAAAGTGAATTCTTATGAAAATGGTAAAGTCGGAATAGTTTGGAACCAGACCGAAATGAAATTTACCTAACGCTGCGTGAAACAATCCTACAGCACTTCATATGACATCATATGGCAGATGCTTGAAGACCAAGGAGAACTGTTTTCTGCTGGCCGAGAGAGGTACTAAGGTATTCGTAGTCAACAGGGTCAACCCAGCCACAATACCCATGCACATCACTACAGCTGTCTTTCGGTAGACTACGCCAATGTAACATGACCCTCCTGCGTCGATTCAGCTTTCGAGTGGATACCGTGGTCCTTGTTGATGTGCACCTCCGGCAAGCCTCGGCGGCGTGTGAGACATGAAGGTCATCGGCCAGGCTCGTACTCTACTCGCAATCTCTTGCAATGTACCATCTCGTTGAGGACGGCGCTTGAAGGCTAGCGGGCAGCCGAGGAGATGTCTCCAACCGTGAGATAATAGGACTCGATTCCCAATTTGCACTCCCACATCTTTTCAAATCTTTCAAAGTACAAACCTTGCCCCGGGCGGGCACAGAAGCACTGCAGATGGGATATACCAGGATGATTGGAAGTGTATTGCAAAGAGTTCACGAGCTGTACCACTTGCGGCAAGGCCAATGCTGCCATGGAGTGACGCACCACGCTGTCTCTCAGGGGGCTATTCGTGCAATGCTTGCTCGGCGCGATCACGTTAGGACTGTCTGCATGCGTAACGATAGGATTGCTGGTGATCAGTCCAAGTCGCTTAGTAGCCGTCGTGAAACCCAATCTGATCGCTCAGTTCCGGGAAATGAGCCAGAACAGAACTGTGTAGGGTCCAATTTTCCTTTTGGCTGATGTGTGATATGAAGGCATCAGTGAGTCGACTCTTATATTCCAGCTTAGTGCCTCCGATGGATTCGACGCATGCATCCTCACCAAAGCTCCAGTTAGGGTTGAAGGTATCATGTCTCATGACATGGGTGAAGTCTCGATTGTAGGTCAAGAAGGACTTTCGAAGCTGTGGGATATGGCAAAGATCAACAAACAGCTTGTGATGCGGTACGACCATTTGATCCAGGAGGGGTCTCATAAGTTCGGGCATCATAACCCAGGTCTCTTTACATGGCATGATCATCCACCTCATAAAGGATGTCACCATGTATAGGGTGGTGTACAGGCAGCTCGGAGGAAGCATGCCTTTCCATGACTTGGTGAACTCGCACACCCATGTAGAAACAGTTTGTCCATCTCCGGGTTGTCGGTCGCGGAAAAAGAGTTCAGTTTGCAGTCCATCCATGCTAAGAATGGTTCGAGCTGGTACTCCTTGAGCGATCAGAGAGCGGGCCTCGTCGATGAATGCGTGGGCAGACAATGACAATGGATCTTCAACTCCTGCCTCGTCTAGCAACAATGGAGCGCAAGAAAATTGCGGTTTGTGAAAGATATTAAGCTGTTGCTGCTGCACATCGGGCCCCCAGCCATTACTCCGAACTGCGCTTGACATGGGAAGGTTTCCAAAGGACCTGACAGCACCAGGCTCGACATAGTTGTCTTCGCTGGAGGGAAACCGTGGCTGCTGTTCTGAAGGGTTGGTCGCGTCTGCGGGATTGGATATAAATGCTAGGAGGTGCTCTTCAAGCGAGTATGGACGATGTCCGGTGGGCTCGTCGATTCCTCGTTGTTGTGGACTCGGAGGATTTAGCAATGCTCTTAAGGAAGTCGACCGTGTCAATACTGGCTGACTGCTACTACCGCCTTGAGGCTGTGAAGAGCCTGATGGTGCTTCCCAGCCGAAGGGGAATGATTCTCCTCCATCCGACTGTGCAAGATGTGCTTCCAAGGCCGCTAATGGAGCCCTTTCGCTGATTAAGTTGAGCAAAGTCTCTACCTTGCCTCCCGAGCGCTGTCGCAGAGTCGCCAGCACTTGGTGAAGAAGTTGTTGGTCCTTTCGAGCCTTTTCACGGTGCATTTTCCGTCGTAGATCAGAATTTGCATCCAGGACACATTCAAAGTTGTGTTTGACGCATTCGGAACATCTTCCGCCGCCCTGGTCACCATCGCACTGATTGAGATGTCGAGTCAGCATTTGGACAATAGGCAAAGTGAACAAAAAGCCCCATACCTTGCGTCTTCGCTTCCGGCAAGATGTACATGCTCGAGAAGTGTGCTTGGTTGCTGCTCGTGTTGATCGTGCGGCAGGTGCGACGTTTTGAGCCTCTGGTGGTGTAGCTTCGGACAAAGTGGTGCGCTGGTCGACTTCATACTCTAGATCTGGTGCTCGAGGCATCATAGACGTAGCGAGGGGCTGTAGTGACTCCGGCGGAGGGAAGCCTGTGCCGGAAAAGCGATCCATTTTGCTTGAGGTTGAGCTGCATATCCTCTGCGTGAGAGTTGCGCATTAATAAATCCGACAACGTGGGGATTACAGTAATGAAAAGAGACTGTCGACCGTTATGGACACCAGCTCTTGGACGTGTGATCAGATCTGCAGGTCGTCACAGCTTTTTGAAACTAATGCAAAGAACCCTGGAAAGCCGATGCCGGGGAAGCGTCTAGTGAGGCCACACAGAAAACGACGGGCAGGGATAAGAAGGCCTAAGGGGCCTAGTGAGCATGCAGGGAAGCCGAAAAGGTCACTGTGCGGCAGCAGCAATTTTGTTGTGGAGTGACCTCGACAGCCAGAATACCTATGACCACCTAATTACATCAGCCTAGGAAGCCCCGGGACGTCTCAGGAGCCCCAGGTAGCCCCCAATCGCTATGGTCTACATTGCCTAGGAGTGGTGAGGTTCAGGCATGGCAGGACAGGGACCCCAGCACCTTCGCATTGTGTGGCTGCTTCTACCGAGCCCGTGAGTGTCAATGGCGTCCACGTTGACTTGGCGCAGCTAAATGTCTGTAAACAACCCTGTCAGAAAACTGTCAGAGACCGAGAAACACATGAAAAGCTCCCCTCGAGAGCCCATCAACAAACTTACCCTTGCGATGAATTGCAGGCCATCCATTTCTGATACCTATTATGTATACTCCGTAGTACGACCACTATTGCCTTGTTACTATCTTATATAACGTACCTAGTTGGCCACTAAGTAGCCACTAAATACCTATTGTACAATAGGTACATAGGCACGTGGGGGCTCAAGGGAAATATTTTCCCCTCATCCGTGTCCAATTAGGGGCATCTCACCCTATCGGCCTTATCAGTAAAAATCGGATTAGGCTCGCCGTACTTTTTTTTCCCGCAAGCGCAGTTTGCACTACGAGGTTGTGCCTCACAGACACGATTCGCTCCATCTCAACACAACACCGCACTGACTGAGATCATGGCGAAACCTAGGAAGAAGAAGAGGACTCAACCTCGCAAAGATGAAGTTTCTGGAAAGTCTGGCCAGGGCAACCGCTCGCCGAAGAGCATGGTTATTCGCATGGGCGCTGGCGACATTGGCCCCAGCGTTACTCAACTGGCAAGAGATTTTCGAGCAGTGATGGAACCAGATACAGCGAGCAGGTTAAAGGTGGGTGCTTGGTCGAAGATCGTACTTGGTGAAAATTGTCTGACTTTCGACTAGGAACGAAGAGCCAACAAGCTCAAAGACTACACCGCGATGGCCGGTCCTCTTGGTGTGACACACCTCTTCCTATTCTCGCGATCCAAGACGGGAAATGTTCATCTCAGAGTTGCCCTCGCTCCCCGGGGCCCGACACTGACCTTCCGAGTTGAACGGTATGCTTTGAGCAAGGACATCGCAAGAGCTCAAAAACATCCGAGAGGAGGTGGGAAGGAATTTCTCACAGCGCCGCTCCTCGTGATGAACAATTTCGTGTCGCAACCTGCAGGCGATGCGGACGTAGACCCGATCAAGAAGCAACTCGAATCCCTGACGACGACCATTTTCCAGTCAATGTTTCCTCCCATTAGCCCACAAACAACGCCCCTGAATTCTATAAAGAGAATCCTTCTGCTCAACCGCGAGACCCAGACAGACGGAAAATACATCATCAGCTTACGGCATTACGCAATCACCACGCGTAGGACAGGCATTTCGAAGAGGGTGCGCCGCTTCGACCCCAGTGAACAAAGACACAGAGAGAAGAAAACAAGCGCTCTGCCGAATCTGGGAAAGCTTGAAGATGTGGCCGACTACATCCTGGATCCGGCCTCTGGCGGTTATACTTCTGCGAGTGAGACCGAACTCGATACCGATGCCGAGGTCGAGGTGACACAGACGACGACGCAGCGAATTCTAAGTAAGCGCGAGCTGCAGAAAAAGCAAAAGGGGGATAGGGAGAAGAAGAGAGACACAGAAGAACGGTCGAATGTGGAAAAGCGAGCGGTGAAGCTGGTGGAACTAGGTCCACGCATGCGCCTGCGGCTCGTCAAAGTCGAGGAAGGCGTTTGTGAGGGCCGGGTCATGTGGAACGAGTTCGTGACCAAGACGAAAGAAGAGGAGAAAGAACTCGACGAGAAATGGGACAAGAGGCGCAAAGAGAAAGAAGAACGCAAAAAGGAGCAGAGGGAGAACGTTGAGCGCAAGAAACAGTTGAAGAAGAACACCAAGGCCAACGCAGGGCAATCGGTGGACGGCGCCGACGATGAAGATGAAGAAGAAGAAGAATGGGACAGTGACGATCTCGAAGATTGGGACGACCTCGACGAGGCAGAAGAGCAAGAGAATGGCGAGAAAGGGGTAGAAGAAGAAGATGAGGACGAGGATGAAGAAATGGCGGATTGAACTCGGCCACGATGAGATTCATGAAACCGTACTGCACAAAGAGCTTCGTGTTGGCTTCAAGGAGCAATCCCACAGGTCCTGAATTGGCATTGATGTCGTTCCAATGCAGACTCGGCTTCTCCATAACCGCCATGGACATGGCACTGGCACCGCCCCTGCTCGGGATGCAGTTGTACGTTGGGCGACACCGCGACAGCCGATGATGTATGAGCATCACTTTTGTTGCTCGTACTTTCTTGTCTCCGTCCCTATTACGTGATTGGATCCCGCAGGACCGGATTGATCTCGTGCTACTGCAGTCTAGGGACAATTTCTATTTCGTCCAAGCCGAGTACAATTTGTCGATGAATGCCCGGCACATAAGTCTTGTTGAAAGGCGTCTCTGCATGGCCCTTCCAGGGAGAAGATGTATATGCTCAGGTTGACATCTGTGGAAAGAACAAAGCTCCACTTCCAGCCTGTCCGAGGGTGAGGGTTTTGGTACGAGACTGGAATAATCCAGGTCAAGTTTTATAGTCGAATAAGAGCATTGGAGACAAAGAGAAGAAAAAACAGAATGGTTCGTGATTGAATCAGCTGATGATGGTATAATCATTGCAAGGGATACCTAGTCACCAATCTTTTCCATCTATCCTTTCTCCCAAAGAAAAGCGTGACAGATATCGCCGCTCATGGTGACCTTTGTTGTAATGTGATTGAAGCGCAATAAAAAAACAAGAAACCGCGTGACAACTGTGGGTTCGTCTCACTCAAGGGAGAGTATGGGCTTTCCCCCATTTCGTGACAAACTTTCAGTTCGTAGCCTGCACATGATTGCTCCATTCATTGCGTGACATCCCTTGTATGAATAGCCAAAAGCATCTTGTCTAGACCGTCCCTTCCAGTTTGGCTCTAGAGTGAGAAGCTGTGTGCTTTGTGTAACGGAACGTGAAGAGGCACAAGGCTCCAGGTTGTGATCAATTACCAGTTGAACGACCAAAGCTGACGCCGAGTCCGTAGAGCTGGATTGCAGGCTCAGCAGCAGCAGTTTCTCCACCATTTTGAGGCCCAGGAGTCGTTTCAGCTTCAGCTTCAGCGACAACCGGGACATAGGCGGCGCCGAGAGCATTAGCTGGGGGGGCAAGAGTCGGCAAGGGATTCGGAGCGAGTTCGGAACCAGAGCCAGAGTCGCGGAGGAGGAATTTCGACAAGAATTCCTATTTCTTATTGTTGCTAGGAGAGGAGTTGGAGGCATAGCGCTTGACCCATTCTTTGGCCTCCCTCTCGTACGCAGCCCGGTCGTCACGGTACTGTTCGGCGATCTTAGCTTCGACAGCATCGTCAGGGTTTGGTTCTGTAATTCACACAGACAGTTAGCGTGATCCGACGCCAAATATATCTACAAATGAGAGAGTTGTTGTTGAGAGGAGACACCAAAAAAAACCATCATACCTTTCAACAATTGTCTGGCAAATTCCAACACGGCAGACATCTTGGTGCTGGGCTTCCACTCGCTGTCCTTGAGCATTCCGAGACACATGGTGCCGCTGTTGGGCGGGTTGTCATTGCTGATGTTGGGGTGGTAGATCTTGGTGGCAAAGGTGACGGTCGGGGCCTTGAAAGGGTAGGTTGGTGGAAGGGTGATGTTGAGAGTGAAGACACCGCCCTAGTAATTTGTGTTAGAGATGTCGATTCGCAACCTGTAGGTGCCATATTTGCCCATCACAAAAAAAGACCAGAAGTTCTTGAATGTTTGTCTGGAGGAGAAGTGTTGATGACGCTCACGGCGGGACCACGTGAGACTGAAATTGCCCCGCCACGCAGGTGACAGGGTCAATTGGCCATGCAAGAAGAGTACCAGGTAACGGGTGAAACAGACATGATAAACCTTGAGTAAGAGAGCAGAGCGAAGAAGCCATCGACGCAGAACCAGAGGCAAGGTACTCACAGCATAAGGAGAACCCGCGGGTCCTTCCATGGTGACGACCCATTTGAACAGGTCCGACTCATCTGTCAAAGCGACTGTGATGCCAGTCAGTGGCGAGGCCGTCAAATCGCGCAGCTCCTTTGGGTCTTGGTTAGTCAAGTAAACGCATCTAATCAAGGCTAGGCACTCATACCCTCGTGATACGCTTCTGACCGGACATGATGACTTCGTCGTGGGGTTTCCTGGTTGACGTTGGTTGATGATCAGTCCTGCCTGTTGGGTTGTGAAAGAAAGAAAGTTTTGAGGAAGCCAAGTTCAAAACGGCAGGCCATTTAATGCCTCAATGAGGCGAGCATAGGTCGAATTCAACAAGGCAAACACAATCTGATACTAAGGTGGTGTAGACAGCGGACGTACGATGACAGCGCTCAAAGCGGAAAATGAGTGTTACCAATAGATACTCCTCCGTAGTTCGGATATTGTACGGTCAAGCAAAATGTCGCCATAAGCGTAGGAAGGATGAGGTTATGGCTCAATGCTTGGAAAATAATGACACACAAAACACGGTTAAGATGTTTATAATTGATTATTGGTATTCACTGTGTTTGCCATGACCTTTGACACACCTGCCCTGGGCGGAAATCCCAGCGCCACCAAATCCGAATGTACGGAATATTGATCTCATAAAATAGAGCAACGCCAGCGCTCGCTCGAAAGCCTGCTTGCAGTAACCGATCGAGTCCAGGCCAAAGTAAAGCAGGAAGTTTTTTATGCTCGTCCTAGTTCCTCTAGCTCGTCGTCTATCCCTCCGTCCCACTGCTCCTGAAAGCCACACATAGTTGACAGTACTCGTGAGTTAGGTCAAGCACATGTTGTGGCAGGTTGGTAGACTGGACAATGCTGCGAACCTTGACAGCACCCTCCTCTTCAATAAGTTTTCGTATAGAATAAAAGAGTTCAGGGGAGAACTGTAGTATCATGTCAGCGCGGGAACATCAATACATGCAAACAGTACTTACCTCCGAGTACCACCTATATTGCCAAGTGATCAGACGGATTAAGCAGGCAAGAATATTTCTTGTGTCACCCTTCTTCTCGTACATGCGAAGAATACCTCTCATGGATTTGGGCGAGAACCGGATATTCAAACATTGTTGGTAGGCTTCGAGGGCTTCATTCGTATGATGCAATCGTTCAGCGAGGTCTCCCAATATTTCCCACTCGGCGGCCGATTTCTTGTATTGCATTTGCTGCTGGCGGTATTGGCCCATTTCCGTGCGCCATATGGTGTATATACGAAGATCTTCATAAAGGACCATAAAGAGGTTGTCAAGCCAGCGCTCGCACAGTCTCTTATTTTGGAAGCCAGGGTATTGCGAGTGTGATGGATCAGGATCGTCGCTGCCAGATTTGACTTCTTCTGCTGCAATTGTCGGTACAGGCTTTTCCATCGACTGGTCTGCTTTCATCTCAGCGTTCTCTTCTGAGCCGCCATTGACCGAAGACCCGTTCGCTTTCTCGGCAAGAGTTTTCTCGTCGTCTGCAGCAGAGTTATTCTCGGATTCGTCTTCATCTGAATCTTCCGCTTTCCCGGCATCGGCATGACCGTTTGGTGTTCCCGACAAGGCGACGGTGCTTGCATTCTTGCTCGAGGGAGCTTTGAGCGCCACGGTGTGCTGGCGTTCTGATCTATACTCTTCCTCCATAACAAAAACATGGCTTCGCGTCTTCAAGAGAGTATCCCATCCTATTGAAGCCGCAATCCTGGTGAGAATACTGTATGCTTTCAAGAAGGTTCCTTGGTAGGTGGCGGCTTGCAGCTTCCGCAGTGACACATGCACTTGGTCGAATGGCTCTCCCTGTCGCGGCTGACCCTCATCAATCTCGTCAAGTGCGCTCTCTGGAAGAATCGGTAGAAGTACGCGGCTGGGTTCTGGCATTCTTGGCGAATCTTTGTCTTGATAGGAAAACATAGGGCAAGAATTGAGGGTAAGAAGAGCCAGGTCCCACTGTTCCAGGTCGACGTACACCTCTGCCAGACGGGCCCAAGTGCTGAACTCGCTCGGGGCGGCAGTAACGCCCTGCTTTGCCAACTCGAGTGCCATTGCGCCTTCACCTTTGCTCTGACAGAAGGATGCCTGACAATCTAGAAGTGCATAGTCCATGGGAACGTCTTGTAGTGCGTCGTGCAGGAGGCGCACAGCTTGAATTTCTTCATCTCCTTCTAGCAATACTCGCGCGAGTAGCGAGGAAACCTCCACGTCCTTCGATCGCAACTTCTCGAACAGGTTGATTCCAGAGGTATATCGCCCGGTAGTTTTGATGTATTTCAGCAAGCCTGCAGTGAGATGGTTGGACACAACATTTGGGATCTGTATTTCAGGATCGGACCCCAGCTGTCGTCCGCTGAAGAACAGTCTCTCAGCGGCCTCGAAAAATCGATGTTCCTGCTCTGTACTTGTGATGGGGTTGAATCTTCTGACCCCAACGATCTTCTTGATTGTGTCTCCACTGCCGTCGTCGGCGTAGGAGTAGGCTCGTAGGACTGCGCACAGAAATGTTTCCAACCAGAGACCGTCCGTTGCAACTCGCCTGTCGCCTCTTTCGTCAACGCAGTAGCTTTCAACGCTTCCCGGAATCTTGACCTCTACTCTCATGTCCAAATGTGAGAATGCATTGTAACAACAATATAGTCCCGAGACCACCTTATGTGTCTTATCTGCGGGATTGAAAGTCAAGGTATTGACATAGGCCGCGAGACTTGCGGAAGAGGAGGCATCGGCACCGGTAACATGATGATACACGCCCGTCTGCTTCGCGCCAGCCTTTACACTTTGCTTGACGAGGTGTACGAGGTCAGGAGGTCCCAATTCGCGCAAGGCAGGAAGACTTTCTGTTCGGGCGTCGACAGCCAGTCCGATATCGTCATCTTCGATGATCCTAAAATGCTCAAGTCAGTGACAGCACAAAGGCACCACTTGCTGGGCCTGCGAACTCACTCTGGCACTGCAGGCGCAAACATGGCAGCGCACCCCTCTGGGCGAACTCGACACTTTCAGGACAGATCGACTCAAGCTGGGAGGTGGGTTTTGTACGGCACAGGGGTGTGATGTTATAACAAGTATGTCTTTAAACTTCAAGGCTTAGACGTGCATCATTCGATTACCACCTTTGTATCATCTTCACGAGAATTTCAGCTTTGGATTGTAGCATCAAATGTTGAACATACTGTACCGGACTTCGGGAAACCTGCCCGATCTAGAATCCCATCTAAGTGCTAGGTTCGTTAGTGGTGAATCTTCGCGTCTACATCGCGTACATTGACGACTATTGATCGCCTCACTCTTTCATCATTTCCCGAAATAACTCTTTGTTTGACATTACAGCGTTGCAAGTTTGGTTCAGCCTTCAGGCCAGATAGGAGGCAAAGACCCGGCGTTTCAATAGCGGCAATTAAGAGAGCCTGCTGCTAGAAATTCAGGATTTCGCCTCGCGATATACGACATGACGTTGGCACATTCCCGCGAGGCTTCGACCCGATCAACGAAATCATAGACAACACAAATCATGTCCGGCTTCACTGCGCTCAACGTTGAACCTGAAGAAACTTTTGAAGAAGAGATCGATGATACGAAGGAGATCCAACTTGAAGAAGCCTTCAAACTCTATCAAAATGCCTTGAAACTTCACTCTCAAGGCCCCCAGTATTTCGAGGAAGCTCTTGCTGCCTACCAGGAGTTAATACAATCAGAGATCTTCAAATATCCAGAAGCCGTCTCCGACTACTCTCACGATGAAACCGAAGACGATCCAACTGTAGCGAGTATTGCACCTGACACCGTACCCGCCGCTTTGCTTCCCAGCAGTGCTGCCGAAAGCTCGGCCAGTTCAATTCCACAGCTTCTGTACCTTGCTTTCAAGAACCGAGGTCAATTCTTGTTAGATGTGGCGCATCACAAAGTCCCGGACAAAAAAGCTTCCAGAGCCGATCTATGCAGGTACTACGTCAAGGCTTGTAACGAGGGAATCCGAGATTTTGCCAAGGCTCTTGAACGTGACGATGCCGACCTCGATCTGTGGAAAAAGTCTGCGCGCATTGCAGGCGTTTTATCGTCCCAGAGGGTGGCTCGCTTCTGTTTGGAAAGTGTTCTTGCTGGAGATGATGAAGATGCCGAACAGACTATTGATCTGTCAGGCCTTGATGAGGCATTCGCTGCCGGTGAACTTGAAGAAGTGCTGGAAACCTTGAATGACGATCTCAGTCTCCTTCGAAGTACAAATGTCAACGTGAAGAGCACACTACTGAACGCGCTGCGAAGGACGAATGACCCTTATCCTTTCCTCCCTGAGCGTGGGAAGACCATGGAGTACCTTGACGACCGACATAGACCACTAAGTATTGGGATCGTTTCAGTTGAGCTTGCCCCAAACAGCTTTGTCGCTCTTGGGCAGGCTATTGAGCAGATTGTGTCGAGTCTACAACATGCTTCTACCTCATACACCTCCGCAACGCGGGTAAAGCTTGTATCACAAAGCTCGGAAGCTGGCCGCCGCGATACTCAGATGGAAATTGCCATTGCCAAGAACGACAGGCCTCATAAGGGAGCTGATGCATTGCACGACAAGCAAATGAAGGATGTCCAGGATGGCAGTGCTGACGACAAAATGAGCGTAAAATCTCCTCGACAAGAAGTCTCTGGGAAGGAACAACCAGAAGACACCGCACCTGTGAAAGATGATGAGAAAGCCGATGATTCGATGGACGAAGACACCATTCTAGTTACCGTCATTAGGCGCGAACAACCGAGCGACCCTGCACCCACCCCAGCTCGTAAGCGATCGGCCACCGCTGCTGGAAATGAGGAGCTTGAAGGTCGCACAAAGAGCAAGCGACTTCGTGCGCGGGAGTCATTGGCCGAAATGACTGCACTTGAGGAGAATGGCGCTCCTGAAGATCCACATTCATTTCTCGATCAGCTTCGAACTTACGAACAAGCCGATCAAACTGCATTCGATGTGGTCAACTCTTTACTGGCGAAGTTTGAGCTGAAACTATACTTTTCCTCAGAGGATGCGAGACGTGTATTCTGGCAAGGCAGCCTCGAGAAAGAATCATCCATCATTTCAAAAGAGGAACTCGTCTTACTTGCTGATATGAGGAATTCCCTGAAAAATTGGTCGGATGACAAAAGCCACGCCCTGATGCAAGGACATGGCAGCCAGGATTTTGCCGAGGGTTCAACCGGAATGTCTCTGTTTGCACTGCACTCTAAGTCTACAGCCCCTCGGAAGACCGCACAAGTCGAAGGCTCCAATGAAGATGCGTTGTTACCGATTGTGAGGCGTGTCAATGCTCAATCGCTAAATGTCTATCAAGCTGCACATGACTGGCTATTCTCGACCCTCGTCTCTGGGATAGACGTTACATCTTCTCTCCCTTCATCTTACATGCGAGAGATCTGGCCACAAGAAATGAAAGATGCAGTTACGAAATTAGCTGACAATACGGAGACGTATCTTTACGAGAGGCTTCGTGAAGATTCCTTTTCTCTGGCTGGGACTAAGCAGCTAACACAGGGAGGGAGACAGACTTTGATCAAACAGCTTTTTGAGTTTGTGCAGACACTCTTCGAACTTCACCTCGATATCTTTATGCCGATGACTGATCCGAACACTACGGTCGAAAAGGAAGTTCGAATTGCTCGAGGTGACTGTGTCAGACGATGGGCAACGTTGGCTGACGACTTTTTGCAATTATACCTTGCTGAAGAAGAAAAGCCAGAGTTGACCGACACCTTGATCTTGCGGTTTATTTGGGCAACCACTGTCAATGCGACCATGACAAAAGGGGTTGATAAAACTCACGTTGTCTTATGTTTGGACGATCTCAAAGCAATTCTGGAAAGGACAAATGCCGACACAATTCATCTACCGAATAACGGAACAATGGCTGTGATCTCAGTGAAAGCAATTGAGCAGGAAATCTCTCGTCTAAGTACTATCGATTTCTTCAAAAGTATCTTTGACAACGATAGCAGCGACCCGGTTGCAGTGATAGAAAAGTTAGAGCCGATACTTGAATCCACTCCCGATGGAGCCGACAACGAGTCAAGATCTGACACCCTCGATGAGCGTTCTCCACAGGTTGAGCAATTGATAAAATTCTTGGAATCTGGCGATCCCAGCTTGAAGCTCTTCTTATGGCGACGGCTACAAAACGCTTATACGTCTATATCCTATCCACCGAAGGTTGTTTCATGTCTACTGCGATCAATAGAGATGAGCTTCAACGAACTGTACACGAACCGACATTTAGAGCTGAGCGACGTCGATCGTCAGATCTCTATGCTCAAGTGGCTAAGAGATATTGACGAGCTTTTGTTGAAAGTTCTGATAAAGCTCACCAGCGAATCAAATGCTTTTGAGTGCTTGGACGAAGCACATTTGTTCTCGTCTTTGACTGTGATAAGTGGCCTTGTCAAGCTGCTCCATGGGTTCGCTGTCTATGAGGACTCGGTAAGGGTTGGACAGACCGCTGGACCCCAATTGAAAGGTGCTGCTTCATCCAAGTTGTATGACAAAAGCAAAGAGCGTTTTAGGGACATGCTCGTCCGTGCATGGACACTGCAATATCTCCTCCTGAAAGAAGCTGCTGCACAAGATCCTGCAGCGTACCCTCGAGCCTCAGATGATCTTGCAGAATATCTCGGTAGTGTTCATCATATGCTCGGCATTAGACACTATTGCAGATATGCCACTAAGACATTCCTCAAGCTGGCAAGGAGTGAGTTTGGGATGCTTAAAACCCAACAGGATTATTCTGCAGACATGTCACAAGTTCTCTTTGATCTGTACCAGTTGCACTTCATCACCGGCATAGGAGACCGAAACCATGGATGTTCTGCTGAGAATATGGATAAGAAGACTGCTGGGTCACTTATACCTATCATCATGCAATATACCGATCAAATGCAGATGAAGGATATTCTCAAAAGCGAGCTTAAGGGCACAATTGAAAAGATACAGCAGGCATTGGGAACATTCAAAAGTCCCCCGGCTGTGGCCTACAACAAGCGGCTCATTTCGGCCTACCTAAAATCGCCCATCATTGCAAATGATCTCTATCGTTCAGTACGCGGCATCGGAGATCTTCAGACGCGGCCAGTGCAGCACGATTCGAATAGTCCTGCCATTCAAGGGTGGTCATTCCTCCTGGGTTATCTGACTCTGGCGAAATACAAATCTGTCAAGCGGGTTCAGCCTACTCCTACAAACGATCTAGACACTGCTGCCACATTTTTTCGGCAAGATTTAGATCATGACATCGACAAATGGGAGTCGTGGTATCGACTTGCCCAGGTCTACGAGGCGAAAATTGAGGATGATCTCATCTGGAATTCCACGAAGCTCAATGACTCAAGAGGTGACATTGCACTACTCGAGCGCCAGGCAATACACTGTTACATGATGGCCACCGCCATGGCTCTGAGAAACGCTGACAATAAATATGAGACGACACAGAAAATTCAGGACATGTTTGCAGAATTCGGAACTCGCTTGTACGCCTCATCAAGACCTCCGTTGAACATGGAAGCTTTCCGAACCGATAAAAGCATGCGACACATGAGTAGCATGGTTGATCAGACCATGTCAAAGCAGCCTTTTCACAACCCGATCAGTAAATATTCACTCTGGCACTTTGCGGCATATCTACTAGGCAAAAGGTTCAACGATAAGCCAAAGCCATGGATAACGCACTATACTCGAGCCAAGTGTCTTTGGAAAATGTTTCAGAGCACCGAGAACAACGGGCGTGTCTCTGCCGAAGAGGTCATTGATGGCATCAACGGAGCTCTGGGAGCTCTGCCGAAGAAGGAAAAGTCCAACGAGCCCATTCTAGAGCCACATTACAAGCTTGTCTCAGTGATTCACAAGATGGTTAAACGTGGGGCAATTTCTCCCTTACAGGGCCAGGAGTACATGCATATGACACGTTTTGCTCATGGCATCCACCTCGCCGCCGATGACGAGGGAGAAGTGGAGTGGGAGCCTTATGTTCTTGACATTTTGCACAAACTGGAGCACGCCGACAAATCAAATTGGCACCACAGAATCACGGCCCGTGCTGCACATGTATTGTATGACGACGGTCCGACTGTCGCAAATGCTCTGGGTGCAAAGTACGAATTTACCAAGCAGATTTTTACCAAGACAATGACCATCCAGGTTTGGAAGCCTGAATTTGAACGCGCCGGCCGACATTATGTGTACACTGGGCGATATGTCACTTATTTCTCTCATCTCCTGGAGCAGCTCAGTGACCGTGTCAATTTGGATCAGTTGGTTCGTCGCATCAGGCGAAAGACAACAGATTTCCTTGACCATGCAAAGATCTGGGAGGATGTGGTGACGGCATTTGTTCGAAGCTTGCGACGGATCGGAAAGATTCCCGAGGGTCATGAGAGAGTGGTGTTTGATGGAATGAATCACGAAGAATTCACCAAAAAGTCCGAACAGATGGAACAATGGTCCCACGAGCCCGACACATCATCTGTCTTTTTAGACATCATGAAGGATGGGATAGACCTGAAACGCCTCAACAACAGCCTGATGAAGGGTCCCCTGATTGATGATCTGATTGGCGACTCATACGCGTGTCTTTTTGAGGAATACATAAGACAGCTACCTCCAGAGGAACAGCCTCAGCCACAGCCAACTCCTTTACCACAAGGCACATTCATCAATATGACTGCAGAAGTTTTACAGTCTGGCGAAGAAGAGGCTGAGAAGTCTCGAGTGAACGATATGCTCCGAGCTCAGGGAGATGGTGCCGCGGACGGACCGCTATCAGTATCGATATCTGCGCCTGTGGGACTTGGCTTGCAGAATCCTGCATCACCATTCGCGAACACCACCCCCCAACCTGAAGCCCCTCGTGTCACTAGTAAGCCTGGACGTGTGAAGACTGTCACAAGGCGTGAGATTCAACGGAAGGCTGAAGCGGCGATTGTCAAACCACCACCTATCAAGACACCAATCCTGGGTAAAAGACCTATCGTGGAGATACCAACGAGGCCCGGGCAGGACTCGCCTCTGGACAAGCGTCTCCAGGATGCGAGAGAGGAAGATGGTGAAAGAAGCATGTCAAGCTCGAGACGAGGCAGTGTGCATGACAGCGATGATGGTGAGGCTGACGGCGAAGATGAGTCTGGAAGTGAGCTTAGCGATCTCGACGACCTGGACGAGGACAAAAGGCAGTTGATGTCGGAACTCGATAAGGCCAACAACCAGGACGATGAGGAGAATGATGAGGAGGGGCAAGAGGGCGGTGATGATGAGGATGGGCAAGAAGGTGGTGGTGGTGAAGAAGGCGAAGACGAAGAAGCAGAAGAAGCAGAGGACTATGATCAGCAGAGAAGTGACCAGGAAGACGAGGAAATGCCAGACGCCAATGATGGCGACATGGAGATAAAGGACTCTCAGGAGAACGTCGACGGACCAGAAGGGCGCGAGCAGGATGTGCATGAGCCCCAGGAGGGATCATGATTTCAGTCGATCCTCCAGGGAGATATACCTCGGATATTACATTACCGGGATACCAATGGCAGAAATACCTAAAATGCGAAATGGTCATGGATCATGAAGAATACAGATGGCAGCAATAGAAGTCCAGAGAACAAGTCTACATCGATACTATTTAGACTTGTCAATATGGCATACAAGTGACGAGGCTCTCGGAGACCTGACGAGGCTGTCGCTGGACTTCCGAGGATCTACCGTCGCATTCAAACAAAAAATTGTACAAAAGTGTTCTCCAAATACTTCATGTAGCGTACTCGTAGAGTCTCGACGTCGAGGTTCGCAGTGTACTGACCGACGATTTTCTCTGTGTCGGCCAGTGTCTTTTTCATGCCTCTTGGTCCTGCCAGACTGAGTTTCACGAGCAGGCTCGTGACCCGTCACCATTGTCTTGCAGCTGCGACATCAATATCAGCGTCTTCCGGCTGCCCTATCCAAGGCCGGTGTCGCTCATCCTCTTCCTCGTTTTCCTCCGCCCTGACACCATCTACACCCAAAGCCACCATGTCTACCACTCCTCACTATCCTCCTCCAACTCCGACCCAGACCACCTCCGCTCCGATGCCACCAGAAGCAGGAGATTACACGTCTTATTCGAACTCGGAACTCATTTCTCGCATATCACATCTCGAATCGCAACTGCGCGAGCAGACGACTCGGTTGGCCCAATTCACATTTTCAGATGATGACAGTAATGGGCCTTGTACGACGCATCATCTCGGTGGCTTGATCCCGAAACGTCACCGCTCTCGAGAGCGACGACGGTCGAGACGCAGTCGCAGTCGCAGTCGGACCCCGTCTCCGTCACGGCGAGCCCGACCGTTCGATGCGAGCGCGTACTCGACGCGGCGAATAGCCCTGAAGTTCGCGTACCTGGGTCACCGGTACAATGGGTTCGAGCACGCCAACGGCAACGTCACGCCGGCCCCGACGATCGAGGAGGTCTTGTGGAAGGCCCTCCGCAAGGCGAGGCTGATCAGCCCCTCTCTGGCGGACGGGGCCGACACGAGCGTCGACGTGGTGTGGGGAGAAAAGGAGAGACTGGCAAGATATACTCGCGGAGACAATCCCTCGGACTACGATGAAACAAAAGTCCGGCTGGACCTGAGTTGGGACGGGTGCGAGTATAGCAAGTGCGGACGTACGGATAGGGGAGTGAGTGCGTTTGGGCAGGTGATCGGGGTGCGTGTCAGAAGCAACAAACCCATCGAGAAACGGTCTGAGGACGCTGCCCGGAGCCAGAAGAAGAGAGGCGGAAAAGAAGAACCAGGAGTTCATCATCAATCAGAGGAAGAGCAAGAAGGAGAACAAGACATGTTTGGAATGATGGTGGGGGATTCAGAAAATGAATCGGAAACAGAATCAAAAACCGAGACAAAGTCTTTTGACCCGGTCAAGGATGAGTTGTCCTACATATCTATCTTGAACGCCATTCTGCCGGCTGATATCCGCATGTTGGCGTGGTGTCCGAATCCGCCGCCGACGTTTGACGCGCGTTTCTCCTGCCGCGAGAGACGATACAAGTATTTCTTCACAAACCCGGCATTTTGTCCGACGCCCGGAGCGTTGGGCCTCAAGAAGAATGACAGTGGTATTCGTGAAGGGTACCTAAACATTGAGAAGATGCGGATTGCAGCCAAAAAGTTGGAAGGGTTACATGATTTTCGAAACTTGTGCAAGATCGACGCGAGTAAACAGATGCCCAACTGCGAGAGAAGGGTGACGTTTGCCGACGTGGTCAAGTTTCATGAAGATGACCACAACAATACACCACCATTCGCCGCGTCAGTAATGAGTCAGTTCGGGTTTGATAGTATTACTTCGACAGGCGTCAACAAGGCCGGGGCCCGGCCGGAAGTATACACTTTTTGTGTACACGGGACTGCATTCCTGTGGCATCAGGTACGATGTATGGTGGCTATATTGTTTCTTGTCGGTCAGGGCTTGGAGCAACCGAGTATCGTGGACGAATTGCTCGACATCGAAAAGAACCCCGGTAGACCGATGTACGAAATGGCGGACGACGCACCATTGGTTCTCTGGGATTGTATCTTTCCAGATGACGATTCAAAAATGGTCGATTCTCTGGACTGGCTGTATGCGGGTGACAAAAGGACGTTGCCTTCTCTGACGACCAAAGGAGACGGCAAGTTCGGCGCGGGTGGTGTCGTCGATGAGTTGTGGACCGTGTGGCGCGAGGCCAAGATGAAGGAGATACTGGCCGGGAGTCTGCTCGACTTGGCCATCGGACAGGGCGACGGGAGTTCGTTGCGGAGAGGAGCCCAGAAGGACGCAAATCACCCTCCTAGTCGGAGCCAGAAGTTGTTCCAGGGTGGTGACAATGCGAGGATCGCTGGTAAATACGTCCCCGTCATGCAGAAGCCGAAAATGGACACTTTGGAAGCATTGAACGCAAAGTTTGCCAATGGGAAAAAGGTCCGACGTGATGCCAGGAATGGTGTTGTATAGTCGGTAGATGAAGAGAGTTACAGAGCGCCATACCAGCTTAGCTACCCGGTACCTGGTAGTTTGTTGGATGAAGCTCAACGTATACCGGAATACAAACATTTTCGACCTCCTCTCCAAACTTCTTCTAGGATTTCACGTCGTGGAAGTAATGTCTGTAGGTTGTGGACTTGTCAGCTCATCCATTGCTAGTCAGGTAAAGTACACCCGTTGTGGAGGCGGTATGAGATGGAATGCCTTCAGGGTCGTCTCATACTCACTGGAAACACCACCACCACTTCTGTCGCCCCTTCGACAATTACTGCCAAGTAGAAGCGTACCCCCAAACCCTTGAAGGCTTCGTGGATGACAATGTCTTGAATCTGGGTCGTGGGGATGAACGTCGTCGTGGGAGCGGTGAAAAAGTATCGAGAACTCGTGCTGGTTTGGATCCCGAGTCCTTGTAGGACTAGAAGTGATTCTTCTGTGACAGACCGAAAGAAAACAATCAGAGTAGTGTCTTCGATATGAGACGTACAACGCACGACACAGGTGCGAGAGATACCCACCGACATAATCCCTTCTCAAACACGAATAAATCACCAACAAACCCACCCCGGCTAGAATCCACCATTCGCACCTCTCCGTCAAAGGTTTGACCAAACTCGTCGCCGTCCCGAGACCACCGAACTTGAGGAAAGCATCCAAAAAGTAGTCTGCGTTGTTGCCGTCGTCGGTACCGTTGCTGTCAACAACATCATCATTTTCTCGTGCTTTGACCACGTTCACCAGTATGGCCAAATAAATCAAAAGTACCCGACAAGTGTGTCGGAGCAAAGTCCGCAACGTGGCTCGAAACTTGGACGACTCTGGCCTGCGCGTGGTGACTGTGAAAGATACTGTTGTAGGGCTGGGGAGGTAGACTGCGAGGTACTGCGACGGACCACTGGATAACCCTGACAACATTTTTTTTTGTTTTTGTTCTGCCTATGTAGGTATGTCTGCCTTGAGAAAAGCAAAGTGGGTGTCGTTGAAGAGCGTGTAAAGTAGAATAGAGTCATGAGGTTGGGTGTCCTTACTACATATTCCCGTACAGAGTGGCACAATGTGACGAGGCTGAAAGGAGAGATGTTATGCCAAGTCGTATTCGGCAAGTCGGACGAGATGGAATATTTACAGGGGTATCCGTAAATATCTACCAAAGTACTCCGTAAAAAGATCGATCCTCCATACTCTGTACTTCATCACTATCGTACACATTTACTCTGAGTTAATGGACTTCACTGGGATTGATAGTATTTCTTCGCGCATACATTTACTGATATTTGGCTTCCCTCAGTGCCCATTTATGAACTAGATGGAGCTCGTAAATAATCGAACCCCATCGTCGTGCCCGGGATCTAAAGGTCTTTGCTCCGAGGTCCCCAAAAGCGACTCATTCATATAAAAAAGTGGATCATTTTTCTCAAGTGAACTCTGGAGTGGAGAGGTTGAAAAAAATTGATCTAAATCATACAAGCCGTTGAAGTTGAGTGACGTATCTGGTACATAGTAGTTGACTTCCCCCATGTCTTGTTTCAAAATATTGGAATTGTAGGAGACATACGATGGGTCATACAGGGCCATGCCTGTCGGGAGCCGTAGCTTTGGCGGTCGTAAAGGTTCACCAGGTAACGGCAAATGTTTCTCAGAATACGTGTTCCTTGGTCCGTGATGATATTTCGATGAATTCTCTTGTGGTGGCCCAGGGTTGGAATTATACTCTTGCCAGTAATTTGGCAGTCGCCCATCGTAGGAGTGAGATTCTCTGGTGTCCAAAACTCTGTCGCCAGGAATAGATTCGCTACCGGGGAAAGGTTTGAGGACAACATCGTCTAAGCTCGTATGATACGTCTTGACATGCTTTTGAAGAGCAGACCGCGAGGCAAAACCGCGAACGGAAAAGTCACAACTGGGATCCGAGCATCGGAATCGTTCCTCGTGGCATGTCTCGTGCCTGGATCGTTCCTCGGAACTTTGGAATCCAATTGACGCCCGAACACATCCACGTCTGTGGCAGAGATAAGCAGCGTGGCTATGGCGGGCCCTGAAGCTGAGCAAATCTGGGAGGCTGACACCAAGTTCGTTGGCTAATTCTGATGACTGATCATCCAATAAGGACTCAAAGCAGTCCTGGAAGCGGCTGAATGCGATATTGAGCAACATTGGATCGTCCCAAAGACCTTGTCGAGGAGGCTTCCCAAGCAGTGTATTTGCGTTCGCGCCATCGCGGGTTGCCTGTTTTCTCTTCTTCGAATCAAGGTGATGAAGAACGGGTCTGGGCAGATCTTCCAGAGTTAAGACCTGCCTATACATTGGGCCCGTCACAGAAGGGCTGCCATCCACTTGGTTGGACCCGTCATACCCATTAATCTGAAACGACTGCAGTAAATCAACGAGGAGTTGGTGGATTTCCTTCTTCGCGCAACCGTCTTCCTCGGATATCGTTGTCGGCTCAGCTCTAAGGCATTCAACAAGGTGGTTCGTCCAGAATTGATTTATGTATGGGAAAATATCGTGGAACCCTTTCACGATGTCGGCTCTGGTCTGATGGGTGAGAGGCTCTACACTGAAAGGTTGGCAGGTCATCAAATATCGGAGGCAGACTTGAGTGATACTGAACTGGATCTGCTGACGAGGAAGAAATGGACCACTGTGTTCGTGTAAAAAGTACCTGCCAGGAAATCAGCATCAATGGGCTTGCTCTTTCACAACAAGGTATGAGTACTCTCTGCTTGAGAAGTGCACTAAGGTCATAGAGTGATCTTCATGCTCCTCGAGGAGAGGTTTACAAATATCTAGAAAACCTGCATGAAGTTTTGTATTGTCATTGAGCAACGCGTTTTTCTTTTGGAAAATCACGAGATCACACAATTCATGAGCCTTCAGTGGCCGATAGGAAAATGCCAACCAGCCGAAAAGATGTTTGACGCGGCGCTTTTGTTCCACATTGCAGGATTTTTGAATACGTTTAAGTATTGCAGCATATCTGGATCGGATTAGTAACAATTATGAGACGGCAACACAGGGGACCAACACTCCAAAGAGGTCTCTGGGTAATTCGTCCAATGTATTTCGTAGATCCTCCACACTGTGTTGTTCAAGGAGCATATCTAGAACTAGTTGCACCCATAGAAACATACCTACTTTTGACTCAGTAACGTCAACTGGCGCTGGTGGGGGAGGAGGGGTCTTACCATCAGCCTTTTCTACTACGCCCTGCTCAACTTCGGCGATAACGGTTGCTTTGAATCGATCTCTAAGAGGTGATAAGGCAACCTTGGCCAACTTTGCAATATCCTTCGATACCTTGTCCTTTTCTTCCATGAGGACAAGTCGGGGGACTTTCTTCAAGTTCGCCCAAGCCTCCTTGGTTTCCCGGCAGGAGATGAGGATTTTAACAGGGGATTGATCCTCGGAAGACGGCTTGACCGAAACGAGAAGTTGACGTAACTCTGACAATAGCTGTCGTTGATGAATGCCTTCGCACTCGTCGAGGCCATCGAATATCAGAAAGGCTGGACCTGAAGCCTGTAAAAGACTCTTGAGAAGGTCTCTTGCTCTAGAAGCTGAAAGAACAACTCCAGTCTTTGCGAAGTTATTGTAAACATACGAGACAAGATTTCGTCCTTTTCTAACAAGCTGCGCAATGAGTGACCGATATGTCAATCCACAAGCATTGGCTTCAGATCTTGCAAAGCCATAAGCACATAAACAGTAGAGCATGATTGATTCTGGAGGGATTTGGGCGTTTTCGTAAAGATACGTGATCAGGGTAGTTTTCCCTAAGAAAAGTAAAGCTCGTCAAAGACTGACCGGACATTCAGGTAAACATTGACAGTATGACACGGCCACTATCTTCAGCTAGAGTGCGCAACCCTTTTCACGAAAGGAGAGGCAATCGCATGGGCTGTCACTCGGAAATTCCATCATATTCCATCATGATGTAGAGGAGATCAGAGGAGATCAGAGGAGATCAGAGGAGATCAAAGGACTGATTTACGGTACTGACCTGAGCCCGGCTTGCCACGAAGCCAAAGTTGAGGCCGCCCATCCTCAGGATCAAGCCAGGAACGGATTTTAGCATTGTCCAGAATCCATTCGCAGGTGCCTGGTTTCCGAGCGCTGGACCGACATTCGAATAGGTCATCTTGCTCGCGGTCCTGACCTTTCAGATCCAGCCAAGACAAGGTATCGCGTAATTGCCAATGCTGGCGTTCATGCTCGGAACGGTCGAGTTCATCGAGCACTTGCTGGCGGAAGGCCTTTACTTCGAGAAGGTCAAAGGCTTGTGCTTCTTTATCAATAAGGTCACGACCTCTTGATAATCTTTGGAGGATCGAGTTGAAGCGGCGAGAGAAACTCCTCCAGGAGGCATCGAATAAGCATTTCCAGCCTAGTCAGGCAGTTAGATTAACCACAAACCGACTGCATTGATCTCACCTCCACGCCGTAAATATTGATATGCATGTGTATGGAATTCAAGAATATCGCTATAGATTTCCGCCAGGACGACCTGAAAGTCGTCTTGATCACACAACGCTGTTCCGAGGCGGCCAAAACGAGGGAGGTTCTGGGCTATTTGCCGGTAGGCGTCGATGAGCTGATCAAAGGCACTCGTGTGTTCGTCTGCAATATGGAGGACGAGCTTGATGGGAGCCTTTTGATGGTATCTTAATCCATGTCCAAAGATAGGGAGCATCCCACATACCCATATGAAGCACAGATAGGGAGTTCCTGAGCATAGCGTCTCGATAGCTCCACCAAGTTTGTGGAGAGCGTCGAACAATGGCTCGATCCGTCGCATATTCCGTAGGCATCTTCTCTGCGACTGATCCCGTTCGATGATCCGTGCAGCTTCTCGCACATCCGCCAGGGTCGTTGATTTAAACATGCGTGCGTCATTGACCCGTACAAGAGACTCGAAGTTCGTGAAGGCTTCTTTGATTATGGGATGAGCCTGATCTCGCAGGGAAGCCATCACGGCACTGCTTCCACCAAGCAGCAGGCGATGTGACGGGAGGGAAACACAGGGAATTGAAGCTTGGGGTCGGCGTGAACAATGAGAAAAGAAGGGGTCTTCTGTGACAAGCCATGTTATTGATCAGGCGGTGTGACCGGCTGCGACTCGCGGTGAGGCTGGATTGTTGGCGCAGTCGATAGGCGCACTCACTTCCTTGCATCGTAACTACCTCGACATACGGACCAGCCTCTGACTTGAGATGCTTGGGCCTCTTCAACAATACAAGCTGGGATCTTACAGCTGCTTGCTTCAAGAAATTATTCTCAAGGCCAAATTTTGGTACCAAGGCTGACAGTGCTTCCAGAGATTCCCTGCACGAGATATGTATCAGTCCATGGCCACTGCATATGACTACATGCCATCCCGCGACCAGGAGTGGAACAAGAGACGGAGGTTAAACAATCGGAACTTCCAAGAGTTGGTTGTAACACAGTATGGCTCCGAAAGTGAACATCCATCTTTCATGGGTCCGTACAACGCGGATGCGTATCTGTCAGGCCGCAGCACGCAGTACAATCCCGGCCAAGAAAGCATTGCTCAGGAGGTCGACGACAATCTTACACAACTCAGCCAGGTCCATCAAACCTCCTACTTCGAATACACAAGAAGCCCGGTCGATCGAGACACAGATGCGAACGGGATCATTTTACATGGTAGTGAAAGCACGGTTATCTCGCTATTGCAGGTCGACGGCTGTGTTGAAGGCTTCGTTGATGCAACCGAAACCGATGTTCCTCCTGATGCTTTCTGTATAGATCCAGATCCCGACCAGGAATGTTCTGCATCTGTATCGAGCATGACTATTTGTTACGGGATGCTTTGCGATATCCAAGTCGAGATTTTGATGTCGCATCAGTCTTTAATGGCATATCAAGCCTTGTGCTGGGACGGGTTCAGAGCGTTGCAACATCCAACCGATAAAATCAAGTTGCCGAACTTGCTTCAACTACTGCTCAAATACTTCAGACACTGTCTTCTGAAGCCTGTACGGAATTTCAATTTTGGCTTTGGCCACCACAGCAATCGACTGACCAACAATGTCATGGTTCAGAAAAGCCTACAGCTAGAGGAGGTGGTCTCACAGTCCGCAATCTATCGGTCATCTTATACGGGCCTAACAACATGGCGGATCGTGTAGCAGAGTGGCTTGACAGCCTGAAGATGTATCTCCAAATCCCTGGAGCATGCGATCGAGATGTTCCCTACATCAACCCGCACTGTCTGACTTCGAACCGAGAGTCAATAGTATACACTTCTGAACTCCCCTCTGACCTTTCAGTAAAGGCAGACGAAGGCCAGAACTTCAGCGATGATCCTTTCGGGGACCTTTATAACAGCTCGGTCTTTGAATTGGCTCCTCAGCCGAGCGCAATTGCCTCGAGGCTCCATGATCATCAGAGACAAGCCTTGACCTTCATGATAGAACGAGAAAACGGCTGGAATTTATCTGGGACGCGAATGGACATATGGAAATCTCACATTACTGCCTTTGGCGACAAGAGATACAAGAACACAGTGTGCGGACTTACGCAAGGACATCCGCCCGAGAACTTCCAAGGAGGGATCATTGCGGATGAGATGGGCCTTGGAAAGACTTGCACCATGCTGGCTTTGATAGCGGCAAATCCTTTTCAATTCGTCACCCATCCTCGCAATTCTGAGTGCGTGAAAAGCACGTTGATCGTTGTGCCATTTTCTTTGTTGTTTGTCTGGGAGAAGCAAATCAAGGAACACCTCTGCCCAGGGCAAGTCCGCCACACTATATTCTATGGCCGCGACCGCCAGAAAGTCGTCAATCTCAATGATCTTGATATCGTCGTAACCACTTACAACACGGTTGTCTTAGAATGGAAGAATTACAAGCCATCGCGAACTTCCTCTAATCGCAGTCTTTTGTTCAGCACATTGTGGCATAGGATCATCTTGGACGAGGCTCATGTCATCCGCTCCAAGGAAACCCTATGTGCCAAATCCGTCTATGCTCTGCAAGCAGAACGGCGTTGGTGCATCACTGGTACTCCAATTCAGAACCGGTTGACAGATATCTACTCTCTTCTTCGCTTCCTCCAGGTGCACCCTTATGACGGTCTGCGAATTTTCGAGGAGCAAATCTTGCACCCATGGAAGTCAAAGATGGACGAGAATGCCTTGAAGAGACTTCAATCGATCATGAAAGCGATTGCCATTCGTCGTCCGAGAGCCGTTATTGCTCTTCCTGATCGCATAGAGCACACTGAAAAACTTGATTTTACGCACGAGGAGCGTATTGTTTATAACACGGCACGAATCGGCGCCATGGAGGTTCTAGAGAGCGCGACAAGTGACAACCAAGCCACATCGGGATCTGTATACCTGAATGCATTCCAACGAGTCAACGATTTGAGATATATTTGCAATCATGGTGTCAGTCCGCCACGTCGCAGGCAGCAGACGAACTCTGTGGATGGATTCGAACAGGTGTCGTATTCTCTCCCAGATGAAAGGCTGGAAGCATGGAAGGATAGCACAGACACATTATGCATTCATTGCAGCGCGGAACTTTTGGATGAAGACGAAACCGAGCGATTTCTTTCTGTTCGTGACAGCGGTGGCCTCGACCAGCTGTCATCTCGATCATGCAGAAATTGTGCTCTGCGAAACCACCTGCTCCTGGCCCCGTCAGCGTCGAATCCGTCCTCTGAAATATCGACGCCGGTCAGCTTCAGTATGCCGGTGCAGGCCTCAAGCAAGATCAAAGTCCTCGTATCGCAGATTGAACAACTCCCGTTCGATGACAAATGTGTCGTTTTTTCATACTGGACGTCGAGCCTGGACGCCATCGAGGTCGCCCTGAACCAAGCACAAGTTCGATTCTGTCGCTACGACGGTCGCCTGAACCGACAGAGACGCAGCCAGGCGTTGAGCGAGTTCACCACCGACCCCTCGCTGCGCGTCTTTTTGGTGTCCATCACCTGCGGAGGCCAAGGGCTCGACCTCACGGCCGCGAACCATGCCTTTTTGCTGGAGCCGCAGTGGAACCCCATGATCGAGGAACAGGCCATGGCCCGGGTGCACCGACTCGGCCAGCAGAAGCCGGTCCGTTTGGTGAGGTTGCTCGTCAGGGACACGTTTGAAGAGAACATTGTCCGACTTCAGGGCCGAAAACGGACCCTGGCCGACCTCATCGTCGACCGGTCGCCGTTGAAGGAAGGCTCGGACGGTAAGAAGCAGTTGTATTATCTACGTGAATTGGTAGAGTAGGCGTATTCTGATTTATCCCATCGTTCCTTTCTCGAAAAAGCCTCCGAGATCTTTCGGTCCAATAAATGGGCAAAACAAAAAAGAAATTGTGATTTTGGGTATCTAGACTCAACACGACCACGGCACAACCTGGGAATTCAAGACCGCAGATGTAGTACACAGCTATTATGTGTACCGCCATGAGTAAAAGTACAGAACAGAACAAGGTCTTCCAGAAGCATTAATCTCAAGTTCTTCTTCTTGAGGCCCGATGCACCCGACCCACACGCAGTTTTTCAAAATAGTTTCGGTGATCAATAATAACTGCAGCCCCTCTGCAGAACCAGACGCTGGTCCGAGACAGCGTTGACCGTTGTCCCCTTTCCCGAGTGATGCAAAAAAACCTGATGACAATAAAAAGTGATACAAGCGGTAACTACACTTACACCGGCGTGCTTGTGATTCTGTTAACAACTTCTCTGATGAGGGGAGAAATTTGTTGTGGAAGTCAAGCACACACGGGATGTAAAGGAACTGGTCGGCTAACCGCGGCCGCGTGGACAATTGCACATTCGCTCACCCGTGTGCTCTTCAGTCAAGAGTCAAAAAGCGAAGAAACGAAAGGATAGTTCTTCAGATAATTCCCTTTCGAGACCGAGGCCGAGACCGAGAAGGACAGAGGGACGAAATATGTCCTGCTCAACTCACTCATTCGAATGAGCGAGACATGTCGCGGCTGTAAAATAAGACGACGTGGGACGATTGATCATCTATGTCGACAACCTTCGACGGTCAACATTTAGATCATGTTGTCCTGTTCAGTCGTCGCTGTGGCGGGCGCAGATGTATTCTCGACTGGAGTTTGTTGTCGAGCAGCTGCAGATGCAGGCGGTGTCAATTTGGGAACTGTGGAGCAGATTACAACGTCAGTCAACCGAAAGCTTCTCTCTCTACAACTGTCCCAGCTGGTGAGAGAAAAAAAAGGAAAAGGAAACAATACATACTTGACATTCCATAACCCTGCGTCTTGCCCTCACGATCATGATTGTCTATTTCGACACGAATCGCGACGTTCAATCCACCCTTGAGCGAACCTTGGGCATTGATTCCGTCGGCGGCAGGATGCTTCGAGCCAGCGCCATCTTCGCCCGCGTGGAGCGGGCTGTGGCCGTCCGTGCCAGCGTTGGGACGTGACTTGCCCAACTTCCCTGTCGAGTTGACGTGCACGGAGCCATTGACTCCCCCATTGGCCTGCTGCTGCGCCTGAGGGTCGCCGCCGCCGGGGTGGTGGTCATCGTCGTCCGGGATTTCCGTGATACAGGCGAAATTCCGACTCGGCATGGTGACGTTGTTCCAAGTCGCGCCCTTTTCCTGCCCGCCGGGCTGTACATCAAACATGCTCATCAGCGTCTCGTCGGTGTTGCCGTCTCTCAAATGGTGAATCTTGTTGCGTCGCGCGAGCAGATTGGCAACCGCCTTGGGAGGAGGTTTGTTGGTGATGGCCGACGAAATGATGTTGACCATGTAACGTGGGTCCTCGAGGGCGTCCATGTTGTCCGCAGGGGTCGAGTAGAATCGGCCAATCGCGGCAAGATGGACGTCGCCACCGAGTATAGTCACACGCACCGAATGCTTCGCGGCGAGCTTCTGTAGGCGGACGACGAGCTCGCGGCGTTCGTGCTTGTGATGTCGGGCCGTGTAATGGTCGTCAAGGTCGTCCAGCAGATCCACCGACCCATCGAAGTTGTTGAACAGACCACCGGCAAAGCCGAATCTCTTGTTCAAAAGCTTGATAGGCGCCATGATCGGAGAGGTGAAGATGTTTTCGAGCCATGCGAGCCGGGGATAAGCAATGGGCACACCCAGGAGCAGAATGAGATGCTTGATCTCGCCACGTGCATCTCTGAGTTCGGTGTCCAGTCGGTCAAAAATCAAGTCATAGGTTTCCGGGTAATTGACTTGTTTCCTGGTCCGCTCGGTTCGGGCGTCAACGCCACAAAATGCAATTCGTCTGCCTAGGCGCATGTACAGATTCCTCGATTTCTCCTCGACGTACGGTCCTGGTCGCTTTCCCACGATCCAGCTGGGATCATCCGCAGTCCTCTTATAGACATACGTATCCTTCAACTGGCGTGGATCGGCACCTGCGGAGCCGTCTGCGGTCGCCTCCATGGTCGAAGGCGCATCGGTCGTGAATGTCGACACCGGTGGAGCTGTATGATGTTGAAACAGACAGTAGTATTTGAAGCTGACGCCGCCTATGCCTCGGAAGACGGCGCATCTCATGAAATGGTCCGTGTATGACCCAAACCCATCGATGATGTCGTGGTCGTCCCAAATGTTGATCTGAGGTATTTGAGAATTCGCCGCGGCAAAAGGCTCAGTGCCGTACCATCGAACATAGTTATTGAAGTAATATTCGTCGCATTCTTCCCGCATGCGCTCATCAAACGGGTAGTCTCTTCTTTTGGCGGGATTGGCAATGTTCGTCCACGGCTTCAACGGCCCATTCACGCGAACTCCATCGTTGTAGATCTGGTCGCCGCCGCCGATCATGACATGGAAGGGTTTCTCATTGTGAATCCGCAAGACCTCATTCCACAGCACAGGGCCTTGTAAAGCAACTTGTTAGGTCTTGCACTCGACAAAACAGACCTGCATGCCAGGCGAAACTCACCTGACCAGAAATCTTCATCCGTGCCTACAGAGAAGCCATTACACGAGTGAAACATTATGCGCATAGATTCGGTCACCGCAGGCACCACGAACACCCTCGATGACTCTTTGCTCACATCTGAGAGGAAGCGCATGTTGGGTATTGTGTACTGCCATTGGGCTTCCGCCTCTGCCAGGGGCAGCTGCACACTAAATCGCCAGAAAGCCTTGCCCGGATCTTGGTAGAGCTTCAAGCCCTCGACTGTCTGTGTTGGCGAACTCTTGACCTTTCCACTTTTGTCCCATGCGCCCAGCGATTTCAGCTCGAGTGTTGGCTTCTGTTCCCCGGGCTTTGTGACGACGAGCACGGAGCCATGCCAGAACATATCTGTCCCTTGCTCGCTCATGCGCTGGTAATTGAGAAGAGGGCCGCAGATGACTTCGATATCGGATCCCGAGTGTCCAGCATCTTGTCCAGCCCCGGAGCCGGCTGGATTCTCGGTGACCTGCTGATGATGGCTCTGGGCTGTGCCATCTAGCTGTCCTGTTACTCTGTGTTAACAGGAGACCAATCGTGAGCAGTCCGGGCAGGGAAAACCACAGTACCTTCCATCTTGCTCAACTTCTCCGCTCTGAGAGGCTCGTTCGTTGACCAATATTAGTAGCTTGGAGGGAAAGTTGGAGCTGGTGATAGGATGTAAACAATGCAATCGGGGTCCAACACGACACCCCCTAGGAATTACTTCAACCAGGTAAAATAGGTCGAGGGAATGGCGAGAAACGAAGAATCAGGTCAAGGGAAGGGTGACAATGACAAAAATACTTGTACGGAGGAGTGGCTTGCGAAACAATGGCATGCAAGTTCCAGCTATACAGTACGGTGGAAGTCCAGCGCAGCCTAGTCAGCGCCAGTACAGTACTCGTAAGGCCGGCCAGTCAAGTCAGCGTTGGGAAATGAGCGCATGGGCTATTGTACAGGCTTAGGCATGCAGACTCCATCATCGTAGGGGCTTATGGGCGACAACAAGGTGCCTGCTGCTGGGGCTACGGGGGTGTATGATGACGCCAAGAAGACTGAAGCCTCGCCTAATACGTAGTCCTCCCCAGGGCTCTACACACTTTTGCATTAGAACCCGTGGGCATGGCTCATGAAGCAATCAAAGCTCTACAATTCGCACACTATCAAGACAAGACTTCTTGACGTACAACCGGATCGACGAAATGTCCACATCCAAAACCGGGAACACCATCAACATGTCGCCTGTTCAGCTGGGCACTCTCAAATAGTTCGCCTTCTATTGGCTTTTAGACTACCACACCACTTATCCGCTATGATGCTTAGCTCGATCCCATCGTTGCCGTCGACTCCGAAAAGATCTTGGCCTTTTGATATTGTATGCCCTCGCCGATCGTTGTCCTTGCATGTCTGTAACAGTCTCATTGCAGCTCCTCCCACCCTGTGAACGCCGATCGCTATACCCGGTACATAAAGCATGGCCAATGAATCGTCTCGATAATTGTACATCTTCTCCTGTTGCTGTTGTTCACTCTTTGTCGTCTTTCGGCTGGGGGTCACCAATACCGTGCTCGTAGATCGCGAACAAAGTATCACTCTCGGGCAGGCACGGGCTGTCGTAGATCTTGCAGATACGGGTTTCACCCCGTCCCTTCTTCAGACTGAGTCGCGTGGTACTTGCATGAGCAATGATGTTACCACCAATGGGTTTTTTGGGGTCAGGATTGAACATGGCACTGGGCCCTCCGTCGACCTGTGCAACCACTTGATTGGTGATGACCACGGCGATTCCAAATTCATCTGCGAGCCGCTGTAAGGTGCGCAAGAATTTGGCCATGTGTGACTGTCTGGACGACAATTCTCCTCGACCGTTGTAGTCAGTCCGGTACAGTGACGTGGCAGAGTCGACAATGAGGAGCGAAAACCGTGTTTCACACATCATCTGTGAAGCCTGCTGTAGAAGCTGCAGTTGGTGTTCAGAGTTGTACGCTCGTGCATATGCGACATTGTCGAGGACTTCTTCGCCCTCCAAGCCATAACGGTTGGCAACCGAGAGCAGACGAACAGGTCTGAACGTGCCTTCAGTGTCGATGTAGAGGCACTTGCCTTCTCCGCCGCCCATGTCAAAAGGCAATTGGCAAGTAACAGCCAATGTATGGCATATCTGACTCTTTCCCGTTCTGAATTCACCAAATATCTCAGTGATGGAGCCGGTCTCAACACCCCCTCCCAGTAAGCGATCGAGGTTCTTCGAGCCGGTAGTGATGGAGATGAGCTCGCTTCTTCGTGCATGCATTTCGGTGGCAGTGGTGAAGCCCATGGGGACCAGTTTCATTGCTGAAAAGTGCATTAGCCATGTGTGGCTGAAAGAATACAAGGTGAGCTAACCTTCGTTCAGCAGCTTGGATGCCTTGGCTTCTGAAATTCCCTTGATCTGCTCGAGGGTCCGTCGCGGACTATCATGGATCGGTTAGTTATGACTTCGTATCGATCATATCTCAACTCACGTGTACGCTATTGATTCGACGGTGTGAAATCCGCCTTCAACGACGAGTTTTATGTCTCTGTCGGTCAATCCGGCAAGCCCCTACTCTGTGTAAGCGCAGTGAAAGTGTCGGGGCGCATATGTGCATACCACCAATTGCGAGACTGGTATTGGTGCCCCGGGGCCTCCAGGCATATCATCGTACTCATCCTGGACGGCGTCCGAGTTATCAACTTGAGTCATGATGATGGCTCACAAGGCTGAGTTGGTCAAGGAAAAAAGGAATAGGGATGCTGACGAAGTCGAGAACCAGAGATGCGATTAAGACTCAGCCAGGTACGAGAATTCCCAGTGGCGATGTTGAGAAAATCAAAGTTCCTCGCGTAAACAGCGAGGTGAAAGACGCGACCGCGTCGCGTTCTACCACGAAAGCACGTGATGAAGGTCAATTCTTGTCCACTCCTCTTTCATCGTACTTGACTTGCCAAACTCATCTAGTCACCAGCCATCATGGAATCAATTCAATTACCTCTCAACAACAAATGAATTCTCTATTACAATAACATAGCAATTGCCACCCATTCGGTATCACTACCGGGTTGATCCACCAATTGTCAATTTTACCATTTTGCGGCCATTTCCATGCACCCAGCCATCATAGTTGTACATCTCTTGAGATCTTATCGACCTCCCTTCTAACTCCGTCGCTGTCGTATCATGATTGCTTCCAAAAATGCAATGTCAAAACCGGGTATTTTCCCATCACTCCCAAAGGTGAGAATATTCTGAATCGCGCCATCGATCTACCCTGGACCCTCATAAACAGTTTGCGATCCGGTGCTGCTAATCGAGCACTCTGGAGATGTATTTCATGAACTCCTGGTCCTCCAACAACCGTGCCATATCCTCTTGCGTCATCTGGATAACAACTTCGAGGTAATCTTTGCGCTCATCACGGGGGAGCACAATGCAGGAACCCGGATCTTTGGACCAGGGTTTTCGCACCCAATCGGGCGGACCCAGGCCCATTTCAAATGTTGCTTCATAACAACTCAGCTTTTCCCAACTGGTGACATACATGTCAGCACCATTGGCTCGATCCATATTGCTGGCTTGGAGATCGCGCACGTCGATTTTGGGGTCGACGTAGCGGGCCAACGCAATCGCCTGTCGAATATAAGATTCGTTTACATCGTTGATAGCATTGCGTATCGTCACTGCAGATTCTGCAAGTGCAGCAGCACTGCTACCCTCCAAGTGGGACAGTGGCATTTTTGCAGAAGCAAAGTCAATGGCTGCCCCAAAGTATGAGTCCGGCAGTGGTTTCTTCAGCTTGTTGCGGATATTGACTGGTATCAGAAGACTCGACTCTTGGACCTTGCTGTCCGTTGCCAGTGACGGAATGCGCGCTCTGGTCATGCTGTGCCAAAGCAGTGCTTGCAAGGCATCATTTTGGCTGAAGAAGTCGCTGCCAGAGACAGCCTGTAGACTTTCTCTCAGTTCTTGGAGCCCTAAAAGCGGAAGAGAGACGACACATCCGCGGCCTTGGACCTTTGCACCACCCTTGATTTCCGACCTTTGCTTGACGACCTTGCATTTCAACCGTCGGTCATTAATCTGATTTGCGGAGCTGTACGACAATTCCTGTCTGACGATGCTTTTATGGTGTGCAAATGCGTTCAATCTTCTGGACAGACTTGGGGTCTCATGGCCTTTGCTGTCCAGGTATCGGTGGAAGGTGAAATCGTCGTTGAGCACACTACCGGAAATGAGCTGTCCAATACCTGTGCCGTCCGAGATACAATGGTGCAGATACACCGAGACGATGAGGCCTCCTCTCACAACATTTGCTTGAACTCGGAACACTGGTGCTCGTTCTTCATCTGCCGATTCAGACAGAGCCGACACTAGTTCCGGCTTGATCGTACTAGGAGGCAGAGCCTTAGCCTCCATTTCTTCATATGTGTACGGGACTTCGTCGTGCGAAAGGTGCCGGATGTTGACAGTTGGAAACTCAAGAAAGTCCCGGTCAGAGAAGTGAATCTCAACAGCTCCCACTTGCTTATTGGGCTCCTGGACGGACACCACATAGCCACTCAGGTATGGCTTTGCATCTACAAGCTTTCTGATGTATCCATTGAGTCTTGAAAGTGCCAGGGGAAGCATATCATCGTCGGGTACCTTATATGCCAGGCAGATACGAATGTAAGACCGAGGCATGCAATGTTCAATACTTGATAAGTGAATGACATGGTCGCTTGACTCTGCTGTTGGGTTGATGTCGATGCCACCATTGAGAACGCTTGCATCCACCAGATCTGCGAGGCCGGAATTGTTCTCTGATACAGGATGACCCGCAAATTCGTGTCTGTCGGATTCGAACGAATTGGGAGAGGGAGGCCCACTGCCAGGGCTGGCCGTCGAAGTTGAGAAACTTGACATTTGATCGAATGGGAGGGTACTTGTGGCTTTATCTCGAATCAGCTGAGACCGAAGGGAAATTTTGGATGTGCGAATTACCGAGGAGAGAACAGGCAGGGCGCGGGCGTTCAACGTCAAGAAGAGAGCTCTTGTTGTCTGATAATTCCTGCGAGAATGATAGACGAGCATTATGTTGAAGCAAAAGCATGATTGAAAGGTTGCTTTCTAAACAGCAACGATCAATGCTTGCTGTTTGTGTATATATGGGTGGAAAAAAGGACTGTAAAAGGATATGGTGGGCTGCCGGACGTGTGACGACGAGTATTGTTGTGCTTTTGGGCTCGGATTTTGCTGTACACTGACGGCCTGAGATTTGCGATTTCCGGATGATTTACAGGCCGGGAACAACGTTGTTAGATCCACAGACCTGCTGGTCAAAGATGGGAATTCCTCTGCTGGCAGACCGCTCGGGGGGACGAGAGACAAGATTCAAGCCCGACAATCGCCACGAATGGACCAATCAATCGTCGAGACCTGGTATTTGCCTGACGCAGAGAATCGAAAGCTAGCAGGTTCTAAGTCAATTGAAAGCCATACTGCAATCGACTAGTACACGCAATCGAGACAAAGGGACGCAGGACTCTATATAGACGAAGACAGTCCAACGTCCAACTTCTGGACCTCAGAGTAAGAGAGGCGGATTTGAGAATCCGCCAACAGGTTGCCTTTTTGACCGCGATACACGGGTACGTGTTGATCTTTGTGGGGGGTAGGGTATCGATACTTCGGGTATATGCCCTTTTAGCAACTTTGCGGGAAGACCCATGTAGGTGTCTCTATTCGTTCAATTAGCGTATACCGATCCACACAGATGCAGGAAGTCAGACCTCGTGAGGATGCTGAGCCGTAGATTTCCAAAGCAGGAGTCATTCGTGCGCAGAAACTCGAGCAAATCCAAAAGATTCGATAGCTATCCTGCGGTATACGAGTAAGGCAGCCGCAGCATGGAAGATTGGCAGTGACGAACTGACGAACCAAAGCCAGCACTTACACTGACGCCAATGCTGTGTCACTTCGCCAGTGTTCCGTCGCCGAAAGCGTCAGCCTCGCCTTTTTCCCCTGCGCGTCAAGTCGAGTGGTCCCAGCTGTCCGCGGGATTGCACCGGTACTTATTGTCGGAGCTCTGGAAGAAGTGAGTAGCCTGGCCAAGATACTCTGCACTTGCAGTCCTGTCAGAAGTAGCGGCGAGTCAGGGACGGGACGACGGAGACTGCGTCATCTGTTGGGTCAGCTGAGAATGATTGCTCCAGCATGCAGACGCCGCAGGCCCTGTTGCAGACACCCTACTAGAAAGAAAAATTGAGCGGTGATCAGAAGGAAAATCGAGGGAATAGAGCATCCAATAGCTCATGCCGAACACAAGGCAAGCGAAGCGCCGCTCGACATCGTGCGCTACTGCAGCATGCATGATCGCAGAGGGTGGTGGTGGTGTGGGCTGTGTGGGAGGGGAACGCTGGATAAGAACGAGACATTCGTGAAATAGGCCTAGCCGATGCCAGGGTAAGCAGCATGGGGGTATGTTGCTAATGACTGACGTTTTCGACGCTCGAAGAAAGTTGCCAGGCCGTTGTACGTGCCGAACCTTAACAGTGTCTCTGATGATCCTCGCATGGACCTTGAAGTGGATCTGACCCTTTGGACGGAGTGCCCGTAGTCAGGTCATCACAACTGTTTTGCTCGGACACGAGTCGAACGGAGCAGGACTGGTGGAAGAGCGATGCTTCGGACTAGATAGGCGTATTCGGTCGGCATCGCCCCAAAAAGGCGGCGTACAGGCAGTCGTTTGATCAATCTCGCAGAGATGGGTTGGCACGGAAAGGTCCCCTGGACGAGTTCGCCGAAGGACAGGGGCTTGTGGTTGCCTAGGCAGACGTGGAAGGAAAAATCCCTCCCGAACGAAGCTCAAGGTCCTTGTTGTCAAGATCTGGCAAAAAGCGATAGTACGGGAGGTCGAAACAGTGGTGACACCAGCGGCCTTGTCCTCAGGGGACCCTGGTGTTCATCCCACTGTGGATCGCTTATTGCATTCAGAGCTTATTGCCAATTGAGAATGGTCGACGGGGAAGCCGTCTCCCCCCCGAACGCGCCGTCTTCCGCGCCATGGGCAAGCTTCTGTGTGATACGGCTAGGGTTGGTGCTGCAATGAGCCGCTCACAGCTCCTGGCCATCGAAGCCCTCTGCGATGGCTTGAAGCATCCAAATGAACCCTGGAACTTCTGCCAACTCCTGCATGGGTATCTGACTCACCTGACAACCTCGTATACATGTTGACATTTAGGGGCTCTATTTCCGCACATGGTTGATGCCTTCAAATTTGGACCATGCCGACAGCGCAGAGTAATTCGATACGTACAATCCTGCCTTGTAGCCACACCCAATCCGATGGCTGAGCCCTCCGGCGTTCATCATCGTCAAATCACTCGTCCAAAAATAGCGATTGGGCCGTGGCCAATGACCCCAGGGGCGCTTACCATCAACTAGTCGCAAATCCTCTGGATGCGCAAATGAGGCTACCCTCATAGGTACTCCATCAGGATACGGTGTATGATATACATATTGTATCGAGCACTTTGGCTCCATTCGTCGGCCACCACATTCTCCAGATGATCGCCGCCTAGGTACGCTTCTTCGAGACAACACCCACAAAGGCACTCCTACGAGCACTTGTAAAGAGGAAGCATTGGCTGACCAAGAACCAGCACCCACCTCAAGGTACCATAGTTCGCTCATTTCGCGTATAGCACGGAGTAGAGCATTACAAGACGGCATCCTCGATGAAGAATCGGATCACGCATATTGTAGTAGCAGTTCCGTAGCCGAGTGGGGACGAGGACGCTGTCAGAACAACAGATTGACACCGCATGGTAGCAGTTGTGATGACCATGTGCCTAACGTGTCAATCCTCAAAGTACCGTCGATCAAAGATCACCATCACGTTGCCAAGCCTAATTCAACTTGGGCATGATACGCACCCGTTCGCATACCTGGCTTGCACGCCTGCAGTGCGTTTACCAGGGGGAGCCTGGGATCATTGGTGTGGAACAAATACAGCCTGATGTTTCTTTATTGCTGCCCGAAGTTACGGAACTGGAGTCGCCAATTGTTGCTCGTCATCATTCACCGCCATCTCCATGGCTGCATATTTTGAGACAGGTGATGGTGCTGTTGTGGTTGTCACCTATGATTTCAATCAAGTGCTAGTATTCCGTTGCCCATAAATTGGCTGTCGCAAGCGGCTGTCACTGAGCCGAAGCAAGGCGAAGGCGGGGTCTTCTAAGGAATCAATTCTGCTGCAGGTGGACAATCGGAGAAAGCAGTGTTTCCTTTTCATCAGAGATAGCGAAAGCGCCACAATCCATGGCGAGCGGACCCATTCTGGAAATAAGCCTCGAAGCCGTGAAATGTGTTTTGAAGTAAAGATTCAGACCGAGTTCGTCAGGCGGTGCAGAAGCGATGAAGTCCTGTGAACGTTCAGCTTCGGGACAGAGGCAGGACTTCCGCGCATCCGCCCGAAGCCAGAGTGAGAACCACACTCACAGCTAGTCCTGATTCTCGAATCATCAAGCACAAATACGTAAACTTTGGAGATCCGGATCCAGCCCACACATTGAGAGATATTCCACACCAGAATCCACCAAGCCAGGAACGAGCATAAAAGTACCACAAAAGCCGTCCAGGTAAACCGATTTGGCAACAGGCCTCCGGGAGAAGTTGCAGCATCGCTGTCAGAATATAACATCTCCGGAGTTCGGCTGATTTATGTCAAGCTGACACGCTATGCTTCGGCCACAGAGCGAGGTGGACGTCCTAGCCCAGCGCCTTGTCACGTCCAGTGTAACCAGGTGAAGCGATTCGTGTCGTCTAATCACTTCAATCGCAGCCGAAATTCCCGCCAGACCACTAGTCGTGGGACACGTTGGGTGACATGGAGGGCTGCTTCGGGGGACAATGCCAGAAATGCAGATGCAAGAACACTGGTCATGATTCCGGCCGGAACTTGCATGTGTAACCCAAGCGTCGCTGTTCTCAAGGTCTCCTCGTCGCCACGGCAATCTCGAAATGGTAAATGGTACGCAGTAAATGATGGAAAATTTGTTGCTCTGAACTCCATTCCTTGCTCCCTGGGCCGTGTAGGCATTTTGGCCGTCGGTGCCACTCCACCTATTAAGAGCGTGACAACGTGCACCAGTAAACGAGTCGTTGCTGATACATTATCCTTTGCCGGCGCCTTCAAGGTGGTCAATTACGCACTGGAAATGTCAGAAATTGCAAAGTTTAGCCACCATGGTCTGCCAACGGGGAGACGAGTGGTCCTGGCTGGGACTTCTGATCAAGGGCGACAGGGCTGCTGGATTCCCCAATCGAGACTCTCGTCAGTCCTGACAGTAGATGACACCTTTGTCCGGGAATACCACCCCGAGCGAGCAAGGGTTGCGACGCGCCCACCTGCCATCTGTCTCGTCTATTGTATGGCTCTATGGTCAAAGTTGACGGCCCCGACACAACTCCCGGTGGGAATCTGATACATCGGTGACGTAGGTGCACTCACTGAACCAGAAGTTGTAGGGTTTGGAGTGCGACCAATATGGGTGATGCCACTTTGTATGCACCTGCGAAGTAGATCCAACCTGAGTTAGCGTAAGGTAGGAGGTAACGCCAAAAGAGGAAAGTATGGCGATATTTCCCTGTTCCGTATTTGTAGTAGACTGCGCTGTGATGAACTCATGGCATTCGAGTCCAACGTTCTATGTGTCTACACATATCCGACGCACCAAGCCATTTGTCGCCCTTGTCTATCCAACGTTCCAAGAACTCGATCGATGCCTAGACTCCCCTGTAAACCATCCTTCGTCTCTTACGTCCGCCCAAGTCTCTTATCGCCTACCTAGCCTGTCGATGCGAACTATGGTTTCAGGGTCCCACGACAGAGCGCGAAGGCTAGCTTTCAGCTAAGCCATTCTGACTTCGTTGAAGATGCGTCGAGGATGTACCTGGCTCAGAAACATGTGCTGTTCGCCGCTCTCGCAGCTTTCATTGCCTGGGGTCTTGCCGTCCGGAATCTACCTGTTCTCCGCTACCTTGGCTATGCCTTCACACTCGGCTGCGTTACGACATTGCTCTCGGTGATTGCGAGCATCACATTTACCTCTCGGGCGCGGGCAAGATTCAATGACTTGCATAGCCTTTCTTCCAGGCCGCTTGCCCTATTAAGATCGGATCGATGGCGCTCTGAGATTGCCGCTTTCAATGCTCTCCGTAAATACCAGCCTGGACATATCTACGACAAGTCCTTTGTCGTCTCCCAAGCGCTTGATGGTTTGATCGGATTGGCACTAAGAGATTTTGTGTCGTCATGGTACGGCAGTATCACCAAAAGTCCCGTATTTTTGAACGAGGTGGACAAGAATATCAGAGCGGCCTTGGTAGAAATTCGAGACCGTGTAGTCAATGAGGATATGGTCAACGTCATAGTCTCCAGGGTTGTACCCATCATGACCACACACTTGCGAGATTTTGACCAGGCAGAGCGTGTGGTACGAGGACGTAGCCTTAATCGAAGTGTGACGGAGTCGGAGGAGCTGGAATTGGCTATTGCTGCCAAATACAGAGACGGAAAGCTTCATCCCGCAGCCTCTCTTGCATATTCTGACACCAAGTCCATCCAGCAAGACCATTTACGGAAGATGCTGGTTCGAATTCTGCCAGATCTTCTTCCATCGACGATGATGGGCAGCCGGGCCACACTAGTCTTGGTGAAAGAGATCGTTGCTTGCGCTGTTCTATTTCCTCTTCTCCAGCTTCTGTCAGAGCCTGACACCTGGAATCAAATTGTTGAAGCGTACGGTCGCACCACACTGCAGGACCGAAAAACCGTCCGTCGAATGAGGGCTGCTCTTGATCAGCACACTTCGCCAATGTCTACAACAAAAAGCAGTCTGGAACTGCCCCGACTGGGCCCGAATGACAGCGAACGAGCTTTTGAGCGCTTCGTCAGAGCGATCCGTAAGACCAAAAATCTATCTGATGCGCGAAGGTTTCGTAATGTGATTGCAAGCCAGATCCAGCGCGAAGGGATGGTGGAAGGTCAGGACCCCGTCTATCTACGCAGGCTAGAAATGGCGAAAAGGGTTCTCGAACAAAAGATCTCAAAATTGAGTCAGACAGCAATGATTCCCAAAGCTACGAGTTCACAGCCTGCGCCCCAGTCAAACACTGGCGCCAAACCTCACGAGTGGACTATGGTAGAGATCATGCACACTGCATCTGGTCTGTCCTATTTCATGGAATATATGGATCGTCAGCATAAAATGGCCTCGGTGCAGTTCTGGGTCGTAGTGGACGGCTTTCGCAATCCACTGGAGGACGACTTTGGAGATGAAATGAACCCAGCACCTCAGCAGACTTGGACAGACGCTGATCGAATGGATATCGCGCAGATCAGTGAAACCTATATGTCTAAGCCGGAATTGAATATTCCCCGAGAGTCCAAGGATGCAATCAGATCTTTCTTGATTGCTGGTCGAAAGGCAACGCCACAACAATATCGAGCTGCGAGGACCGCCATACTCTCGGCGCAATCTGCTGTCTTAGAAGACCTTGAAATCAATCACTTGCCCAACTTTCGAAAATCCGATTTATACTACAAATTCCTTGCTTCAGCTGAAGCATCCGCAATGCAACCCCGCCTCCAAACACCCCCAGATGCTGCTGAGCAGAATGGCATCACTTCACCGAACATGACTACGGCCAGAGGGGGCCTGTCGATGACTAGAACTAACTCTCAGCCCGGTTTCCGACCGAAGGACTTGCGTAGAGCAGCAGTCTCTTCCTCGGATGTTCGTAGTCTTGCTTCTTCCAAGCTCTTCGATGACGCAGAGGTTGTAAAGCGCTCAGGGTCTTCAGGCCCTCTGTTCGATGATGGTTATGACACGGATCCTCTGGCACATTCGACCCAGAGCCTAGGTCAAGAATCTTTAAATGGTGATTCGGTCGACCAACGACGAGTCATAGAGAACATGGAGGCGGCCATGAACAACATCATGACTGACAGCCCGATGGAGGAACAAAACGCTTATGACGACGATGCTCTATTCGGATCTCCGGTGTCCGGATCAAAGTCGATCAGAACAATAGATTCCCCAAGAGGCTCTCTCGATATTCAGACGAGCGACTACACAAACAAGTCTAAACCTAGTCTAGCAACCCTAGGACTAGTCAACACAGCTTCACGAATTGGTGTTTTCTCGGACAACGATCTGTTCCCCGATGAAGAGAAGTTCATTGAGGATGAGTACGCGGACAACGATGACAGTAAAAATGAGGATGTCACAGAAGATGAGATCCATGAAGCAGCCCCGGGGGATCTTGGACTGGCTGAAGCCATTACTGTGTTGAACAATGACATCGAACGCCTTGTGTCCCAGGAAGGGGTGGTGGATGCATTGACCCGCAAGGCCGAATTGACCAACAATGTGGCCGAGTTACGCATTCTAGGTAAATCGAAAGCAAGCTTGCAACGAGAAATTCGACGGAAAGAATTGCAGCGCCAGCAGTACATCGTCCAGGAGAGTGACAACAGTTTGTATGGTCGATCGAAGATATCAATCAAGTCCGTCGTTGTCGGAAAGGAAGACGATGGTCGCGAATTTGCACTGTACGTCATTGAAGTTCATCGGCAGGCTGGAGATCAAATGCCCGCAGCAGTTTGGGCAATACCTCGTCGCTATTCCGAATTTCACGACCTTCACCAAAAGTTACGTCGCAGATATCCTTCGACAAGAAATCTTGAATTTCCCAGGAGAAGAATGGTCATGAAACTTCAAAAACAATTCCTACAGAACCGGCGCCTGGCGTTGGAACACTACCTGCAGCAGCTGCTTCAGATGCCTGATGTATGCCGAAGCCGGGAGCTGAGGTCCTTCCTTTCTCAACAGAGTATCTCGTCCCATGAGGAGACAAATAGTGCATCCAATGCGCAGGATATAGTCAGCCGCATCTATAATTCGGTAACCGACGGTATGGACGAATTCCTGGGTAATGTCTCGGTGCTCGATCAGCTATCTGTGGCTGGTCAGAACCTTATATCTGCTGCTACCAATCAATTAGGAATGGGTCAAGGGGAAATTGTTCCTCTCGACCCAGGGCCAGTGGCGGAAGCCGAAGCAGAGTTGCAAGCTTTCGAGGACAAAGAGCTCGAACCTTTTGTGAAGCCAATCTGTGACATCTTTCTGGAAACCTTTGAGCTCAACCGAGGGAACAATTGGCTTCGGGGTCGAGCAGTGATTGTGGTCCTTCATCAGTTACTGGGTGGGACTATCGAACGCAAAATCCGGGAGATTGTGAAGGGCTTTACTACGGAAGATTCACTGCTTCGGTATATTGACATGATTAAAGAAACGATGTGGCCTGGCGGTGGGCCCATGAGGACATCCAAACCTCGTACGCCTATCGAGAAGACTAAAACTCGAACTGAGGCAACTATGATGCTCGCAACTCTTGTGCCAGACCTGGCTGGCAGTGTAGTGGGAAGGGCAAATGCACAAGCTGCAGCTAGAAGAATTGCTGCAACTATGAATAACGCTCGACTCAACCAGCATTTGATTTTTACCATACTGGATGAGATTGTCGGAGTGCTGTTTGATCCATCCAAGAAAGCCTGAGAAGTCATAGGTTGTCGGCTAGGCTAGGCTTGACAATTCACCTCTTGATGATCATGACTTGTGGCGGAAGTTTGTGCTGGGATGTATCAAAGACAGTCGCTATTTGATGTTGATGGAGAGAATAAACTTCTTCCATACGACGACCTTATTGCAATGGATCTGCTGTTCCCGTTCTGTATACATAAACAAGCAAGCGTTTCGATCTATTCTTTTCAATCGGATCCGTGTTTCATTTCAGATTTATGGGCTGGCAATGCTGCTCACTTCGAGACTGGGTTCGGGGACTTTTACATTGAGACCGAACAGGATGCTGCCTTTGGACATGTGTTGGTCGTTATGTTTATGTACGAGTAAAGCATACAGTCATTGGGCTTTATTATCTAAGAGAAAATCACATAATTTCGCTTCGAGACGAACAGAAGCAGAGCCTCGAGCTGGTTGATTGGACACAAGGGTTTCCAGCCTCGTCGGCGTTCTGGTGCCGAAATAACCGAAGTTACCTCGGCGAAAGTGTTCTACAAATTCCCTTTTATGGCTTCCTCCGCAACCCGCAATCCCCAAAGATCTCTCACACATCGAAATACTCTGAAGATCATACAATACATACCTAGGTACTGTTGCTGTCCTTCGATCGCGATCTTTGAATATATAATATAAAAAACACATCCTCTCCTATTGCCTTTCTCCTCCGACCCTCCTTTCTCTCGTCACCTCTACACAACCAGTCACCATGGCTCAACGAGCGCAGCAAATCGCCGGTCACCTAAACTACCCCTCGGGCATGCTGGCCGGGCAGGTCGCCATTGTATGTTCGAACTCGTTTTCCCTTTCTTTTCGCTTGTCCTGCCTTTGCCATACATGGCAGGTTTGACTAATACGAAAATGTACAGATCACCGGATCAGGCCAAGGCATCGGTGCTGAATGCGCCCGTCTGTTCGCCAACGAAGGCGCCAAAGTGGTAGTGTGCGATGTCGACAGCTCCAAGTCCGACGCGGTCGCCTCATCGATCAACGCCACCACGCCCAACTCTGCCATAAGCGTGCCCGGCGACGTAACCGACCCCAACTACTTCCCCGTGCTGGTCAAGAAGGCGGCCGAGTTTGGTGGCGGGAAGATCCACATCATCGTCAACAATGCAGGATACACCTGGGACGGGGTGATTCACAAGATGGGGGACAAGCAGTGGGACACCATGCTGGCCGTACACAACACGGCGCCGTTCAGGCTGATCCGCCAGGCGGCCCCGTTCTTCCGAGTCAAGGACGGCGAGAACAGGTGTATCGTCAACATCAGCAGCGTGAGCGGCACGCACGGGAATGCGGGACAGGCGAACTACAGTCTCGCAAAGGCCGGTGTGGTCGGACTGACCAAGACGATTGCGAAGGAATGGGGACCTCAGGTACGTTTTTGAATCCGTTGCACCCCAAAACTTGGGTGACGGCTTGTCCTTGTTTCTGCATCCATTCTCCGGACGGATGGCACCAAATCCCCCCCATCGTTCTGGACGGGTAGACGGAGGCGCAGGTTACTGACCATGCCAATAGTTCGGCGTCCGCGCCAACACAATCGCCTTTGGTCATATCAACACGCGTCTCACACAAGCCAAGGAGTCGGGTGCCTTCATCACCACCCCGGACGGCCAGCGCATCGCTCTGGGCATCCCGTCGGCTCAATTGGCGTCCCGGAAGGGGGACGATGCTAGTGCGTACAAGGATATCCCGCTGGGACGACCTGGCACAGCCACCGAGGCAGCCGCTGCCGTGCTGGCAACGTGCAGTCCGCTTTTCAGCTATGTAAGCGGACAGACAATCGAGGTTACAGGTGGAAGATTGATATAGAGAAAGCGTAGTCTGTAAAAAGTGAGCTGATTAGAAAAGGACTTTTGAACGGATTTTACAAATGACTTGGTTCCAATTTTTACTCTGTAACGTCAATTTTCTATCTGGATGCACCATCCCTAGATATACTTGTGAGTCTCTGCACACGAGTCTTGATGTCGTAGTCGTCACCATCCCTGATGGATTTATGCGTGTCAAGTCGATTTTTCCATCGCCTATCAAAGCTTTTGTATTGTTCGCACAGAGACACAGCCACACAAAGGCATGGATGAGAGTTGATACGATTGTGTAGGGGGAAAGAATAAACAGCCAAAGATGTCAAAGACGTCTCAATGGGGACAAAGGCTCAACACATGTTCGTCTTCATCGCTTGGTAATTGTTGCCTTGTCCGTCTCAAGACAAAGGATGCTTTTGGTAAGGAACACGTCAGAATCGGTTCATGCTTCTCGATAAAAAGTAATGCAGCCTCGGAGGTCCGTGACACCCTGAGAGAACCAAACCGATACAACATAATGTCGTCCAAATCAAGCACGACCACGCCGCTGGCCGACGATTACTTCATCTCCGGCCATCTTACCTTGACTAAAGAATCCGATAGATACGAGACCAGGAGCTGGTCATTGCATCTAATATCGAACAACGACCGAGACCGGGAAGGCATGCCATCACCAGGAGTTTATATGAGCAGACTAGAAGTGCCTCTTCTGTCGGCAGCCGAGCCAAAAGCAGGTAGGTCGAGACTTGATGTCAAGGGATTTGTTGGAAATGCAGATGCAAGGGCAAGCGATACCCAGAAAGACGCGCGAGTCCTTCTCAAGCCCAAATTGCGCATTCAGACTGACATCCCGCTGCCATTGTTCCCGATCAAGGCTGACCAAGCAGAACCTTCAGCGTCGTCACTTACCAAGTTCCAGGAATCGTTGGAGCGGACGTTCCCTCAGATGTCACCACGACGCGCCGAGCATCGCACCCCAGAGATCCAAATCAACGGTCAAACGATCGGAGAAGAGAACAAGACGAAACAGCGGGAATTATCGAGTCCTGTTCGAGAATGGCTGGAAAAGCGTGGTGACAAAGCTCGTGCGAGGAAGACGGGGAGGTGGATCGGGATGTGGAAGCAGATGTGAAGCATAGACATTGTATGAGTAGGAAAAGACATGGAGATAGATTGAAGAACGACTAGGAGTACCTTATGTGAATAACAAGAACGTCCTCCCTCCGGACAAATGACTGTGGAGGGCGGCAAGACTGCCAATCTGGGGTTGAACATTATATAAGGCGGAATGAAGTCCCGATGTTGCTTATCAAACCATCGGCGACTTTGTTTGGTGCGCTTCGGATTGACATTCGCACCGCATCATACGGAGTACAAATGGCTATTATTATTGTAGGAAATTGTCGTAGTAGATCCTTCTACTCGTACTACGGAGTGAGTCTTCCGCACCCACTAATAAATTCCCCCCTCAAGTCATTCCGATATACTGTAGTAGACACGGTCCGTCCATCGGAATCATCCTCGTACTCCCGTACATAACATGGTTATTTTCTCCACGTCTTCTTACCTCCTTCTACAGTCCTTTTAATTTTTCCTCTGACATCCACGCCTTTTGCAGGTTGCTATCTCGCGATTTTCGCCCTCTGGCTACTCCGCCGCGTTCGGTATAGCTGCTGCATCATCTTTAATTTCGTGGTGGTGAGCTGGAAAATGTTTTATTCTTGACCCAAAAACGGTCCAACCCTGGAAATTCGACACAATCATATCAACATGGAGCGAAAGGACAGCGTGGGTCAGACTCAGCCGGGCATCGAGCTCCGTAACAACACAGACACAGAAGCAAATGTCGGCCTCGGCGATTTCGAAAAGGTCGAGCCCACCGCGTCGATAGGTGCGTCTCTGGCGCCCACCGAGACAAACCAGTACGGCTCTCGACCAGAATGTTTTAGCAACCTACTCGAGGAGTGCATGTTTGTTCTGACCACGACCGTCGCCGTGGGTCAATCGTCCATCTTCTCGGGCGCCATCTTGTGCATGACCAACACAATAGGCGAGGACTTGAACATGACGGCCGCAGAAGTCACCTGGATCAGTGCGGCACAATACCTGGCGGCGGGCTCATTCCTGCTTTTCTTCGGACGCGTCGCCGATCTCTTCGGCAGGAGACTGTTGTTTCTACTCAGTTTGGGTTTCTTTACCGTCTGCCTGCTCGTCATCGGCTTTGCCACGAATGCCATGTACCTGGACATTTTTTGCGGTCTGCTTGGCCTGAGTTCGGCCGCGTCCGTACCACCAGCCATTGGAAAACTAGGCGCCGTGTACAACAAGCCTTCCCGACGCAAGAATCGGGCCTTTGCGTGTTTCAGTGCAGGGAACCCTGTCGGCTTCGTGCTGGGGGCGTTTATCTCCGGCATCGTCATGACCGTCTCGACGTGGCGAGCCGCGTTCTGGGTCATCGCCGTCATCTACGCCTTCTTCACCTTTGTTGCGTGGTGGACCACGCCGCCTGACAACGAACAGACCTTGGGCGGTTTCAACATGGCGACCTTCGTCAAGTTTGATTTGCTCGGGGCTATCCTGGCGATTGCCGGAGTCGCCATGTTCACGGCATCTCTGAGTTTGGCAGCCGATGCACCGAATGGCTGGCAAACACCTTATGTGATTGCACTGCTGATCGTCGGTGCTGTTTTGGTTCTTGGTTTTGTTTACTGGCAAAGCGTCTTCCGGTACCCCCTGATGCCCCTGGCTGTCTGGAAAGACAAGAATTTTAGCCTTGTTGTGATGGTACTGCTTCTCGGATTCTACGGTTTCACTGGCAACCTGTTCTGGTTGAGTCTCATGTGGCAACGGATCTATCATGTGCAACCCATCATGGTTGCCGTGCGACTTCTTCCTGCTGGCATTGGTGGCATTCTGGTTAACGTTCTGGCTGCGGTGATTATGCACCGCGTCAGCAACAAGCTGATCATGGTGGTGGGAGCCATCAGCCAAGTCATTGCTTGTGCCTTGTTGAGTGCCACGTCGACATCCATTTCCTACTGGGCCCTCACCTTCCCGGCACTGCTCTTCAGCGTCTTGTCACAGGATCTGGAGTTCACAGTGACAAACATGTATGTCATGTCAAGTCTGCCGAGCGAGCAACAGTCTGTCGCGGGAGGTTTGATCAACACGGTGATTCGGCTTGGGGCGACTGTTGGACTGGGCGTTCAGACGAGCATATACAACAGCGCCGGAGGTTCAGCACAAGGCGCCGATGCCCTGAAATACAGACCCTATCAGACTACATTCTGGGTCGCCTTGGTCGGAGCTGCTGCGGGTATATTCCTGGTGCCTTTCCTCACCATTGGACGACAAGGTGTTAGGAAATAAGTTGAGATGGAATCAAGGAAAGAGCCTGCTGTAAGATAAGAGTTGACGGCGAAGTCCCCCATTTGTGAAATTATATATAAATTTACATGAGCAATCCATTTTCTTGCTTGGCCGATCAGAGAGGCGACAAATAGTAAAACATTTACAGAGTACTTCGTCCCACTGATGATAGCTGTCGCTCCTCTCGATATGCCTCGAAACAAGCCATAATGGAGGCAGAGACAGGGATGTACGTCAAGTCCCTCGACCAAGAGAACAGGCATGACAAAACGCAGGATGGAGGACACTCGCCGTTACAGGCCTTCGTCGGGAAGAGCCTAGTGCCTAACGTCCAAGTGATTAGTGCCCAAGGCCTCGTGGACGTCGCCTGAATTCCCGCCTATGGGGGAACGAATGAGTCTCGAAAACGCCTATTATCTGACCCCTACGAGTGCCGATTAGGCACCTCCCGCACGCATGACATGTGGCATCTTCCCTCTGCAGGGTCTGGTGTCGTACGGGGTATGTACGTACAGAGTCAACACCAGATACCTTCCGACTCTTGCGGAGAATCAAATATTCTACAAATAGAAAACAGTGTGAAGAAGATCCGAACCTCGTCTCCTGCATATTCCGTGATGAGCTGGTGATTGTTTCTCGTATCTGTGATTGACAAGGATGTCCTTCAGCTTAGCACCTCCTCCGCTTGTGATCCTGAAATGTGTGTAGTGTTTCACCTTTTCTGCCACGCCGCCGCAACCAATGACCGCCCAATCGACTTCGCGTTCTGACTCCGGACAAACAACTTTGTCCACGATGAATCTGAACCCCTGGCCATGATTGCCATTCATAGTAATTGACCAACATCCCGGGTCGATGTTTTAGACATTACAGCACTCGAACTGCCACCAGCAAACCTGCCTGGGGTGAGAGAGACCACCATCAGCTCCCAGTGACTTACGAGTTGTCGACAAACAAACACAACGCAAGCCATTCCTCACTCTCCTCCAAACAAAGAAACACCTCTCTCCACGGACACTCGTACGCTATTATGATCTACCTGGCGACCGTGCACCGAAAAGCCACTGCATCATCGAGATAGCAAGCACACGAAAGCCCTCGTACATCTCTAATCATCACGCACGCACCACCGCTGTCACCATGTGGAGGAGCAGAAACAACGCACCGCAGATGGGCTACAATGCCTGGGCCGAGCCAACAATGGACGATCGCTATTTGGAAACAATCCCAGAGGTCGAGTCTTTGTATTCTCAATACAGTCGCCGGAGTAGTGTCGCCGCGACCACTCTTCCTGACCTACCATTGTATGCCCGAGTCACTCCTTCTCTCCATTGTCTGCGCGATACGAGTAAAGGCTGACATGAGTTTCCTCGCAGTCGTGCTGTGCCTCCAATCAACGATTACGATCCAGTGCAGTCTCGAGGATCTGTCACCCCCACCACTTCGGATCCTTACGCCCAAGATCTTTCATCCCAAAATCTTCGTCGCAGTCAAAGCCCTGTAGATTCGGGAAATGTTTCTCCCATAAGTACCCTCAATTCACTACACCAGAACGGTTCAGACGGCTCCCTTGTCTCTCCTGTCGAATCCACGTTTCCTGCATCTACAAACGCCTCGCAGCCCGAGCAGACCACCAAAAGCAGGATTCCTCGCAAAATGCCTTTGCCCCTTCCCAAGAACAACGATGAGATCCCGAAACGATGGGCGCTGAAGAAGAGCGAGGGTGAAGAAACACGGTGGGATGAATATTCGGGCGAGCCCAATCAAGCAGGCAAGCCCTCTTCTGTTCGCCCAGGAACAATACCACCAGCCGATCAACCGTATCCACAACTGAAAGAGAGAACCAGGCAGATCTTGGCCGGTATCAAAGAGAGAGAGGCAGTCAAGAAGTCGAGTTGGGGAAAGGTACCTCCACCTGTGGAAGCAGACCCCCTCGACAACCCAGTTCAACGACCAGCATGGAGGGGCGCAAGCGGCAGACATGCCATAGTCGAACCGGTAAAGAACACGCCAGCTGCCAGAAATAAGCCTTTGATGTTGGTGGAAAGGAAGAAGGTAGCGGACACCGAACAACATAGGCGGACCGACAGTCCAGATTCGTTCGCTCCAGAAACAACTCCAAGATCTCCAATAGATGCAGTATCTGTGGCCGCCTCGAAACTTCCGACAATTCGCTCCATCCCTTCGGACGACAGCATCAAGCCTCTCGCCCCCTTGAAAACTAAAAACACACCCCGAGTGATGTCGCCAACTACTGTGGAACCGAAAGCCCTGGACAGTCCGTTCCGAAGCCCGGGTGCAGCACCACCAGTGTACGAACAAGCTCCCAGCCCGAGTCCTGCCCCGAGCACAATTCGGAGCTACGGCGATGAAAGTCCTACTCTTGGATCGAATGCCAGCTTTACTGGTGACAGGAGTTCAAGTGAGGACTCCATCGAAACGACCATGCAAGCACGTCCCCTACAGCGAGAGCACGACACCTCATCGAGCTGGAATACATACACAGACGGTGGGAGCCAGAACCCTTACTCTCGAGCCGAGATGACAAGCAGTCCAGTCTCTATGACCGGCCCCTCAGAAGACATGCCATCGCCGATTTACCTCAGGAAACGAGCCGCCGCCAATAATGGCGCACGCAGAGGTTTTGATACCTACACTGGGATATCACCGTTTTCCAACGTGGCTGCCCAAAGGTCTAGTTCCAATATTCTCCGCAAAGCCATCGGTAGTGAGGCTAAGCCGCGTGCCGTCAGCTTGATGTCAGGTTTATCAACGACGAAATCTCTGCCACCGACGCCGGTTGAGTTGGAAGCTACGGACAAGCTAGCGTCGCTCGAAGCTCGATTAGAAGACTTGGAACGGCGAAAGCGAAACCAACGGAAGATCATAGCGGAGTTGCATGAGTCTCTCAAACGGAACGCCATTATCTACGACACCAGAAAACGCCGAGAGATTGAGAAGATGATTACGAACCTCAACTTAGAGATTCAAGAAATCACGAACGAGGAACACGAAACTTCTCTCAGATTGCACCGTGTCGTCAAGCGTAGAGATCGGGAGGAATACTATGAGCAACCTACCGGACTGTGGATCAAGAGAGTCACAACTTGAAGACACTTGCTGGGGACCATTCAAACGACTTATCCTGCTTGTACAGCGGAGTGAAACTCAATCCGCTTTCAAAGCCATTCGAAATACACATGACTCCTGCAGCGTTCTTAGCGTCTATCCATGACTGTTCCAGAATCCGAAAAGCTCCTTGAAGCACAACCAGCTATCTTCCCAGCTGATTACGACAAATATCTCACAACCACAATCCTTGAACAACAATACGGAACCACACATGACGATTTCCCTTGCTACCTTGATTTTCAGCCACAAAAGGGCCAACGAACATGACACTTGTACCAATAATTTCATACTACTCTTCGATTCATCTTTGACCGTGGTCTGGTCTAGCACGGGGTACCAGAAGTCTTGACCCTCTTCTCGAGCACACAGCTTTTTTGTTTTCTTCAAACACATATACCCCTCGGCTTTTGTTTCACACTTTTCAGCGTGGGCGTTGGAAGGTCTCGCGGTATCAACACATTGCCGGGCGAGTTCCGAATTAGGGTGATGACTTGGTGGACATTGGCCCGTTTGTTTTCCATTACTCCGCTATGCAAATGCAAATACTTGTTTGACCTTTTGGGAGGGAGGGATCACTGTTGAGGGTTTTGGAAGGACAGGATGGAATTGGGTTGAACAAGAAAGAAGATTTGAGCACAGACAACAGAGTATAGAGACATACATGTCCACGGCCGTGTGAAGAGTCTCATCGATCATGAGGTCTTGACACTAAGAGATCTCAGAGCAGTTTTCTTCCGTAGGGCCTGGCGTATGTATATGTGTGTGCGTGGGACGACAGAACTTTTGAGCGTGGAGACCAAACAGAAAAACATTGAGCAGTTTACCTCTGATAAATCAAGAATCAAGAATCAAGAAATGTACCAGGAAGTATGAACTTTTACCCATAGGTAAATATATACGGAGCATGTAAACTTTACGACCTCAACACGGACTTGGGTGAGGTGCACGATCTTGCAGAGAGTCACCCTGAAAAACTCAAGGAGATGATCGGACATTACGAGACTTATTTCCAGGAGACGGGCATGTTTGAACGCCTACCCCCATGTTCCAAGAGGCGTTGAAGCGGGCCGGGGTGAAGAGATGGTGGTAGGATTGTACTCTCTCGTCCCGCGGAGGAGGGGATCCAGGGACAGTTCTCAAATGGCTCATATAAGAAAAGTGAAGAATGAACACACAACAGAGGCAGTTTGAACTATGGATCGTACGTGAGTACGTCGATTCCCCTTTGGACGTTTCCCTTTCAGATGGAGCCTCTTGTGTACTGTAAACATCGCTACACGTCTCATCCCAAGGTATTGTAGTTGCACACACACAACTGATCTATCTATCCAGAAAACATCAGGTCGTCTCCTCCCGTGATCTCGACGTCAGAAGGGGCCGTCCAATGTGGTCCCTCCCGGTTCCCGGGTTTCTCGACGTCCATGTCGAAACGATCTGGGATTCGGAGTCCCTGTTCTTGATGTTGCCTGGACGCCACCACCGAAATACTGTCCCTGAACAACCAAACGTCGTTGGTTCGGTATTGCCACTTTTCCAGTTCGCCGCGACACTTGCACAGAATGTCCCGATGATTTTCATCGTGAGCCAGATTTCGAAGTTCCAGAGGGTCGTTTTCCAGATCAAAGAGCTCCTCGGGACCGCGGAACAAATAACTCTCCAGTGACCTCTCTCCGATGGTGACGGGATCCGTGGCGTTCCTGATCCCCTCCCAAGATTGACTCACCGCCAGGTCGGTGCCGAAAGGGAATTCCAACCGCCAGGCAATGTTTCGGTGGTACTTGAACCGTCGGGTCCTCATGAATCTGGTGGGCCAGTAATTCTGGATTTCGTGAAAGGTGTGTGACCCAAAAACCCACTGTTGCCAGGAGGCTTCGTCCAATATCTCCTGGGATGAATTCAAGATTGGTAAGAAGGACCGACCTAGTCGTCTTGGAGATTTGCCAGTGTTGCAGGTCGTGACCTCCTCGACGTTTCTCCCGGTCCAGTCGAGACACGTAGGTAGTATGTCGATGAATGATACCACGTTGGGGTTCACCACCCCGGGCGTTCCCACGGGACACCTCACGATGAGCGGGAGTTTCACACCCGCGTCGTAAAGAGTCGTTTTCGAGTTGATAAAAGGTGCACCGTTGTCACTGACAAACACAACCATGGTCGACTTGTCGAGTCCGGTTTTTTCCAAAACATCCACGATCAATCCGACCCCCACGTCCATTCGACCGATGGCTCTGTAGTACCCTGCCAGTTCTTCCCTCACTTCCGGTACGTCCGAGAGGAAAGGTGGAATGTCGACCTCGTCTGGGGAATACCGGGGTAGAAGACGATCCAAGTCACGGACGTCTTCTTCGTCGTTACCAAACCCTCCTCTCGTACCGTCGCGATGGGGGTCCCGAAACCCTACCGTCAGGTGAAAGGGGCGGTTTGATTTTTGAGCCGCCTGGATAAACGCCTCTGTCCTTTGAGCGCACCATCGGACGTCTCGAGTCTGACTCGCCTCATTCACCTCCCAAGGATACACCTGCGCAGGGCCGACGTGGACTTTTCCAATGATTCCGGTCTGATAACCGAGGGCGTTGAAGATTTGTGGTAGAGTCTCGACGTGGTCGTAGGTCTGGAAATGATTCCAACCGTGAGCCAGTCCCATCTGGCCGTTTTGATGAGTGTGAAGACCGGTGTAGATGGTCGATCGGCTTCCGCTGCACGAAGCCGTACTGGCAAACGCCCGAGTGAATCTCGTGCCCTGAGATGCGAGTTTGTCGAGGTGAGGTGTCTTGACCCTGGAAGAGTAACAACCCAAGTGTAGACCTAGGTCGTCCGCAATCAAAAGGAGGACATTTTTCTTTTTGTTGTCGTCCCCCATCGTTGTTTCGCTCGAAGGCGGCCTTGAGTGGTTTTTACAACGTTGTGAGCTCCGTCGACCTTCTTCCCTCAAGGCTGAGAGAGTACGCAAACTGGCGGCAGCTTGCTTGGTTGATTGACTCGAGTTGTTGGAAAAGGACAATTCTATTTTTCTGTTTCTTTCATTCCACTCATCCCAAGAATCATGCAACAATGATGACCAGAAACACCACGGGTTCGTTTCTGATCATACTCCGTAGTCTTTTCGTTTCAACCATTTCACCTGAGCGGCGTCTTTTTGCATATCGTCGAACCAAATTCCGGAGTAAGTACCATCCCTTTGCTGGCACCGAGTACCGGGGAGCCCGGCAATGCAACGCCGACAGCCGTTCACGATACACCGACACCGCAAACCACCAAGTCAGGGCAAGGCTGGTGACTCCGTTACTTCAGAATACTTTTTCTCGTCCTTGACGTTCATGTCGGTATGTCTATCTACGGGAGCCGTGGTGGCATCGGATACGAATTTGTTTGATTGTCTGCCGGACCAGGGGGAGATCAAAAACCCGGGTTACGCTACCGACATCATCACGAAGAAATCGATCGATTAGCTCGACAACCGAGATCGGGGCAGGCCCTTTTTCCTCATGTGTCACCACAAGGCCCCCCCATCGGAAATGGGAGTGTCACCCTCGACACCGCAACCTGTACCAGGAAGACGTCAGGGTGCCCGAGACGTTTGAAGATGACTATAAGAACCGCGCGAAGGCCGCTTCGGCAGCAAAAATCAAGGTCGAGGCGGACCTGGACTATTTCGACCTGGGCCTGGTGCAGCCCGAAGGCGGTGACGAGGTCGGAGAGCGTCACTTTCCCGGAAACCCAAATCGCAAAGGTGCCCAACCCGGTCGACGTGACCCAGATGCGGCCGCTCATCGACAAAGACACGGGAGAAAAGTTTACCTTTCGAACGCGCGATGAGCTCCGCCATTTCAAATACCAGAGGTACATGAAGCGCTATCTGCGGTGTATCCAGGGGATCGACGACGGGGTCGGGGAACTACTGGATTACCTCGACTCGAACGGCCTGGCGGACAATACCGTGGTCATTTACACTTCCGACCAGGGATTTTTCCTAGGTGACCATGGCTGGTTCGACAAGAGATTCATGTACGAGGAGTCGTTTCAGATGCCCTTCCTGATTCGATACTCCGAGCTCATACGGCCGGGCTCTGTATGCAACGACGTAATATCCAACATCGATTTTGCTCCGACGTGGCTCGACCTCGCGGGAACCACGATCCCGTCGTACATGCAGGGACGATCGGTCAGAGAACTTCTCCGGGGAAACACGCCGACCCAGTGGCGTCAAGTGGCGTACCATCGATATTGGATGCACTAGGATACCATGCATGACTGTTACGCCCATTATGGTGTGCGGAACCAACGCTTCAAGCTCATCTATTGGTACAACCAAGGCTTTGACCTCCCGGGAACCAAAGCCGGAGGTCAAGAGAAGGAATGGGAACTGTTCGATTGTGAAAAAGATACCCTAACTGTTCAATGTGTACAGCTTGCCCGAGTATGCCCAGATCGTCAGAGACCTCAGAGACGAATTGAGGCGCACCATGCTCGAGATTGGAGATGAGCCGGCACACCCCTTATGATCCATGGGATTAGTGTTTTTTATAGCAGAAGTAAGACTTAGCGTTTACAAGAGGTTGCGACGCGGCGCCTCGAGCCTTATGTCGTCCAATTTGTCCACATATTTCCAGAGAAATTGTCCGGTCCCATGGAAGGTGCTGGTAGATCGTATCGTGCAGGCCACGGTTCGCATGGCCAGTCCCAGGGATATAGACCAAACGACCCTGGTAGCCTCAGTGGGCAATCAAGTGCTCCGTCGAAAGCGTCACTTCCCCGGATAGGCGTCGATGGAACAACGGCAAAGAGAGGATCTTGGACGAGTGCGACTTCCACCGTCTGCATGTCTCCCACAGCCGTAGTGTCAGTGTCGAAACCCGTGGACCGCTGTAGCCCAGACTGAGCGATCGAGGGGGTGGATGTAGATGCGGCTTGGGACAGCGGTGGCATGGAGAGATTGTCACTGTCGTCCACGATTCCGATTCTCTTGATTAAACTGTGCCGTGAAAACATTTGTTGCGACGACGCAGGTCCCGAAGGCTGCCTCTGGGTTCCTCCTGGAAGATCTTCAGGGGCAGGACTCGGCGACGGTGATCGGGAACATCCACGTTGGATCAGCGTGTCTAGGTCCTATTGGATGGTCAATAGTCCCTTCCATGGACTCGTGCACGCCTTGACAATATCCAAACAGCGTTGCGCCTGTTCAGTCACTTTCTCTGCGCTCATTGGGAATGATGCAATCTTGGTTCGATAGGAGTAGAACAAAAGTCTGGCACATTGGTAGGCACAGATAGGGAGATGGAAGTCGAGAAATGGTAACTGTGTCTTTATAGACAGAATCACTTTGAAAATCCCCCCAATCTCGGTAGCCTTTTCGAAACATTGCTGTTGGCAGACCATCACAAAGCTCTGATCGAGTTGATGGATCGTGGCGCTTGGCAAGGCCTCGTGTAAACCGTCTAGCACGATCCGGTATAGATCGCAATGACACTGGCGCCACCAAACGTGCAGTAAGGCCTCGTCTCTCAACCCAGACTTGTATCGCTGGACAAGGGACGCTCTGTGAAGGAACGATAGCACTGGGACATGATACAAGTGCTGAAAGAAGTTGTCAAAGACGTGAACCATGGTAGCTTCGTCCGGGAGCAGTGGCCTAGGACATCATAAGCACCATTCATCTGGTGAAGGATATTGTGTAGAGCACTTACGCATCACCCGTGTGTGAAGTCGGATTAAAACTTATGGACAGGCCTGGTGTATCGCTGTTGGCGGTCGAGGCTTCTACGGCCCCAGCTGGTGAATCTCTCTGCTCTATGTCCAAGGCAACTTGCAGAATGTTGCCTCCGTTTGATGTCGTCTGAGCAGCCCGTGACGTTCGAGAGTCTGGATACGAGCACTCGAACCGCAAATGTTGGCATCGGTCACACGAAGGAGTATCGCCAGTACAGCGCATCTTCCGACGGCGACATTCGCGGCACGCCCGCTGGGCTCGCTGACGGGGCAAATGGAGTGTAAAATCATCTTCTCGGCCCGTGGCTTGTTGGTAGAAGCAAGGAAGACCAAGTCTGTCACAATTGCTGCAGACATGGCGATTGCCATCACACCGCACCTTGCGGGCTCTGCACGTAGTGCAGGTAGTACTGCTGGCCCTGGAAGGTCGAGACATCAGGGTTGACACTGTCTGAGTAACCGTGTTTCTTTCCTTTCCTTTTCTTTTCCGTATTGGGGGTGACAGATAGGGCTGGGTCGGCTGATGCAGACTGCCATCAGCCATGAGCCACCAGTGCAGGCTTTTGTGAGGGGGGTTTTAACCTTACCTACACTATACTTAGACTGTGTTATTGTTCAAGAGGAGGGAGCGACGAAAGGCATTGCGGACTGCTCGACTCCGCAATTGCAAAGGCCAGAATAGGAAGAAGGCAGTAAGACACCAACTAGTGGGATCCCCGGGGAGTGAGGGTTGGTGGAGCTCCCGGCCAATATACAGAGAGCAAAGGACCATGCAGTATTTGACAGTCCACTCGTATGAAGAAGACTATGAGGAGAGTTCTTCGGATAAGGACCAAAGATGGTCTGGTGGTTGGTTATGGACATTCGGCTGTCGGAGGCATCGACGGAAGTCGGTGGATGTCGGAGAAGTCTGACCTGCGAGAAGATTGTGTGGTCGCCAATTAGCCTCTTCCTCCAGGGGATGTTCTTTCGTAAATGGAACTGCTTATGGCGTCAACAGACGAAGGCAGCTGTTCTGTCTCCCCGGCTGATCCTTTCTGGCCTCTACGAATTGATATACGATTACGAGGATCAATACAGTGCTGCTTAGCTGTAGGTCACGTGTTAGATTCATGCAACATAACTCCTTCTTCTGCACGATGAAAGACAATGCATTAAGCGGCTATACCTAGGTACTTATACTTGCGCAGATACGTATGACTTAAGTGTACGTCAGGTACATAAAAATGAAAACCTCATTCATCATGTCCAAGATCCATGCACTTCTCCTCGGTGTCTACCCGAGACGGGGGCGCATGGGGACAGAGCCGGGCCAGATGGAGCCAAAGCGAGAAATCCACCCATATTTCGCAGATGCACCTCTCATTTCAAGTCATCAAAACGCCGAGATAGGCTAGGTAGGTAGCTATTCGTAGCCATGGCGACGGGTAGAAGAGTCGAGTAGAGTAGGAAAAAGCAAAACCCAGAGTAAGCCGCGCAGACTCGCTGTAAAGTGATCCTCATGCCTTGAAACTCCATCGCTTTCCTATTGCAAGACAAAAACAACTTTCCCTTGTTGCATATCTCCTTACCGGAGGAGTTTTTGCAGGTCCTTGAATTTCTTAAAAACAAGAGATGTTAGTATTGTGTTTCTCGCCTGATAAAGGTACTCGACAGGGGGAGGGAGGGGGGTTTCAGGATCAGAGCGATGGACTACTCACAATTGGCTTACTCAAAAAATGATCAAAGCCAGCTTGGTAAGCTTCATTTTGCGCACTTTCACTCCCCAAGCCTGTCAGTGCGATAATCTCCACTGGATCCCTGATGTTGTTCTCCTTTTCAAACTGGCGGATCTCTCGAGTAGAAACAATGCCGTTCATGACCGGCATTGAAATATCCATAAGGATATATTTGAAGCCGTTCTTCTCCTCGAGCACACTTCGTTCATATGCCTCAAGGGCCTTGAGTCCGTCAGTAGCTGATTCGTGGGGATGGTTCGTCTTCCTAACGAACGTTATAAGAAGGTGTAGATTGATATGGTTGTCATCAACCACAAGTACTCGAGGTCTTTGATCTACCGGTACATCGTTCGCTTTGGGGGAAACCTGGCCTTCAGCCTTTCCATCCATTTGCGATGAGTTCGCGTTCTTTTCCTCGCCCGTAGATTTTGACTTGTCGGCGAAATCGTTTCCTTGGACGTGTTCGGCGGAAGCAACAGCTGGATCTATAGATTCGGAGGACTCGAACTCTTGTTGAGCAGGTTTCTGCGACGATAAAGAGACTCTGCTATTGTCTCTACTCTTCGAGAAGCCCTCAACCCCGTCCAGTTCATCATCAGACTCGCCCTGCGACAGATTCGCATCACGAGAAAACATGCGAGAGCTCTTATCCTTTTTGCGATTCAAAGACAATGACACATGCTCCCATGATTTCGAACGACCCTGGTCTTGGAGCAGGTCCATTCGTTGCATGCATCGGTGAAGGACTTTGGCAAGCTTGTGTGGACCGCAGGGTTGAGATATGATTTCAATTATTCGTCCTATGTCGGTGAGTCGATGCAGGCCATGAGTCCTTAGACTGGCAGCCTCGAATGCGTTCGTACACAAAACGATGACTGGTATCTCTCTTTCGGCGTTGGGCTTACCGTGATTGTGCATGAGAAAGTCGATCGGAGGCGGCTCGGGGTAGAGAAAGAAGTGCGGCGAGCGCCCCTCCATGCTATCATCCGTCGTGACTTTCATGCTGAACCACTGAGACAACAAATTGCGCATGGAGCTTTCGACCGAAGGCATTTCACGCAGAGGCTGGACTTGAGAACCGTTGTTTTGTTTTTCCAACTGCGGCAACAGGAGTGATATATCAAGACCTTTCGTTCGCGAGCGCATCTCAGTCATGATGTTCTTCTCAAAATCTTGCGGAGGGGCTGCTTGGCTTCGCGGAAGGCTCAGCCAGGTGCTGATCTCAGTTCCTCTGTCTTTCTCACTTGCAAGATCAATCTTGCCCCCAAGAGCGTCCACGATTTGTCGAACGATGCTCAAACCGAGGCCTGTCCCAGTTGCCAGCGAGTCTTCCTGAGCGAATGCAGTAAAGGCATGATTCTTCATGAAATCACCCGACATGCCCCTGCCTGTATCAGTGACTCTCAAAAGGGCATGAACATGTGAGTGGCGCTTCTTGCGGCTGCGGTCAATCTCTAGCGAAACATCAATGCTCCCTTCACTGGTATATTTCAAAGCATTTCCTAGAATATTCATAACAAGACGTCGCACTGCTCCTGGTTGGGATCTCACATTCCAATTCGTGTGGTCGTCGATGTTGAGCGTAAGGCGAACCTTGTTAGAGGCAATTGCTGACGCTTCACTGATGTTGGATCTGGCATCTTGCCTCTTTTCCATTGCCCGTCCAGCAGCAGACTGGGTGGGGCCTTTGCCTTGGAGAGCGTCACCATTGGCGGTGCGAAATACTTGGCCAGCATAGACCGCTTCCACTGCCTCTTCTACAATCAATGCCATATCGAAATCCACCGTCAGACTGTCATCAGAATTCGTGGCTTGTTGATACCCTTGATTCCGTGTTGAGCCGGTCTTTCGTGAAGTACGACCTGAAAGATTGTTTATTTTGGCATAATCAAGAACGTGATTCACTGTGTCGAGCAAGGTCTTGCCACAGGTTTCTACCGAGATCACCATACCAGCCTGAAAGTCGTCCATTGCCGTGTCGTGAAGAAATTCAATGCTTCCAAGGATACCATGTAACGGCGACCGTAGTTCATGCGAGATGTTTGCAAGAAATGTTGCTTTCGCAGTGTCAGAGAGAGCCAGATTGATGCGGTTGATCTCGTTGATGACTGCATTGTTGAATGCCACGAGGTACGCCATGTCGTCTTGAATGTTGGTGAGTGTGTGTGGGTCATTCGACCAAAGAACGACTGCTGCATGCCATCTGTCCTTGGCGTAATCCCAAAGCGGAAGGAAGACGATGTTTCGTGCGTCCGGCAAGACCTTCGCCAGCGCTCTGGTGGTGCTGACCTGCCTTACTGCTGTCGAAGAAGGAGTGTTCACAGGTTGTAGGCTGTTTTCATCTGAGGGGAGGCCAGAACCAGAACTGTCGTCACTTGAGGCAGGCCGGCCATGGCTATCGAAGACGAAACATTTTCCTGTCGGATGATGGCGAACGAATCGACTTATCCTTTGTAAGGTAATGTTCAGGGCCTTGGTTGGCTTGGAGACAGATACACCCAATACATCACAGAAGTCTTTCTTGGGCGTCGTGGTGGAAGAGTCGCTAGCGCTTCGTGCCGTCGTAGAAGAGTTGGAGTCGCTGTCGTCGTGGAGACCGATGACCCCGTTTGGCTCAGGCCCAAAGGGAATTTGTGGCTCGATACCCTCCTTCAGCTCGATCAAGCGTCTGCCTTTGTTCCTGGTGTGTTGCATAGTATGAACACCGGGCTCAGAATCATTCATAGCCGAGCCGGAGCTGAGGTTCGCGGAGCTGGCATCCAGGAAAACAACACCATCAGCCTTGATACAGTCGCGAAGAATTGACGCCGCTCGATCAAACGCATCTTGGGCATCCGTCATAGTCTTCCCAGTTCCTGATTTGGCCCTTGGGGGTCCGCTGGGACGCCTTTGACGAGAGTTCTTGTCGACCTTCTGCTCTCCATTGTGTGCGGCTGGAATTGAGTTTTTTGGAGCCTCAGGGGTATCGATGAAATGATTTTGAACTTCTGATTGCACAGCCTGTCCCATCTGGTGCTTGCGCTCTTCTGAAGCTTCATTTGCGTCACCTATAACCATGCCTTTGAACTTACTTGGCTTATCAGATTCGTCTGGCACTGGCTCCTTGACATCATCTAGACCAGTCTTAGTCTCGGAAGAAGTGAAGGCAGATGGCTGTTGAGGAGCAAAATTGGGACCAGGTTGTTTGTTGCCATCGCTAGCAGGTCCCACGATGAATGTTCCAATCCCCTGGATCAGTCGTTCTCCTCGTACTCTAGCTTGGTCACCTTTGACAGTCTCGAGATGCTGGGCAACGATGACGGCCATATCGACCATAAACCTCAACTCATCAGCCTGAAGGCGATCGCGGGGCTCATCGTCCGAAACCGTGTAGACCCCAATCACATAGCCCTGCCTTGTCGTAATGGGCACTCCACAATAGAAAGAGACTCCATTACCAGCATAGCCACGAGTCCAGTACTTCTCGTGCTTCGTCATATCCCCTATAACCAAGGCGGGAGCGCTGTAGGTATACCCATTGGGTCCATGCGCAGTGTAAGTATCTGGGAACATGGCATCACCCGACACGCCGCTATCTCGTTGGATGAAGGAGTTACCAAACCACAGTTCATCACCTGTCGCATGTTGCGAATCAGACAGAAGCGACAATGACTGTGTTGCTTCAGCGATGATGTACTGTTTCTTAGCATCCAATAGCGTCACAATCCCTCTTTTCGCACGTAGGCGAAGACATCCTAACTGCGCAAATGCTGTCAATGCCTTGTCTCGAGATGATCGAGGTCTATAGGTTTTCTCGGGGGGAAGCTGAGCGACTGGATGGAGGTCTCTGGTAGACATAAAGGTGTCTAGCCACGGTTGGTAATATCTGCATCAAGTGTTAGCACAAACCCACCATGGCTTGCTAGGACCACAAACCTGTGCATCTCACGCTCCCGCGCGCCTTCGCGATAGCCGTCGGGAGCCATATCGGTCGGCTTGGTGGTGTCTAGACGGGCAAGCATTCACGGAAGTCTTGCAGCCGCCGTTGGTTCTCGTAAAAACCCTATCTGGCGCATGCAAAGCATCGTCGAGGCAAATTTGGACTTGCGTGAGGGACAATACAGGCGACGAGAAGACAAGACTTTGTGCGACCTCAGAACAGAGAGCGGCTCGGCCTAAACGAAGGATCTTTTGGACTGGACTGGGGTAAGAATTCAAGGCGTCGTTCCAGGCTGTCCAAGGTACGAAGTAGGATGCGGAGGGGGTCTGTGGGAATGACCACGGGCCCGTGTCAAAGCCTGGAATATCCCAGCGGGTACAATCATCCGGGCGCCATTGGATAATGTCGGGCTGTCAAGGGTGATTGAATCTCAAATAACAAGGTTGAGACGGACAGTCGAGGGTCCATGGAAGCGGCATGGAATGAGGCCCAGATCGAATCGACTTTCAAACCATGGGAATCTATGAATCGTCCATGTTCAGATCCACATCAACCGCAAGGCAAAAGACTCACTAGGCGCAGTCAATTGCAGGCGGGGCTACCGATACGAGGACAAGCCTGTACGAGAACGAGAGCGAGGAGACCCTTGAAGTTAGTCATCGATCACACACGTGATGTACAGAACGGCGAGGAAATCCGATCGCGTCATGTCTCTCTATCATCCTGTAAGCAATTTACACGCAGCCAACTACTGCGACACCCACAGATTTTTCAATGCCCGTCACTAGGAGGACCATGGGAGGTTGAAACCAGGCCACTCCATATGGCTATAACAAACTGTCCCGCAATCCTTCTTCGATAAACCTGGGAACGTCATGTTACCCGACAGAAACGCCCGCTCTCCGTCCCCATCGCCGCAATCACCGGCGCAACAACATGAGTTATCCGCCTCCGATGCCACCCAGCAGGACATCTCCCGCACGAGGTCCGATCATGCATGTTACGCCAGTCCGGGTGCGGCCGACTCTGCACTCGATGGGACGAACTTTACACTCCGAGGTGTGCTGGTGGGAACGGGCATTGGCATTATAATATGTTTCTCAAATACATACTTCGGTCTTCAAACCGGATGGGTGTCAGGCATGGCCATGCCCGCATCGCTGATAGGGTTTGCTATATTCAAGGCGTTATCACCGTATCTGGCACTTCCATTTACACCAGTGGAGAACGTGTTGGTACAGACAGTCGCCGGAGCCGTGGGAACCATGCCATTAGGCCTGGGCTTCGTTGGTGTTATGCCCAGTTTAGAATTCCTGTTGAAGAAGAGCGAGGGTGCCCCAATAGATCTTGGCATATGGAGGCTATTCATCTGGGGCGTGGGATTGTGCCTCTTTGGTGTGGTCTTTGCTGTACCGCTGAGGAAACAGGTCATCATTCGAGAGCGGCTCAAATTTCCCAGCGGCACTGCGACGGCACTCATGATCAGTGTTTTGCACGGTGGTGCCAAAAGTGACGAGGCCAAAGGTCGAGAAATCAGTACACAAGGGACAGAGGAACGTGAAGAGCTTCTCACTGAGAACGAGAGAGACGACGCCGACAGTACAGCCAACGAGCGCGATGTACGAACTGACTGGAAGAAACAGATTCGACTTCTCCTTCTGGCCTTTACTGGATCTGGGTCCTACACTCTACTTCAATACTTCCTGCCTATCCTACACAAACTCCCCATCTTTGGTACCTACCTTGCCAACACATGGGTTTGGACACTGAATCCCTCCCCAGCATACGTCGGTCAAGGCATTATCATGGGTCCGGCAACAACCTTCCACATGCTTCTCGGCGCCATTGTCGGATGGGCAATCCTAAGCCCCATAGCTAAACATAAAGGCTGGGCTCCAGGTTCCGTTGACGACTGGGAGACGGGAAGCAAAGGCTGGATTGTCTGGGTGAGTTTGGCCATCATGCTCGCCGATGCGGTTGTCAACTTGGGCTGGCTGATCCTCCGACCGACTTTGATCCATGGTCCGGACTGGATCCACTCTGCCCAACAACATTACCAGCACAGCGACTCCTGGTTTGACTTTCTCTTCGGCCACAAGATGGCCGGCTATCTCGCTCTGAAATCCCCCCATTCCGCCAACTTCGAACCAGTAAAGTCTCAATCGGACGATCCTCCCGATGACGCACCTCTCCACCATCTCATCTCCGGGCGCACTGTGATGATTTTGCTTCCTGTAACGCTTCTCCTCTGTGTGCTCTGCATCCACGTCACATTCGGCAGCTACATTCCCATTGGCCTAAACATCCTCGCCATGCTTCTCGCATGCATCCTTTCTATAATGGGCGTTCGCGCTCTTGGCGAAACGGACTTAAACCCTGTGTCCGGCATTTCCAAACTCACCCAACTCGTCTTCGCCCTCGTCACTCCGACAGGTACGACGCACGGCAATCACGCAATCATAATCAACCTCCTCGCCGGCGCCGTCAGCGAAGCAGGTGCCCTTCAAGCCGGCGACATGCTCCAGGACCTCAAAGCGGGCCACCTCATCGGTGCGAGCCCCAAAGCCCAGTTCTACGGGCAAATGATCGGCAGCCTGGTGGGTGCGTTTGTCTCGGCCGCCGTGTACAAGCTTTACGCCTCGGTGTATCAAGTCCCCGGCGAACTGTTCGAGATCCCCACGGCGTACGTCTGGATTTTCACCGCCCGCCTCGTCACGGGCAAAGGTCTCCCACCCATGGCGTGGCAAGTCGCACTCGTCTTCGGGGCCATCTTCGTACTCACTACCTCGCTACGCATCTACCTGCTCGCCTACAGCGATGAGAAACCGTGGTGTCGTACCCTCCACTCCTGGATCCCAGGGGGCATCGCCGTCGCCGTGGGCATGTACAACACGCCGAGCTTCACTCTCGCGAGGACCGTCGGCGGGGTCATCAGTTATTGGTGGATCACGTGGAAACAGCGAGGCGAGACGAGGGTCATTGTCCTCGCGAGCGGTCTGATCCTGGGCGAAGGTGTCGTGAGTATTCTCAACCTCGTCCTCGCGAGCGTTGGTGTACCGCATTTGTGATTGTCTGTACGTTGTACTCGGTACGTCATACCCAGAACGAAACAGTCTTCTACGAGTACGAGTACAATCTAGTACGGTCTACAATCTACGATCTACGCAGTACATGTTCCGGACGGCCTCTGCCGATGACTGTGGTTCCGAAAGACGTTGACACATAAAAAAGGACGACGATGATGACGATGATGATTTATTCCCACGATATATATTATAGAACAGCATAGTAAATTACAGTACCCGATTCATCTACCTAGATATCTATGATTATGATGATGACTTTTGGATTTTTGGAAGTCATTACACGAGGATTTACGCACGTAGATACGTGTACACGCGTGCTCCATAGTGATACAATCATTATGAGTGGCAGAATAGTAGACTATGTTCGTTGAAAGCCTACCTAAAGTACGGGACACAGCGTACTGCAAGACAGGAACAGTAAATACGAGTTACCGTGTCAAGATTTATCAACAAGTCATTTTTGTATCAACAAGAAAGTTCAATGTATCTCGTGAAGACATGATGATGCCTCGATGCTTTCCTGATTCCGCAGTTCTCTCTCTCTCTCTCTCTATCAGTATGCATTTCTTTTCGGTTGGAAGCAAAAGAGATCGTTGTGTAATCGTGTGTAAATTCATATTTCATGTCTGTCATTCCCTCGACGCGTCTCTCAAGGATTCCTCCTCTTTTGTCTGTCCGTCTGTCTGCCTGCCTGCCTGGCTGTCTGTCTAAAGAAACAGAAAAACCCATCTACAATGTGCTGCCAAGTGTAGATATCTATCTATCTGGAGATGAGCTCATGACGAAAGAAATTTGGGGTTGGGGAAGGGAGGGAAGGGGGTATCTATGGAGTGAAACTTTTTTGGGTGAGAGAAACAACAGAAAGGGCGGAACAAAACTCGTGTCGACCAAAAAAGAAAAGAAAAAAACCATCTGTTTGCCGTTTCATGACCCAGCGCATACATAACGCTTGAAGGTTGGAAAAAGAATGAAAAAGTGGTTGAAGAGGAATAGAAAGCACAAAGTCAAAGCCGTGTCCTCTTACTCCATGAGCCAGGATCATTTCCCAGTCACCTCGCCACTCGTGCGTCCGTGGACATGTCAAGGTCAACTCGATCATGATCCCTGTCTCCAACTTTCGTAAGTCGCGACGACCAACAGCGCTCATGTCGTGCAGTTCCACACCGATGTATTCACTGGCACAGCGAGGGGCGGCGAGCAAAACACCGACGCAGCTCACATTGTTGTTCTGACTCACGACTCCATGGCCGATGGCCACATTTTGCTTGCAAATTGTCGGACCATACTTCTTTGCGACGGAGGATCGTACAGCATCTGTGAGAGAAGGCCCTCCAATTCTTCTGGAGAGGTCACCCCGAGCTCGGCGGCGGCGGCCTTGGAGATATTCAGAAACCACCGCAAATCGTCGTCGTTGTCTGTGCAAACACCACCGAGAACCGCAACCCACAACAGGCAGTCCGTATGTGGAGCCCACAGCATCTCAACGTCATTTCCGTCGAGACTTTGTCTTAGACTGTGCGCGGATTGCGATGCGGCTCGTCGGCCAACGTGAGGTGCTCGCGTCAATGTGATCCAGAAAGCCGCCGCGATACGCAGACTTTCTACCCTCCCGTCCAGCTCATAATGCAGTGGCATGGACAGCAATCGATGGAGGATTGTCAGGCACGTCCAACCGAACCACTTGTGGTGCTCCGGAACGTATCGTGCCGCATCTTCCAGGAGAATAGACATCTGAGACACGTGAACCATGTCCAACAACGTATCTGCCAATAGATGACTGGTGTCTGTCGTTTGCAACATCGCTTCAAACCTGGGTCCTAGTCCGAATCGAAATAGACCTTGAGATTCGATGCCGAGCAGGGCCTCGTGAGGTAGTGGGCCAGGATCCAGCGTCGCGAGCAAACGAGGAACGCCAAGGGACATGAGGGCACCCATACAGTCCACCAACATCATTCTCTCCTGCTGATAATCGTTGAAAGTGCTCAAGCCGCCCAAGCTCTCGATAATGGCCAGAAGAGCCTGAAGATGTGGCTCGGCAAATTCAGGGTTGCGGGTGTAAATGCCGGTGCTATAGAGCCGATGAACATCAACGGCAATATGATGGCCTACTTGGCCGCTGGCAAGTTTCGCTCTGATGGCTTGAATCGCCTTTGTCTTGAAGAATGTGGGTATCCTCTGGTAGTCTCCCTCAGACACATTTGGCAATACAAGTCGGCCCTCTCGTACAAGCATTTGTGTCGCAGCCGACGCAAGGAAGGAATACATATGCGCCGGTTCCGACATACAAGCTTCCATGTCGGCGTGGATTGACAGCGCATGCCTCGTTCGCCCCAACGGAGCCTTTTGCACATCCTTCCAGAATGTCTCTGGTATTATAACTGTGTTGTAGTGTTGAATGAGTGGCGGTGCCCATTGTTCCAGGATGCGTTGGGTGCTTGCGCCCGGGCTCGATATCCGACTCACTGGTACGGAAGGGGAGGTGATAGGCCCTCTTGGTGGTAGTGGCGGTGGGGTGACGCCATAGTTTGGAGGGGTCGTCTCGAAGTAGTGACTAGGGTGATACGAGGAAGAGGTCTCAAACCCAGTGACCGGCCTCGTAAGCGTAGGAGGTGTTGAAGTCGTGGAAGCGAAAGGGTTCGAGAAAATCGCGGCCAGTTGAGGATCTAACATTTCTTGCGACAAAGGTGCCGGACTGGTTTGGAATTGAGCATCATTGAGGTTGAGATTCTGCAATATGTCGAAGTATTCCCCAGCGTAAGGAGCGACTCCTTGAGAGGACGAAGAGGTCTCAGTGAGAGGTTCAGTCGTCGCAGGACTGGGAGATATAGAACTCTGGCTCTCAATTTGTTGAAGCGATACAGATTGTTCACGAAGCTGACGTCTGCGCGCGAAATTCTGGCGCTGTACGTGGCTTTGCTTCGTTCGGTCGAGCTCGGCATCTTTGGTGGCTCTTGTAACTGTTGAAGCGTCTTCGTTAACGAACAAGAACTGAGAGTCCGAAGACTTGGGTCGTTTCGGTTTTGTGGGCATGACACCGAATTAGGTCTTGGAGCTCTTATTAGTAGAGATACTGGGTTTCGGTGTGATGGCAAGTAGGTACCTCGAATTAGGTAAAAGGCGAGGCTGCTTTGGTAAGGACTCCAATCTCTGGCGGCCTCAGCCCGGTCCAGCACGTAGGGCGAAGGGATGGAGTACCAGGGCCTGAATGGCGTGGTACCCTTGACTGGTGACCCCAGGAACAGCAGCAGGCCAGATGCGAGTTCGGTCGTAGCTTTCTCCTGATTTAGCCTAGGCTTGCTGATGATACATGCGCTGAAGATATCATTGGACTTCGAGCCACTCTGCATGCAGTATCGCTTGCTTGCCGTTGATCCTTGCGCCACGGTACCGAGATGTCGTAGACGTTCGCTAATGAGTGGCACTTTGTTGGCTTATAAAGTCGTTAGATTTGATGCAGGCTTTGACCTTGTAGAGTCAAACTCAGTCGTAGGTAAACTGATCAAATGAGAAACAAGGATGAAAGGTAATAAAAGCTCATGTCAAGGGAAGACCCACAGCCCAAAAGACATGAACTTACGTACGGGCAGGGCTCATATGTATATGACGCTGGCTGGAGTGCGCCATACAATCAGGACAGCCTCGTCTGGGACCCGGGAGGAGTCAAGGTCTCCATTAGTGCGAGACGCTGGCCAGAACATTCGCAACGAAGATTTCTCGAAATACCTACGATGCCCTGTTCGCGAGTCATTGTGTTTAGATCGTGCCCAAGGGGAAGGACTAGCCTGTAAACGCATGACCACGGGTGTGAAGCGAAGCATGGACAAGGGTTGTACGAGGCAGATCGACAAACGATTTGAATATGGCGCACACCTAGCGGCTGAGCCGATCACGGAAGCCCCAACCATTGATCCGAGTAAACGGCACATAGCCGGGCGGAGTGTGAGAAAAAAAGTGCGATAGAGTTGAGGTTAGGAAGAACAATGAGAAAGAATGGATAGGATGGAGTGTAGGAAGCGTGGAAGCACGGAAGGCCAGGGAAAGGGACGGTCAGCCTCGGAGGGTATAGTCGAATTGCTTGGCAGAAGATCAGTAATTGCAAGGTTTCTGTTGGCAATGCAGATGGTAGGGATGAATTGTCGAATACGAAGGTGTTGAGACATGTTCGAAAATGAACGGTGACATTGCGATGTGCGATGCGTTTGGTCGTTGGTCGTGCTTACGATACGGCCGAAGATCCGGTTAACGGGCTCCGATGCACCCAATGGGCCGAACGCCCAATCATGACGTTGACGCATGCCGGTTTCCAAATACTCCGTACCGAGGATAAACTATTATTGACGCCCCCAAAAGCCTCTGCTCGAACCCTAAAGAGGCCACGTTCAAGCCCGGAGCGAGTCCCCTGTCGCCCCTAAAGAACCGCTAACTAGCCTCAATAGCCCCTAGTCTCACTGCCCTTTGGTGGTTTAAACTCCCATTAGCTCCAAGTAACCGACCTTCTAGAAAAAACCGCGCTTACATCATAGGTGCTTTCGTATGTCCGGAGTTCAAAGGTATCAACGAAGCCAATACCCGTACCATTCTAGTTTTTTGGCGATCTACAGTCCAACATTCCGTACTTCCAAAGTCCGATCCACATGCAATCGGATTTAATTCCTTGAGCCATTTCGTTGCTTCATGTCAAGGGTGAGTAACTCGGAATGAAAGCAAAGTCTCAATACAGACTGTCCCTGATCACTCCCTGTCGGCTCGAAAAGGCATATCATAAAGGGAAACTGGTTGGCTACCTGACGAGACAAACTACAACTGATGCGAAAGCCATAAGCGAACAAGGTGTGCACCAACCCGAGGTTGCTCTCTTCGTCTCTAGGTACATCTGCACGAACGACCAACAGAATTGCGCTCATTGTCGGTACCCAAAGTACAGTATGTGTAGTCAGACAAGGGCCTTGAATATGCTTTCTGGCGTCTGTATCTTGGAGCCATATGATTTGCAATTGTTGGAGCAGATGCTGGAATGCAGGTAAAGGTAGCATCGACCATTGATGTTCAGGGTATCCATACAACTTCAATTTTTCTATGGTTACAATAACCAGAATTGTCGAAAGCCACGTTTTGTCAAGGTTCCTTTGCATAACAACTAGCATTCAAACTAAGAGATGCAGCTAATATCTGCATGTATCTCAGGTTGCCGGCGGATCTTGCTTGGGCTGAAAGTCAAACACAAACCTGATGCGTGGTTGAGCGTCGTATAACCACAGCCATTCCAGAAACCGCTTCTTCAGGTGAGATGTGCGCATACCTAATTGAGTCTAGAAATTGTACACTAGACTGATGATGGTGCGACTTTGAGAGAACGCATTGAAAAGACCAGCTGCGTGGTGGCTTGAGCATCCCGAGAAAAGCTGGATATCGCCGGCTTCGAGCAAATTGGCTATTCAAATCTCGTATTCGACAATGTACCTCGGACATGCCTTGCCGCGTTCGAAACGAAGAATGCAGATAACCCATGCACAAGCACATGCAGGTGGCACAAAAGAGTAGATGTTGCTTACGTGCGGGAGACTCTGTGGTGGCTTGTGATGGTCTGAGGGATGATGTCACTTTAACGATCAGGGTAGATGTCGTGGTCTGACAATTCATTAAATTCATCAAGTGCCCTAATAATGGCAACAATGATTTCTCAAACACTCAGTCTGACACAATAATTAATTCGCTCTCGGCCCACCTGCCATATTCAGGAACAAGGGTCACCTCCGATTGCGCCCCGGTTGCGCATCACGATCGCAGGTTTGAGTACACAATCTGCAAGTCGGGTTAATTCAATGATACAACACACATCATCAACAGTTACTCAATGACAATGAACTCATATTTTCAGTGCTCGCTCAGACGATAATGTTCGCCGGCCCAGTGGCGATCTTGTAAACCGCACCAACTCATGAGCCACAGCGCCTTCACTCCCCGTCAATGCCTTGGTCTTGACGATTGTCAACACCGCCTTACTTTCAAGCGAGCAATCTTGACTTGACTTTATCGACTCTCCTGGCCATGCCCGGCTTTCACAAGATGCCTCGTCTCGATGCTTCTCCTTCCTTTGCGATGAATCCAGTTATTGAACGGACCCAATCGCAATGGCTGTTCACTCCCGACGAACTTCTCCTCTCCCCCAGTATAGTCGAAGGGATGCCGGTGGCGCAAGAGTTGGCAAACCGTCAAAAGGGTGTCAATTTCATTACCCAGGTTGGCATCATGTTGAAGTTACCTCAGTTGACTCTTGCAACGGCTTCTGTTTACCTCCACCGATTCTTTATGCGGCATGCGATGGTTCAGAACAATAAACCAGGCCTTCATCATTATTCGGTCGCAGCCACCGCTCTGTTCCTGGCTACGAAGGTGGAAGAGAACTATCGAAAAATGAGAGAGCTTGTGGTGGCATGTTGTCGTGTTGCACAAAAAAAACCTGACTTGGTCGTGGACGAACAAAGCAAGGAATATTGGAAATGGCGAGATACCATCCTGCACAACGAAGACCTGCTTCTCGAGGCTCTCTGTTTTGATCTGCAACTCGAGTTACCATATCGCATATTGCTTGATTTCTTGCGCTTCTACGATGTTCAGGAGAATAAGCATCTGCGTAACACTTCTTGGGCATTTCTCAACGATTCTCTCGTCACCACCATGTGCTTACAACTGAGCCCCAGCTCGATTGCTGGCAGCGCTTTATACATGGGAGTCAAATTTGCCGGCATCGCCTTACCAGATGACGAAAGAGGTCGGCCGTGGTGGGAACAATTAGGTCTGGAGGTGTCGGATATTCAGCGAGGTTGCAACATCATGGCCGACGTCTACGAGAATGCTGCACTCCCCCGACAAGGCCAGAAGGATGCCTATACTAAGGATGAAGATATGGCCATGTTTGATCGGACACGCCAGCCTGCTACACCTCAGCCTGACAGATCACCTGCAGGAAGTGCTAGGAGTGGGAGCCAAGGTGTCAAGCGTGATAGGGATGCTCTTGACGAGCAAGAATGGGGGTCGACTATAGTTCGTGCTCCTGTGACCGACGATGTGCATCCATCACCAAAGAGGGCACGTCGAGATTCTTCAGAGGCCGACAACTCAAATCTGCCGGATCGAGAACGCCCTCTGTCACGAATACCATCAGCAACAACTTCAGCGGCGATGCCTATTGACCCGGGGCAGAACGATGACGATGTCCAAAAACGCATTGATGAGATCGTAGGCAACTCATCATCGCAACGTCAACCAGCTCTCCCGCGAAGACCCTCTAACCAAGCATCATACGCCGGAGAAGGTCCGCGACGGCACTCTTCATCAGGATCCAACTGGAGTGGTCCTCCTCCATCATACGCCAATGGTCATGTTGACCGGCTTCCTTCGCAAAGCCGTCCGGACAGTCGAGAACACGGGGTGTACAATCAGAGCGACCAATTTGAGCTTCCAAGATCATCCAGTCGCATACCGCCTCTCCCGGGTGATGGTAGACGCGGTCTCCCCTCAACGAATCAAAATGGTCTTGAGGATCTAGACGATAAAGTTGATTATGGAAGCGAAGAAGGCGAGGTTTAGAAAACCTGTACCGAAGGGAACAACCAGAGTGATGACGACGGATCTTGGTCGAGCGCAATGCATATGACGCCGTCAAGTGCCAATTAATCGTCGCTGGTATCTGCACGATTCGACGAAAGAGATGAGTGACCTCCTCGGTCTTGTTTTGGTATATAGCGAATGATTTACCGTACCATCATTATTTGCTTAATCCATTCGCAGGATGGAGAACTTCGTACTGTATGGGCTGTTGCAGAGTAGGTACTCGTATTCGTACTGTATGTCATCAGTTCCACTCTGCCCTTGGTCCCGATAAAACGGCGATGCGGGGAAAAAACAGTGACCGGCATTGTTTCCCTCGGCCCAATGACGCCACCCAATGATGATGAATGATTTTTGTTACGGTTACGACTAATAATGAAGGATGATTATATTCTTTTGAATGGATTTCTAATATGTCGCATTGCGTGCTCGTTTACGCATAGACTTACAGAGTACCCTTTGGTCAGGTATATATCACGGGGTGATTCGGGGTTTCCTGATCTCACCTGTACTTACACTTTCAGTATAAAGCAGAGAGTATTCTTGCTTTCATACTTGTCACCACTGACTGACTGACTGCCCTTTTTCGCGAGAGTACGTGAGTACCTGCGGAGCACAGCAATGTCATCAACCACTACCACCACCCAGACCAGCCTCGCCCCCACGGCCGCGACGACTCTCTCGGGAGTTCAAGGTTCTACCTCTTCCTCGAATGATCAACATGTGCCGCGAGGTCCGGTCAGGACCAAACTCAACTTTTTCCGGGACCCCGAAGACGGCAGCCCTCCTCACAATTACGTCGAGAAGCCACCCGAGGGTCGACCCCAGCGCAACTTTGGCGAGGACGTGGTCGAGGTCGAGGTGAACGACGTCCGAGGTCGGGAGGAAGATTTCAGTCTGGACAAGGACGCCTTTCAAGCCGTCAAGGGCGTGGCGGCCTCGGGGGAGACGGAGTTCGTCGACGACGACCACATCAAGAGGGTGTACTACCCCGAAGTCGAAAGGCTGTTGTTGGACGTCGTCCCCGGCGCCCACAAGGTCACCATCTTCGACCACACCGTCCGACGGTCGAACCCGGACGCTCCCCGGGCCCCCGTGACCAGGGTCCACGTGGACCAGACGGAGCGGTCGACCCGGTGGCGGGTCAAGTTGCACGACCCCGACCGGGCCGACGAGTTGCTCGGTGAAGGTCAAAGGTACCGGATCATCAACGTGTGGAGACCCATCAACGGCACCGTCGTCGCGCACCCTCTGGGTTTCGCCTCGGCCGACACGGTCGACGATTCGGACCTGGTGCCCGTCGAGCACAGGTACCCCCACCGCACGGGCGAGACGGCCGCCGTGAGGCACAACCCCGACCAAAAGTTTTACTACTGGTCGGGCATGGACAACGACGAGAGGTTGCTCCTCAAGTGTTTCGACAGTCGGGGAGGCGTCGGGCAGAGGGTGCCTCACACGGCGTTCGTCGACCCCAGAACCCCCCAGGGGGCCAAGGGAAGAGAGAGCATCGAGGTCAGAGCCTTGGTTTACGGTTGATTTTTTCACCTTCACACTTTTTTCAACTCCTCTCTTGTGTGTGACGGGGGAGTACACTTGCGGGAGCAGTCGGCCAAGCAAATTGTTCGTCGAGAATATCTCGCCAGGTTTTAAAACATAAATTATTTCAAATGTAATTTCAATCACAATTCACGATCAAATCAAGATTCATTGACAGTATCGAAACACAAATCCAGTAGAAGTACAGGGTGGTGTTGTAGCCATGAGGGTGAGGGTGAGGGTGATGACGGGGCTGTGGAAAGGAGCACAGGGGAGGAAGAGGAAGAAGGGAGGGAGGCGTTATGGGACTTGTTCTCTTCGGGCATTTGATGCCCAATATTCGATTGTATTGTTCGTTATGTACACGGTGGTTTATAGCCAAGGTAGGCAGTATGACCATCACCGCTGCCACTTCCACCCCTTTGTCTCATGCCTTTTCTCCTGAGATGGTGCATTGCTACACATTTGCATTTTCATTTTCATTTTCATGCCATGCCATTCTTCTTCCCCTGAATATACAATTTTTCCCCCTGTACTATGCTGATGTTTTCCCTAGTACTCGGTCATATTCCGGCGATACTTTCGACACACCAATCGTCTGTGTTGATTGTCACATGAATGGTACACACGACCAAAGATGGTCTTGTCTAAGGATTCTTTGGGTCCACATTTTGGGGTACCAATTCGACAATATATCCATCCTTGTCACGGGAAACAAAAATCAGTCACTGTTCACAATGGGACAATTTTGTTCGATGGATAAAAATGTAAAACGAAAACAAAACATACCGGATCCCTGACAAAAGCAATCTTGGTGAAAACCTTTGCGTACTCTTGATGAATCTCCGATTCGGTTCCTTTGACCTCGACACCCACTCCCCGTTCGTTCTCCCAATCACTGATGGGGATGGAAGGTCTGTCACAGACCCCGAGGTCTTTGATGACGTGGACCCCGTTTTCCTTGAGCCTTTTCAACGCCGCGGGGACGTCGGGCACGGTGAACCCCAAGTGTCCGAACCCCAGGGCGGGAGGAGTGTTGCCGGTCGAGTAGTAACCGGGTTCTTGCTTCTCGGACCCATGGACGTGGTAGAGCTCCAACAGACCCAAAGTGTGTTGGAGGTTCGTGGCAGTGTCGAGGCCGAACTTGGGTAGGTCGGCTCGGTGTTCGTCCGTCTGAGGGTAACCCAGGTAATAAATTGTAAAAGGGCCGACGTTCAATCTGGGAATATAGAACGAGCGGAAAGATTAGATTGATCGTCGATTGAAGGGTTGACAAGTCATGATCGAACAAGTGACTGTGGATGAGAGGGAGGTGTAGGTGGACAAATGGATAAAGGAGAAGGAAGATGACGAAGAAGTAAAAATGTCAGGTCAAATTCATCTTCATATTGGACACTCTGCAGTCGGTAGAGATTCCAGTCGAGACATCAACCATGCCATTGACGACCACGACACCAGGATTGGATTCATCTCTCGTCTTTCAATCAACTCCGGAGCCGGTGGGTGGATGGTTCTTGAGACACCTTTTTGCGCGCTGAAACAGGAGTGATTTTTGGGCAGGCACTCACGTAAAAACCGTCCTCATCCCCATCAAATCGATATAAAACTTCATACTCTCCTTGGGATCTCGGATCCTCATCATGAAATGGTTCAGTTTGTAACCTATCGTAGGGTCGTCGGCCGGTAAAGGTGGATCGGTGTTTTGACCGTTTGGTAAAAAGACTCCATGTTCGAAGGGTGTCACTTTTTGGCCGTCCGAGTCACCCATCTTTTTCGCTTCTGATCCGATCTTTTTCGAAAATCGACAAAAACAGTATGGTAAGGTCTATCTGTGAGGAACGTATTCGATGGTTTCAAGTCGTGAAGAACGGTTTCGTCTTTGTCCTTTTTTTTATTCGTCTTTCTGACCTAACTATCGGAAGGAGAAAGAGAAAAAATTCAAGACGGTCAAAAGTGTACGATAGGTAGTGCACAGTATATATATATATGAAAATTATCATTTGTGGTGCCGGCGTTTCCAATAAAATACCTACCGAGTAGTACTCGTTCGTGATCGAAGGAGAGATCCCCGCAAGATCCGTTTTGCAGGATGGGTGTACTCCGGATCACACTTGACCATACTTACGGAGTATTTACGGGATGTACTCCGTACTGTGGGAGTACGGAGTACGGATACAGTATTAGTGAAAAGTGCGAGTACAATATGTTTTAAAAGGGACCACCAAAAAAAACCATGGTAAATACCCATCTGTGAAATTGCGGAGGGGGGATCCACGTCTTCGGATTCCAGCCTGGCGGGGCCTGGAACATTGTACAGAAGGCACATTTTGTTACCGAGTACGGAGTAAGGTAGGTACTGTAGACAGACGAATAGTCGGTACTCCGTACGTGGAGACCACCTAAGGAATTGAGAATTGTATCCTGTCATGGCCATATTCACAGCTTGCTACCAACCAACACAAAGAATTTCTTCGTCTATACACAGAATCTATCACAGTCTGTTTGTACTCATAAATCATACACTGACATGGACACAACCTCAACTTATTGCCCCCTCTCAGCAATAGCCCTGGACATTGTCCCGGCAAATCTACTGACCAAGTCACTATCATGCTTGGCAGTCTCAATGGCCTGCAAAACATGTTTGATGCCCACGCCGACTTCTTCGGATCGGGTGATGTCCTTGATCTCCGTAATCGCCTTGGTCGCATCTTCACTACCAAACACCTTTGTATCTTTCATGACATGTCTCAATTCCTCGTAAGTGCGAACATTTGCAACCGGGATATCGCTGTTGAAATGTCTCCAGAAATCCAGTTGTTGGAGTACACTTCGTTCAGTTGCTGTTGCTATAATCAACAAACTCCGGCCTGGAGGAGGTGCTTTCCGTAGCAACGCAACAAGACTCTTGAGGATACCATTGCTGAATCGAGGCCCAATGGGTGTCCATTCGATCAACTCTTCGATGTCATCAATGACAACACAACTCATTGGACTCTTGTATGCATCACTGAAGATCTTGCTGAGGTGTGAGATTTTCTGAGGTTCGTTCATCTCCAAGGTGTCCTTTGTGCTGACTAGCTTGATGAAGGGATATCCAGAGTCGATTGCAATCTTGGCTGCCAAAGCTGTCTTGCCAGACCCAGGAGGACCGTGTAAGCAGACCGAGAACAAGGGTGTCGAATTTGGTTGTCGGACCTGCTCAACAAACAATTTGCCTTCCTCAAGAACGTCCTTGATGTAAGGCGAGTAATGTATTACTCCTCCCCGGATGCAATATTGCAATTCCTCTTCTGATACACCAAAAGCCGGTTTAACTTCTTCCAATGCGTTTTCAAAGTCTGTCTTGTTCACCTTCATATCGGCCACGTCATCGCTGATACCAGCCACGGTGCCGACCTTAATATGTCGGTTGAACGCAAATGAGGTGGCTGCCTTGACTAGACCGTTCAATTCAGCACCAGAAAAGTTCTTCGTTCGATGTGCAAGCTCCAGTATATCAACATCACGATCCAACACTTTATTTTGCTGCATTCTGTGCGTGTGGATCTTTAGGATCTGGGCTCTGCCATGCTCGTCGGGAAGAGCGATCTCCAAGTGGACTTCGAGACGACCAGGTCGCAGTAGTGCATCATCAATCATGTCCTTTCGATTCGTCATTCCGATCAACAAGATGTTGTTGAGTTGGTCCACACCATCAAGTTTGGCCAACAGCTGGTTAACCACACTGTCTCCCACACCCGTACCACCTCCTGCGCCGCTTCCTCTCTGTTTGCACACGGCATCCAATTCATCAAAGATGATGATGTGCAGACCGGATTCGTCACCTTTCTCTTTATATTCCTTTTCGGCATCGGCGAACAGCTTGCGAATGTTTTCTTCCGACTGACCGACAAACTTATTCAGTACCTCCGGGCCATTGATAACCTTCGGTTCTCGGGCATTCAACATCTTGCCAATTTGTCGGGCAATCAACGTCTTTCCCGTACCAGGTGGACCGTACAGCAAGATACCCTTGACGTGTTGAATACCTAACTTCTCGACTAGTCCAGGCGGGAAGACACGTGATGCAAAGGCTCGTCTGAAAATGGTGGCAAACTCCTTGTCAAGACCACCGATGCCCATATCTTCAAACTTGAAATCCGGGGCGATGATCGAGTTAGCCGCTGGCCTCCGAGAAGACGCTTTAAGATTGATTGACGTTCTGCCATCCTTGAAAAAATTGATCTGAGTCTGTGGTGTAAGTATACCTCGAGCCATGGGATCTGATGTCGTTGGAGCGGACTTTTCGCTAAAATCTGCTAATTGCACCGTCTTGACAGTCATGTTCAAAGGGACACTCTTGAGATCCATCAAGAAACGTTGACTCGGTGCAAACATCTGGCTGTTGAACAACTGTATGAATGGTCAGCATAAGAACTCTTGACAGCCTGCCCAAAATCTCAAGTCGCTCACCTTTGTGATTTCCTTTGCAAGGTCGTCCTGGTCATAAGGAACGTCCGTCACTTTCCTCGTACTCGCAAACCCAATCTCTATATCCATAGAACCAATGTATGCCTGTCCACCCTGAGCGAATGGATCGTACAATTCTGCGCTCACTTGATCTGTCAACGCCACGCCCATCCATGACCTCTGAGGTTCTGAGAGACCGATGTTTCCGCGCGGAAACGCATCAAGTGGCCTCGCCGTCACAACGAACATGCCATTGATGATGATGAAGATGTCGGTGCCATCCGATGAAGGCGGGATATCCTGGGTTGAAACAGCGACCAGATTTCTAAAAGTGAATGTATTGTCAGGACTCTTCGCAGGTTGAAGTGTCAGGACATGGCCTCCTCTTGAACCACCTTTACTCGAGGTTCTCTGATGAGGCCGAGGTGATGATCGGAAACCAGGTTGTTGTTGTTGTCTGGGAGGAGGAGGGCCGGCATCGTAGCCACCGTTCATGTTCATGGGAGTATCGTAGGGACTTGGTCCGCCATAACCTGGACGGCCACCTCGCATGGCCGGTGGTTGCTGTTGACCGTAAGGGTCTCGAGGTGGTGGCTGAGGCCCATTGTTACCGAATAGACTGTTCTTGTTGAAAAATGACATCGCTTGGAAAACCAGAGAAGTTGCTGAGAAAGAAAACAGCAGGGAGACAGATTGTGATTATGGTCCGTACTGTTGTAATATGGCACAAGTTGCGTCTCACTTTCATTGTTTGTTCTGTTTGGCAACGGTGGCCGCTGCGCCCCCAAGTTTAGGCAGCCCCTCATACCTATTGGTCCCTAAAGACGCAGCGATCTGGCCGCTTTTATGCATGTTGCAGCCTTGCCTAAGATTCGTCAGCCTCATGCTCCTCCGTATCTAGGTACCCCAGGTACATCTGCCCCCGCAACATCACCGGCTTTAATTGATCTCCCTCAACGCTGACGATTCTGTGCGCGGTGAACAGCACCCGCCAATGCCTCTCCATCTTCTCGGAAAGAAATCATGGAACGTCTACAATCCCGCCAATATCGAAAGAGTTCGTCGAGATGAAGCCGAAGCAAAACGTCACGAAGAAGAACAAGAGGCGAGACAACGAGATGATGAATCCGATAACAGGCTGCGCCTCCTGCGCGGCGAGGCTTCTCTTCTGCAAGACCCCGGGTCTCGGATAGACCTACACTCCTCCTCCTCCCCCTCGTACAAGCGTAAACGCAAGCTTCCCGGGGAGGACGACACCGATCGAGATATTCGTCTGGCCAAGCAGCCCGACGTGAGGCGCATAGACAAGCTGGTTGATGCAAAGGGGAACTTCTCGCTGATTCCCGTGCCAGAATCCTCAAACAAGAAGGCGCGTGTAGATGAGGACCCTTTCACAGTTTACCTCTCACATGCTGCAGGTAAGGGTAAGAATTCGGGAGACAAGCCCTGGTATAGTAGCACACCTGGAGCCGAGGCGGGGCCGCCGACTCGAGACTCATGGGGCAACGACTCCCCTCGGCGGCAGGAGCGTGAAGCAGCGCGTGTTGCAGCGAATGATCCTCTGGCTGCGATGAAGAAGGGCGTGAAACAGCTCAGAGAAGCGGAGAGGCATAGAAAAGAATGGATGGATCAGCGGGAGCGAGATCTGAGAGAAGTTGAGGATCTCGCCAGGCAGAGGAGACGAGGGCGACGAAAGAGGGATGATCTCCAGAAAGATGACGATCTGGACAGTCTCGATGACTTTGATCTGGATCAAGGGTATCCAAAGGACAGCGGTCGTGATGACAACGACGATCATGGACCGAGACAGAGCCGTGAACACAAGCATCATCACCATCACCGACACCGCCGTCATCATCGTAGCCGTCTTGAGGTTGAGGACGACTATGATGCCCGAGAACGACCCAAAAGGGAGCGAGCTCGGATTGATCATGATCGCCGACGATCGTGAACCGGTTAGGATGAGCCCTCGTCCTGCCTGGAGCAGCACTCGCATAAAGCACAATCATATTCCCATGATCGCTCAAAGCGTCGAACAGAATGATCCATTGAAGCTCTACCGAAAGGAAATACACATTACGAATTAGTCTCGGTCAGTACAACAACAGCGAACACCCAGCGCCAGTTCCCCGCCCCATTCTGTCTCTTTTCTAAAGGATGTCTATACGAACACAACTCTCATTTCTCTTCATGCATCACCCAAACCCCAACGCCCTTTCTCAATCCTAAGGACTTCCAAATAACGATGCAAAGTCCGAATCTTTCGACTTGCCTCTCAAATTCCTGGGAGTAGGTTCATAGTCCAAGCCAGGCCCATCGATAGGTTTCGTTTTCCAGTCGTCCGAGCTGGGAGGCTCGATCGGCGAACGAGGAGATGCCCGTGTCCGTGGGCTTGACCGTGGCGACTTTCCACCACTACTTCCGCTGCCTCGCTTGCCTTTCTGACTATTAGGGGAAGGCTTCGCCTCATTACCCTTTCTTTTCTTCCCAGGGCTGCTCTTCACAGGCTCACCGTTCCCCTGACGCTTCCGTTTCTTGCTGGTGCTGCTGCTTTTCGCCGGCTCAACAATTCCATCGCGCCCACCTGCTTCGGCACGCGTTGGGACAAGTGTCAAGAGTGCCCGTCCCATGATCTGCGCCTCGGCATCTTCATGGTCGCGTAGGACCATGTCGACCTCAGCGGTCTGTCGACCATTTTGGCCGTGTTCCATACCACACCCGCTCAGGACGTAAGTTGGGAAATGGATAACGCAGCCATTGATGGTGGCGCGCACCTTAAGGGAAATTTGGCCCTTTTGAAGGGCGTCCTGAGCGATTTGGATACCGAATGCCCTGGACTGGCCGAACCCCTGAACCACAGGGAGCAATGGGCTTTGCGATGGCACGGCCGCTGCGGCTCGATCGGGGCTATCATGTTTGTGATCCTTCTCTTTGCCCTTGCCCTTGCCCGTCGGCTTGTTGTCATTGCGGCTGCCCTTGTTGTCATCATCAGCATCATCACTGTCATCGCCGTCGCCGTCATCGTCACCACCGTCACCTTTGCCAGTGGCAGTAACCGTGACATTAACGTTGGCGTTAGCGTTGGCACTGGCATCGTCGTCTTTCTCGCCAGAACCCACAATGTCGGCTCCAGCGTCATCCCCAATAGCACACCTCTCATACAAGAGCACATACGGACCCCAACGTTGATTTTGCAAGAATGCCTGCAAATCAGCCTCGGGCTTGACCCTTGCGTCATTGAGCTCGTGCCAGGTATCATCGATTCTGACGTCGGCAATGTAATGCCCAACATCCAAAATTCCGTAATGATTGATGATGCCGGTCAAGCGATACCTGGTAGACCCGCTGACCGCTACCTCCTCTTCGACACGATGTTCGATAAAGGATTTCAGGTCAAGATACTCGTCGAAGGCCACTGGCGTGTCATTCTTGGACGTCACCATGCCTGTCCCCGTACTGGTCCTCAGCATCTCGGATTTAAAGCGCTTGAGCTGGATGATCAACACTTCGGGCAGGACTTGAAACCGTCTCCACTGTGTGCTCTTTCTAGCAAGGATTGGCTCGAGCTCAGCCATGATCCTCTGGTATTCTTTCCTTCTTTCCTCCTTCCCGCCTCTCTTCTCCGCCTTGGCGAGGCGTTTGTCCTTCATGGCCTCCCACTCCGAATAGCAGACGCTGCATCTCTGACCATTTGTCAATGCCTTCATTTCTCCTTGGATGAGGTCTTCAATCTTTCTCGGGTCTGAGGACTTGGCCGCTGGTTGGCCGTCGTCGGCAGATTCGCCCAATGACACTATCCACCGCCAATCTGCGTCCGGGCGCTCGACACGGTATTTGGATCGGGCATCTTCGCCTTCCCGCAGACCACCGCACACAACGCAAAGACCTCGGGTTGTGTGTTCAAATCCGATTATTTCTTTGATACTAACGCTTTCCAAGAGACTCCGTTGTATGGGATCCAACCTGCATAATGGGAGGATCGATATTAGCAATTAGTCTTTCGGGTCTCGAGACCGCTCTGAGCAAGACGATCAACAACAAAGCGCCGGTCGGGACAAACGAACAGGCCGGTTGGAAACAAGGAAGAGGTACTTACGGTGGCACATTGCTCCCGGCGACCCCCTGGGCTTGAAGTTGGACAAACCTCTCCAGCTGCTGGGTGGCCAATTCCACGGACCATGCCAGGAACTCTATGGCATCTTGGTGTCCCTTGAATCTAGGTGCCCACCTATTCGTAACAACGCCGCTGCTGTCTTCCTTCTGCAACCACTTCCAGAGAACATCCATGGCCTTGTCGAGGTCCTTCTGGTCCAAGCTGCTATCACACCACACGGTATGCAGAGCATTCAATTCGCACCAGAAATCGGTGTAGAGGACGCGCTGTGGTTTCTTACCGGCCTTGGAGCCCTTTTTGGCGACGACACTGTCAATGGTCACCCCCCCGGCTTGGAGGTTCGGAATATAACGATGCTCAATCCACGACATGAGTTTACTGCTCGATAGCAACGTCACAATCAAGGCGTTGCGATAGCATTGGGTGCCGTTTTTGTTCTTGAAGCCGCGTGGATCGGGATGATATACAGTCTTGACTGCTGCCTTGATCGCCTCGGGGTCGGGGCGCACAGCTGCCTTGAATTCCGGCCCCGTTGAAAGAGTCGGACTCAAATCCTCGAGGTTGACTTGTGGTTCATCTAAGTCGCCGTTGTCCTTGGCGTCCCTGTTGTCTGATCCGGCTTTTGGACTAGGACCACTTGCCTTTGGACTTGGCGACTTTTCCGGGATGGGGTCCAAGGCCTTAGGACGTCCCCTTTTGCCTTTGCCACTTTTGGTAGTACCGACGGTGGCTGGCTTTGGTTCCGGCTCGCTGGATGCACCTCGTTTGGGCTGCCTCCTAGTCGGTTGTTCTGGCGCGAGTGGAGTGTTAGCTCTCGTCGACCTTGCCATTTTGATGTGGCTTTTTGAAAATCTGTTGGTGGTTTTCAATTTTTCTATGGGTGAACTATGGTGCAATTCGAACTGGTGAAGGGAAGAGAGGAAGAAAGAAGGATCCTTGAGGAAAGGGCCTTCGTACTGGGACAAGGGAATTCATATCCATCATATGTGTATGTTGAAAACAAGCAACGTCTTTTCATCAAGGACAAAGGAAGAAGGGGACAGTGACAACAACACAGGCAATCCATCCATCCATCTTGGGGAAAAACGATGTCAATGGGGCGGCCGCTTGCAGTCACCCATTGAAAAAGATTACCGCAGGGGGAACCCCGGGTGACAATGAATTGCTCGATGTCATTGTACTGGATTGGATTGGACTGGATCTTTGAATACATGTCTCCAATATCGCCGCGAACGGCCAACCGAGTCTTGAAATTTTTCCTTCTTCCGAGTATTCATGTTCACACACTGGCTCACACAATGAGAAGAGGGAGTGAAGAGGCTGTATGGTACTGGTATTGTGAGGAGAGAGTAGATCAGTTGAATTGATGATATTGTAGTCGGGGAGGGGAGGGCGGTCTGATCACGTGGCTACCTGCCTATTCGGTAGGTTGCTTGCTGTTGCATTCCTCAGCAAATCACCGTAAGTAAGGTATGGTGTTTGTTTACTACAGTATGTATGGAGTATAGAGGACCACTTTGAGAGAGGTTGGCAGGTCATCACCATACTCGTATACATTGTTTTATGGTAAGGGTAGAGAGGGGTAGAGGTATGCACAGAGTTGCCGGTAGGACCTTGATCATTCGGATACATTGACCACATTATGCATTAGGTGAGGTATCTACTACTCGTACTCATATGTACATTCGTGGGTTCGAGACTCATTGGCCCCGTCCATTCGCTTCAAAAAAAGATTCGAACTCAAAGAAATATCAACGAGAGGGTAGTGAGTGCATGAGAGCGAGAGAGACTTGTGTGTCTGTGGGTTTGTTCGATTGTCCTTTGTCTTCTGTGTCCGTATCTGTACTCGGATTTCCGTTTCCGTATGTAGACGTTTGCGTCCCCACTTTTCTCTCTTTTCCAGAATCCACCCTCTTTTTTCCCATTTCTTTTGTCTTCGTAGTAGTGATGTCGCATCGATCCCCGGAATCCGGGGGTCCAGGAACTCTGGCCTAGGCGGATGCAGAAGTGTGAGAACGTGGGTTGCTACCACTTACGGTGGCGGCGTTACCAAAGAATTGTCTCCAATCCTCTGAATTTTTGGTGTTGTGGTTGGTGCCGCCGCCACCCGGAGTAAAGATGGCAGGCGAATTCGATCTCGCCGTGAATCTTGGTGAAGGTAGGATAGGTTTTTCACTTGTTGGTGGTACGGGTGGTGGTGGTGATGATGATGATGCCGACACCGGTGGTACCTCCTTTCCCGTCGTCGACTCGCCTTCCTTTCCGGTGATGTTCCTTTCAACTCGGTCGATGCGTTTGCGTAAACGAAAGAAGAAGAAAACCGCAACAAACAAAGCAATGGCACCCAAAATTATTCCAATTGCTATGCCCGCTTTTGTTCCAGAACTCAAACCGGTCGATGAGGAGGATGTGTTTGGGTCTGAACCCGCACCACTCAAAACTCCCGTGTTTGTCGATGTCGAAGATGACAAAGAGGTTGTCACCGTTTGCGAACCACCGCCGCCACCACTTTTGTTACTGATGTTATCCGACGCATTCGTCGCACTGCCTGTTGCAGCTGCTCCTTTCTTTGTGTTCGTCGTTTGTGGATTTCCTGCTCCTGTCGTGGTCAAACTCAACCCAAAGGTCGAAGCAACTCCGTTCGTCTTTGTCATGACGAAACCTCCTCCGGTTGTAGATTCTGATTTATCCGATTCATCATAGATCAACATTCCGCAACTGACAGGAAATTGAGAAATTTCCATCCCGGCTTGTATGGGTGAAATGACACATGTACCACTTGGTTCTGCTGTAAATTTTTGAAAACACAAAGAAAGTTAGTCAACCGTTAAAATCGTTAATCATCATACTCGGATTCTGCAGGAGGAAGCAATGACAAAAAAACATACGCAACGGTATATTTGCCAAAGCCCATTTATTCTCGGCCTCATCAACACCACAAAATAACGTCAAATTCGCATTTTCCCATATCGTATCGTACGTGACTTGGACCGTATCTATATTGTTCATCGTCGGTTGTCCTGTAGGATATAGAATTATCGCTGGGTAGTCATCGCCCGCGGCAGAGGCACCGGCGTTCGTAGGATCAGATGTTGCCGCCGTAGCCGGTACCGTTGTCGCCGTCGTCTGCATCGCATCGGTGGCTAACGCGGATGATTCCGGCGGCGGTGGAGGTGCTTCGACAAACGCCGTAGGTCGGGTGGGATGATTGAAAGCAGCTGCATGCCTGGCATGATGAATAACCAAGTTCTGACTTGGGAACATCAAATCCGACAAGACAGGGACGAAGCGCGAAAAAGGCGTGATGTGATTGTCCGGCGTCTCACAACAGCTATCCTTTACTCGGCGTATCGAAACAGACCATCAACATGACAGATACCTCGTTCGCACAGAGTAAAATCAATCTCGGAGGATCTGTCAGACGGTTCTTGTTCGCAAGTTTCGTCGATGGTGGTGTTGGTACTCGATACAAAACTTGTGTCGAAAAACCAAAAAAAGAGCCTCAACGGAGTACCATGCAGATCAGACGCAGACAGGGGGGCGAGGAGGGAGGGGTGGAAGGGAACCAACCCTAGCTTGCCGTTTACCGAGGAACAAGGTCATTGTACGTGTCTCGTAGCAAGCCATCGTGCCATTCTCTAAACAGTGACTAGGGCACGAAACAATCCAGTGGTCGACGATGTGAGAATTGGCGAGATTGCAATGTTCAGAAAGTGGAGTCAAAAGATTCAGCCATGAGAAAAAAGAGTATTCGACACCTACCAGATCAAACTTCCGTAAGGTCAGTCGCAAAGTAAAAGATTGCCCAAGCCAAGCGGCTTTGCTCTCTGGACTTTGAACCGTAATCACTCGTGTGCGTGACATTGAACAGAGTACAAAAAATACAATATAGATAAATATAATGGACTGAAGAGTGAGCGACCGAAATCGATCAAGTCGAAAGCCTCGGTGGAGTCTCATCCAAGACAACATCAAGCCCAACGAGGTTTAAGCCGCCACAGCATGGCTTTCTAGGCCCAAAGGTTCATAGATTACTCGTATCAGACACTCCAGCCAGGAATGACCAAGAGCGCAAAAGATTCAATTTCGCTGTTGTCAAGCAAAGACGACTGCGCGGTCTTATAACAATGCCGTGCTATACCGTTGAAACTTCAAAATCCGCTGGTTCGCCAGCCTTGTGCCGTTGTACCTATAGTCCCAATACTACCCTCGCGTCGCACACCTTCACCATCAAGGTTGAGCTTACTCAAAACCTCGGTCGGCACTGTGGGAATATATTTTCTCGCTCTTTCTCTGTTGACTCCGCCAATGCCTGCCCCATAAGTGATTAGCATGTCCGTCGATGTAGGTAGCGAGAATGGGAGCATGAGAGATTGATCCAAGGTCAACGCATTTCGGTTTGGTGGCGGATCTGTATCTTGTTCAACTGGTGAAGATGATGTTGGCGGAGGAAGTGCACTTTGCGGAGTCTCGGGCAGTTTCGCAGCAGCCTCGTCTCCATTCTGCTTGGTAGGAGTTTCGGCTCCGGACCCTGGAGCGTCAACTTGGGGGGTCAATGGTCGTTTGATCAAAGACTGTTCACCCTTTTGAAGCTGAACAAGGAACTTCATGTGGGCTTTGGCCAGGCTCTTCTCACCCACTTCCGCTCGGTAGTTCTTTACAGCATGAATCAATTGCGTCGGACTGAGTCGTTGCAACTGAACAAGTGTGCCCACCAATGATTCATGATCGTCCCCGAGAGAGCTGAAGCATTGCAACCACTGGAGTAGCTGGATTATGGGAGCAAGATGGCGTCTAGCAGCATCGACTGTATTCTCACCAGTTGAAGTTGTAGACCCATTCTCATAATGCTCAGGTTGTCGATTATTCGCCCGAGCCCAGTCTTCAATGGCGGATACATTCATGCGGATTTGCATGGCTTTCGTTCTAGAGAGGTATTTTCTCGTGGTCATAACACGGTTGAAGAGTTCGGCCCCAATCCAATATATGAGTTGTGCGAGTATCTGAGAAGTGATGACTGAATGGACGTCGTATAGGTCAAGCACAAACAGCGTCGATGAGAGGAGTGACATTATATTACGAGGAGATGTTTGAGCTCGTCGCTTAGGAGATGGTGGACGAAACCGTTTTTCTGGGTCTTCCTCCTTCGTTTTCGGCTTCGACTTGAAAACTTTCCATTCTCCCTGGAATGCAACGTCTGATAAGCCGGGTATGGTCTCATGGTCAAGCATCGCCGTGTCGAGAACCTTGTTCATTCTTCTTTCAGCATCTCGGATTATGAGGATGAAAGTTTCATTGATCAATTCTGCCAGCTCCAGTTGATACTTGGATGTGACCTGAACAAGACCAGCATCTTTCTTAAGGTAATGCAGCAATAATGTCGCGTTGGAAATCCAGAATGCAAGCATGGTCATATCCCATTGAGATCTCTCAATGACATCGTTGATAAGATCCATTGCTTTCGTCAAGACCTCATCGAGGAGAGAAGGAGTCATATGATAATGAGCATACCTCGCCATCAAGAATATCAGATTCGCAGGTACGGGTTTTTGTGATGGAGAACGTTGTGGAGTCATGTTGGTGATAATGAGGTCAAGAATAGCATCGAGCTTGTCTGTCTGAAAGACAAACATCTGGTCCCCTATACATCGATCCCATATGAACTCTTCCTCTTCATCCGAATCAAAACCAGTGGGAGACTAAGACGAGTCAGCATTCATAAGCATGCACGCCGCGGACTATCCTCACCTCTGGTTGTTCATCAAAGCCGAGAGTCGACAGGTCTACTTCCAGGTTGGCAGCGCTCTCTTGCATCAGCATTCGCCTTTTCATCTCGTTTTCGGCCATTTCCTCTTCAAAACGATCTTGTGAGAAGCCTGCATTATAGAAGTCGTCGTCTAGGTTTGTGCCGCCAAAATGATAGCCATTTTCGTGCAAATAGTGGGAGAAGTCGGAGCCTGGCTGAACAAAGTCTAGAGCTGTGCCTCCGGACGAAGACTTTATATCGGGATCAGCTCCATGATCCAGTAGGAGTTTTGCGATTTGTTTGTGACGATTGGTCATTGCCCACATCAATGCGCTCCACTGGTTTCTGTCTTGCTTGTCCACCACGGCACCAGCGTCGAGAAGTGCTGCTACAACTTCATGATGTCCCTATGTCTGTCAGAATGACTTCTTCCCTAGCAGTCTGGTTAGGACACCTACGAAACAGCTGGCGTATATCAAAGGCACGGTGCCGTCCTCGTCCGGCTGGTTGACATCCACGTACTCTTTCGCGCTTCCTCCCACAAGCTTCCGTATTCGAACCACATCCCCGTTGCTCGCGGCCATGTTAAGACTCTTCTGCAATATCTCTTTCTTTTCTGCAGGCGATAAATTGTCGTCTGTTGCAATGGCATCTTCATCTTGTCCAGGACTTCCATCCTCCCTATGTTGTGCCTGTGCCGCAACCATCTCCATTAATCTCGAGTCGCTGTCCTGTAGTCGGGCGTAGGTTTCGGCGTCATCATACGCCGGGGTGTCTAGATGGAGGTCGAAATCAAGAGGTCTTGCAGGAGTAGGGGCCGTAATATACTGAGACGAGCCTATAAATGCGCATATATGAGTATTCGTCACGGTGTACGAGGGCACGAGACCCGGGGGAGGAGGGGGGATTTCCTTGCCTTGCCAGCCATCGTATATCTCAGTCTCCCCGCCATAACTGGAGAAGTTACGACGGTCATCGAGGGAAGTAGGTAGATCGCTTGGCAGCTTCCGCGCCGAAGTAGGTGTGGTGGGAGTGTGAGGTAGTGAGTCGACTGTCGGCGACGTGGGATCTATCGAGTCCATCCTGTCGACTGCGCGGGGGATTTGTTGAGGGAGAGTCCCGTCTCATGTCGAAGGATGGCGATGTTGGGCTAACATAGGCAGCATCTGAGTAAAGGGCCCGTTGTTCAGCGCGAATACATGTCTACGAGTACCAAGGGGACAATCTGCTCCCAGGTAAATCTGTCAAGTATCAAGTTAGACGTGGAATCTTCGTGTCGGTCTCAGGAAAGGCACATCCCGCTGTCAACATCTGTCCCGCCGCTTTAAGACTCCACACAGAACGCGTAGTTTCTCCCGGCATGAAGACTTCTTCTTCGTCTCGACAACTTGATTTATTTCCCTGTCATCGACCACATTACTATGGCCACGATGGCGCTGTCAGGTCATTGCTATCTTCAAACGCCTCCCAGTCAAAGGACAACTCATCAAAATCGGCAAACGAGAAAGCGGTGCTGCCTTCGTATGTCTCGACACCTACGCCAGTGGAATTCTGTTGTATTTGAAGCTGGTCCTGCTGTGTCCAATCCTGTGGTATCAATGTCGTACTTCCCATCCCGGGCTGATGTGCATATGCCGATATGCCGTCTAGCATCTGCCCCGGGCGTTGGTGAAGATACGCAGGCTCATAAAAACCTGATGTGTCTGGGCCTCCAGCATATTCGATGAGAGCCTGACCAGAAGAGTCTCTTCGTAAACTGGGTTCTGCAAAGCTGCTCTTGTTGAGATCAGCAAGCGCTTTGAAAGCCACGATGTCAAAAGCATCGCGTTTCCCTTTGAAGTCTGGAAAGTGCTCGACCATTCCCCATAGCACAGAAGAGCATGTGTGAACCAGGGTCTCGAGCTCATGCATGGTGATGTGGTCTCGGACTTGTTTCGAATTAACGTAGCTATAAAGCAGGGCTGTGCCTGCCGAGAACAAATTTTCCACCGCTTGCCAATATATGGTCAATCTGTGTTCGGTGAAGAATCGACGATACAGCTGGATCATTTTGGATGCTGCTTCGGCCAAAGACATTAATGATGCCTCTTTCGGCGTCGGAATGTTGGCCGACGGGTGATATAGATAGAGCAGTGCTCGATAATAGGTAAGTTCAAAATTCTCCACGTTCTTACGTTCACCATCTGTCAAGTTATGCTTGCGAGGCGTCTCATCATACCAGGCCTGGATACGAGATCGCATATCCTGTTGCCATCGGTCTAGATCAACCGGTCCGCAAGCCACTGGCGCTCGCTCATACAACGTGGTCCGCATCTCCGATTGAATTTGACGGTACCGTAGCACGTGGTAATTGACACGCTTGGGTCGGGGATGAAAGGCATCACTTGGGATGACCCCATCGGCCGTGATGAACTCATCATTCTCGATGCTTGGAAACTGAGAGATGTCAATGGCTGAGTCTGACAGGAGAGTCTCGTGTGTACCTTCGTAGTAATGGCTCCATCCGCGAGACAAGAAGGCAATCCCAGTGCGATCGAAATGTTTCTGTCCATGGCATAGGCCACCCAGAACGCCCGCCTTCTGGCATCGACCGTCAAGAAATCCATTGGCTCCGGCGTCATGTCTCGATGCAGGCCTAATTCCACCGCCAAACGCAGTGCGGCACCTACAGTCTTCCAAACAGCCCATACAGTGGGATGATGATAAAAATATTGTGCAATAAGGAGCAGTGCTTGAACCCCTTCGAGATCACTGGGCAGTCCAGCTTTTAGCAGCGCTTTGAGCGACATACGATGGTACCTGTCTGCGAGGGATGTGGGTATTCTTGATGGGTCTTGCTTTTGCAGTGTCAATAGGGCAACGGAGAGCACTCCAAATACGAAGAATACCGCCCTCTTGGCCTCGGTGCTGTTGTGGGTACCGGCAAGGTCAATGACCGGCGACATCTTGTACAAGAGTTCCAGCTTGTGGTTGAAGGTCGGTTCATGCAGTAGAGGCATGCTCATATTCGCGAAATGAAAGTAAGCCTTGACGAGGCTCCGCACACCTTGTCTGGTGGGAAGAGACACTGGAGAAGCGTCGAAGTCTTCCACCATGCCGGATACACTGGAATTACCATTGTCTTCACGTTCCGTACGCGGCTTTGCGAATATATGCTGGGATGTTTTTGCCCTTATGAGTTCGGACAAAAGTATCTGAGAAAATGCTGCTTCGTATGTGGCACCACGCTGTGTCAGACTCAATATCGGACGGATTGTCCTGTTGTCTGCATTATCAGTGCTACCTTCGTCAATAGTCAAACTGAAATGATTGCTCAATTCATTTGGTGACGCCGTTCCCACATTCGCTTGGAAAGATACTGGTGCCGGCGAAATTGTTGGCCGCGGCGTGGGCTCAAGCTCATGACCGAGACCATGTTCTTGTAACTTCATCTCGAGATACGCCACGCGTTCCTCCAAGCTCTGTACGTAGCTATTTTCAGTATCTCTGTCAGTGTTTGTCCGATGCGAAAAAGCGTATCTTGATCCCGACCTTCTAGGTACATTCCTTTTGGCAACGGAATCGTAGCCCACGCATTCCTCGCCGGCCGCCTCGCATAGGCCACATTTCTTTAGAGGCATCTCATCTTAGCAAGAGATCTCGTGTGTTCACAACGAACGAGCCAAGTGGACGCTTCTTGTAGCACTCACCGGGTGCCGCTGATCACATCTCTTTTTCTTGCGCCGGCATCTCATGCATGCCGTAATGTTCGACCTTGCCATGGAAGGACCCCTGCCATGTTTACTAAGCCCGCCGTGATCTACGCGATCTACAGAAGGACTCATGGATTGACTTGCTGAGATGCCGCAGATTGATGGAAGAAGGGGAGATCGTGGGACAACATAGTGTCCGATATCTCGGGTACATTGATTTTGTGGGTAAGTGGGGTTGTTGGATTTTGGCCTGGGGCAGTTGATAACATACCCTGAGACATCATTGTCACCCCCATAGACATGTCTTATGATCCACGGGACACAAGGCTCAATGCAATTGCAGTGGTTTTATTTCTATCTAGTACAAGACTCATCCAAGTCGATGCGACTATACGAGCAACATCATCGACACATCGAACTATTCGTTAGAGTCGATGCCGGACTACTCCTGCCAATTCTTGTGGTTCTCCATCCATTCTAGGGCTACTTGAGTCTTTGCCATCCGACACCCTATGGAAAGCCCATTTGTCAGCCAACTCTTGAGACAATTTTCCTTCCACCGAGTCCACAATGTAATCACCAAGAATGGGCAGAAATTTCCACGCATGAGCCGACCCTCCAGTCGCCAGATGGATTCCTTGGACAGAGGGATGAGGAGCGATTAAGAAATCAGCGGTAGGGGTGGTACTAATCCTGTCATGACAGTCAGAGCGTGTCCAGAAGGGGCGGTACGGTTCAAAAACTTACCAGCATATCTTGGTCCTGTCAAACGGTCTAGCTGCCAAAGGTGGCATGATCTCCCTCAGATTCTCACGCATTGCGGCTTCAGCATCGGCGGGAATGACATCTGAGGGATTGCTGACGATTGTCCGAGGGTAACAAATCTTCAACTCCTTCGATTCGTCCTCTGGATGCGGCACCACGACTGTATTCTTGTAGCCCGGTGATCGTCTGAGGATCTTGATCTCACCATGGTACGGTGGGAACATGTTCAATCCCGTGCTGAGGTTGGTGGTGATGGACATGTTCTTCCAACGGGCTTCCTCCTCTGGCGTGACCTTGATCCAGGCCACCTCGTGTCCCACGGGTGTCTGACGACTACCCAGATCTACCAGTCGGTTTGACCAAGCACCAGCTGCAACAATGACGAGATCAGCTTTGAGTACAGTTCCATCCTCCAGTGTGACCCCTTGAGAGCGTCCGCCGCTGATATTGATATGGTCGACTGGCGTTCCACATTCGAACGTTATGGCAGGTTCATTTTGACACCGTTCATAGTATACTCTGATGGACTCCTTGGCGTCGATAAAGGCGGCTTCCAAATTGCAATAAGCCTTGTTCCAACGCGGCCGGCCTCCGAGCTTTGTCTCGGCGACTGGCTGAGATGTTTTGCCATGGATTCGCTGATAGACATCTTCTCGACAAGGCATCTCTACGATATCCTCGGGACGGCACAGACTCTTTGCCCGTGTCAGAGTCACCCGGTAGATATCGGTGAAACGACTTGGTTCTCCATCACAGACAAATGTCATGCCTTGCTGGAACATGTATCGACTGATTTCGGGATCTTCTTGTAGCTTGATCTGGGCCGTCTTTGCGAGTCGAGCATATATGGGATCAGTATAATCTGTCTCACGTATCAATACCGTCGGGTCAATTGCCTGGGTTATCTGAATCTCTCCTTACCTGATCGAATGCATCGAGTGGTGTCGACGCTCGTCCCGTCCGGAACTGGAGGAGTCAGTCGATCAACAACGGTGACTTTGGTTGATGGAGAGCGCCTTGTGATGGCAAGGGCTGTCGACAGGCCAAAGACGCCAGCCCCGATGATGAGAACTTTAGGGGGAAATCTGTTTTGACTTGACATTGTTGCCTTGGGTATTGCTGTTTCTAAAACGACGCGCAATTCCTGAGTCTTGTTGAACGACGGTAATTTAAGCGACCTTACTTCTATGTCTGCCAAGAACCTTCAACCCTTGGAGCTACTTGTATATGCCGACAAATATGTATAACTGAGAAGCGGCATTGGCCGCCATCGAGACGATCATTCATTCAAGTGAGGTGAGGACATAAGCCTCGATTGGCTGGCGGACGACGCCGCCTGAGTTCTGGAGACTCACGCGGGCAGTCTCAAGAGATGCCAGTACTGAATGATGTGTGGAGTAGGAATGAAAAGCCGGCAAACAAGAGGAAGATCATCATGCAAGGGAGAGGAAGAGAACTGAGGATGGGAAGAGGAAGAAAACCAAGTGTTGGTGTCGAGCGGAGGACCCTCCGAGCGGCGAAGACCGCAGCCAATCAAGTGGTTCACTTCTGCCCATTGATCTACACAAGTCGTGTTCGCGACTGTCCATCTTCTCCGTTCTACACAAATAGCATGAGGCCAGGGTGCCTCGCGTGGCATTATATATAATCATGGGCTCGGACTTCACTGTCCCCCACTGCCATGGCTTTCACATGTCGACCTTAAGCTCAAGATGATGAATCTGTCGAAATTCTTTCGACGCCCTGTTCCTCCAGTGCAGCAGGGGACCAGCCCAGCTGAACGAGGACTAGTGAGGCGACTCGATATGTTCTTGCTCACCTTTGGGTGTCTATCTCAAGGTATACGATCTTCAAATTCTGGTCGAATCGATGGTCTGACAATACGCAGTCATTAAGTATTTATCTACTGCTCCTATCATTGGTGTTTCCGATCCTAATTTGATGAGGTTCCTGGATCAATCAAACATCAACAATGCATATGTGTCTGGCATGAAGGAAGACTTGAAGTTGTACGGGAATGAGCTCAACTAGTTAGTTCTATTCAACATCTAGTCCAAACGCCGCTAACCTTCAATCCTCTGTAGCTTCACAACCTACTTCAACATTGGCTATTGCATCATGCTCATCCCATCTCAAGTCATTTTGACCTATGTCCGTCCAAGTTACTGGCTTCCTGGACTAGAGATTGCCTGGGGAATACTTACCGGCCTCATCGCAACAGTCAACAGTGCGCGACAAGTGTATGCCATTCGGGCATTTCTTGGTCTGTGTGAAAGCAGTGCCTGGCCAGGCATGATGACTCTGCTCAGTAGGTTTCTGGTCGCATCTTATACCCTTCACAGACCACTGTCAAGTGTAAGCCCAAACTGACACCTGCTTCAGTGCATTGGTACACACCTCTCGAACTTGCCAAGCGGATGGGATTCTATCATTCGTGTCAGGCTATCGGGAGCATGATGTCTGGAGCCATTCAGGCGGCGATCAGCAGTACACTGGAAGGGCATAGTGGAATCGCTGGATGGAGGTGTGACATATCCCTCCAAGTATTCATCCTCCCAGGGGTATCATTGCTGACACCTGATCAGATGGCTCTTCATCATCAATGCGATCATCACAGTTGTTTGGGGGTTTGCTGGATTCTTTATGCTCCCCGACTATCCCAACAACCCAAACCCAAGAGCGTTTTGGTTTAACAATAACCATGCTGAGATTGCCATGCATAGACTGGCTCGACATGGACGAGCAGAGCCAAAGGCTGTATCGTGGGCAGGAGCCAAGTATGACACGATTTTATCATCAATCATGTGCTGCGACCCACTGACATTTTTCCAGGCGTACGTTTTCCACCTGGGTGACCTATTTCTTCGCGGTGCTTTATATATGTACTGTGATCGGAAATTATGGATACACCTTCTTCGGATTGTTTCTCAAGAGTCTGAAAAACGCCGACGGCACAAGGACCTGGACAACCCCTCAAGTCAACGCGATCCCCATCGGAGGCAGTGCGATACAAGTTGTCTTTGTCTGGATCTGGGCTTTTATTTCAGATCGTTTACAAGCTAGGTGGCCTTTGATCATTGTTCAGGTCTCAATTGCTCTCATACCCGGCATCATTATGAGCATTTGGACTCGACATCCTGAAGCAGTTGGTTTGGCCGCGGCTTACAGCAGTTACTTCCTCAATTATATGGTGCTAGGTACAGCACCACTCATTTTCGCATGGCTCGCAGACATGTAAGTCCGTCAGTTCTATCGTCGCTTGTCACCTTGCTTACACTTTCCAGCCTTCCACAAGATTCCGAAGCTCGACCACTCATGGTTGGTGCTGCTATTGCAGGAGATTATGCCATTGCCGCTTGGTCCAATGTTTTGATGTGGCCCGCCGATCAAGCACCATACTGTATGACTATGAGGATTTTATTGAATCATAAAGACTCCACACACTAACGACAACAATTTAGATCGATATGGTTGGGAATCCGCAATTGCTCTTTTAACCACCGCCATCATCATGGTATGTGTATTACGATGGATTGATGGAAAGTATTTGCGGTAGGTTGAAACTTTTTCCAATTCTTGGTCTCCCAAATATCTAATCTGGAGTGTGTGTGTTTGTGAATTTTAGTGAACGAAGAGCAGAATACATTGCTTCTCTGGAAGGAGAAAACGACGTCGTGGTGGTTGGAACAAGCGAACTCGGTGGTGTCGATACCAGAGATGATGACACCAAAAGTGTCTCGAGTGTTGGAAAACAAGCATTGGAAACATCACAATTTGATGCAGTCAACATTGACTCGAAGGGGTGACTTGAAAGAATTCTCCGTATCGTGCAGCAGATTTGTAGTCAACACTATAACAACTGTATGAAGGGGGGAAATATCCATGTACTTCCCCGCGAAATCAAGCCGCGGGTCCGGGATTCTGTGGGGTTATCAGCTGTGACACTTTCCTTGCACAGTAATGAAATTGCCTGTTACGGAAGAGCTCAATTTTTCGAGCCCCAACGAGGTGTCCTTTGTGCTGATGGGTTGTCAGTTGTGACACTTGCACTTTCCTTGTACAGTAATGAAGTTGCCTATTACGGCACTTTTCAGTTTTTCGAGCCCCAACGAGGGGCTTTTGTGCTTTTTCTTCGATTCGGTGAAGTTACATGCGGTTAGGCCCCCCCCGGATCGTCATCGCTAATCTGTAGATCCGGAGATTAAAGCCATGCGTTCTACTTTCTGCGGTCCGCTCTGATGATGATAGGCGAGAATCCACGTCTGATCATACTTGAAGTACAGGGTTAACTTAGTTAACACAAGTTCACCATTGCGGTGGTGGGCCTTGAGGGTTGTACTCGTACGCAAGGCTGACTCGGATTATGGGGGCGAAAAAACCATTGCCCTCCCGCCAAATTTGCGCAAAGTGCCCCAGTCCACAGTTCATGATCCCAAGATACTCTTCATGACATGGACCAGCTTGTCAGAGACATTATTTGCCATCTTCAAACTCCTCCACGCCACGAAATTGTCAGGTCGCACAAGCACGCATCCATCCTCTTCGACTTCTCGAAGCTTGTACCAGTCACCATAAACCGCCTCGTACTCGAGCCCGTAACCGATGAAGAAAACCGCAATCTCGAGATTCAACGTTTTCTTCACATGTTTCGCGGCCGTCCTCCAAGCATCACCGCCGTGACCTGTGAAAAGGACGAATCGTCCTTTTCCAGCCAGATCAAGCGTGGACAGCTGCGTCGCAGTAGGGACGGCGGTGTTGAGCCACGCGTGAGGCAATCGACAGCCCGGGTACGTGTGTGGCTCGTGATACAGTACCGCATCGGCGGGAAGTTGTGGTGGAGAATCTCCAGCATCTCGAAAAATTGCCGACGATTCATACCGCTGGCCCATGTCCGAACCTTGGGCCAAAAATTCATGACATGCAGCTCTCATACCATCCGTAAGTGCTTTGCGTCTTTCGCGTCCTCGATCCGAAACTTCATCGAGTTTAGCTAGATCTTTGATCCGGTCTTCCACAGAAGGATGGAGGAAACCAAGAGCTTCAAAGACTGGAAAATGTTCACGCAAGGAAGCATTCGCTCTACAGTCAGTAGAGAAGGCCCACCATTAGTACCTAGCTTCAGTATTTGGGTTTGTGAAGTAGTAACAACTCACCTTTGTACAACACCTGCTCCAACAGCTTGTCGCTCTGTACTATATGTGTTCAAGAGTGATGGGGTTGCGACGCCTGTCATTCCCCGATGGTCAATTAGCGTTGTCGGCTCATCACATAGAAGAGAAAAGCACTGACCTTTTTCAACCAGGGCAATTTTCCAAGCAAGATTCGCAGCATCTTGTATACAGGTGTTCGAACCAAGTCCATTCATAGGTGGATGTCGATGTACAGCATCCCCAAGACAATGGCTGTTTTTTGTCATCAAAGCAACAAGTATTAGCATCCGCCCCCCTTTTTCTCTTTCATCGCCTGGTAATAGGATTTGAACTTACACTCGACCTTTGGAGTATTTTTCTGCAACTGTCTCGTTGATGATCCATTTATCGACACGCAGTATGTCGACCGCGATGGAAGGATCTCCCATGACTTTCTTGACCTGATCCATCACCTGATCTCGGGACGGCATGAATTCAGCTGGACATCCAGGCTTGAACATCATGATGACCAGCCACTCGTACCACGGCTTGACCATGCGCACGATCGACCAACCTGCGAAATCGGGCATTTCAGCGTCAGGTTGGATCACGTAGTGCAGATTCCCCGTCCTCGTCTTCATGAGATTCGACAGGTCCGCACGGAGGAGAACGTTCAATGCAATCCCCTGGCTCGGCTCGACTTGCATGGGCAACTGAAGTTGTTTGACCACGACGCTGTTGGCCCCATCTGCGCCGTAGAGATACTTTGCTTTGATTCGGTGGGTTGTTTTGAAGATACGGTCCTCGACTTCGGCCATGACAAAATTTGGGTCTGAATCGTCAAACGACACAAGACGGGTCCCGAAACGACACGGGAAGCCATGTTGCGTCGCGTATCTGAGGAGGACCGGTTCGGCAAGGGTTTGCGGTAGTTCGACGTGTACGCAGGGGCTGCAGCGTTCAAAGTCACCCTTTTCACAGACTCGGGGTCAGCATCGTACCATTTTGTACCAGTGTTGGTACGTGATTGCTAGGCAAGTACTCACAGCACGTTCTGGTCCTGTTCCCCAAGAATGGATGCGACCAAACTCTCTCCCTGCCATTGTGCTGCACCATCTGGTATGGCTCTTTTCGGGCCCAGTGTATCCAAGTTTCATGATTTCCTTTTCCACATCAGGGTCCAAATCTCGAAGACATTCTGGTTGATCATGGGCATGTCAGCATTAGGGTCCATGGCCATTTGAAAGATCCACGCTTCGCATCTCGACTCACCCATGGCTGGTTGGTTAATGATATGTGCTCTCGGTGTATGTGCTGAAGTCGGAGCACTACTGATGATCAAACCTTTGAGACCTTTTTTCCTCTCTCTCTCTTCAGTTACTGTTCTCGAACCGACTCTTGTGGGAATTTTTACCTTGTTTCCCCAAAAAGCAAGCCAATGATGCTCCTGCCGGACCAGCCCCGACGATGAGATGGTCGACTTCCAGCACATTAGAAGCCATGATTTGAGATCGACAATCTGTAATTGACAGAATCGACTTTTTTCGGCCACCAGAGGAGATTTCTCAGCTTCGCTTATGTCAAAGAGATGATGGCGAAGTCTTTGTGTTTAAGTTCTCAATTTGTAAACCAGAAGAGACAGGTTACACTCGTTCAACCCCCCTTCCCCCTGGAAATGGAAGTAAAAGGCTCACACGTACAACTTATTTGTTCCCTCGTAAGGCTGATGTCGGGTCATGTACCTTTTGTATACTAGGCAACTTGAGTCAGCGTTTGCGATCCTTCAGCTGAAACAAAGTCCTGTCTTGATACGAACCTCAAGAGACAGGCTTACATGTACACAGTATGTTGATCTTGATCAGCACAGCCTAGCGTGCCCCGTGGAGTAAGGTGGCGTTAAAAGCCCATGATGGTCGGAATGATCCGATACTCGTATCCTCCTCTGCTGGTCAGGTACCTAGAATGAGGCAAGGTCCAACAGACGGGGCACGGTAATACCAGTACGTTATCCGCTCACATGTGCCGGATTATTAAACCATTGTTCATGGAACCAAATTCTGGGGTTACTCCGCCATGAATTGAAGGCGCTCATTGTAAATTTAGTCATCATGGCTGTACAAGGTAGCGGGAAGGGTTCCGTCTTCCCTTCGGGACCCCATTTTCAGCCTTTGGACCAGGATTACGGAATCAAGAAAACCTGTGAAGTCGTGTAGAGTATAAGTTTATGGAGACTCGCTCATGGTAATGTGAACTGTAAAGGAAGTGGACACAAGTCGATCCACATTAAATCGATGCAAATTGGTCTTTTTATAACACGGAAAGGAATTGTTGATCGTTTGCATACGTTGCCATTGTCGAAATCAATGCAATCATCGTAAAGGGGGGTCCGCAAAGTGTCGCGGAAGAAAAATCACAATGTCGAAAGAAAATAGCAAACTTCAAGATCTCACTGCAGAAAACCTAACTCGGCACGTCATCAAGACGTGTACCTCGAACGTTTCGAATGAGAGAACCACAGAGTTGATATCAGGATTGATTCAACATTTACACGACTATGTACGGGAAGTTCAATTGAAGCCTGGAGAGTGGGAGGCAGGATGGCAATATCTCACCGAGGTGGGTACCGAAGTCTACAATTGCTCCTTACAGTACGGAACAGCAAGCTACAACTTTGACACTGTTTAGACAGGACAATTCTGTACACCAGACAGGCAGGAGATGGTCTTGTTGTCCGACGTCCTCGGCATCTCCGCTCTCGTGGACACGATCAATTCGGCGCAAGCAAGGTCGAGCATCGCCACCGAATCTTCGGTCTTGGGACCGTTTCACAACGACGCCGACGTCTTGGAGAACGGGGCGTCGATCGGGTCCGAAGGTGTCATCGGTGAACCGATGCTGATTCACGGCACGGTCAAATCTACGGACGGGGAACCGATCCAAGGAGCGACGGTCGACGTGTGGGAGACCAACGGTAACGGATTTTACGACATGCAAGACCCGAATCGAGACGGACCCGACTGTCGTGGCATCTTCCGTACCGACGAGCAAGGTCGATATTACCTTTTGGGGGTGAAGAGTGTGGATTACAACATCCCCAATGAAGGTCCCGTCGGAAAGTTGTTGAAGATATTGGATAGGAATGTCACTCGCCCGGCGCATGTGGTAAGTTCCCCCTCGAAAAAAAGAAAAACCTGGACATTTTGCGATGCGAGAGGGGGTGTCGACAATGGATCTATGCTGACTCTGGTTTCTTCCTGCAGCACTTCCAGTTACGACATCCCGATTACCTCGATCTGACCACGGCCTTGTACTCTTCGGAAAGCGATCATATCACGACGGACCCAGTGTTTGGAGTCAAGACTTCCCTTGTCAAAGACTTTCAAAAATTCGATCGACTACCGGAAAAGGTTTTGGGTTATGATCTTCGCTCGTCTCCCCTTGCGCAACCGGAATCTGTGGCCAAGAATGGTATATGGTCATTGGAACATGACTTTGTGCTTCTGCGGAAATGAAACACCCTCGCAACGTTCAAACACCCTTTTTGTTTTCAGATTGAACCCGGCATCTTTTCCCCAAAACTCTGGAAAAGGAACTATCAGTTCTCCTTTTGGTTCATATGGATCTGGTTCGCGGTATATGAAGTCACCGGATTAGGGCAAATCTTCCGGACTTACCTTTGTCTTGTACTGTACGGCACCTTCGAGAGGTTTCTCCCATGTCTGTCGACCTCCTGCAAAGCTTTCCCATTCTGGATTCGGAATTTGGGGATACTACTCAAAGAGTTACCCAAGATTAGTATGGATGTCACCGGTGTCATGGTAGATGTGCTCGTCGTCACACAATGAAGATGTCTGCTGGGTTGGAATGACTGATATGATCGTCACATACAATACCTAATTTGAGGACAACCTTCCCGCTGTAAAGAGGTGTTATGCTCATGATGGGTACTCCGCACGTTTGACAAAAATATCTTGATGTTATCATGTTACAAGTAAGCATATCAGCCGATACGGTAGACGTTGTGATCTCTCATTGAAAAGATCGACCTTGGGGCGCAACGCACCTTGACACGGGGGTCCCGCTTAGTGTCTCTGGATCCTGTCTGCAAGTCAACATCAAGTCTCTTGTTGGAACAGCAGAATGTATTGGCCTAAACAAATTGTACAAAACTCACATCGTATTTCTTGAGGTTGTCTTTGCCCTTTGGAAACTCGACTTTGTCCGATTCAATGATCAAATTACATCCGAATCTAGCAGACCGCGTTCGTGAGTATTATACTGCGATAGAACAGTCTCGCCAGGTTTCAAGATGTAGAAGTATTTTCGGCCGGGTCAACCATTTAGAGGGGGCCAACTTACACCCCACCAGCGACCTTGCGACAATTGGAACAGTGACACAAGTGTCCTCTTCTCTTGTCGCCGAATAAGTTATCATCGTTGACTTTGACTTGAACAGCTAACATCATAGAAATATCATTTCAGCAACTCCATTCAAATGATTTTCGTGGAGTTGTGGGTGGACACAAGGGGGCTCAACACTGTGGTCGAGTCATACCTTTGCAAAGACACTGTCCTTCCATTGTTGAATTTATTGATGTTCTATGATCCTGTGACCTGCCACTCTATGATGAAGGAAAAAAAGACGACAAGACTCAAGAAAAGTGTACGATTCAATTCAATCAATCAAGAGGATGTCTCATTCGAGTACAAATTTGGTCTCAATGACAACAATCGTCGTCGTTGACTTTCTGATCGTGCGGGGCGACGACGAGACGATGATGACCGATTCCGATTCCGGGGTCCAATTTGACGAACTCTTTACCGGCTTTCGACTGATTTCACGGCTATCAAAAGGTCTCCAAGTCAGCAGTAAGCCTTTCTGCCAACTATCTACTCGTGCAACAACACACAAGTACTCACAGAAGGTCCCCGGTCAATGTCCGAGGTGTTAGGTAATGGATGCCCGTGAACCCATCCACGATGTACGAAATCAACCCGCGGCAAATGGTGACGGCATCGTGAAGGATGTACGGACTTTCACTCATCAAGGACAAAAACCCACAGATGATTCGCTTGCACGCTTACGACGGCTCCAGCTTCTTCGACTCCGCAATTCTGTGCACAGGTTCATGATGATGAGCCAATCTTCAACTTCCGGAGTAAGAAAGATTTTGTTGACATTTTTATAACACCAGAGTTCTTGTACACAAATTGCTTTGTTTCTGCATCTTCGTGCCTGTCCGTCACCTCAAATCGCACTATCTCGAGAGCAAGGGTGAATCGGCACGATCGACTTACGATAGTTGATGGTATTGGGGTATGACGGTTGGCTGTCGAAATTTGTGATTGATTGAGAATTTTTTGAACCCATGAAAAATGTCGCCACACGGCTCACGACGTTGAACCATCGGGAAGAATCACCAAACATTATGGAGCACCCGTCAGCTTCAAACATGAACATTGAAGGCGTCGACGATGAAACCAAACAAAATGTCGACGACAGATTTATTGCCAACCACCAGTACACTTCTTCTTTTCCTCCTCCTCCTGAAGGAGAAGAAAAGGTCGAAATCGGACAGAATCCTCCTAGCCCTCCAACATCTACAGAGTTCATTCCACCCAATGGTGGTCTCGAAGCATGGCTTTTGGTCGTGGCATTGTTCTTGATTTTTGCTAATACCTGGTAAGAATTTTCTTTTGCCGTCCGTCCTTTTGCTACTCGCATAATCCTTCGCGAGGGAACCGCCCTGACAGTATTTTGTCGCAGGGGTACAACGTCAACGTTTGGTGCTTTCCAAGCGTTCTATATCCGCGATTTACTATCCACCGAGTCGACGTCCGCCATATCGTGGATCGGAAGCGTCCAGGCGTTCCTCGTCGTCTTTATCGGTGTCTTTGCGGGTCCGTTATTCGACATGGGATGGATCAGGCCCATGGTGTTCTCTGGGTCGTTTCTCACCGTGTTTGGCATGTTCATGACCAGCGTTTCCCATTCCTACTACCAGGTCTTTTTGGCCCAGGGGGTCTGCGTCGGTTTTGGATCTGGCCTCACCTACGTCCCGACTTTGGCGATAGTGTCCAAATACTTTACGACCCGACGACCCATTGCCATCGGCGCCGGGGCTGTGGGTTCCAGCGTTGGAGGTGTGGTCTTTCCAATCATGTTTCGACAACTCCAACCTCGAATCGGGTTCGGGTGGACGGTGAGGTCTCTGGCATTCATAAACCTGGCATTTGCCGTCGTCGCTTGCGTCATCCTTGGACGACATGCCGGCCAGAAGACACGACAGGCACGTTCGCTGGTCGACACGGCCGCGTTCCGATCCGCCGTCTTTGTCCAGTGGACTTTGGCCTTGTTCATGCTGTACCTGGCGTACTATGTCCCGTTGTTCTTCATCGTGTCGTACTCTCGGTACGGACTGGGGAGTGGCGAGGATTTTGCGTTTTACATGTTGGCCGTGTTGAACGGGAGCTCGACCGTCGGACGGACGGTACCATACCTGCTGGGACAAAAGGTCAAACCCATCTACACTCTTATTTTCTCTTCCCTCCTCGGGGTCATCCTGCTCTTCTCCTGGATCGCCGTCCACACGAGACCAGCATTCGTGGTGTGGTGCGTGCTGTGGGGGTTCGTGGCGGGCGTCCTGGTCACGGCACCCACCTCGACGGTCGCCCATCCTCTGTTGTCGCCCTCGTTGGACGTGGTCGGTACTAGACTCGGGATGAGTTGGTCCGCCGCATCAATTGGCACCGTCATCGGTGCACCCATAGCCGGAGTGTTGGTGGATGTGTCGACGGGAAACTTTGTTCACGGTCAGGTGTTTGGCGGTGCAGTGATGGCCGCCGGTGCAGCCTTTTTGATTCGGCCCCTGATCGCAATTGAGCGGTACGACAGGAGAAAAGGCTGACTCGCTCCCCTAGACACCAGATGTTGACGAAGAAGATAGCTGGTGTATCCAATGGACTCAGTTTTCATTATTTGATTCTGTATGGAGGCCCTAACGACATAGTTCCTCTGCTGCCATTGTGACAAGTATTCTAGTCTGTCTTCTGCAACCCACCTGTTCTAATACCTTCAACGAACGCCACAGGAGCAGTGAAATGTTTCTTGCCGTGCAGTAGATAGGTGACAAAACTCAAAACAATGACCCCCGCCCACACGGCAGGGGCCCAGTTCGCATCGCCTGTGTCGACAGGCAAACTCGACGGGAAACAACTAAACACAACCGCAAAGGCGGAGTAAAAGAAGGCAAAGAGATTGACAGCGAGTCCATACCGTCCGAGGCTCCAGCGTGCAGGTGGGAGCGGATGTCCCTTGATCCTCTTCAGACAGAGGCACCCGATACTCAGCATGTACGTGCTCAGTAAAGCCAACAAGGTAAGTGAGATGATTATGTTGAATGCGGTCGTGCTGGCGAAATTGATCAGGCACAACACGCCCGACCAGAATGCGGTCACGTAAACGGCGTTGAAGGGGATGTTGCGTGACTTTTCCATCTTGCTCAGCCACCGCGAAAAGGGGAACCCTCGATCTCTTGAAAACGCAAACACTTCTCGACTCGTGGTGGCCAAGGCGGTGATGTTGCCCGAAAACACGAGCACGAGGAGCATGACCGTAAGTACGTACGCGACGGCCGAGCTGTCGGTGTTGATGAAGAGTTGGATATATGGGATCTCTGCGTCGAGAGTCTCCTCGAGGCTGCCGATACAAAAAAGCATCGTGATCAACATTATGATGCCCAGAAGGACGTTGAGGATGAAGGACCACCACATGACGCGAGGTACAGTCAGGCCCGCATCGGCCACTTCTTCGGAAATGTGGCATGCTGAGTCCGAACCTAGAAACGCAAGAGGTGTCAGGAGAAGAAGAAATCCCCCAAAAATGGAAGAGACGATTGCTTGGGACTTACCCAAGTTACAATACAATACTGAAACCTGAGACACTAGACATGCCGTTCCTATGTTCCCCCATCCACCATTGTCAACAAAGGTGGCAAAGACATCTTTGGCGCTGTTCTTCGGACACATCACCCACAGAGGAACGAGCGTCGCGACAAAACAAAGAACATGTCCGACCAGCGACACCGTCTCGATCATGGGAAGACTCCTAGCGCCCCAGGTGTTGAAGAAGATGGTGATGACCAAAAAGGCAATACTGAGTAGCGTGTACTGCCAGTTTGGAAAGACGAAGTTTTGGTCTCCGATCTCGACGAGGCTCTGGACCAAGGTGCTGCACACGAAGACCGAACTGGCCACACTGGCTAGCCATCCCAGCGTGCTCATCCATCCGGCAGAGTAACTCAAGAATTTTTGGTACTGAGGTGGTGCGAACTCACTGACCCAATGGTACTGACCACCGCTGGTGGGTGCCATGGATTCCATCTCGGCCAGACTCGCGACGATGCTGCTGTAGCATACGACGGTGCCGAGGAACGTCCAAAACAGACCGGCGAATCCACCGTTGACGAGGCCCGATGCCAGGGATACGAGGACAAACTCCCACGTCGCCATGTAGATTGAGATGAAGCCCAGTGTCGAGATGAAGGAAAAGTTTCTCTTGAACTCTTGCTTCTTGCCCAGCCGGAACATGTCTTTGATGTCGTGGGATGTGTCACCGTAGATGGCGTCGACATTGCCCAGGACGTTGTCGTCGACCGGTCGAATTCCATCGTCAATGCGATCACCTGTATCTCGAACAAAAATGTTCTTGTCGTCGTTGTACTCGGACAGCACGGTTGGATCGTGCCGAGAAGACATGTCAGGGCCGTCCGCTGTCCTAGGGATTTAAGATAGATATGCTAATCCCCTTTCAATACGGTAATAGCTCAGTTAAACACCACTGTAGAACGTGTTACCGGAGATAGAGGTTCAACATGACAAGGGTCTGAGGTGTGGGTGTGTGGGTGGTACAAGATCAAAGTGTCGACAGAGTCGCACAGCGTCGGCATGCGAATGCGAATGCGAAACTACACAAAATGCTCACGAGGACAAGTGAAAAGAATCTGCATCGCGAAAAATGTCCATGGTAGTCTTGAAAATCCACCTTCCCGATTCGACTTGGGACTGAAGCATTATAAACCAATGGACGCGATATGCGCTGGGCTGATAACGAAATGCTGGTTGCTCCAGATTAGCTAGCTATTGTAGGGTCAATTCGCATGATAAGAGCTGAGGTAATGGAAATGATACCTACAAAGCTTGAATCACTTAATACGGGAATATTGGTTTCAATAAGACTGTATATCAGGATTCTCATCCTTATCCGAGTGAATGACGACCCCCTGAGGCAGTAGAAGGCCGGAGAACTGGACTCGCAGCCTTGGCCCCCCTCCTTCGACATACACAGCCTTGCTCCCCTTTGATTCCAGCCATTCTCGGGAGCTCTTGTAAGAGGCTAGTATGCGCCATTTACCTTCCATGCATCAGAGTGTGACTTATTTCCTCTCGAGACAGACAATCTGCGTTCGTCTGTTACTGCTACAATCTCCGCAGGGTCGAAGCCAAGGTACTCGGTTCTGAGGAGCAATGTATAGGCGAAATTTTCAACGAATGTGGATAGACATGACAGAAGAGACAAGCACAAGTATCGAGTATTCTGGATACAAAATTGATACATTTAGTTCTTCCCAAAGGTCTGTTTACTTGGCTTCAAATCTGGCATTGACATCACACAAAATTTCATTCATCCACACAAGATTAGGTTGAAAAACAGGTCAAAAAATCTTAGAACCTTCCCCCAGCAACGCCGCGCAGTTTCCCAAAATTATGACATATCCCAATCTCTCAAGATCAGAAAAGACTGGAGAAAGTCATTTCATCTCCACACATCTCTTACAAGCCAGCAGCAATCTTGCCGGCAGCTTCATCGGCCATGCTCTCCTCGTACCAAACTTTGATGCGCTCAGCCTTCTCTGGGTTTCGGACCTTGACATCCATCTCGAAGGGCAGAGGGCCGCCGATCAAGTTGGGGGTGAAGTTGTAGCTCTCTGGCCACTTGGGCTGCCCATTGGCATCCATTGGTGGCAAGAGCTCGAAGCAACCGACGATGCTGCCACAAGCAACGAGCAACTCAGCCTCAGTGACTTCGATACCCGGGCACATACGTCGACCCATACCGAAACCGTGATGACCCATGAGTCTGGGGTGCTCGGTGAGAGGCTCCTTGTAGGTGGGGAACTCTTTCTGGAGCCATCGTTCCGGTCGGAAAGCCTCTGGGTCTGGGTAGAGCTCGGGGTTGCGTGCAAGAGCGAGGTCGACTGCGTGGATGACAGCACCCTTAGGGAGGTAGTACCCGTTCCATTCGTCATCCTCCTCGAGAAGACGAGGGACACCCAGGGGGACTGGTGGTCGCCATCTGACGCACTCCTTGATACAAGCACGAAGGACTGGCAAGTTGGGAGCATCAGAAACCTCGACAACTCGGTCACCAATGACCTCGTCGTATTCATCCCGGATCTTTTGTTGCCATTCAGGGTGGAGAACCATGGCAAGGAAGAAGCAGTAAAGAGGACCGCCGATAGTGAAGATGGCGACAGTCACCAACATACCGACGGCATAGGCAGCCTCGTGGTCATCGAATCCGAAAGATCGAGAGCCAGCCTCAGCCTCCTTGCGCTCAAAGTAGGTTCGGGCATAGCTGATGGGAGCAGTTCCCTGGTCCATCTCAGCACGCACTTGCTTCATCAAACCCTTCCACAACTTCTCCTCCTTTTCACGTCGTTCGCGAACCTTGCGGATGGAGGGGTTGATCCACTCAGGGAGACCGCCAAGGAAGGGCATCAAGTTGGTAATAGGACCAGAAGGAGAGATTTGAGGAATGAATTCACCAGCGTTCTTGCAGTGAGCGGCGGCTGATGCTGGGCTTCCATAGCCAAGACGAGCACTGATACGACCACAGAATCGATCGGTCAGAGCGTAGTGATCCTTGGGATCCATCAGGAGCTTGTACATGAAACGCTTGGCCTCGTGGCTAACATAGCCGTAGTATTTGGAGTTGAAGCCGGCAGTTAGGACGGTGTGGGCGAACTTGCGCTGGTTGCGCCAGTGGTCTGGAAAAGTCAGCAAATTACTGACACCGGTCGAGGGCACTGTTGTGACATACCATCGTGGGCGAGTAGTGGGAGATATTGACCCTGGGAGTCACTGCCTGGAACAGCAGGAACCATGGGGCGGGACGAGTAGATTCTCGCCTTTTTACAGAGCAAGTCATAGGCAATCTGCGCATCACCAACCCAGATGTGCATTTCACCACAGATAGTGGAACGGAAAATACCACCATATTCATCACAGAACTTCTTCATGGCAAACCATGGCTTATTTGGGTCGACATCGTGGACGCGTCCAATGTAGGGGATGGTACTCGTGGGACCGGGGATGAGCTTCAGACCAGGAGGAGGTCGGTCTCTCAGCATGTATTTTATAATCTGGATGGTAGTAACGAGAACGAAGATGCCGGTGCCAATGAACCATTTGTAGGTTCCAATGGTATCGAACGCGTTTTGGGACTTGAAAAGAGCGTCAGAGGTCTCATTGGTGTTGAGGTAGTTGTGAATTTGGGTCATAATGACCGACGGCGAGATAGAAGCCGCCATGATTAAGGAGACTGCCCTGCAATGATAATCGCAGAGTAGTACAGAAAAGTAAACGAGAGCAATGGGTATAATAAAAAGACGGAGCAAAAGGAGACGGGGGTGAAGTGGTAATATGAGGGCCGTGACGTGAACCTGGCCGCAGGAACAGATTTGGGCTGGGCACAAGTCCAAGTTTAGTCAACCCGACTGACCTGATAGGTCCAGGAGAGGGCGCAGTTGAAATCAATGGACTTCTAGTGGGAGCTCATGCCGCTAGAATGTCCGCTGGCTAGGGAGCCATCTGGCAACTCCTGGGCTCTCAGCCGCAAAATCACTGTGCAGCTTGACGACTCGATACATTAGCGGTACAGCTGGCGTGCACTAGTTCGAGTCCGCACTGGCACGCCTTGCCGGATATGTGGACAAGACCCAGCCCATGTGTTTCCAAAATTGGAACTTCCAGAACCACAGCCACTAGTTCTCCGCAGTGTTTCCCCCTGATACAGCCACTGTGACCGCTTGACTGAAATTGGCATGTCCGTAGCGTGGAAATTGTCCCAGTCGTGCTCTTCCCACGAATTGGCGTGTGCATTTGAGCTGCTCAAACTTACAGTCTTGTATTTTACAGCTTCGGGGTCCGGAGCTAGTGGACAAGTGTGAAACAAAGCATGTGTATCGCCGTATGTATGTACTCTGGCTCGGTACAATCCATTTATGACGAGAACAGGACAGTGGTCAAGAGATTCGTGGAGGAGGCGTCATGAAGGGTTCATATACTTCCAGAACTCCTCAGATGATATTGTATATAAAGATGTACTCCGTATAATGGTTGCCAGTCGTATCGCTTGGATATTGAGATCCAAGCTTTGTAACCAAGGTTCGATTGACCAATGGGTCGGAAATTCTGTGGAACGGTACCTCGTATTTTGGGCGATGATTGCTGACTTGCAGATTTGCTGACCGCCAAATCCACTTCAAAGAATGTGCTCAGGGAGTGCAAGCATTACTATCATCGTCAACCAAAGTCAATTCTTCTTGTTAGGGTCTGAGAATGAAGCTTTTCGGAGTCTTGCCGTTCGATTTTGCATTCTGTGAGGCTTTTATTGGTTTTGCAATGGGAAATGTCTGGGCTGGGAAATTGGACACTGTGTGAACCCAGCCTCGTCACGTGCTGTCAGGCCTCACGAGGCTGAAAGAGCCTCTTGGCAGACAATCATCGCGGAAAAATATTTTGAGATCGAGAAGGGTGCATTGAGTGATATCCTCTTCTTCCTACTCACTTCCCGAAGCGATGCAATGTTACTGACGGAATACTGTGTGCTTGCAATACAATGCTGACGATGATCTAAACTATTTCGGTTGGATGATACGCCCCAAGTACGCCTTGGAGATGAGTACCAATCAGAGTCTCCATCTAAATCAATTCTCCTGAGTCCACGTCGCGCCCGCATTGTCACTACGGTTATATTCCGTATGTAATCTTGTCATGGCAAATCTTCCCGGTCAACTTGAGCCCATTGACCTGCGCTACTGGCCAACTTGTGAAAATGCTCTGAGCTGGTCCTCAGAAGGTCTAGCTGTTGCTACAGGTGAGGCTGTACAGATCTTGATTCCGATCGATGCCTCAGGCTCTCGAGGTCTCCCACAAGATTCGCAATGGCGCAAGTCTATGTTTTCTGTCAACCAGTTCCAAGATGAGGAATGGTCGCACGTGTCCTTGGCTACTATCAGACACTTTTCGATTGGCGAGGAATTGTCTGACTCAATCATTATCTCGCTCGCGTGGTCACCTCCAGGACTGGGTCTCCACAGGCGGAATGTGCTTGCAATTCTTACATCTAACCTGGTCCTTTCGTTCTGGGAAGGTGATGGGAAACTGGATCAATGGAAAAGAACCGCCGTTGTCAACCAGCACCTACCGAACAATGACGATTGTGACAGTACAACAGACTTAGCCATGCAAAGAGAAGAGAGAAGGATACGTGCATTCTGTTGGATTCCACCCATCAAAGCTGGTAGCAGTATCAAATGGGGCCAACATTTATTGGCTGTTGCAGATGACTCCGACAGAATCTCACTATTTCGCGTCACAAAGAAAGAAAGGTCGAAGGTTGGACATTGGTCGTTCGAAGTACTGGGACAGCATGCTATCGAGCCTGTGACTCCTGAATCCTTTAACGGAGGAAGTTTGGCATCGGTATTGTCGGTTTCTTCTCGTGTTTCAAGGATCAAAGCGTCGGAGATTCAAGAAGACAACAGTGCAAACCGCAAGACCTTTACCTTCACTTTACATCTGCGCCGAGCCAACGGTGGTTTCCCAAAAGCTGTTTCCGTAAAGTTTCACGTTGATCCAGGTAACGAGCCCGCTGACAGCGCATCGCACGAAATGTCACTCACCTCTCAAGATTCTGGAGTGCAACCGGAGCCTGATCAGGATCATGGAGTCACCGAAGCCGACTTTGAGCCGGCCCTTAGAAGACCAAGATCTGATTTTGATGCTGCATTCAGCCTATCAGGCAAGATCCGTACTCGCTTCTATGGAATCTCACTCTCTCCTGACAAGAGTCAAGCTGCAGCTTGTGTTTCCCTCCATCCTACCGATATGATTGAAGCTGTTATGCCAGCCACGCAGCACACACTGATTGTTTTCAACAACACCAATAATTCAGCAAATGTTACCGGGCTTGAGAAGACCTTTCTGATCGTCCTAGAAGAGCTACTGGCATTCATTTCATCTACAGACCCAAATTTGATTCAATCGGAATTGGATCGAAAAATTATCAGGAGTACTATTTCATTAATCCTGGGTGATCCTACGACATTTCAAAAGTTTACAATTTGGGCGAGGCTGATGTCGGATCGGTTGCCAAATGGTCGACACGAGGATGAAATGGACTTGGACAAAGAAATAGAAGACGTCGCCGGATCCGGACGGTCATGGCAAGAGTACTGCGAAGTGTGTAGCGCGCCCATTCCTTTCTCAGACCCAGTCTCAGCAAGATGCACCCATGGGCATGAATTCAGTCGGTGCAATATATCTCTTATCGCTATACAGGAGCCTGGCATCTCGAAGTATTGTGCCAAATGTGGCAGGCATTTCCTGGACATTGCAAACCTAAATCTACCAGGGGGTCCAAGCTTGACCCGAGCGTTATTCGAGGAGTTCGATGTTTGTCCCTATTGCCAAGGCAAGTTCCGTGGTTGAGACTGGAATGCGGCTCTCGATGCAACTTGTGTCACCTTCAATTTTGTTTATCCGCGAACAGTTGCTGCAACCCATTGCCTCGATGAGTTTCCTTTGTTCGATCCGAACAGGATATCATTCCCAGACTGTTCCTGGCTCAACAACGACACCCGCCGACGTATTTCTCGTGCCAGCATTACCGCAAACGGCAAAGTTCTTTCATGCGCACAAAACACCGCAAGCGACTACTACGATGGCGATGCTTAAAATATCAGTCTACGATGCCATCACCCCTACAGCTCTTGGTGAGCGCTACGTATATTCGGATCAATGGTGCTCAACCCAACGAGTCCTGTTCGAGTGTTTGGCCGCAAAGTTGCCAACCCTTCTCGACCTGTGGGGGCTGAAGCTGACACTCGAACCGCGCCACCGCCCACCACACAATTGCCTCATTCAGCAGCTCCATCTCCAAAGATGGCTTCAAGTTTGCGTGAAGGCATGTCGAGACTTAGGCACCTATCACGCGACAGAGATGCTACTCCCCAAGAAGTCAGTCGCTGGTCAAAGACAACAACCGAGTCCGAAGCGTCAGAGGGTGTCGTCAAGGATCAGCCACCTCAGCCCCGGAATGTGCTGAAGAAAAAGGCCAAGCAGAAAAGAAAGTCAAAAGACACCACGAACTCGAGCCCGGTCGATCCATCCTACGACCCGGCCACCAAGAGATTTCTGACGGAAGGTGAATTAGACGTGCTTCCGATTAATGTGTCTGGTCCAATTGAACCCAATTCTTTCTATGATTCTGACGATTCCGGTCAGGAATCACCAGTCATTGAAAGGGCAAGCAGTGTCCGTGTAGCAAAACCAAACATTGTTCAACACAATAATAACTCTGGCGGGTCTATTCCAAGACTGTACGCTCCTCACTCGACTCCAACAGAAGTTGAATCTGGGCAAGGCAAAGACCTTCAGGCCTCAAGTGGACGTTTCCTATCTACATCGGCTGGAGGGAAAGAACAATATCAACCTGAAAATCCAAGTGGCCCAGAAGACGCACTTAAGGCGCTCGAAGGGCGAGATTCGAACGAGGACACCCTGACTGCGCTTCCACAAGTGGTATCCTTCCCTTATCGTCCCGAGCAAAACGACAGTGTTAAGGAGACAATCATCGAATTTCCCGACACGCCAGGGCGTGTTGAGGCTCTATCTACCCTTCCAACGCCGATGGGAGGGTTTGGTTCTGTCCGTCTTCCGCCTAGCGGTGCAGGCACCACCGCCTCATCAAGTGGAACGTTTGTATCGACCACACCCTCGCTCGATGGTCTCAGGTCGAACCCCCCGACCGAGCTTGACAAGAAACTGTCGCGTGCCATCTCGGCTCCGGTGCGCAACTCCCGCCGCGTGACGATTCGACCGGCAGACCTGATCTTAACCCAGACGAACAATGACCACAAGTTGTTCCGCAAAAACATCGTCAGCACCCCTTACCCAGCTCGGCACAGCAGTATCGGCGAGATCGACGAGATCGTCGCTGCCAATGCCGGTGGTCGTAAACCGTCCAGAGAGAGCAACAGTAAGAGCAAGGGCTCGACCTCGTCCAAATTATCAAGGAGTCTCCGGCGCTCCCGCTCAACACGCAAGAAATCTTTGTCAAGCACCTCTCCTAGCACCAAAGTCGATCTCGACAGCAACACGGAGAAACAACCACAGCACTCATTTTCGGACGAACCCCTTGCTGAAAAGGACAAAACAGCACCCGAGATCCCACTTTCAACGAAACCAGTCCTCGGAGGTGCCAGTAGCACACCAGCCAAGTCAGACCGATTCCCATCTCCCGTAGCACCGGAAGTTCTGTTTCTGGACCTCCGCCTCGCGCGACACCCGTCGGCTAAAACAACGATCGAGATTGAGATCACCGACAAGACCAACTTTGACGACGAACAGCTCTTCACGCTCATTCAAAAATCCTACCGCTCTCGTCTCTTGGGCGTTGCACGCCGCCTGTTTTCTGCACGCGTACTCTCTTACGCATCGTTCGGCACTGACTTGGCCACCATCAGTACCGCCACGACACCGCCCCGTCGGAACTGGTACCCTGGCAGCCCTTTACCGGCACTGACTCCAGGAGTAGGGGGTGGAGTGGGCACGCACGAGATCGATGGCACGGACTTTGTCAAACATCTCCATAACCCACGCCTCGGGCGGCGGCGAAAGATGTGGCTCTTGTGGCTACGCAACAATCAACAAACCGAGTCGTTTGCATCTTCACGACGCAACCGTGCCCGCCATGCCGGTGGTGTAGACCACAACAACAACAACAGTCCATCCGACGTGGTCAGCCCCGTTTTCAGTTTCATGGGCCACAGTCGCAACAGTAGTCACGATTCGACTGACCCGTACGGCGTGACCGGCGCTCAACGATCCCCTCTGACCGCTTCATCTGCCACTGGCGGACTCACCTTTGACTCATCCGGTGGTGCTACGGTGGACGTGAATGACGGTGCAGCGGGTTTCTCAAGTGCCAAACCCAGCGTCAAGATTCCACGCATGCCTTTCCAGCAACCACCGCCGCCGACGTTTCCCATGTCGTATCGAAGCTTGAGTCGATCTCATTATCTCCGCGGCGTGGGTTCAGGTGTTGGTGGTTCTCGAGAATCCTCCACCGGCGCGAGTGGGCCCCCCTGTCTTCATCTCCACTATACATTCTCCTTACCCAGAATCGTCGCCGTTCTGGCCGCCGTCTTGTTCCTCGCGGTCTTCACCAGCGTCATGTGGGTTCTGTTCGGTCTTCCGGGCCGAGGGGCCGATCAGGGCAACACGACCACGCTGGTCGAGGGCCAGGAGTACGTCGTGGGTTGGAAGAGGGACGCGCAGACCCGCGCGGGCGTCGCGGTCGTCATGGGCATCGCCGTGCTCTTGGGTGGTGTCGTGTGTGAGGCCGTCTGGGTCTGGGGGAGTTGGGTCCTGATTTGATTAGGGTCAGAGACACACATCATCAGCATAGACGTGAACACAATACTTAATAATTCCAAGAAAAATCACAATGAGAGGTTTTTCTTGTCGTGTAAGCTAAGCAAAACGTAAAGGACCTTGCAGAAGGAATGTGTGAGGCAAAAACAAAACAAAACAAGTCTCGATGGTTACATGTTTGGTATATTGTCTAGTTTGTGTGAATTGGCATGTAGACTACCTACGAGTACACGGGTCCTGGCACAGTACAGGCCCAAGAAATAATTGAGGCTCAAGATTTCTGCCCAGTGCCACACCAACATTTATTCTCGCCCTCTCTTTCCATCTGCACCACCACGTCCATTTTGCGGGTACGGAGATACATATTCACCCGTTCCCTCACATCCTCGAGATCCGCATTCTGTGAAGCGGTCACATGGATCACTCCCAAGACTGTCGGGTCGTCCTCGCCGTCGCTGCACTTGCCATCACTGTCTTTGTGAGAGTGGCCGTGAGAATGATGGTGATCGTGGCCATGAGAATGTCCATGGTGGTGGCCGCCGGACTCCTTTTTGGTGTCTTCCAGCCAGAATTTGGGTACGTTGTAGCCCACCACGCCTCGAATTTCGGCCACACCGCTGAGGATACCGCGAAGGTTGTATTCGATGTCAGAGTTTAGAGATAAAAGGAGGATTTTGGTGGTCGACGTGACTAACGGAATGGTCGAGGCAAAGATAAGAATCGCAATGATGCATGAGGCGAGAGGATCCCAGCCACTCCATCCAGTCCATCGCACAAGCAATGTAGATCCGACGACAGCAACAGAGCCAAGAGCGTCGGCCATGATGTGAAGATATATGCCTTGCATATTCTCGCTTCCGTGGTGATGGTGTCCGGTTGCGGCTTTATTACCCTTCATCGGCGACGCCGATGCCATCAACGGAGTGTCCGAGTCACTGTGACTGTGGGAAGTGTGGTGTTTGTGATCATGGTCATGATCGTGGTCATGACCATGGTGGCTATGAGAATGGTCGTGCTCTCCATGGCTGTGTCCGTGACCGTGATCGTGGAGTCCATGAAAGGCAAATATGCCTACGAGGTTGACGAAAAGTCCTATAGTGCTGACGATCAGTAGCTCCATAGTCCGACTGACATCTGCACCGCTAAATAATCGTTCCATCGCTTCATAAACGATCTCGACACTGATCAGCATCAGGAAAATTCCGTTGCCCAAGCCAGCAAGGGTATCGACTTTGCCGTACCCGTAGGGGAACTTGAGACTCGGGGGCCATTTACTCATGACAGCTGCACAGACGCCGACGAGGAGCGCCACACAGTCGAAAAACATGTGTATGCTGTCGCTGATCAATCCCAAAGAGCCCGTCAGAATTCCATATGTTGACTGCACCACCATAAAGCAGAGGTTCAATATCATAAAGTAGAATATCCGCCTCGACTCATCGTCGGCAAGAATGCCATGAAGAAGAGAGTAGTTTTCCGTCGAATTCAACAACAGCTGCGTAGGCTTGGAGAAATTGCGGTGGAAAGCAGGCCTCTGCGTTCCTCTGGGGGAGGCATATGCAATCTGTTCTGTATCCCTTCTCTTTGGTACAAAATATGATCCCGACAAGTCGAGACTCGGCGTCGGGCTGACATGGTCGTGGAAATGTGTGTCCACAGGCGGGGGACGGTTCATGTCGCTTTGGTGAACAGCGGATTCGGAGGGTATGCGCGGCAGTGAGTAGGGCACAGCTAGGCGACTCCCAGCTCGGTTTCGTTGATGAGATCGTGAATGAGAATGAGAGTGGGATGGAGATGAAGACTGCGAGTGCGCATGCTTGCAATTGTCTGTAGCCGCCACGGGTAGTGTAAAGGTCGCGCTCATCTTCTCTTCAGTCGGTCGCGAAGGAAGAGACACTTTGGCGTTTGAACCGACATTCAGCTATATCGTTGTTCGTTGGTAGGAGAAGCGCGTCGGACGAGAAAAATCTTCGAGGCTCCGAAATAGCACCCTTGAGGTCAAGCCTGACACTGCGGAAGCTATGGGTCTGTGCTACTGAATGCGTTCGAAATCGTTGCAGGTCGATCTTATGGCTGATTGAATAGGTTGATTGAGGCGCAGGCGGGGGAACGTAGTCGCAAGTGAGTACGTCTGGGGAAGATTAGCAGGTAGCGAGAACGACAGGCATCTCATCTGGTGGTGAGGAACCCCTGGGCCTCGCTAGCACGATGTTGAGAGCGAAGAGGAGATGGAGCCCTGCTAACAAGGTTGTCGCTTGTTCTTCTGGCAGGGAAATAAAAGAAGAGCCCAAGGAGCTGGATAATACGGGTACCTGGCAGTACTAGAAAGATGTGTAGGGAGGCCTCACTAGCTTGTACAGCTCGTATACCGTAAAGTAAAATACAATATACATGTGTCCGTAGGAGGTGCATGTGGCCTCGTTGTGGCCCGTGAAGGCCCCTTTTTTCTCGAGGATCTGAGTCTAACCGCATCCGGCGACTCCCACGTCACTTTAGCCAAAAAGTGCCATCAAACGTGTCCTCTGTATTTTGTGCATTATTGTACGGTGACGAGCTGGTGTTCGGATAGTATTGTCGTGGTTTGTGTGTGTCCTTCTTTGAGGACGCTATATCTTCCTAACATACACGACATCACTGTAGCGCAATCTCCCCGGATATGCACCTCCGCTCATAATGATCTTGACTTTATTGGTAGTCATTTCCACCTTGATCACAGTGTTGTTAGTACTTGCGCCATCACAACGAAATCCAACCGATAAACAATGCTCAGTCCAGGTCGTAGTCTTGGGGGATCTAGGCCGAAGTCCGCGGATGCAGTATCATGCCCTCAGTATTGCTGATCATGGTGGACATGTGCATCTGGTGGGATATCGAGGTATTTTGTGAAGGCAAGTGTGCGAAGGAAAATACTGATGAGCGATTTGTAGACACAGAACCTCTGCCTGAGCTTGTTACACATTCAAATGTGACCATTGTACCGCTTCCTTCTGCTCCACGACTGCTACAGACAAACAACAAGTATCTTTTTCTGGCATTCGGTCCCGTCAAAGTACTTTTGCAAGCATGGTATCTCTGGCAAACCCTGGGCTATTCAATACCTCCGTCGAAATGGATGCTGGTCCAAGTAAGTTACACCTTGCGGACAGCTTCCCCATCAAAGCGTTTACTCAACAAAATCTAGAATCCACCGTCTATCCCAACTCTGCTTGTTGTGGCTGTTGTGTGCATGTTCCGAGGGACCAGACTGGTTGTAGATTGGCACAACTTTGGCTATTCGATTCTCGCCCTCAGGCTCGGATCGGATCATCCCATGGTCAAATTATCCAAAGTCTATGAGAAAGTCCTCGGACGAGCTGCGAGCGCCAACTTCACCGTCACAAACGCTATGGCTAAAGTCTTGCGATCCGGCATGGCCATCAGGACGCCTGTACTTACCCTGCACGACCGACCAGCAGAACTATATCAGCCGTTGACAGACTCGGAACGAATAGCTTTCCTACAGAAGTATCCGCCTCTGGCAGAACATTACAACTCCATCATCGACAGAAAAATGAGACTTGTTGTTTCTTCCACGTCTTGGACAGCCGATGAGGACTTTGACCTGCTCCTCGACGCACTGTGCAGTTACACTGCCAGTGCCACCTCTTCCCACCCTCAGCTACCCGAGCTTGCGGTCGTCATCACTGGCAAAGGCCCTCTCAAACAGCATTACCTTGACAAGATCAAGAAATTGGACGCGGGAGATGCGTTGGAAATGGTCAATATCTACACGGATTGGCTCTCTTTTGAGGATTATGCCCTCTTGCTGGGTTCCGCTGATCTTGGTGTATCTCTCCACACCAGCAGCAGCGGTGTCGACCTACCGATGAAAGTGGTCGACATGTTTGGGGCTGCGCTTCCGGTGGCGGGATGGAGCAAATATGCGGCATGGCCAGAGCTCGTCACCGAAAATGTCAACGGAAAGGGGTTTAACAGTGCTGAAGGGCTGGCCGATATACTGCGGGAGCTATTCGACCCCGAGTCCAAGCACCTCATGCGGTTGCGAGATGGCGCCAGGGCCGAAAGCAAACAGAGGTGGTCTTCCGAGTGGGATCCTGTGGCCGGCAAACTCTTCGGCGTTGTACAGTGATCAATGCCGACCTTTTGAAAACCATGGACGAAATGCTTGTCCCGACCCTGTAGCGCAGTGGTCTCCCAAGCGCGACAAGTCATACAAATCACATGCTCTCAAGTCCCTAGTGACCAGATCAAGGCCTGATGTGTCCAAAACGGTGTCGTCCGAGTCGCACCACCACAGCTTTCGAGGAATATCAACACAATATCGTTACCACCGAGAGACCAGCCATTCTACCTGTCGCCTAGTACAGTCAAGTGGTGGTTGTTGTACGGAGTATCAAGTAAACAAACAAAGCCATCATCACTTTCAGACGGCAGGTAGCTCCGTGCCTAGCTCGCTGAGGGCTTCCCGGAGGCGCGCGACCTTATCAACCCTTATACCAAAAATTATGGAAGGCCCATCATTACATATCTCGTGTTCGGACCTGCTTTACACCTTTGTTGTGGTCAAGGATCGGATTTCACCGCCATCAGGGTCTCTCAGGGGCCGGGACAGCATCTCCGCCGGTAAGAAATTGGCAACAACTTGTCCAGTACTCGTACTATCAAAGGTACCACAGAGTACTCGTACTCGTATGAGTAAAATAATTTTATCAAACCACCTTGGACCTTCTGGTGTCAATCCAGGATCAACAACAGGTTGATCCGTCCTATCCGATCAATGACCATGCCCAGAGACTGCCAAGAACGACGTACATACAGTACTACTTCTGCTCTGTGCCGAAGCATTGGATCGATCGGAGCTACCGGCGAGAGCCACCGCCGCCGATACGACTCGCCCTTACACGCCAAGTCCTACGGAAGACGCCGCCTAGGGGAGCCATACCAGGATGGGGGATAAAGTCGTCGTCATCCCCTCGCGAACCCTTCTATGCTAATATGCTACCACGGCACAGTTGATTGCTGCACAGTGGGTTTAGTTCAGCAGTTTCTGGTGCCAGGACTTTTGCACGAGCATTCTCGCGAGGACCTTTTGCATAATGGGTGAATTTACTGCGGTAAGTTTGCACACCGGAAAATCCATTAGGCCAATCTTTTTGAGGGATCTTTGGTTCGTTATTACTGTACCGTACAGTACATAACAAGGCCGATCTCGCTTTTCGACGTCGACATTATTTTTTGCTTGCTATTTCATCCTCAAAAGTAGCTACAAAATCACTGATGGCGTACTTGTTGCAGCAAGCAAGACGGGTGGCATTTGACTCGAACAAATCCCCCGAACGTCAAGCGTCACCACAAATCCAGCGACTTAAACGCTCGGCCCCGTTATCACTCTTCATCGAAGCCTTGGAAAAGGATGGCTGTGTGATCATCAGCGACTTCACCGACGAGTCAACGTTGAGACAAGCGGACGAAGAGATCAGGCCCTGGCTAGAGCATGAGGATGAAGGAGCCGTGGTTGGCGGTAGGTTACTTATCCACTTGGCGTTTCTTCCATTTCTGACGTTTCTTTTCAGCCCTACAGGGCAAGACTAGGACAGTGACTCGGCTCATTGGCAGAAGCCCGACCGTACGTGAGAAGTTCTTCGCCGACCCCATATACCAGGACTTGTGCGAGCATTTTCTGGCACTGGAAACGACACATTGGTACGGTGAAAAACCTTTGACGACCACCAGTCACCCGCTGCTTTCCATCTCCATCACCTTTGACATCCCACCGAGTACGCCGGCGCAGGGACTCCATCGTGATGACAAGAACCACCACGCACGTCACAGCAAAGCAGAGTCGTACCACAAGGGGCGTGACATGCTCCTTGGCCTGTTTGTTCCCGCATGCAACACTTCCAAAGCAAACGGTGCCACGAGAGTGGTCCCCGGTAGTCACCTGTGGGACGATGAGATGCCCGACTTTGGTCGCGACGGCACCCAGGGCGTGGTCAACGCCGAGATGAACATGGGAGAGGCATTCATCATGCTGGGCTCTCTCTATCACGGCGGCGGCGCGTACGAAAAGCCACTGGGAACGACCAAGGAAGGCGGACGGGAGAGCAGGACGGTACATGCCATGTTCTCTTGCAGTGGGGTGCATCGACAAGAGGAGATTTCATTCCTGTCTTACCCCATCGAAGAGGTCAAAACGTACTCGAAACTCGTTCAAGAACGACTTGGTTGGAAACAAAGTGAGCCAAATCTGGGTTGGGTGGATCTCAAATCCCCCGAGTACTTGCTTGCACCGTAAAAAGTTTTTGTTTATGTCGATCAAAGACAAAAAGGCTTGGTGATGGTGGTGGTTTGGGCCAGCCAGCCAAATCATGCATCCATCCTCGGTCCAAGTACAATGCAGCTGAAATTCAGGGTACCGCTTCCAGCGTCCTCTTCGCGTTTGATGAACGGAAGTGGACCCATGTTCAAGGCTTTTGTACTCAACACATCTTCATCGTCACCCAGCGGACCCAGATCGACGGGACCTTTTCTCCGGCCTTCCAACTCCCACAGTCGACCTTTGGCTTGGACAAAGGCTATGAAGGCATGTCCTGGGTCTTCACCCAAGGGAGGAGCAGTCGAATCACCCTCTTGCGCCGCCACAGCATGAGCCTTTTCGAGAATGTCCGAGTCGTGCACGAACTGAGCCCTCTCGGTGGGTCGAAGAGGCAATGCACCCTGGACGAATTTGGCGAGGTCACTTCCGGGTTGGATGAGGTCGGCGGCGGAACCATTTGTGATGCAGTGCAACAGACCTATCAAGCCACAGGCATGGTGGATAGTCTGATGATAGAACATGACGGGTTCGTCGGGACCGGAGCCTTGATAGCCCGGCTCTGCCTCGTGGATTTTGGCAAGGTACGTTTCCGAGTGGTTGGTGCAAGGGTAGATGAACAACAACGCGCTGGCCGGACGGGGCAGGAGGGCGAGGAGGTCGGGGTCTGTAAGACTGTAGGCGTCTTGAAACCCGAGGGTCGAAGAGAGGCCTAGAGTATGTGCCAGTTTTGTCATGACCTCGGGGTTATTTTCTGGGGTTGTACGGGAGTAGTTAGTCTGTATGTTCGTATGGAGCACGCAGTAAATAATGATTAATGTGTTCATTCATGAGAAAATCATTCAATTACCAAGTGGGATGTATGTCTTTTGAGCCATGACTGCAGAGTCGCGAGTCGAGGTGTGACGATGGTTTTCTGTCTTGGGTGGGCTCTCAGGTAATTACACCAGGTACAGCGGATGTGGTAAATCTTAACTCGTCCGCGAATAACTGTGGTCGAGTTGTGAGTGTTTGTACTACGAAAGAGACTTATCGTCGAGTGAAATGGAAACAGAAACAGCAAAACGTGTGCCTTGTTTGCTGGAAATTGTAGTATGCAGAAGTGAAAGGGCGCCGGAGAAGAAACGAAAAGGAAGGCAGCCTTGCATGACGCACTCTCGACGGACGCCCAATCATTTTTGGTCAACGAGGGTTGACAGTAACTCGACCAAACCATTTCATACTGTACATAACACGACATCCAACCCTCACCACCATTCTATTTTTCTTGTCCCCTTCGTTCTCATCCTTTTTGCATTTCCACTCTCATAAACACCATCAACCCTTTCGCTCCAAATTATCCATAGCTTGTTCATCACTCAGCTCCTCTTGCCCAGGAGCCTTATCCGTCTGTGGTCCATCGGAAGCCCCCGTCTCAAACTCGCTGGTTTGCTTTTTGTGTTCGGTCATCCTGGTTGATCCCTTTGCGAATGGGTCCGTGGTTACACCGCCAGGGACGGAGTGTAACCTTTTGGAATCGACCGTACTAGGTAGAGAGTCTCCAGTACCGGTCAAGATATCATTGACCGTCGTATCTTTTGTTGTCTAAACAATCAAGTTTTTCGTCAGTCAACAGTTTAAAAAAAACAATACGAGGAGTACGTGTATGCGCATTGACGGATCGATGGATCACAAGAAGGTGTAAAAGGAGTCGAAACTCACTCTAGGAATATCTCCTGAATTATCAGCAGCTTCATGTAATGACCTTTCCCCCAGATTATTTGGATCGGTAGATGATGCCACTTGATCCGGACGAGGTTTGGATGGAATGATTCTCGGCTCGGCAGAATCGTTGGGTACTCGAGTGCCATCTTTGGCCATGTCGAATAGGTCACCGCCGGTTGATCGTCCCGATTCCGCCATTTTCGATGATACTCTTTTTATTGTACCTGTGTGGCGGTAGTGTATTGAGATGGTACAGGGGAATACGATATCAAAGTAATCAAACGAGGTAGGTAGAATGTGGAAGAGACTACGTTGATTAGAACGTCTCGATAGATATTACTTCTACTATTAATACTCTTATCTGATCCCCTGACGACATACTTGCTACCTCACATGAGGGAGAGGTCTGCTCTCATGAAATCATTGTAATCTCTACGAAGAGCCTGGAAGTTTGTACCTGAATTATCGTCATACGGCGGAGAACATGATGTCACGAAATACATGGAGTTGATGGGTTTCATGGGTTGTGTGGCAAAAATGCCGGTGAGATGATCCGAAGGTTAAAGAAAGAAAGAACACAAAGGAAAGGAGATTGTGTCATATACTATACGAGTGTACTTGGTAACGTGGAAACATCACGATCAAAAGGGTATATGTACGAAAGGCACTCCCGTAGTTTGATTTCACTGGGAAGTGAACTGTACCGAGTAGAAACAAGATGATGCCTTCATCCGTCGCGAGGCTGAACTATTTATTCGTTCGTACAAGGCTGAGTTCACGGAACGACGGAAAACATCTCCGTCCACACCAACATACAACTGGGAAAGATATGCCGAGGTACAAACCACGATCAACCAGATAGAGGTTGTAACCGACAACCGTGTCATTCATTGATGAGAGTTTATTGTTGTTTCAAATAAACTACAGAGGATATACTAGGTAGAAAAACAGAAACTCATCACTTTTGGAATCATCCAACTATCACAAACAATCCTCGATCCTCAAACACGGTCTCCCAACCTCTCCTACTCGGACGACCTTGATACTGTCAACACAACTGCATCAAAAAAAGCACAAGCAAAATGGAAGGACCAAACAACGGCATCGTTCTATATCATTACTCCTTTTCACCCTTTGCCAGGAGAGTACTGTGGTATCTCACTCTTCGAGGTATAGATTATGCAGAATGTGTATGTTGTGACGGGACTGTTGCAATGACGATATTGTTCTAATACACTCCTCCCACAGAAACAACCTCCTACAATGCCTCGACCAGATTTGAAAGCGTTGGGTGTCAACTATCGCCGAATACCAGTCATGGCTATAGGCCGCGACATCTACTGTGATACTCGCATCATGCTGCGCAAGCTAGAAGAGCTCTTCCCCAATAGTCCACTGCGTGCTTCGACCTCTGAAAAAAAAGCAATAGAAAAGTTCCTTGAGGTGTGGACGATTGAAGCGGGGATATTCGTCCGAGCCTCTCAGCTCATTCCCACAAATATGCCACTTTTGAATGACCCCAAATTCACCAAGGACCGAGAAGACTTTTCTGGTCGCTCATGGAATAAAGACCAAATTGCAGCGAACAGGCCCGAAGCACTTGCGGCCATCAGAAATGGCTTCAAATTTCTGGAGACAACCGTCTTAGCGGACGGACGGCAATGGGTCTTGAAAACAGACCGACCAACTCTGGCCGATATCGAAGGTGAGCAAAAAGTACACTGCAGCTGGCTATACTTTAGCTAATGCGAGAACGTAAGCTATCTGGCCCTTTGATTGGCTCAACGGCCTCAAAGGAGCATTGCCGCGGGAGTTGATTTCTGAGAAGCAGTATCCTCTGGTGTTTGCCTGGATGGCCAGGTTCAACAAGGAGCTTCAAGAAGCCAAGGCCCAAAGACCGAAACCGGCCTCCCTAAAAGGTGATGTTGCAGTGCAACGTATCCTCAGCGCCGGCTTTGCTCAAAAAGGGCCAGGGGTCGACATCGACGATCCTTTGGCGTTTCAGCCTGGGACGGAGGTAGAAGTGTTTCCCACTGACTCGGGAACCAAGCATCACGACAGGGGACGACTCGTCGGTCTCGACGAGGACGAGGTGGTGCTGAGCATCCAGACACAGGGTCGAGAGCTGCGGTTGCATTACCCAAGGACGGGGTTCAGAGTCAAAGCTCTCAGACCTGGAAGTCATGCGAGACTGTAGAAGCCGTCCGAGTCACTCATGGTGTTCACAATCCAATTTCCCAGGGTGTGTCCCAGCGTGGAATGTCGTGTCCCCAACCAACGGATCGTGTGCCGATCATGCCACGAGATATATGTCCGCGACGCTTGAGCTGAGACGAACAGCCGGCGCGCGTTGTATCCCTTCAAAGTACGGTGTAACACAGGCAGCTGCCCAACCGAGGGCGGATGCCCGATGTTGACGTTGAGACGGTGATCTCTCCTATCCCTTTCAAGCAGTGACGGGATATTCGTCTTGTTCCCTAGTCACAGGCGATGAAGGCTTTTGAATTCATCTTTTGCCGTCCAGACTTGTCAGATCCAGTCTAGGCCTCGCGGTTGATCACCCAAACCTTTGAGTTGTCGTACGCCATTTGCCGGTATTGAAAGTTGGCCCTAGTAGTACATAAGTCTCTTACCTTGCTTCATATCTGTGACGAGCAATCGCATGAAGATCCCACAATCGTCCCACCTTAGGTTTGTATGGCCGGGGAAGCACAATGTGATGCGTCACATGGATGGCTACCGCTTGATGCCCAACTGTAAGTAAAAGCGCATGACGCGAGGGCTGTCGGAATGCTGCGTCGGATTCGTAGACAGTTGTTGCTGCCCAAACCACGCACATTGGTTGAAGGAAGTGGCCAATGGCTTGAAAGAGACGGTCTAGTATCCTGGGGCTGCCAACACATCTGTGTCCGGGCGCTGATGGGTACCTAAGCGGCACACCATCGGCGTCTCATCCGCCTATCGCTTGGGACGAGCATCTAGAAACGAGCCTCACTAGCCAACCCAAGCTCTTCTCCATATTGCCACGCTTCGTTCATCTTCAGCTTCCCGCACAGTCATCGCCCTATCGCCTTGTCACAGCTTCAGAGTCCACTTATCAGGCAGGAGAGGTGCAGCGCTTTGCGGGCGACAACGGATATGGTTCGATGTGGTAGAGAGGAGAAGTCTCATTCTGGTCGTGCGCAGGAAATAGTAGACAGGGCTGAGCAGGGGATTTGGTTGCAGCATCAAGTATTTAGAAAACACAACAGGCGGTGGCCTCAAGTACGAGTAAAGGAAGCCTGGGTCGCCTGGTAAGCCTGGTCCGCTTCTTGGTGATAAGACGCCACGCTGTCAAGTGGACGGGGGTGGGCTTGTTAAGCATGGCTTTAGCATATGCGCCAACGGACAATCCGCAACCATTGAGGCCTCGTTCTGAGGCGGAGGAATCCTTGGGATCCAGTGCAACATCTGCATCTGCCTTGCTTTCTCTGGGCCGGTTCTGTTCTCAGTGCCCATCGCACTCATCTTCCTTCTCGCCTCGTCACAAAAAGCCCATTAACTCCATCGACTATTCGACCCAACATCCCACCGTCAGGCCTTGCATAGGCATCAAGAGGATCGCCGGTGCTTCTTGGATCATCCCACGCCACGGTACCGTCGTCTCAGGTTTTTCTAGCTTGCGTGGTATCTTCCTCTCTGGCAAAATCCCTGGTCCGCCGGCTTTCCCCTCCATCTCTCTCCCACGATCGCGGGCAACGCACATTCTCGAGCTTTCAGAAGACATCTGGGTCTCGAATATTCAACAGAGTCATAGAACTAATACTGCTAGGATATCAAGTTGGCATTGTGGATAACGATTGGTCTCTCATTTGCTTCTCTTGCAGTCGGGACAAGGGCGTATTGCTGCCTGCGCCCAATTCATCCCTCCGCTCACAACATCTCAGCTTGCTCCCACTTTGTCAAACATCACTCCGTCCCTCTCATTAAAGGACGCAATCTTTGTTTCTACATCCATTGGACATCAATCCATCCGGAACTCCTGGGGGCTTTTTTTCCTGTGGATCTGAATTCGCCTGGACCGTTTTAGTCTACTGGATTTGTTGACCAGATTCCGGATTGCCGCTGATCCTGCGACTTGAGTGTGCTCTCCTGAGACAATCCATTTCCCTATTTGTCTATTATCTCACTATTGCTGCCCAACGGACCAGGACTGTCTTGCCCCTCCAAGGACTCATTTATAGACTGTGCCAGCAGCATGTCGCGCTACGTTGATGACCCAGATTACCGCCGCAGCGAGCCTCGCCACTCCTCCAGAAGAGAACCTCGCGAGCGTGACCACAGAGATCGTGGTGATACTACAAGAGACAGAGACAGAGACAGAAGAGTTGTGGACGATCGAATAGACCGAGATACCAGGATGAATGATGTTATCGATACCCGTATGGACACCCGAATTGATCCTCGGATGGACCGTGTGAATACCAGAATGGACACCCGTATGGATTCCCGCATAGACACCCGTATGGACGACCGTATGGATATCCGGACAGACACGAGAGCAAATACTGCCTCACGATTGAATCCAAGACCCGATCGTGCCGTGGACAGTCGGAGTGCTGAACCTGATCCTTCTAATGTCCTATTTCGAGACCCAAGGACTGGAGAATTGTACCGCGAAGTGAGGCCAGAAGCCACGTCGAGATCCCCTTATGCCGGAGATGATCCTGATTATGATATGCCACCATCTCGAAGCCGAACTACCATCGACCCTCCAGTTGCCAGAGATCGTGATGGTTACAGGCCAGGAGGCCCCGGATTGTCCGAATATTTTTGCCCAGGAGAAGGAATTGATCGAGAAGTCATCCAGCACGAAATTTGCAAATACCTTGGACAGGATGCCACATGCCGGCCAGGCCGAAACCCTGAAGTACGCGCCACATCGACTTGGTTTCCTGGTAGGTGCAATATGCTGACGTAGCGTGTAGGGTCGGTCTGGTTACTGGGTCAAGGCCTATCGCCCTTTCACAACGGTACGCCTGGAGATGATGTAATGACGGCACAATTTGTACTAACCAGACTGTGTAGGCAATGGAACAATCCCTTCGTGACGATACCATCAAATGGCAACGTGAACGAGAACGCAGGACAAGACAAGGTCGTTCTCAAGGTACGCCTTATAGCGACTGGCAAGCAAACCGATCTAAGGATCGTGTAGGTTCTTATGCCGAAATGCAAGCCCGACAAGAAAGAGAACGTCGATATCCCGGAGAAATGGACCTGGATGATGATGATTTTCGCCAGCCTCCCAGGCATCGTGATCCCCGTGATCCGGATCCTCGTGATGCTCCTCGCGCTGTTGGCAGTGGACGTGTATCTATACCAGTCACCAGTGGATATCCCCCGGAACCGCCTTATCCTGCCAATTCTTATGCCATATCTTCCACCCGAGAAGGTTACCCGCCAGGCCAATCCACCTACTACAACCCAGATCGAGAGCCCAGGACTGCTTTTGGAGGCGGTGGAAATACGACGCCTCCATCTATGAGCCGTGCCGGTCAACCAGGAGCATATGGTCAGCCAGGATATACTTCTAGAACAGGACCACCAGTCTCGGCCCCAATAGCCGCTCCGTATGGAGATTCCCGAAGAGAAGTAATGGGTGCTTATCCTACCAGCTATTCTGATCCTCGTGGTCACCGTAGGTGATAAGGCGGTGATACCTTCTCTAACCATTCCATGCATTGTTGCAAACTCGGTTTTGTGGCCACTCAAAATTTTCTGTACCATGGCAAGGAACGTCGGCTGAGCCGATGCCTCCAGGGAACTCTCTTTCTATCTTGGACTCTTTTGCCGCAGCATCAAAGACGACATATTTTCGGATCCAGAGATGTTTCTCTAAGTCAGTGGATGATCACCGCACGGATGCTCAAATGTTGATGATGCCATGAATACGCTGGAACCACGATTATCGAGCTGCCCACAGGTTTCGTGTCTTGCTCGTATGGAATACAGCAAAGCGATCAATACTGGAGTTTGCCATTGTCGGCATTTTTCCTGGATTATAGGAGGCTTTCTCGATTACACTCAAAAGGGTTTTTTTATTTTCCTCGCACTTGTTATACACCATGGCGGTGCCGGATTCTGCGAATATGAAATTGTTATGTACCTAGCATCTGGTCGGTGCTTTTGAGATGATTTATTGATGGTGTATCTGGAAGCAATGTTGAGACGGATGATTACGATAATACAACAACCTCAATTCACCTGTGGACAATATCTCGATGCTTTTCCAGATTGAAACAGGCTTAATTTCTGGCGATTCATCCTGACTGGCCAACTTATATTCTTGCTCAGCACATTCTTTTTGTCCACTATCATGGCCTGGAGCTGATTGTTCACCATGTCCAGTTTTGCAGTGATCTCGCAGACATCAATATCTCCATGCCCACCTAAGGAACAACTTGACACTGTTCAGTCGTGTCATCTGGAAGCGCTCCGTCTTCTGGACCCAGTGCGTTTTTGCAGTCTTCCATGGATCATTACCCCGAGACCCTTTATCGTGCATGATCTCTGGATCCTACCTCTCGTGCATCACTTCACTGACATCTCTCTTTGACCAGACTGACTGTATTTCAGAACGCTCCCGTCGCCATCGAAGTTTGACCTTGCTCTCTCAAGGAAGACCCCTGCTCTTACTTCTGTCAAGTCGCTATTATCCCACCCTCTTTTGTCGAGGGCCCACCAGCGGAGAAAGCACATATGTGAAGACTGGGCTCAAGGGTTACTCTGGTCGTAAGCGTCAAATGAAGCTACAATGAGAAAACCAATCTTCCCAAAAACTGACACAAGCCTCATGTCCACTGCCTAACAACATTCACAACTTGTCACTCTGATACACGCCATTCCTGCCTCACTCTTCACTTCAAGCAAGTTTGTCGCCCTTACATCCTTTTCACTGCCAGGCGACAAAAAAAATCCTTGTCCTGCCAAGGAGGTTCAGTCTGTCTCATCCATACTTAATCCTTGACTCGGAATTGTTTTCGTGTTGACCACCTTTCATAGTCCTTTCTTCCCATCTCTAGTCAACCCTTTCGCCGTCGAGATAATCTCCTCATCATCTGCGCGTGACAGCATCAATCAAGATGGCGGTATCTTCAACTCAAGGCTTTCCCAAGTTTGGTGACGGGGATGTCCTTCTGATTGTCTCGACGACTCAGTACTACAAACTCCATTCACAAGTCCTTTCGACGCACTCCCAATGGTTTGCAGACCAGATTGCGGCAAGACCGCCTCCTCGACTCAACGCACAAGCTCGTCGGGAGAATGCAGCTTCTTATCGATTTGAATTGCAAAACATTCCAGGAGAAGAAGGACCAGGACGGTTCATTCGCATTGTACAGTCTCACCCCCATTTGCCCCCTTCCCTTGCTGTCTCTTCTGGTTTGGTTCGTCTTGGTTCTCGTAGAACTTTTGGAGCACATCCAACTGATGATTTTCTTGTACTCCAGGACGTCAACGAATCCGGCCGGTCGGCCCGGTCTTCCCTCCCTCTGGTGCCCAACTTTGAAAATGGCAAGGTGGAAAGCATGACCAACCAGTCGTGGGACTGGCTCTTTGGGGTGTTTTACAACCGGGAACCGCGCTTCGACGACGGGTCGTTGGCGTCGGTGCTCACGTGCGTCATGGCGCTGATCGAGGTGGCGGAGTCTGTCAGCGCGATCGACCACGTGCGCGACATCGTCGACCTCGCCCTGATGCGCCAGGACCAGGTCCTGTGGACGTCGATCATGGGCAACCCGGTGGTGTGGATCGAGCTGGGCCGGCGCGTGCGGTCCCCTTCCATCTACCGCGAGGCCGCCGTGCACCTCGTCGGACAGTGGGGGGTGATCGCGGAGGAGGACAAGGACCGGATCGGCGGTGACATCCGAGCGGTGCTGGACCGCAAGGCCGAAGAGTTGGCGCTCGCCAAGGAGGCCATCGAGATGCGCATCCTGGGCCACTACCCTCAGTTCATGATGCGGACGGCGGCCGAGAAGCCCGGTCGCCCCTCCTACAGCGGCGACATTTACATGTGGATGAGCGTCTGTTTCTTCAGGCAGTGGTTCGCCCAGAACGTCAGCGACGACCGCACCCGCCGGGCCCCCGACGGCGGTCTCAACTTCTACAGCGCCCTCCACGAGGGGGGCGGCGCCTACCTGACCCACCTCGACTTCAAGACCTTCCACCAGTACTTCCCGATGAGCATCAAGGCTTGCCACGTCCTGGAGGCCAACATGGGCGTGCTCAAGGAGGACGTCAAACAGTTTGTCAGCGAACTGATGGAGGAACGTACTCACCTGAAACGTTCGGACCACGAAATCACCTGGTTGACTTGTGCCCGGGTGGAAAAGGAAGACATGCCTTGGTTTCCCGCTGCCACTTCGGGTTCAGGGTCGGCTTCCGGGGCGGCAGGCCACAACAACAAGAGAAGACGTCAAGACGAAGAGTTGAGACAATTGTATGATGTCTTGGGCCATGAGAATGACATGCTAGCAGCTACCACCGGTGGTCATGGTCATGGTCAAACACATACACCGTCAAGAAAGTCACAAAAGACCCAAAGTCCGAGAAATCATCAACGAGGAAAGAAACGTGCAAGAAGAGTCTTGGTTGATGATGTTGACGATGACGATGATGAGGGCTATGGCGACGACGACGACATCCAGGGCATGATGAATGATGACGGCGGCGCTCATCAAGGGTTCGACTTTGACGGTGTCGCTTTGGGCGTCGCCGGGGCGGCTGGCGGTCTTGGTACTGTCGGCGGTGTCGTCGGCGGTATCGGCGGTCTGATTAGCGATGATGTCTTTGACGACGGAGACGAGAGTGGAATGTTTGTGCCAGAGGACAATATGGATTTCATTGACGAGGACAACTATTGAGTACCGAAGACTCAGTACCCAAGGCAACGACACGACACGACACGACACGATGCTCGAGGGTTAACATTTTTGATAATTACTCTACCAGCAACGCCCGGTTGAACTTGCTTTCCATGGCGAGACACTTACTACGACCACGAGAACGAAAATGGGTGCTTGGGAATGTCTATCCTTCCTGGTGACCGGCCAAAGACTGGGACGGGCTGAATATGACCGGGGAGAATTGCCTTCCATTTTTTTGACGACTCTATGCGTTCTTGTTGCTGCGCGGGATAGAAAGGCTGAATGATCTGGATACCGGATACTGGATTGGATTGACTTGGACTCCCGGTTTATGCTTGTTCTTGGCCTCTTTCTGCTCAAGAAGAGAGGAGAGAGAATTATGAGTCTTTTTCAGGACTGAACAATCCCACGGGAGTCGCACCGAGTATTATGTGCTAATTATGTGGCATCGTGCGTGCGACATGAATAGTGCAGATCAAACAGTCAATATCATTCGAATGCTTTCCATGTTTCGTTGAATTTTTATTTCTGGTATGTCTTTTCTTCTTTCTGTTCCGCCTCTCTTCCTTTTCCTTCTTTCGAGGGGAAGAGAGACGAATAAGCATATATACAACCCAGCAGGTAATGCAGTGTGATGATCTTGTCAAAATCCTTCTTCTGATCTTTGTAACCGCTAAAATAAAATTCCCCTGCTTAGCTCTCCCCTCTTCTCGTATGAAGTGTCTCTCTTCTTCCGAGTTCCTCCCGACATATCTTGGCCCCTAGGTGTGAAATTGACTCTGTCCAGGTCTCAAGCACAAGCGTAGCCATACCAATCCCATTTCAAGCGTGATGACAACTCATTTCGGATCGTCGAAACCTTCTGGTATCTTTCTAGGTCCAGTGGGCACTATAAGACAAAGAATGGTCAGCCGTCGACTCTCCAAATTCATGCCACTTGCGATATAGACTGTAGAGCTGCATATCTCTTTTTCTTTTGCAGGTCCTTGCGACCCGGTCTTTGCGTTTCCATTCACCTATCGTGCGGACGTGTCTGTACATCCTCCTCTCTCCGACACCGAGCTCTATTCTTCCAAAAGGGACAAAAACACTTACCGGGATAGGTCAGAGGAATCTTGGGAGGATCCTCGTCACCGGCCCATCTCCTCAGCGGCGGGATGACGAGGAACGAAGCCGGGCCCATTGCGCCTAACACGCAGCTCCAGAAGATGGCGGGTTTCTCGTGCATGCACCACCGCAGGTACGTGATGGGTTGACCCCAGAAGCGCTGGGGGATTCCGGACATGTTCGAGGTGTATGTTCTTTTTGCGTGTCGAGGATCTCAAAGGGAGGCAATCCGCCTCTTACTCGTTGTCGTGCTCTTGGGTTTGGGAGAGCGAGAGGTACGGAAAGGACAAGAAGCTCCGGGTGCGTCTGGTGGTTGTTCGGGCGTGGGGGAGAGATACGGCGACCTCTTACGGGATTCAGACTTCGAGGGGACGTCAAGCTCCTTCGTCTCGTACTCCGTAAAGCTCGTCGAACGACCGCGCTACTTGAGCTATTTCGTGTACTGGGAAACTATTCTTCTTCGATCTGGTCGTCGGCTGCGGGATGGGAAACTCCAAGATCCAAGGGACGAAGGTTCAAGGTCGGAAAGACCCGCCGTAGAACTTGGCGTATATTGTACGGTAGAGTATTTCGTCAATGACTTGATCAATGTCTGGTACGAGTACAGGAGATCACCATCACAAGGGGTATCACTTCTCAGGTTCTCATGTTCTGCATCTGCATGTTCATTTCTGTCATGGACTATTCCGCTGCCCTCCGGATGATTTGGCAGATCAGCAAGCAACAGTAACATCCAGCTCTTGGGATACCTTCCAGAACCCACCCAAGTATTCCGTCTTCATGGAAATTTACCTCCGTTGATCCCAGGAGCTAGTAAGACTTTGAATCCTCTCTTGTTATCAACCAAGATGTCCCGGTCAAGCTCTTGACAGTCCTTGTTACTCGATGACTGCTCCTGAGCCTTGCAGCCATGATTCGAGGGATCAAAGTCTGTTTTTCATCTCACTTCTTGACCAACGAGACCCCCCTTTTGAGCTCGAGCGTCCCCTTTCCAGATCATGCTGCCATGTCCTCCCCCGTTGTGATGAACTGCCACTCCTTTTCCCTCGCCATGACTTCAACCCTGACCTTCGATGCGGCTCCAGAACCCACAAGGGATGTTTCGATTCAAGTACCAATGCCGATCTGCCCATTTTGCCCGGATGAAGTACGTGCGGACGTAGACGCGGTGGACGAAACGGTGAGCATCGGGGGGCGGTTGAGCGGACTGCCGTTCCTGCAGGATGGGCATCGCAAAGATGGCCTGGCCGAAGAACTGGTGGTCAGCCGTGACGAGATCGAGAAACCGTTCAACCTCGGCGTCGGTAGCCTCCCCCGTCTCGAGAAGATTGGTGTAATAGTCGAAGATCAAGTCGGCATATTCAAAAACGTCTTCGGAGTCGTCCCACATAGGTCCTGTCTTCCAAAAGGTAGGGTTCAGTTTGTTAGGGTTGTACGTGAACATTCTGGCCATGTTGTCTTTGAGGGAAACGGTTCGATTGATGGCAGGACAAAGGAGGAGATGAGGGAAGGGACAATGTGCCAAGCGCATTTGTATAGTCTAGAAGAGAAACATCTTGTCGGCGCTCAGTAATCATCAGTCACAGTGAGCGCCAAGTTAGACTGACGCGGGCACGTACTCTTGAACTCCTCAAAGAAAGGCTGATAAATTTGCGCTGTCTGCATACTCGTTACCTTGAGTTTGAAGGGAGTAAGTTTTTGTGATCGATTGTGGAAATTCAGATGACTCAAGTTCACCAAAAGTTGCAAAGGAACAAACGAACCGCAAATCTCAATCTATGCAACTAGCACATTCATAACTTCGTGATTCATTGATGACCAGGACCGATGCAATAGCAATCGCTCTGTCAAAGACACCTTCTACTCAAATTAATCCCCCAACCTCTAGTGAAATATCATTACATGATATACACCTTCTTGACCTCACTCCAATCGAATATATCACCAGTGGTGGGATCCCTCACCTCTCCTTCTTGTCCAATCACCAAATCCTTGGCACCAGCCTCTCCGCCGCCGCCGACTCCAGCCATGGCAAGCTTTCGCTGAAGCTCTTCCAGTCGTGCACGTCCATATATGCGTCCATTTGGCAAAACCACTGGATCTGATTCGACTGAACTGGTAGTATGATGGGCGTATGGGACCTCTCGAGCCAAGTCATTGAGCTCCATGCTACATATGGGGCACAAAGAGGTGTTGGTAGCTATTCGAGCGTGGCCTGGGGTTGAAGAGCTAGCTGGGTTGTAAGCACTGTGGCAAGCTGGTGTCTTAAGTGCCGACAATCCAGCAGAAAGAGCAACGTGTAAGAGTGGTTGAACTGGAAGAGATAGTAACGTATGATGGGTTTCGACAAATAGATCGGCCAGATGACGCCATCGTGAAGGGGCAAACAGTTCATGATATGCTTCAGCACTAGACTTTGGAGTCTGAGCCAGCAATCCTGCGGCTTGCATGACGGCGTCCGGCCTTGAAGAGCTGTGAGGAGTGAGATACTGCTGGGCGTGTATTGCTGCTTCCAGTCGTTTTGCCGTGGTTCCAGCTCGAACAAGTTCAATAAACTGCTGAAGCCGCAATTCGAATTCAAGATTCGTGGATTTGTGAGGCGCTGTGATGAGTTTCCTTAGAGAGTTCTTGTTCTCGTTGATCCATCCCAAAGCCTCCTTTGTCTCCCCTCGCATCAAAGATGAGGCAATCTTGTGGCACGCAACAAAAACGCCGAGATCGATGAGATGTGAGATTTGTTTGGATTCTGCGAGTAGAGACGCGGTCTTCCAATACCCGGTGCGAAGTAAATAGTCCACCATCAGACGGTCAAGTCTTGTGCGAGACCATTGCTCGTACTTGACGTCAACCAGTGAGGGAATCTGGTAGAGATCCTGCAGATGTCTGATACGTTTGGCCGAATGATCGTGCAGAGCTTCTTCCTCTACGTGTAACTTTTCCAGCTTACGCTTGACATTCTGCATTCTCTGAATCATGGAGTCCAGGGACGCTAGGGTCTGGTCGGGGGTCTGAGAGGAACTGAGGGCGGCATTCGCGGTGTCTTTGAGGGCCGGTAAAATGTGATCTCGCTCACGTTCTATGTAGCGTTGAGTATTTCGGAAATTTCGTTTGACGAGTTCATGAGGGAGCCGTAGGAGGGGTTGGTCCTTGGACATCTGTCAGCAAGCGAGGAGTGGTATTTGAGTGAGCAGGCAAGACATTACCAGAAGGACATGGCTGTCCGGGTTCAATTTAGTACTTGAGAGTTCGGCGGCCATGGTGAGAGTATAGTCGGTGGAGAAGAGATGTAGTCGTACCTTTCGGACAGCAACCTACAAACTGTTGTGCCTCTTCAGCATAAAGCATATCTTGAGGTTATAACTACTGGTTGAGGTGGAAGTGCCAGATGATCTATCTATTGGAGCCTCGACCCCAATCAAGTGATGGCATATGGAATTCCACGCGCTCCACAGTAGAGTTTCTACGGTCGGTCACAAAGTGTTCTTGAGACATCACCATAGAAAAAGCTACGGCAATGTACACGGCACCAACAATAACGCATGGATCAGGATGCTTGTAGACATGATTAGTACCTATGAGTACGGTCTACGTGAGTCACTGTGGTCCAATTCGATATCTTAACATTTAGTGTCCAAAGTCATCAATGTACACATCAACCAACGAGGGAGTAGCCCAGATCTTTCCCTGTGCCCATTGCCACAAGTCTTTTCCGCATTGCCTCAGCTCGATTACCCTTTGGTCCTTCCATGGAAAATTGTGCCCTTTCGACCCAATCACCAACGCCATGCTGCAGTACCTGTCTCGCACGCTCGGGTCCATAGCCCGCCAGTCCGATCGATCCATGCAATGTCATTCTACCTAGTTCCTGAGAGGCATCGATCCCCTTATAGACCCCGCGATGCAGGATGTTGCTATCGTAGAAGACAGCATCGCCAGGCGCCAATCTAACCAAGAGCTGATCCGGTAAGTTTGCCTCGTAAGGGGCTGCGTTCCGCTCCGTTTCGGTGCGCACACGTCGATGGCTTTCAGGCACCACTATAAGTGAGGCATCGTCGAATAGTGCAATATTGTACTGGGCATGCAGCTGCTGGCCACCGGGGCTCTTTTCCTTCAGTTGTTTCTCTTCCTCCTCAGGGGTTACATCTGGGCGAATATCGTCTCGATGCCAACACAATTCAAAGTCTTGGTTCTCGGCAGGACTGACGAGCAGATTGAAAAGCTCCATCACCAATTTCTCATCGCCTTGATGATCATCCTTCAGACCAACTAGCTCCTTGACCACTGAGAGGACTTCGTCTGAGAAATATAACTCGGCAAAAGTGTCCCTGGTTCCCATGTCGGGATGCAAAAGGTGTTGGACTCCCCAGATGTTGTCGCCGGCCTGCCATTCGTGCCATGGCGGGTATTGTTTGGGAACTGTACGGACATATGGCCACTGTCCTCGCCTTGCACGGTCTGTGGTATATTTAGACGCTCCTTTTAGGCCAAGAAGTAGTTGAGGAGACAGTAGGTTTGGTATTTTCACAAAGCCATCGCGTCGGAGGGCGTCTAGGTATGGAGTTGATGATGTGCCGGTCATTGTCATTGGCGTACCTTTCGAGTCCGCTGGTATGCTGGGAGACGTCGAATTGCGGTGACCATGATGCTCTGAGAGAAGGACTAGATTGACTCCAGTACCAGTTGTAGTAGAGTGTCCCCTGCCACCCCCTCTCTTCATGCGGGGAATATCTGGTTGTTCCATGGCACCTTCTCTATCGAGTGTTTGATAGATAAAAAGCTCCAAGTCCTACCAAAGGATCTCGAGTGTGTTTCGTGTGCTAATCAATGGTTTTCTTTCTTGGTGGCACAAGACCCAGGCTCATAACTCGAGTTCAATCTCAATGCTTGCGGGTATGGAACAGCATATCAATACGCCGTCATCTCCTTCTAGACACCCTTCGATGTGCCCCTTGAGCAGTCGCACTTCGCATGTTCCACATGCACCAGATCGACAACCGAAATCTGGCTTCAGCCCTGATTTCTCTGCGAGTTGAAGAAGAGTTAATCGCTCCTTGGAACGCCACGTCACTGTCATATCCGACTTGCGAAACGTCACTGCCGCTTCTTCGATATCAGGCATGCTGAAGGACACGTTGTAATGAAATCACTGTTTAGACGGTCTAAAGTAGTAGGAGAAAATGCGTCACAAGTCAAGACCAGCCAGTTCCAGGACTCTTAAGTAGTTCATATACATAGTGCCGGATTTCTGGCCGTTCCATTGTGCGGCGATAACCGCCTCATGCTTCCACGGATAATTCCCGAGAGACATTCCAGACTGCGGAATGTGTTGAAGGGATTCAAGTCCGGTTAAGCATAAGAGAACGCATCTCATGTTTGTTTGATTCGAAGAAGAGAATGTATGCCTCATGGTCTATCTGATCCGAAGCACGAGAAAATGCATCATTGTCTACATGCTTCACAGCAGAAATATTTTATTGCATACACCACCTTTCTTCGATTGACGCTGTTTCTCGAAGTTCATCGGTCGGCAACAGTAACGGCAGGATTGTTCCTTCTACAGCACTAATACGGTGTGTTGCGAGGATATCGGAACGCTTCATTGCACGGTGTTGTGTTGAAGCCAACTGCAGACGAAAATGTGCAAATTGAGCTGAAATGCTCTCAAATGTCGGCTTCACCAGGCCTTCCAGATCTGTCGGGGCTGCATGGAAGTTTTCGAGAGGTACATTAAGGAGTGGCATCTCGGCTTCCCCAGCCCGTCAGCTGTCTTCCGTGACAAAGACGCACAAGCGGCGCACTCCTAGCCCATGCCGCCTAGAGACCACACGGGATGCGCCGGTTGGCCAAGTGAGGCCACCATGTTTTCCAGGAGTGAGGACGGTTACGACGAAGGCACAAGGTGAACCGGTGCCGAACGAAAGGACGACCAGCGACAGTCAAGTCGACGAAATTGTTAAACCACCCCCACCTACCTCAGGTCAAGTCGGGAGCGCGCCATCAAACGATCTCCTGTCGAAACAAGTCAGAGCACTCATGCGTCACGTCGCGCATCCAGTCACAGTGATCACTGCTACAGATATCTCTTTTAGTCCCAAAGGAGACCCTCGATCTTGGAAAGGAGCCACAGTCTCATCTTTCAACACCGTGACACTTGATCCAGACCCGATTGTTTCGTTCAACATCAAAAAGATTTCGTCAACTTTTCAAGCCATCGAGAATTCGGGCCATTTCGCTGCTCACTTCATGTCCGGTCTCCAACCACTATCTGTGAGAATAGCCATCAAATTCTCACGCGGCAATCATGCATCACCTTTCCACAACGTTGACGGAAAGCTAAACGAACACGCCATAAAGCACAATGCCCATACACTCACGGGAAAGCCGCCAGTCTTGCACCACGACTCGAGAGTTGTACCGCTGCGCTTGGCTTGCGAATATATGCCCTCGAAGTTGGTACACATTGGGGACCATGTGGTTGTTTTTGGTCGGGTGACGTCGGTGGACTACCCCACGGAGATGCCTGAGCTGGTCGGTGCAAAAGGCCTCACACCGATATTGAGCTATGCAAACGGTGGGTACGGCCACAATGGCAGGTTCAATACGTACCGTAGAGTTCAGCTAGAGGGGGAGATACCAGAGACTTTACTCGATCCGAAGACTCGTCAATAGAAGTGGTGATGATGCACTCCCAAATACACCGAACCCCCGAGCAACGTTTCTCCCGTGGATGGTTTATTCAGTCCAGGTATTGGTGCTCTTAGAGACAGGCTTGGCTTTATTGCTGTCCAGCGAAGACATTTGTTAATTCACGTCTCCTTTAATATGGTCTGTTTGGTACTGGACCCGTTTGTACTATGTATACTAGCACCCTGATGTAGGTTTACGACTCAACCTGAGCAGGTGTCAATGAGCCACAGATATGATAATTGTGTCTTGGCTCAATACGATGAGTGCATCGGTTGTTTCGAAGAATTGTCTTCGTAATGCTCCATGGCCTGATCCCTGATTGCTATACCGCACTAACCCGATTAGTCGAGAATATCAGACCAAGAATCCAAGCTTGAATCTCTCTCACCACTCGCGGATCTAGTTGGGACGCTCTTCTTTTATGACACTGTAGAAGTCACCTCCATCTGGTTACCAGTCGTGTGACTTCCCATCATGCCTGCCAGACTCCCAGGCTCGGGGCTACGTTCTAGCTTCATATGCGCCCAGTGCTGTAAATCTCTGACCTCATCGAAGCGAAGACGTCTTCTATCAACCACGGCGTCTTCAGCACCAGAAATCTACGATGTCGTGACAGTCGGCGGCGGTCCAGCTGGACTTGCACTCCTCGCAGCACTCAGTATGTTTGTCTGTATACCCTTTCCACGGACACAACGGCTAATCGATCCAGAATCCTCTCCCGTCACATCACACCTGAAAACTGCACTAATTGAGCTTCAAGACCTCACCAAGAACCGCCAATGGACTTCTCCATCGGATCAGTATTCAAATCGCGCAAGTAGTCTCACGCCCTCATCGATCTCGTTCCTCGAGTCGACTGGCTCGTGGGTGCACGTCGAACAATCACGTGTCCAAGCCTACGATGAAATGCAGGTATGGGATGCCGCGAACGACGCCAGTATCCAATTTGACTGGACCTCCGAGACTCAAAGGTACAATGCACCTCCACAGACCATAGCCACCATGTGCGAGAATACCAACCTGACACGCGGACTGATTGAACGAATTGTCGAATTGGGCGCGGAATCAAGTCTCTTTGCGAATACGAGCGTGTCGGGTATTACCAACGGCAAAGACGATCCAGCAGGTTTGAATCTCTCTTCTTGGCCGATCCTCAACCTCGAATCCAAGTCATCACCATCATCATCCTCCTCCTCCACTACGAGCCTTGCAGCACGCCTCCTCGTCGGCGCCGATGGCTTCAATAGCCCCGTCCGCACATTCGCAGGGATCAACTCATCGGGCTGGGACTACAATCGACACGGCGTCGTGGCTACACTATCGATTCAAGATGGCCCATCGGCCATTTCCTCCCACGGCACCGATGAATCATCTGATTTCAACTTCGACCTTTTCGCCTCAGAACCGCTCCCCAACCGAGCAACAGCATACCAACGCTTCCTCCCGCAACTAGGCGGCCCCATCGCCATCTTACCTTTGCCAAACGGACACGCATCGATGGTGTGGTCGACGACACCCGCTTACGCGACCTACCTCAAGTCTCTATCTCCATCGGGACAATTGTCCATGATCAACGCCGCTCTACGGCTCGGGCAAACCGACCTGAAATACCTCTTAACTCTACCCTCCGACTCTCCCGACGCTCACGAGACCGAGCTCCGTTGGCGTCTCGCACACACAGACGCCCCCAGCGTCGCACGCCAACCGCCCGTTGTCACGGGTGTCCAGGAGAAGAGCATGGCCAGTTTCCCACTGCGCTTCCGTCACGCGACCAGCCTCATCAACCCTCGCGTCGCACTCATTGGGGATGCAGCTCACACGGTTCACCCTCTGGCGGGACAAGGGTTGAACCTGGGCCTTGCGGATGCGCAGAGCCTCGCGAGTTGTGTTGCCTACAGTGTCGAGCACGGCATGGACATTGGCGACGCTATGGCTCTGGAACGCTATTCTTCGGATCGATTCGGAAAGGGCTTGTTGATGGCCGGAGGCGTGGATGCGTTGAATTCCTTGTATCAGATCGGTGCGGCTGGGGAGGGCATGTTGGCGAGCGTCGCTGGACGTGCTAGGGGCGTCGGAATGAAGGTCATCAATGACCTTGTGCCAGGGTTGAAAGGGTTGATCATGAAGCAGGCAAGCTGAGCTGGACTCCCTACGACATCGAACCTGTATAGTATGGTCCCCTTGCGGAGTATAGAAGATATGCTCTTCACGCAGGGTGTCGATACTGAAGGCGGAAGACAATGTGTAATGATAGCGCAGCGCAACTCGACTGAATAGTCACCACAATTACGTCCACAAAACTTGGGCGAATGCAACGACTTCCGAGCACGTCAGACACTTAGAACTAGGTCCGCAAAGTTGAAAGATCAGACAGTCTCGTTGAATTGCAGAATTGTAGAATTTTTGTATCAATTTGAGATTCTCATTGTACAGGGGTATCACTTGGTAGTTGCTAGTCTTACAGTATTCCGTACAGTACTCGGTAGATCGGTCCGTATATCTGTGTTTGGCCTTGAACATATTTTTTGTTCTTTCTTCTGAAATGTTATTTCAAGGGCGCAACAATGGACCATCTCGAATCAGCTCTATCTTTCCGTCCACCGTAAACAGGTTGAGGCTTCGGCCACGATTCAGGGCTGAACTTGGCGTCTCCACGCAGCAACGTCTTGACCAGAACATCCGTGGTACTGACGAGCTTGTCGTAGGACGCATCGATTCCCGATGCACTGAAGATGAGCATCTCGAGCGTCCCTTGTAACTTTGCCGGGGCGGTTTTGGCATCTTTGGACCCCGAGAGAGGCTTGCCCGTGGTGTGGAGGCCGTTGTTCCTCATGCTGTCCGCGAAGGCGTTGGCCCATCTTCTTTTCAGGCGGTTGCGCATCACGGCTTTCGGGACGAGTTTGTGGCTCGTGGCGGAGACCACCCGCCACGTGAGGACGTCGGGGCGTATGTCTGAGTATTTATCCCGGACGGCGAAGACGTTGGGGTGCCATCGAGAAGCAAAGGACTTTTCGTCGAGCGTCGACGGGCGAACGAAGGGGCAGTATTGGGCTTGGAGGCCGAGTCCGGAGCTAGGGAAGCGGACGGGTTTGAAAGGGGAGAGGGCCATGACGACTGGAGGCCATCGGACAGGCTTCCAAAGATCAAAGGTCTTGGATCAAGGTCGGCAATTTTTGGATTCACTGGGAATTGCTGTATGAATACTTGATAGTGAGTGTATGATATATGGAGGAGTATGTACAATCGTAGACTGCTGACCTAAGCTTTCTCGGGGCAGCTCGTATTCGTACAGGAGAGTACTGCGCAGTCCTCGGGTGAGGTCTATTATTACTTACTGTATTACTCGTTGGAAGAAAAAAATCATTCAACTGACTCATGCGCCCGGAAAATTCACGGGCCCAGATTGAAAAAATACCCCGCCAAACAGAGGCTTCTGCCCACTCAACTGCCCTCTGTGTCTTTGCCTCTGTCCTCAAGTACCACCAATTACGACGCTCAGACAAAGGACAAGTCACTCGTGACAAACAGCCACTTGACTGGAACTGCGGCCCACGACGTCAATCCTCCCGCCTTCATTATTCGCCTCCAGAATCCTTTCAACAAAGAAAACAACACACCACACACATTCCCACAACACAATCAACCCCGACCCCTCTACACCTTGTCAACCCTTTCGGTCGAAATAGCACAATCAGAAGAATTATTACAGTGTGATAAGAAAGAGTCAATATGCCTAAGAATAAGGGAAAGGTGAGATCTTAAAACTCCACACACCGCAAAGAAGGCCCTTCCCAAAGGGTTTCAGATTTGCCTACACTTCGCAAACCCACCCCGCCACTACATTTGTGTCTCTCTTGACTCAATGACCATCATGACAATGAGACTGTCTTGATTTCAATGGAGACCGAAGTGCATAATTTCTCTCTCTCTCTCTCTCACACACACACATGGAGTGTTCTCTATCAGAGTGACCATTTAACTAATTGTACAATGAAAAACAGGGAGGCAAGAACCGACGTCGTGGAAAGAACGAAAACGACAACGAAAAGCGTGAACTCACGTTCAAAGAAGAAGGTCAAGAATATGCGCAGGTCGTCAAGATGTTGGGCAACGGTCGCCTAGAGGCCCTCTGCTTCGACGGCGAGAAGCGTCTGGCACACATCCGGGGCAAACTGCGGAAGAAGGTCTGGATCAACCAGGGAGACATCATCCTACTCTCGCTGCGAGACTACCAGGATGAAAAGGGAGATGTCATCCTGAAATACTCGGCCGACGAGGCCCGATCCCTCAAGGCCTACGGCGAACTACCCGAGACGGCCAAGATCAACGAGACCGACACCTACGGCCACGAAGGTGTGGATGACAATGTCGAATTCGACGAGGACAGGAGCAGTGATTCGGACAAGGACGTTGACATTGATGACATTTGAAGAGAAACCGCAACACCGAAACGGCAATGTTGTAATACGGCATTGCGTCGTGTGCGTTTGCAAGCGTCTGCATTGTTCTGTTGCTTCACGGAGAGGGTTGTTTTTCGCTTACATGGGATCATGTCATGCTTCTGCTACGCTTCGCCATGCTTAGAACTCGGAAGGAGGCGCGCACACAGACACTGACTGCTCTGGTTTGAATGCAAGGCCCTTTTTCCAAGGCTCAGTGGCCCAAAGCCAGACAGGTACTGCAGTGTGCTAGCTTTCGAACCAGACCACATATGATCATGAACGGGGGAGTTTTTTTTGTATTAGAGTACCTACGTAACGACGTTTTGGAGGAACTGAAGATCCAAACCACAACAGCATCCGACAAAACATTACTATGCCGATAACCAAATCAGATTTTCTTCCCTACGATCGATCATTGTCACCATGACTTGACTTGACTACCTGATTTCCTTTTGGACCTGCTGCGTACAGCAATGGACTATCATGCTCCATTTAACTAACCTAACATCTTGCGATTCACCATCGTCTGTTACCGACACAAGTAGTATGATTTCTTTCTTCCCCGGGTGCCATCTCGACTCTCTCATCATCATCATGTCGTATCGCAATACGTTTGATTTGATCCTTTGATACGGAGTACTCCCTTCACATGATATGCAACAACAACAACATCAACATCACCGCAACACCAGCCGACCCCAACCACTGAGGTACTTGTTTCGGTAGAATGGATTTCTGTACCATCATCGTCGTCTTCTTCTTTGTTTTTAAGGCACCCGAACCCGTAGCGAATGATGGCACTGCGCTACCCACCCCGGTCTGCACGCTCGTTATTGTCGTCGTACCCGAAGTCAACGTGGTGTGACTATAAACGTACGTCGCTGATACCGAAACTTGGGTCGTGACAATAACGACACTCAGACTCGGTGTACCTTCGCTTCCACTTTGTGTCGACGTGGTTGTTGGCGGGAGTGGTGGTGGTGGTGGTGTGTATGTATTCGTACATGTGTTTTCAGATTCAGGCACAGACACAGATCCAGAAACGACAGAAACGCCTACCGATTCAGTGGCAGTCAATGTTTCGGTTACAATAGCAGTAGATGGTTCTAAAGTTGATGACGAGACTTGACTGCCACTTTCACCGACCGTATCACTGTCGCTGGCGGTACTGCTGATAGAGCTGCTGCTGCTGCTGCTGATGATGATGATGGAGGAGGTAGTATTATTCGAGTACGGCGCTCCTGTTGTGGTCATCGTCAGAGCAGGTACTGAACCCACAACACCCGTTCCTTTTACTGTCGCCGTCGCCGTCGCCGTCACCGTACCGTTCTCGTTCGTAATGGCAATCGTGGTCGAGGAAGTTCCATCACTCTGTTCGATTTCCGTACAAGACTCGTCGACGCAACAGACCGCTTCGCCCTGATACTCTGCACAGACTCGACCGGGCTGACAATGAGACCCGTCAGAACAACAGACACTCCCGTCCAGTGGGACGCAGCCCAGCCCGGCACAGCATCCATTGCCAGAGAGGCACGCGCCGGCGCCGTTGGGGCAGCAGACGTTGTCGGGGTGGATGTGGCATCCATCTTTTGTGGTCACGTCAGCATTAGCATGACCATCAGTATCCATGCCGACATCGATATCGACGGGACAATGGCATCTCGAGAACCGGAAACAAGAACAGTGTAGGTCTCGAATGAGGAAAAGAAAAGTCCAGCATACCTGCACATAACGTTCCTGTGCAATCTTGACGTTTCAATGGAGAACGAATTGGATCCAAAAGATCAACAAAGGGCGACGATGACGGTGACGATGATGCGCCATTCGAAAATCCAAAAGGCAAAGTCCCCGCCCCGAGTGCAATGTATGAACGAGGAGTAGGAGTCAGTTCGGCGGAAGCGACACAGATGATCGAAGAGTACAACAGCAGAACCAAACCCATCATGGCACGGTAGACGAGGGTCTTTCGGTTCAAAAACACAGAGGGAAGTGGGCCGATAGGGCTGACGCAAAAATCAATCGAGTCCGTACAATTTAAACACTTCGTTGAGCTTGATGCTTTTTGTATAGTTGATTTTTGTTATGGCACTCTCTGTAAAGGAGGACAACGATCTCTGATGAGCATCCAGCATATGCCCGTGAACGTATCTTTAGGTCTTGAACGAGTCGTACAATTGAACTTGGTGTGTTATCTTTAGTCTGATGGGGCAATCTAAGTCCCCTGTCTGATTCTATGCTGTTATTGATCTTCGTCGTCGAAAACACTTCTCGTAAAGAATCTGACGATTTGTCTCCCAGACTCTCTGCCGACCAAAGGATCCAGTTCCTCCAGACTCATGTTCGCCACTTCAAGAACGTTCTTCGTCTCGAGGTATAGTCTGCTGGCATTCTTGGCCGATATACCAGGGATTGTCCTAAGGAGCTCTTGAGGTCCAGTGTTGAAAGTCTTCTCATCTGGATCCTCACCTTCCGCCAAACCGATTTGCACCGCCTTCAAGGGATCGGGTTCCTCTTGCTGCTTCTTGAGTTCTTCAAAGATTTCCGCCGTCTGGTATGGCGAAGATGACCAAATTACCTTCAGCCTCGGAAATGCAAGTGTGAGTAGAACCAACTTCGATTGTAGGTCTTTGGTCTCGGAATCTGGCGTCTTGAGGGTTGCAACGGAGGTCAAATCTGCAAAGGGATCAAGCGTAAATGACTTGTTCGCGTCAAACTCGATCAACAAGAACGGATACTTGTAATGTTGCAGCATGGTTTCGGCTTGGTTGAAAAGCCGTCCGTTCTTGAAAGAGCCGATGAGATCAGGTATTGATTTTCTCTCGACACAGATGTTTGGTGACAATACATAGTCGCCGACTGTGAGTTGGCAAGGAACGACGGCCATGCTTCGACCATGCAATAAACTAGGCAGGGCTGATCGAAATTCCCGAACATCAACCACTACCGTCGGAGGAGCGGCAGTTGCTGCAAGTCGTCCACCTCCAGCGATGCGAGTATTAACAGTGCGGAGGAAAGCTTCCTGCGGATCGACATTCGCATCCGTCATTGTGACCGCCATGGTACCACGTTCCCTGATCAATTTGGTAAAGGCATCTTTCTCGCGTCTCACAGCAGATAGATACCGTTGTTCTTCCACACTGCCACCGTAGTACATAAAATATGCACGGACGCTTCTGTCTGAATGACTCGATCGGTAGACTTCGACTCTGCGAATGAAGTCTGGTGCTGGTGAGTACATGATGATATACCTCGGACGAAGCTCTTCGAGAAGTTGGTCGTCTTGGTCACCATCATACGGATGCACCACAATCTGATCGTCAGGTTCGTACAGCTCGAAGAAATCTTCCCCTGCGTCATTCAGATTGTCAACAATGATATCCTCCTTTTGGCCAGCTTCTGACTCGGTCGGTCGCAGCTCGGCAAGCAGACCAGCAACCTGCGCAGCTTTATCTTCTGAAACAGCCACGGCACCGTTGGCACTCCGTGTCAGACCCAAACCGCCGCCGCCACCACCGCGGACGCGTCTACGCTTGTTCACGGGCGCTTTGCTGTTCAAACGCGACGCCGCAGTAGTTCCTTTGATATCATTCAGGGATTTTTGGTTCTCCTCGAACAAAGAAGCGCTGACTTGAGCAAAAGTCTTTCTCCAACCCAGATATTCTCTTAGCTTTCTTCTCATCATGAATTCGGCAGAGCCTCGTTCTTCCTCAGCTTCTATCTCATGTGGTGCTTGACCTTCGGCCATGTCTTGTGCTAACGGCTTGACGTGCATTGTTTGAAGATATTCTTTGACTTGGCGACAGGTTCGCTGATCATTGCACATGATGAGAATGGTATCGTTAGAGTCATCCCTTAATCTAGGATTGAGATACGCATCAACCTCGATCTCTCGTAAGATTTCTGCCAACACGGTCCATTTAGGCTGTTCCTCCAATACCGGACTCAGTGAGTCTGGCAGTTTCGAAGTCGGCAGTGCATTGTTGTCTTCAACCTTGCCCTTGTAGACTCGATCTTTGGCTGATTGGAAAATAGTAGATGCAGCATCAGAAAAAAGCCAAGGGGATTGATCCTGTCTTGTAGAGCCTGGGGGAGGTGAATGTGTCGCGAGTACGGTGTCCAAATACTTGAGAAGAGAGACGGAATCGTAGCTGAGGAGAGAATGCAGGACTGATCGCAAGACTGTCAGATCATTTGCGATTTGTTTTGTACGCCAGCTGACTCGATGCCACACTGGGTCGAGTTGTCGCCGGACAATAGCATCAAAATTCTGGTGCAGAGCAGAATCAGGCGTCCAGTCATCCATTTCCAATCCAGGATTGGCTTTTTTGAGCTCTGAGATGCTCATCTCTACGCATTCCATCACAGCATTCTGGATGGCTCGCATTGAATCTGTCATTGGTATTTCCAGTTCAATCACATCGGCCTTCTTCTTTCCTTCCAGGCTTTGTGCGATCGACACATGGAAGCGTGGCCATAAGGACGGTTTTCGTAAGAAAAGATTCCTCATCATAGTCGACAAGGGCGCATAAGAAGATGTGAGAGGTTCTGGGGAGTCGCTGAAAGCTTTGAGAAACCCAATCTTGTTGTGTTGTCGAAAGATGCGCGCGATGAATGCTTCAGTAGTGGTGGCAATGGCCTTTTCCGCGTGCAATACAATCAGACCGGTCACAGTCTCGGGATCTAAGAGTTTTGATAGTAAGTCAACGATGAGAATCCGGCTGGTGACGGATACAATTCCTCCTTCCGAGTAAATCTTCTCGCGAGTCGCCACAGTCGCCTTGTCGGTGTTGATAACACGGAGGCCTTTTGCGAGAGGAGAACGAGAGACGGCATAATGCTCTGCGAGAGCTTCTCCGATCCATTCATTCTCGCGATCCTCTGCTCCAACAATGATGACGAGGGAATTGCCCGCGGCATCATATGAGTGAAGCAGATTCGTGACAATCTTGAGCAGGCCTAAGCCACGAGCAAGTATCACTAGGACATCCTCGGCGCGTAGAAGCTGGAAGATTTCCTGCTGAAATTGCTATTGGAATAAGTCAGCGTAAGTCGAGGCCAGTTGATACCAGCAGTGGGATGGCGATCATATAGCGCGTAGAAAGAATCGCTTGAGATGAAAAGTCCGCTCAAGGCAGGGCTCGTTATCACTTACCAGAGGCAGCGAGAGCTTCACCGGCGGCTGAGATGTTGCCGCCGGCATGATCACATATTGTTATCCAAGATTCTCGCTGAGCGTTCGATGTGAACAGGCGTCATTGTCAAGATAGATTTTGTGCGCGTTCTACCCTATGCTTCTCCAGATAGGAGATACGGTGAAGCACATATACACTACTCTGTTACTCTCAGTTGTGAATCGACCTGGCGCTCAAATCTTCATCACTCGATACCTTGAACAACAACATGTCTTTTACGCTTTCCCATATTATCATGAACCCTTATCAGTAGAGTTCTATGACTGAGTGTCATGGTCCCGTCGCTTGGCGCTGCAAACCTTCGTACCAATGTCCTGCACCGTGCTTCAGAGTCCATCATGATAGCTACAATTCGGAAACCATTCAGTCATACAACAGGTACATTTGTCGTGGACTGTGTTAGATAGCTCTATATAGGCATCGACACCAAGCATCGCGTCTCCTGCAACTGCCTCTAGGGCTCCTTCTATCCTCAAGAATCCTTCTTGCTTATTGCCCAGCGAGATGAACCTGTCCAGACCAGTTGTCTCTGTCCCAAAAATCTTTTGGCCAGGCCGTTCATCCTCGGAGGCGTAACCGGAGTCGAGCCTGAATATGGCAGGACGTAAGGGCAGGTTTAATTTTGTTCCAGGACTGTGAGCTTTTGAGGACCTGGGTGTTCGAGGCACCGATGGTGGGACTTTTAGCTCGGCAAAATGCCTGGCGCACTCAACCGACAACACATTTAAAGACTGCTGCTGGTGGTCCGATGAGACCCAGTCTGACAGATCCTCATATGCGATGTCAAACTTCCTGGAAGCAAGTTCTTCAAATACGCTACTACCTCGAAGTATTGACCCTGGAGTCACCACTCTAAGCGTTTGCCGCCAACTTGGAAATCGACCTTCGAAGAGCTCTGTCCATCTCGAGGTCGAAGTTGTGATTTCTTGAACAGCGCTTCGAAGACTTTCAAAAGGTGTTATTCCAGCCAAGGGCTTGGTGCTTGACCCGCTGAAAAACGGCATGCAGGGTTCAAACGCGTCGAAATGTGTCTTTGTGGAGGAACAGAGAACGTGGGTGTCGATACTTGACGGTGGTATGAGGTGCATTAGCTGGTGCGCTTCATAAGACTCCCCAGAACTCCGCTTGTTTGACTCATCAGAAGGCAGGTGTTTCGAGAACTCGGCTAGAACCGATGCAGGACCTGAAACCATGACATGTTCCAATGTCACCATGCTTAGTCTTATTTTCGAGCATGGCTGGACATTTTCTTGCTGGTGGAACCTGTTCATTGCATGTTGGACAATGACCTCGTCCTGGTGAAACATCTTTGACCAATGCTTGCCAAGAGCGTCGCATCCCAGCTGAAGGGCAGCATGTTGTAAGTACGATCCCAATCGAAAAGCCACCAAGACAGATTCCACGGCGAGTGGTATCAGTGCAGGCAATGAATCAGCTGAGGCAACGGCGTTTGCAACGAGGAGGCCAAGGCCGATTCCTGCAAGGCACGTTTCTGGGGTCTGCCGAGGATAGGAAGGTGACCTATCTCCATATATGCTTGACAGTGGTTAGCAGCTTTGCACTCAACTTTGTCAGAATCACGAACCTAATAAAATGGGCAAACTGCGACATGCACAAAAGTGCGCATTCGAAGGCGGCATTCGAAGGAGACAGTATGGTATACTCTTGAATGAGCTGTTCCGGCGAGAAGTGTCCGATGTTGTCAGTGAACATTTGCGATTTGCAATCAGCTTCTCCCTTCAGCGCCTCAGTCGCTTGATGCAGAAAGTCCTGGATATGAACATTGTCACGCCTTCTGCATGCCTCGTGCAGCGTAGCATGGCTGTTAGCACTTTGATCCGCGAAAATGATAAACTCTCGCATGATGCTTTTCAAAAAGTATTGACGTTTGCTATGCTGCTCCGAGGACTACTCCCAGCTCAACCATGTCCCACTATATACTTAGTTGGTCATGTTCAACGACGTGGCAGTCCACTTTTGGTTTACGAAGCGAGACCATTGATGGCATACAAACTTGGATGTATCGATGCCTTGCCGACCGTCATTGGGTATCGACCACTCAAAAGCCAACAAGATACAATTTCAGACATCTGAGATTTCCTTTTTCAGACTCGCATAAGCTTGATCTTCTTCGTCTCGTCCGGTTGATGTTTCGTCACTACGCAACCATCGGTGACCCCATTACCACCGCAACAATCCCACTTGAACGCGTCCGCAAAGTCCGGATCGTCCTCGTAGTCTTCTGGGTCGCCATCCCTCCACGGTTCAAAATCGTCAAATTTACTGTGGTTGAAATCATAATCCCTGCTGCCTGTACGTTCACGTATTGCAAAGTCAGCAGGTGCCTATGACCGAGATGTCCGCCCAAAGCTTCAGAGTGGAATATAGCGCAACGCTGAACTGACCCGGGTGATACTGGCACAGGTCGCCTTCCAGTTCATTTTCTTCGACGTTGTATTCCTCTTCGCTATGAATGCAAAGTTCGTAGGCCTGGCGGACTCGTTTCTTGTTCTTGACTGTCTCGCCCTCCTCCGCTGTGGTCACGAGGAGGAGCTCCTTGCTGACAGCTTCACGACAGACGGGGTTTTCGTTACATATCTTCAGCAAGACGGTCCTGACTCGTGACTCTGTCGCGGATTTGATGGCATCTTCGAGTGTACGATCCATGCCTGATGTTGGTTCAGTGTGTAGATTTGGAGCCATGGTGAAAATATTTACCGGAGTGGTGGTCGATGATCGGCGTTGAGACGATAATTCTGGACTTGGTCGTTCGTTCATTACACGACAACAGATTGGCTTGATGTCTTTCTCAGTCGGCCTGTTGGGTGCTGTAGGTATCACAGAGTACTTACCTAGGTACTCCGTGCTACCCAGAGTATCTACTCCGCATCCTCTGTATCGGGTACACGTAGGTGTTTTTTAGCCAATCTCGCTTCCTAGCCTCAGCCTTGTGCTTAAGCCAAGGTAGTTTAGCATCAATCATTCAGGCATTCCATATGCTCTAAGAAATGTTCCACTGCATGCGTCACCGACTGTTGTTAACTTCTTGAGAACATCGTAAATTGAACCTGTGTCCTTTATCATCACTTCTTATCTGCCAGTTCTGTACTCGTAACGGAATCTCTTCTCATTTCTATCTACAACCTCGATCTATCAATCAATACTTTCCCCAACCAGGCTTCAACACACCATAAATCTCATCCAACAATTTCTTCCCTCCTTGCACCGTCGCCCCCGGTTCTCCCGAAGCATAAGGTCCGACGTTGTTCAAAAGAGGTACGTCCCTCACATAGCCTGCCAAAACCTCGAGGCAAGAACCTCCTTTGATCGCAATCCCACCACCGCTCGCACTTCCGTTGGCGGTCCCACCCCTTATACTCTCGTCGATCCTGTCGTCCTTGACACAAGCCAACATGACCTGTGCGACCTCTTCCGGGGTCACCCAGTGGTCGGCATCTTCCCCTTCCTGCTTCACCAGCTTGAGTTTCTCCGGGTGATCGGTCCACAGAGGGGTCTTGACCACTCCCGGCATGACGCAAGTCACTCGGATCCCGTGAGACTCGTCCAGACTTTCCAAAGACCTGACCAAAGCCTGCACGCCGTGTTTGGACACGTGGTACAGAGGGTACCCTATCCCGACTGTCTCTCCGGCGATGCTGGCGATGTGGACTATGGATTTGGGGTTCGAGGGGCTCGAGGGGGGCGACGCGGCCAGAAAGTGGGAGATGGCGAGCTGAGTCACTCGGATCGGGTGGGTGAGGTTGATATCCAAGAGCTTGTACCGACCACCAAGAGGATCGTCACTGGATTGAGACGACCCGGGAGGGTGCCAGAAGGAGCTCCACGGAGGTTCGAATACACCCGCTCCGGGACACGCGATGTCGACGCCGCCGAACTTCGACACGGCCGTGGTGAACATCTCATTCAGGTCGGTCCACGACGTCACGTCGGTCTTTTTGAACACGGCCTTGCTCGGGTATTGCTTGACCAAATCCTCCGCCTCGGGTCGCAATGATAGGTCGGCAAAGACGACATTCGCGCCGTTTTGGAGTAACAAGCGAGCAAATTCGAGATTGATTCCTAGTTGATGGCAAGGAAAAGTCCGTCAGTTGACTTTTTGTACCTGAAAGAAACAACTCAAGGTGGGCACAATGTGGTTGTTTTGATGTGGCGTTTACTGGTAAGAGAGGGATTGAAAAAGGCGAGGGTGACTTTACCTGACCCGGCTCCTGTCACGATGGCAGTCTTTCCTTGAACCTGTTGAGCCATGGCTATGATGACCAATTTGTCTGAATGGCTGATGCTGGTGCTGGCACTGTCGATGAGTGACGGGCACAGATCCTAATACTGATACTGATCCTGATCCTTCCGACAGCGACGAGGTTTCGAAAAGGAGTAAAGGTAGGTGGTAATCGATTGACCGATCGATCGTCCGTCCTGATACTCAGTGTATATCTACTGCCTTCCTTCTTCACAAAAGACCAAAATTACCGCAACTGGCACCCTGATTGATCGTTTCTGGTCGTTGTTTTGGGAAACGGTTGCTGCAACAAAATGGCTTTTCCTCCGCCGAGACACAAAAGGACTTGTTGACCCTCCTTTGTATACTTACGACCGAAGGTCAGCCAGTCCATATAATCATATATACGTGATATACTTTTAACTTGGCCTTCATCCTCTCCCCTCACCCCGTTCGGTGTTGTGTCGAACTTGGGTGCCGAGGTACGTGGACTCCGGGCCATCTATCTCCATCCACCCCCATGTTCACCCGTCGTCAGGGTCTCCTCATCCATCATCGGTATCGACCGCAGAAATACAACTGGTCAAATAATACGGCGGAGCACAGGACATCGCCACTCGCAGCAACACTCACTTTCCTGCTAACCCCAAAATGGAATACTATCCGGACTCGATGTCGGAACTGAACGAGCATAAATGAGAGCAGATCCAAAAGGATTCCCAGACAGAATTTGAGAAAGACAGAGAGAGAGAAGCACATGAAAAATCAAGTGTCCTCATACAGGGCTACTGTTTTTTTCTCACTTAGAATGAAACGACTTCTCGCGGGCGTTGCCCACAGGGCAGCATCGACCTTGACCAAGGAGGCCGGTGACATCAGTTCGGTCTTCCCGTCACTGTCTGGCAAAAAGGCCGATCCACTACCGTCTCGGTTTAGTGAGTTGAAAAAGTCGTTGATTAAGGGTAACGAAGAGGCAATCACTGCATCCTGGCAAAGGCTCCTTGCCAGCCTCAAGAAGGAGATTGAAGAGATAAAGTCAGAGGGCAGCAATGTAGGTGGATGGGAAACCGCTCCATTTTGTCAAAGCAAACTATAATGCTCGAGATATGTCGAGAATTGACTGACACAAACAATTCAGATCATACCCAGCATCGACTACGAAAAGGTCGCATCTGGCACTGTCACTCGTGATCAGATTGAAGCCATACGCCATCGAGGCACCGCAGTCATTCGCAACGTCTTGCCCCGAGACGAGGCATTGGTGTTGAAGCAGCAGGCCCTTGACTATATCGCTGCCAATCAGTCCAAGGTCAAGGCCTTCCCGCCGGACAGCCCGGCAGTGTACGAGTTATATTGGACACCATCACAAGTTCAAGCTCGTGCGCATCCAAACATGCTAAAAGCACAGTCATTCCTGGCTTCCTTCTGGCATTCGTCCGATCCGAAATCACAAATTTCAACCACTTACCCTCTGTCCTATGCCGACCGTTTTCGCATCCGACAACCAGGTGATGCCAAATTCGCACTGGGCCCGCACACTGACGGCGGCAGTCTTGAGCGGTGGGAAGACCCAGAATACTCCCGGGTATATCAAACCATCCTGGACGGTAACTGGGAAAACTATGATCCATACGACGCCCGCCACCGGATCAACGCGCGGATGGATTTGTACAATGGCGCCGGCGCATGCAGCATGTTCCGCCTGTTCCAAGGATGGTTGAGTATGTCGTCGACTGGACCAGGACAAGGCACGCTCAAAGTATGCCCTTTGGTGAGACATGCGACGGCTTACCTGATCATGAGGCCATTCTTTGACCCAGCGTCGGGCAAGATGAATCTGGACGCGACATTTCCTAATTCAGTTCCTGGCGCATGTCAAGAGTACAACATGGAAACGCATCCCGACCTGGACCTTGAGACCACCATGGTCAGTATGCCCCAAGTCGAGCCGGGCGATTATGTTGCATGGCACTGCGATATGATTCACGCAGTAGACAAGGAGCACCACGGAACCGGAGATAGCAGTGTCTTGTACATACCTGCTTGTGCTATGACACGAACCAATATTGAGTTCTTGGACAGACAGCGTACAAGTGCGTTGAGGTATAGTCCCCCGCCGGACTTCCCGGGCGCGGGTGGCGATGGGGAACTCGGCTTCAAAGATGCTGTAGATTGGGCGAAGGTCAATGAAGAAGGATTGAGGGCTATGGGCTTGGGCAAGATGTTATGGGACATCAAAACCGGCATGACCCAGGGAGAAAGAGTCATAGTTGACGAGGCTAACCGCACCCTGTTTGGATGAAGCAACGGCGCCATGATTGCTTCAAATTGAGGGGGGATCATGTACTTTTCATGAAAGCACAGCTTTTCAGCATACAGACACTGGGTTCCAATGCTGCGTAGGACAATTTGACATATTGAGATGAGGATGACCGTAATAACCTCAGAGGGCATTCACGTGTCTGAAACATCCAGAGTGAGACGATGAGGACCTTTGGTGCAGACTGAAAACCCGTGATGCTGCAGCAAGACGCACCAGCTACCCTCTTTCCTCTTCTCCAGCGAAACATTCGACGGTCGGTGTTCATACCGGTTGTGTACTGGACAATGCATCTGATAAACCTCATGCGCGGTGCAAGTAGGCTATGCAGCATCCCTGAATCCAGCGGAACAGCAGCAACATGTCTGAGAAGCATGATGGATTCCACTGGGCCCATGATGAGACCTGCAGTAGTAATAAATGTCACGCATTAGTGACGAAGCAGCTGCATCTGCCATTTCTCACCAATTTTTTTTTCTGAAGCTGTCAGGGATGACAAAAGACGGATATGCAGAGCCAGGTAGGGGTTGTCTCTCAAATGTACAACACCTTGTCATAGCAATGCAGGTACCCGCCTGCGCCGCTCAGGCAGATGCCAGTGTCAAAAAAAGATGACAAGGAAGACTTGTCCGGACCGATGGAATTCTGCAAAGTCAAGGATATCACAGGCTTACCACACTTCATCCCAGCCAATACTTGCATGTAGGCTTTGTGCCCAACTTGCTGAACCGTGTATTTTGAGCAAAATGACCCGAGATGAATGTGAGTCAAAGATGTCTTCGGCCGTCACGCGATTTTCCCTGCTCCTGACAAGGGTGAAATTCATGATCCGGAGAAGACAACGCGTGACTCGGCCGGCTCCGCATAATGTCTTTTATCTTTTGTCCACTGAAATGCGCCTCAAATAGGAATATTGCCGGGCATTTTTCTGAAAGACCTGTAGGGCTGGGAGGGGTTCGGGGGGGCGTTTTTCTCGCTTCTCTGACAGCTGAAACGGCTTTTCTCCATAAGCGAGACCCGGTACCGAGAGACATGGCAGACACGGTGGTGGAAGTTCGACTTGTAAAAAAGTTTTACTGAGTGCAGGGAGACTCCATCGAAATGCATAGTCGATGTCATGATTCTGTACCTTTCAGGAGGTTCCGGAGAATTGGTGCTTGAGGGGCAGGATTGCGAGACCGCGTCCAGCTAGTGAAAAAGTGGTACTGGAGGGGTGAAGTGGCCTGGAACAAGCCTGCCGTTGTGCAGGCGTGCCTCGTTAGGCGCAGACGGAACCTGCAACATGCATCTCAGCCGTTAACTTTTTGCAAGGATACGCGACCGGTAGGATGTGCGGGAGGTATATCGGCACCCTTGGACCCCTTCCTTCGAATGCAGGGTGCCGACAGAGGAAGTACGAGTTGTCAACCTAGAATATCGGTTAGGCAGAAACTCAAGGCACAAAGGATGGACCCTGAATCGAATCAAGGAAAAATGAAGCGTGCAAGCAGCAGGTCTGAATGGTTTCCCGTTATCTGGGCACGAGTAGATAGCTTGAATAGGTAGTTGACGACTGAAGCAAGACTGGGTGGATTGTATGAATGCCATGGTACTCCGTATGAGGACTGGCATCGAACGATCACACTTGAACGCAGTATCAAGGAGTCAGTGTCCATGACAGCGAGAGAGGACCACCAAAGCCTGGACAAGTACAGTATGGAGTACCTCAGCTAACCCGTACTCCGACAGTGCAGCCCAGGTACCAGTAACTTCAGGTAGACCGCAGCCACCAGTCTACGGAGTTACCACCTGCGTAAGCACTGGGAGGAGGGGCGGCCTGACAGGCACTCGCGGTTGAGACATGCGGAGAAGACGCGGCCAGTTTCTCGCGTCGAGTGCCACCAGAAAGCACCAAAGACAGGGAAAAAAACACGGAATAACAGCCGAGAAATGATGGGAAATGTTCAGGGAGCACCGTTGAATTAATTCTTGTCTATTAAGTCCTATTCGTACAGGACGAGGCCTCATGCTCATGAGACGGATGAATTTTCCTAATCTTACTGTGATAGCCTAGCCCACGAGACAGTACAATATTCTGTACTCCATATCTTACAGTTGTACTCCGTACCATCAATCGGCCACGAGCCTGTCAGCCCAGAGTGACTGATTGCAAATCACATCACATCAATCAGTCACCGGCCTGTCACCCTCGGGTATGTCAACTCAATCCTCACCACAAAAGGACCAACTCTGCCCACCATGAACGGTGACCGTAGCCGAGGAAATAATGGCTGAAAATCAATTCCGATTCCTGGCCACTCGCCTAAATGCCTGTCGGAGAAGAGCATTCCTGAAGGTCGTTCCTGGAGGATGGCATTGACGTAAAGAGTGCTGGCCTGATGAAGTATACCCTCGTCTCGCTTCTGCGCTGTTGTCTTATCGTTGAACGGCGATGCAGTGATAGCTTCTTCCTGGTTGCTTTGGTTTCGTACCGCCAGCATGAGGCCAGAAGTGCATTGCCAGACGTCGAGAAGCCGCAAAGGGCAAGTTCAGCGTCAAATGTTGTGTCTTGTGAAGACTCGAAATACTCAAGTCTTCGATATGGTTAAACATGCTTCTTTGCGAAACAGTGCCAAGGTATATGGTTTTCTTCATGTTGTCATTCATGTTGCAGATCTGCGGCCATTTGCGGAGTGTACCTCATGGAAGACTGTACGGAGCATTGCTTCTGTGAGAGTCCAACGGTTGTGCAGGCATTTTGACGTAAAAAGTGATGCAGAATAAATGCGCCATCGCGAGCAGCAGCCAGACTAGAATCGGCAGCTGGCAGGGACCGTTCAAAGCGACCGTCTAGTTCTTGACTGTTGCAAGATTTTGCTACTGACAATTTGCCTCGACTTTCATCATTATCCTTCAACTCCGAATGCGGTATTTGGCCCATGGTGGTGATATTGTTGTTGGCTGAACTCTTGATTTTCTTGCAACCAACCAAGTGATAAGCGAAGATGGTGTTGTGCACGAGCTCGCGTGCGAATCCGTCGACTAGCTTGTAACGAAGCGACACAATCAAAACGATCACTTTCCAGACGACTAAAGGAACGTGTACGGAGGACGGAATGCGAAGTCAGGACGAGGTGTGACCTTGCACATGCTCCTTCGTAGCGTACGCTTTTCACGAATCGTATCACATGCACAATCACCATCACCTTGCATCCAAAGCTGGCGAAGCAACCCACACTCCAACTTGACTAGACTTTCTTTTGTGCCGACTCGTTGCTTCCTCAAAGGACAAGGTAATTTGGACTAGGACGAAAGGTAGCCAGCAGCAACCACACCAAGCCAGGTAGTCAAGCACCAAGTATCGTTCCTGGAGAAACCACGCTCACCTCGTCCTGGTATATGCTTGTCAGATAGACTGAGTGTACGGGTAGTGTAGTAGCTGTTTAAAGCTTCCGACAGGGAGATTGTGCTCTGCCAGGGGTAGTTGCCATTGAACGATCTTATCCTTAGTCACTGAACTGGCGTTGCTGCCTTCTCGTACGACCCGAATTCAGTAGCAATTCACCTCGCAACAATGCTCGGCAATGTTAGGATCCCGAGGTTCCAAGCACTGGCCACAACAGCATCCCATAACCGTTGACGTTCAATTCTCGTGGTCGATCGTTCGGAAATTGAAGTTTTCGTGATGAGCACGATCATCAGATGAACATGAACCATCGAAGACGACCATCGAGCAAAATCGGGTTGTCTCCAATGTTGCTCGTTGAAACAACTCCTGAAAGAGTCTCCCGATCGATCTAGTCCTTGTGATCGTCTGGTAAGTTGCAGGATTGGGTAATTTTGTGTTGTTGGTGCCAGCCAGGGGTGGGCCATGTTACAGTCTTGGTAACAATGTCAAGTTCTTACTGGAGCACCGAAAGACTGCAGCCAGGGATCTGCAAACCATCAACAGATACGAGACGCGTGGCTGCGTGGGAGACGATCTGTTGAACAGGGTAGGAGAAAATGTGTCAACCGTCTTCCTCTTACGAGCAACCGTCAGGTTTTCCAAACGGTAGGCATTTCCAAGTGTTTGAACGAAGTTGTATGTTCAGGATCTTGAGATCTTTCAGATGATCACAGCACGCCAGCAAAGGAGTAGTATCCATCACGAGAGTGCCGTAACGTCGTCTCCACACATCACACGCCTCGAAGCTTCCAAACAAACAGCACCGGACGCACTGTACATACTCGTACAGTGGATATGCGGGACGGCATGTGCACAATATGTACAGGAAGCACTGGGCGACAGTGATTGGTCTCGCAGTATGCCGATGGGACCCAGCAAGGATCATGACTCGACGGCTTTGAGAAAGGTATTATTGAGATAGGAACGAGACGGTCTCATGGCAGTCCGTAGTATCGGTGCAGCCAAGAGGGATCTTGCGTCAAGTTGGCAGAGGAGAATAGCCAGTGTACGGCAGTCCGTCGCAGTGATCCAGTCGTCGAGAGACCCGACCTACGAGTAGAGAAGGGAGAAATTCGCATGGATGTGGACTGTAGACTAGTCGTAGTCGCAGGTGTAGTGTGCGGTATGGACGGAGAGAGTATAGCGCGACGATGCAGGGGAAAGTCGATGCACGATGATGATCTTGCTCACAAAACAAACGCGCCTTCCCTGGATCAGCAATGGTCTTGGCAGATCAGTTGCTCCGAGAGCCTTTCTCCGTATGCACTCGTGCCCAACTGCCACCAACAAACCCACTGCCGTCCCTCAACCCACCAATCCACCACTTCACGCGTCCGACACTACTACAGACTCCTTACTGTAGCTCCTGGTCTTTAGCTTCAACTACCGGCCCCTCTAACAGTCTAGCTATGCCTACGGGCTCTGCTAAGCATGCCTACAGTTTCCTTCCAAGCCCTCTAGAACAACCGCGTCATCTTCCCCCTGGGACCACTCGACTCTGGTTTCTCCATTTTCAGAACGGAGTACGATTGTTGTTGCGCAACTTCCTGCCAGTTCTCGCCTTTACCAAGCGAGCAAAGTTAAGGCACCCCATCTGCCGAAACTACATGCCCAGCCACCTTACGGAGTAGGGGCATTCGAAGAGGTGGCTTGATTATTGTGTTGATCTGCGTTCGTACGGTCACGGCATCAGGTGCCAGGAGCAGTGAGAACGGTACTCCGTGCAGAAGACGGAGTCCTGCGAACTCGAGTGTGGACTATCCCCATCTAAAACAACCAATTGAAGTCATGCCATGCAGGTACCTGGTACAAGCACATCCTGTACATACGGATACCTGGGAGCATGTTGCTTCTGTTGACCGTGTCTCCAGCTGTGACTACGACTACACCCGCGCCTTTTGTCGGTTTATTTAAAGCTGGGAATGTCAGCTGTCAAACCGGGATCAAGCACGAGGACCTCGGAAGTCACTGAACTGCCCGATGAATGGTCATGGCGAACGGCCAAACTACAAGCTATTGCGAATGTGATCCCTGGAAGCATCTTCCTTGACGAGAACATCAGCACTGAATGTTGTTCGGCCCATGTAAGAGACAAATAAGAAGCTATCATGACTAACCAAGCTGGGGATCGGAGCAAGACCGCTGTGTGTCCGTCGAACCCTGACCCAGTGACCCTGGTACCCGAATACCAGGGTCGGGAGGTGGCTTCCGCTATGCACGAAGCTTGGTTCCACTTCTGGCGCCATTCTATGTGATCCTCGACCTTTGCTACAAAATTTACCCGGTTCCTGACGAGAACATGGCCCCATCAAATCTCCTCGCCTTGCTCCTTCAAACTCCACTTCATCTGCAATTCTCCCCAAACTCCCTGCCTGTGTCCTCACCACCATGGGGTTGTTTCTGAAGCCGTCCGTCTCAGGACGCGTCTTGCTAAAGGTACAGTCCTCGCTCACTATGCTCGTTGGCGTTAGTGGATGCTTCCCTTTGGCATTACCCGCTATGCAGCATTGCCGGCACGAGGACCACTTTCTGCCCCTGTCCTTGCCTTGCTGGAGTCTTCATTGCGGCTTAACTTTGCAGGCTTCAGAACAAAGACTACTACTCTCCACCAGTATGCCTTGTGTACCCAATGGTAAGGAAGATCAAATGCAGATATCTCTTCCTCTCAACCCATGGTTGTCAATTTATTGTCTATCAACTTCCAACAACTGTATATCACTCCCCATTCCTACCTATATTTGGCACATCTTCAAGGTCACAACTCAATCAACTCCTTTTGAACGATACATTCCGTCGTGCCCCATCATTCGTCGTATTCACTTTCTCAGCATCTAGACATAAGAGTCGGCTCGCGACCATTGTCAGCACTTGGAGTTTCGGTCACGGCTGGCTTCAAATCCCACAGATCGGAAAAGGGCATGACCTGCAACCTCAGATTCAGCAAAAGCACGGTTGATTGGTCACCAGTCACTTAAAACTCGCCCTCCTTCGAATATATGTCATTGGTAAGATTGGATTATCACGCGATATTTGTCTTCGTTCAAAGGGAAGACAATGATTCAACTGACACGTTTCTCCAGAGTTGAAACGTTTCGTGCGCCACAATAAACCTCAATCTGTCGAGGCCCCCGCCTACCACGGGCCATATCAAGTCTGCAAACCCCAGGTGTTCGTAACTCCGCACAGGTCCTGTTGCAACAGCAGCAGACACCTCGGCTGTGGGTATCAAGACTGGACCAGCTTGAATGAGGCTCGACAGCATCGGCCCTAGGACTTGTGATATTGCGCCTAGACGAAAGGTAACAGCCGTCTAAATGGGCCGCTTTCAATGGATTCAAGGACATACGAAACACGGCGGTGACAAGTTGCACGCCGTTGCACATGATTTGTTCTCCAAGGACAACGTCGAGCCGTCACGACAAGCATTGACAGATATGATGAAAGAACATAGCGGCGTTGAAACGGGCCCCAGCGATGGCTTCCCAAGACACCATGGAAGATCACGGACCAACACGGTGACTTCTGCCGGTTCTCAATATACTCGATCGATCTCCGATGGCTCTAATCATGAGTACACCTCTCGACCCTCGTCAAGACAGAGTTATGCCGAAGGCAACCTGCCACTGTCAGATCGTTATGAGAACAATGCCAAAGGGTTACTGTCTCGGGGCACTCGTATATTGAAACGACAGGGAAGCAAGCTCAATTTACTATCCTCGCCAGTGGAAGAAAAGTCACCGGAACGCGGCGGGGGAAGGATGGGAGATGGGTCTCCAGTCAAGTCGCTGCAACGACAACTTACCAACGGCTCAAAGCGTAGGCTTCTTGGGTTCTCAAAGAAGCGGTTCCTGGCTAACGTTCTTAGGTACTGGGTTGAAACGTAGCATCTCCGGTCCCTTCGCTTTCCAACACCTAAGCCATGGCGACCAAGCCCAATTTCAGAACATCGATACTGTTGCTAGGTCAGACCTGACTTCCGAGTACCAAGCTATTCAAGCAGACCAGCAGCCCGAAGACCATGTCCGCGGAATACCTATCACGGAATTACCGACGAACAAAGTCGAACTATCCGTTCAGCCTGGTTCTGATGAACCAACCTCACCGACTACCGCTGCTATTCCGTATCTCCCTACCACACCCCCTCGACCAGAGCCTCCGCCAAAGGAGAATCTCTTGTTGCCTTATAGTCCCTCCGACGTTCGAATGTCACGGTCGATGGAGAATTTCTCCCGCCCTACCAGATTGTCCGTCACATCGAGTGATGCATCTCCGACCTCTCAGCTGTCCCAAAGATTGTCAGCTCTGAGCCCCGTTAACCGTCAAAGCCTGCTCGGAAAGCCTCTTCCCATCCTGCCAGACGTCGTCCATGCTGTGTCTACGAGAGATGACATCGCTCTGCCACTCCGCACTGCGCCTCTCCCGAGCCCTCCAACAACGAGGATGGAGATCGTCTTGGAGGAGGATAAGGTGGAGCTGCCGGAGATCCCGACAAGCCTGTCTTGCAACGATTTGTCTACTATAGCAGCACGATACAAGAGGCGCAGTCAATCGTCAGGCGAGCTACAACTGCAAGCCGCATATTACAATATGACATCGACAATGACAAATGTGGAGGCAGCTCTAGATGAACCCGTGGAGCATCTCAACGATCAACCATCGACAGCCAAAGTGGACCTCACGACTGATCCTGTTGAGCTTCAGGATTGGGAGGATGCCATCGACTACTCCTGGGATGTCGCCTCTGATGAGGATAAGAGTGACTCAGATGCAACTCTAGAGAAGCCCCAGGAGCGAAGCATCCCGCAAGAGAACTATCTGGTCGTCGAACAATCTGCAACTGATGAGGCTTGCTCATCTGCCTCTACTCCTCTCATGATGCAGCTGCCAAGGACGACATATCGACCTGAGGGACCGGCTCAGGGAAAGGGTCGGTCATCGGATGAGGAAGAAGAACCAGGCTCACCTCTACTGGGACTTGGCCTTGGTTCTCTCCAACCAGTCTTGAATGTCTCGATTGAACAGGCGGAATCTACCGCCATTCCACAACATTGTGAATCTCAAAATCCACCTCGAGTTGAACGGCCTCACATCCTACCAAGCCCTTTCTCTTCCATCAGCAAATCAAGCTCCCAAGAGAGCATTATTTTTTCGATAGCATCTTCAATTGCCGGAACACAGAGGTCATCTCATTCCAGCACCTCTCTATCTGATTTCGCTCATTTGGCGAATTTTGGCGAGTCAAAAGAAAGCCTCAGACTCGACCTACAAGATGTCACCAGTTACGCTGAACATCACAACCGGGAAGGAAGCCAGGAGACCATACGTGAGGATGATGAAGGTGAACAAACTAGAGCCAGTGACGCAAGATGCGGCTTGCCTAACACCCCGACCACTTCATCAGTCCTCAGACACGATCGTGGCGCATCAGCACCTTCCATTCCAATTCCTGAGAGAAAGTCCTCAATGCCCACCGGCGATTCGCCAAAGACGAACTCACGCAGACGGGCTGGTACAACCAATTCTCGACCTCGGCGCAACACCCGTGTGTCTTATTCTCTTTTTCCTACAACTCCTACACCATAAGTCATTTGCCGAGCCAAATGGCTCTGTACTATTCAACAGGAGCACGTATCTCACGCGGCTGGACACCTCCTGTTTTTCTTCTTCTATCACTTTTGGCTTCACGATTAATGAATATGGTTTGTGGATTTACTCTTTGACATTATGTCTTATGATTCATTATGATATCCGTTTTGTTTAAGGACGAATTTACTACTTGGGGGCTTGGTGAGGATTGTTGGAATCAGGCAGGGGCTCGGAGGACAAAAAGGCTGGGGATTTCTCAAAAAGTTATGATTCTCTTTTTCAGTCTGGGTTCGGAGTGAGCGTATTTGTGATTCTGGCTCGCACCTTTTCGCTGCTATCGGACTGGTGGCCTCGAAATTCAGGAATTATCACCCAAAAGGGTGAAGTCGCGGTGTTTTGGAGAAAAATGCTCAACGAGCGGTGTGATGGACTCGGGTGGATGCAACTTTTGGTAGCGTGCATGGATCGGCTCACACGATGCCTTCTTCAATACAAGGGGATATAGTCCGTATGCAGACTCAGTGAGCCCTTGTGGTACTTAGTGCAAGTACCTCTTCAGTCGAGGTCGACTGCTTGCTATAGCACATAAAATCATTGAAAATCATTCACGAGTCCGGCTTCGCTTCTCTGGAGCATTCTGATCGACCGCGAAGATGCCAAATGTGTTGTATTGTGCCACAGACTCGCCGCAGCTCGGTGGGTGGTTTCCATTGCGCTAAACGATGCCTCTTTATACGGAGTTTTGCCGACGCAATTGACATGCACTATCCTGTCTGGGGAGCAATGGCAGAGGTCGAATCCTCTACATGTTGCTATCGACCTGGGTGTGATGCCATCCTGAAGAACAATCTCCCATGCCCCGACTTTGTCTGGTACTTCATGGAGAGAAAGTAGCGACGTATCTGGTCTATATGCTTCGCTGTATATACGATGCAACAAAGATGCCAATCATGCAGGACTTCCTCGACCACGTCGTGCTGATAAGCCGGCTAGTTTGACGACAATTAAGATACGTCTCTTCTGGACAATGCGGGTTGTTGTGTTCTTTCCAAATGTGATCAACATGTTGGCTTCGAGGTAGTTCGAACTTCAGTGCTGGGAGGTTACGTTTCTGGATGTATACGAGACTCACCATCAATGGCCGAATCCGAACCAAGATCAGTAAAATCAAAGCGCGTTCTCAAAGCCTGCGACTTCTGCCACAAAAGAGGCCGTGGATGCAAAATTGATCCGACGGACAATTCTCGATGTCTGACTTGTCTTGACTTTGGAGTCAATTGTACGTGGAACAGGCCATCCGCCAAACGAGGAAAACCGCGTGGCTCTAAGGTCACTGGTGTGCCATGGACATTGTCAGTAGACCAGCATGGGTCGCGAGAGCTCATACAAGATCTACTCGTCAACTTCTTCGAGTCTGTATATCCAGTGTTGGTGCCCCCAGAGCAACACGTTTGTGCCCCATGGTTGATATTGGACAGAGCTTGCACCGTCCACGAGCAATCATTCATGCATAAATGGCATACGAAGCAAATACCGTCCGGCAGGGCCTCGTATGCGAGGTTGATGTCTATGTCCGCTTTGAGCGCCTATCGGATCACTAGTGGTGCAATCTTCACTCCCCGGCACATATCTTCTGCAATAAGCCCTAATGTTTACTTGGACGAGGCTATTGCGGCGATCCCTGGGACCTTTGGCGAATCCTTGGAGTTTGAATACCTACAAGCAATCAGTCTTGTATGTCTGACTGCACGAGAATGCGGCAATGCGTCGTTGCTTCAACAATTCCTCGGTCTGTACCATGGTGCACTCGCCGAACAAGGCTTTTACGATGAGAGACGCTGGCCCAGTGGCATCTCAACAATCGAGAGAGAAGAGAGGAGACGGCTGTATTGGCATATGTATCGGTTGGAAATCCATACCTCTCTTGTTCTCGGGCATGCCGTACGATGCCCCGAGCTCCAATCTGCCGTTGCCTATCCAATGGTTCCCGATCAAGATTTCACGGAGTCTGTGGAAAACCTTGAGTGGCTCAGCGGTTGGAATTATATCACTGATATCTACAGAGGCATCGAACATCTGATCTCTTATTTCAAGAACAGGCGAACGACAATCAATCAAGATAACCGCTGCCTGTCTACAGCGTTCCTTATTGACTACGACCCTCAGGAAAAGATACTAAGACCATTAGATTTGGCGTATTCCAACCTACCACCTCGCTTCAAAAAAGCGCAAGGGATGTCGCAAGATATTCGCCTGAATCGCTGTGGATTTCAAACGGCCAATATTATAGCAACGTACCAGGTAAAAGCACTCAGAGCCGCTCCTGACTCAGCTAACACAAGCAGCTTCTACGGATGCTTTCATTCACAGCAAATGATACGACATTTTACGAAGCTTGCAGGACAGCCCTAGAATTGATTGAGGAGATATCCTCCATTCCGCTGGAGTACATGCGAGCCATGGGTTTGGCAATGGTATATATGTCTCCCTTTACTCATCATCCTACAATTTACAGTTATTTAGATACAGGAATTATCCGGTCTCGGTCACATCCTGAGTAGTTTCATCAAGAAAGAACTACCCAGATCCGACTATCAACACTTGAGAATGGTAATGTACGAAAGCCATTGTTTTCTTTGTTGATGCCATGTCTGACAAAGCCCAAGGGTGTGCATGGCTGAGCTACTCGAAAATTTGGCCACTTGCATTTCAGCTGCTGCATGGGTCAGCAATCGTCTTCGTTCATATGTCGAGGAGATTGATCGCTACTTTGAGCTCCGACCGCTTCAAGATGATACAGCGGACCGTGGACACGCTCAGAGCGATGAAGTTGTCTTCCAGGACTTTGACCCTGAAATCTTCATTCCCCTTGAACTTCTTCAACGTATCCCCTGGGACTGGACGGAACAGCTCCAGCTCACATGATGCTAGGGACTCCAGCTTGGTTCAATAATGTCTCATTCCTTCTTAATGGCTACTATTGAGGTTGTGCCTTGCCCTCCCCGATCTTCCACATTGTCTTCTGTCGCCTGGTTCGCCACAAGTAATACTCTCCTGCAGTCATGACTTCATACTTGTTGGGATTGTCTTCACTAACACAGGTAGGAATAGGGTTGATAACACTCCGTCGGTCAAACCCCCAGAAGAACGGTACCGAGTATCTTTCTCGGCCACTTTCGTTGATCACCCGATGGACGGTGCTCACGAAAAAGTCGTTCGTCTGCCGCATGAAGCAATCTGCGATGTTTACAATAAACGAGCCAGGTATTGGTTTGACCTTGATCCACCGACCAGACTTGCTGAGAACTTCTAGGCCTTCGGTGTCAGCCGTGATGATGGTGAAGTACTCCACGTCGGTATGAGCGCCTATGCCGTTCTGGTCATCTCGAGATGTTTCCTGTTGAGGGTAATGGAGTATCCTGGCGCCTGCTTCCGGCCTCTGCACCATGCCATCAAACGAACCCTCGGGGATGTGCAACGCCAAAGCGAACATCCTCGTTAATTTTCGAGCAAGCTTGGTCATCGCCGTCTGATACGTGCAGAGCGTCTTCTTGAACTCTGGCAACTCTGTCGGCCACAGGTTAATCTCCGGGATGGATTCATCTGGAAAATCAGGATCATTGGCCGCGTTGTAATTCCAGTTGAAAGCCTCGTATAAATCTGCAGGGATGTCAACAAACGTTCACCCTCTGGGGATCTCGCAGAGTCCACCTCTCTTCTTCCAGCCGTTCGGGTTGTAGTGCTGCATGGGATGATAACCGCAATATTCATCAGGGATCAGGTCTGTGCAGACTTCCATTTTCTTCTCGGTCGGAAGTGCAAAGAATGATTTGGCCTCGTCCATCACATTCTGAGCCAGCTTCATGTCAATGCCCTGCAGGTTTCGAACATTGTGGTCAGCATCAAGCGCCCTGGTGGATAGCCCTCACGGAGGCATCTGACCAACTGCTTACATGGTTTGTTATCGAGAGGAAGCCGATTCCATGAGCAGCTTCACGAATTTCCTCGGCCACCGCCTGTCTGTCCTCCAGTCTGTCACTGTACATGCGAGAGACATCGATGACGGGAATGGCTTCGTCTGTTGTTGACGCATTCGAGTCGAAGGTGAAGGTCTTTCCATTGGTGAGGGTAATGGTACGCGAGTTTTCCTCTTGAACGGCCGTTGACGACATTTCGACGAGCTTGTTATCGATCTAATCGGATTTACAAATGAGGACGGCTCTTCACCCCAGTTCTGCTTGTACGCGAGCTGGCCTTCTGGCTCGAGTTCTCGATTAAATACGAACAAGATAAGGAACAGATCTACCAAGCGCAAAAAATCACCAAATGATATCCCACCGTTTAGCAGTTTATCAGCTCAACCTCAGATCTGGGATTGATCTCGACAAATGAACTTGACTAAGGCGCTTAAACGGATGAATACAGCACCTCATGGCCAGCCTGCGGAACGAGAGTCCCATTGGTTCGAGGCTGGTAAACTGCTAATTTGGATAACAAGACACGAGGTGATTCGCCAGACGACATCGACACTTGGCTGGCGGATTTCTCCACCCACAGATAATCTGGGGCGTTCCCGAAACAATATCGTGTGCGATAGCGCAGGGATTGTTTGATGGTGGAATTTGGGTGTGTGTTTGCGATGACAGTTGTCGATATGAGTCTATCTCGAGGATACAAAACCTCGCCTCGGTCCTTGAATCGAGGGCGTCGAGTTGTCCCACCCAGTCTCGTCAATCTCGAAATCAGGGGTATCAGTCAGACTTGAAAAAACCAAATGGCGACCGTGAAGAACGTCCTCAAGCGCCTCGAAGTCAAGGACCACGATGAAGGGTCTCTTGAAAAGAGAGTCAACCACGACATCCGGCCTCTTGAGCCACACAGACGGACATACGGTCCCTGGCAGTTTGTGACTCTCTGGGTCATCACCGGTTCTTTCAACATCGGCGGCTGGACCACCGGGTCCTCGCTGATCGCCCTGGGGCTCAATGTCTGGCAAGCGATGTTGACGGTCATCATTGGAAACGTACTCGTCGGTTTCCTGTGCGTCGCGAGCGGAGCCCCGGGCGCCAAATGGCACATCGGGTTCCCGGTCATCCAGCGCTGCTCCTGGGGCACGCGAGGATTCAGGTTCATCGTCGTCCAGAGGATCTTCCTGGCCTGCATCTGGTTCTCGACCCAGGTCTACTGGGGCGGACAGTGCGTCCGGGTCCTCCTCACCGCGATATGGCCGTCGTTCGCCAAGGTCGACACCCCCCTGGCCAACGGGACCATGACCACGGGCGACTTCACGAGCTTCATCATCTTCACAATCTGCTACCTCCCGCTCGTGTGGATCAAGCCCGAAAAGTACAAGGTCCCCTTTCTGGTATCCTGCATCGTCGTCATCCCGACCATCTTCGTCAGCCTCGTCTGGTTCACGACCAAGGCCGAGGGGGCGGGCACGCTCGTGCACGACGTCGGCGGACTCACGGGCATCACGCAGGCCAAAGGCAGCCACCTCGGGTGGATGATGACCCTGGGCATCTGCACGAACATCAGTTCCATCAGCGTGCACATCTTCGTGCAGTCCGACTACACGCGGTACGCGAGGAAGCCCAAGGACCAAATCTTGGCGCAACTGGTCATGGTCCCCATGGGGACCATCGTCGTGGCCCTCATCGGCATCATCTGCACGTCCTGCGCGGCGCAGATCTTCCCCGAGCAGGAAGGGACGCTCCTCTGGGCCCCCTACGACCTGTTCGGCGCCCTGCAACAGCACTACGACAACTCGTCGCGGTCCCGCGCGGCCGTGGCCTTCGCGGCCATCTCGTTCGGCGTCGCCCAGCTGGGGATGGTCGTGGCCAACAACGGCGTGTCGGCGGGGATCGACCTGGCCGCGTTGCTCCCTCGCTTCTTCACCATCCGCCGGGGGATGCTCTTGATGTCGTGCCTCGCGTTCGTCGTGCAACCCTGGCAACTCCTCAACGGCGCGAGCAAGTTCCTGACCGTGCTGGGCGGGTACGGCGTGTTCCTGGGACCCATGACGGGGGTCATGTTCGCCGACTATTTCATTCTTCGAAAGCGGTTGATCAAACTGACGGATCTCTACGAGAACCGCCCGGGGAGCGTCTATTGGTACTCCCACGGCATGAACTGGAGGGCCCTCGTCGCCTGGGCCATGGGCGTGTGGATCAACGTCCCCGGGTTCGCCGAGTTCGTCAAGTACGGCTCCGGCAAGACCCTCGAGGGTTGGTCGAATCTGTACGACATTTCCTACCCGTTGGGCCTGTTGTTGTCCGTGTCGACGTACGTCCTGTTGAACAAGTTGTCGCCCATCACCGGGTTGGCCGAGGTGGACGATTTGGATTATTTCGGCACGTTCGGTCCGGCCGAGACTCGATCTCTGCGTGGTGAAGAGGTGGTGGAGACTGTCCGGGTCGGTCAGGCTGGGAAGGTCATGGATGATGAGAAGGGGGTTTAGAGCAATTATGTTGGGGAAGGAGACGTAGAGTTCTTTTGGGATTGTAATGATTTTTTATTTGCTTGGAACATGAAAATTCCTTGTCCCTTCAGGTAGAATACTTTGGTATCACTTACCAGTTCAAACCAGCTTACCTCGACCTTGAACTTGACCTTGACCTCTCTGCATCTTTGCATCTTTTACAAATTCATACCTCCTCCCTTTGTGCCTGTACCCGTCCCACTTGCTCGTCCCTGTACCCGTGAGCGTACCTATCCTTGAGTCTGTGCCCGTGCTTGGTTCTGCGTCTGTTGATGTTTGACCCTGTGCAATTCCTTGACCCGCTCCACGAGACTTGGGTCTTTTGTCGTGACGGGTCCCTCGACGACACCCTTCAGGGCTGGTGCGACGATTTCAATCGGCAACAATGCCACCGGTGTCGGTGGTGCACCCATTTCTTTCCTCCATTCGCACAACTGTTCCGAAGAGGCCACGTAGACGATACGACCCATGCCGGCGTTTGCGTGAGCGGTGGCACACATGGGACAATGTTCACCCGAAGTGTACACCGTCGTGTCCGACCGATCCAGGTCTTGTTGTCGTTGAGCCCAGATGACCAGCGACAATTCCGGATGTAAAGTCACGTCCCGACCAGTGGTGATTCGGTTACGGTCTTCCCTCAACACCTGGCCGGTAGAGTTCTTGACCAGCACAGACCCAAAAGGTGAATCCCCGGCCTGGAGGGCTTCCCGAGCCAAGACCACGCACCGGCGGAGGTGAATCAAATCGATTACCGTTATCATCGTGTTTCACCTTGGGAACAGTATGACTGTAGACCGTGTGACTACAACCAAAAGGTCTGTATTCGATGGTTCCGTGACTGATGACTCTGTCGTTTGTCGAGTCAAAAGGTACCCTAGTTCCCACAGGTCCGAGAGTAGATGATCTTGGATGGTCGATCTCGGGAGAGTAGATACTGGATAGTGGATCGTAGTTAGTGGAGCGTGAATACCGAATAGTCGGTTTTGCTGTACTGGATACTCGGTATCGAATATTGAGTATTGAATGGCGAGTAACGCACAACGAGAGACGGGTGATGATGATGATGATGATGATGCTGATGGTGAGTATGCACCTCGGTCATGATTCTCAGAGGAAAAGTCGGTGTCATTGGGATCTGACGGCTTAGTAATCAAGAGAGTCGACGAGCACTCCGGATGAGTGGTGTACTCCGTTGATTCGTCTTCAGGTTTCTACAGAGTTAGACTTTGTAGGTAATGTACTACAGAGTTGCCATACTCAGTATGACAATTGACCTCGCGAAGCTTGCTTTGAGAAAGTTCATTCACGGATTGGCGTGGACGATATGAGCGCCATTACACGGCGAGTGACTGGCCTTGAAATCATGTATCCTCTCCATCAACCAGCCTGACGTCCATCTCTTCCCTCCGTTGGGTAATTGACGATGACCGAGACGAATGTCGTACGACAGTCGACAAGTGTGACCAAAATGTTCGAATTGGATGCACCTTTCGTTTGCCGTACAAGCCTTCAAGCATGCTTCGTAGGACTTACCGGCGCGGTTTTTATCGTCCTCATCATACACCACGTCCTCAGACATGTTGGTCCAGTCCTCACGTCGGTCTCGGATCAAAGGTTCGACGAGGCCAAAAAAAAGTTCCTCGAACGTCAGAGGTTTGGAGCGGTCACGCCGTGAAGAAGTCGTCGTCTGCTCCCACCGTTGGAGCTCCAAAAAGTCCTCGGTGTCGAGATGGTGAAGCGTCAGTATGGCTTCGCACCACTGTTCCCGACCGAAGCGTGCCGTGGTTGGTTTCTCTCCGTTGAACATGGGCCAGTACCCTCGCAAGGTCACGCCGCTTTCCTTGAGAACGCCCGCCAACACCTCGTCACCGCAACACTCGTGTTGCATGTCTTTGCCGAACAGGTGGGTGCCTGGTAGGTATGACGATCTGTCCTTTTTGCTTCGGCCGACAAATTTCGACCCGTGGGCCACCAACTTGTCCAGGGCCGCTGAGGAGAGTACGAAGCCGGTGCCTCCGTGGGCAAAAATTGGCTTCTTGTGCGGCCACACGGGAGAGCCAAAGTAATAGGGTGTCGCGGGGTCGAATCTCACCAAGAAACGGTGCATGTTGTCCCAGTTGACGTAGGTGTCGAGCTCGATAAAGACAAACCAGTGTGACTTGGGCCGCAGGTGCCGCGTGAACTCCATCATGGGGAGGAACTTGTACTTGTCCAGCCGCCAGCCTTTTCGCGACTTTTCTTTTCCGTCATTGTCGTGGACACGTTGCTGTTGACTCGCGTCGTCATTGTACTGGTCGTACATTTCAAAGTCTGGGTTGTCGTGGCGATATTTCGGGTCGAGGTTCGCGAGGGCGTCGTGGATTTCCAGGGCGTCGTACCGGTGCTGTCGGTCTGAGAAGAGCAGAATGTCCTGGCCGCACCGGCCGAGGCGGTTCAAGTAGGCTGGTAGACGCGTGGACACTTCTCCGGCTCCCATCTTCAGTACGATGGTGACCTTGTCCATCACCCCTGCGGCGAAAGGCGAGCACTTGATTCCATATGGCACATCGTCCGAGAGTGGTTGTCGGTCTGATTTGAATTGTGGGTCGAGGAGATCGTAGCCCCGCTGACGGTCAAGGATCTTTGAGATCAGAGGAAACGTGAGTAGGAGACAAATGACCAGAGAGACGCATAGTGAGCGTAAGGGCGTGAGCCGCACCATGACACACACTCTCTGCGTCTCGTCAGGACCGAGGAGAAGACCACCCCCAGAGAAGGCCACATGAAGGAAAAGATCTCGTCTGGAAGAAAGTCTTCATCGGAAATCGAAGCGAGTAGGACACCCTTTTGCAAAGTCACACAAGATGAGGCTCGGCAGGGTACGAGGGTACATAAGTACCTAGGGTAAGGTATTGGGTAAGCTCTGGGGTAGGCAGAAACAAACAAGAAACGCGTATACTCTCGGTAACAAACAGAAACCCATCATGTCGGGTCTGAGGAGGAGGTCATCGTAGACGAATTATGTACCTAGGGGAACTGCAAGGCGTGTTTTGAAGGGTCAATATTCCACATTCACTACTATTCTTAGGTACCTTCACTTGGGGACTAACGAGTGCATAACAAACCCATATCTTCACCCGAAAAAAAAGAGGTGCCAGAACCCACTGCGACGTCTCGACTCGCGCATGGTGTCTTACTTAGTGGAACTAAATAGATACAATAGATACTCCGTACAACTTGTGATGTATCCGAATAGCCGTAGCCGTAGCCTTGGAGATTCTGTTCGAAAGGCTGGCCTGAAATTACGGCCAACGTACTCCGTACTAGATGGAAACGAGAAAAATGTCCAAGTAAAGTATGGCTGGGCCCAAAAACGACGTGACATGCCGGACCATCCGGGGCCGAACGCGTCCACTTAAGAGATATTGTACTCCGTACTCCGTAGCTTATTATCTATTTCTCCGGTTCCAACAGAGTACAAGACATTTTAGTACAGAGTAAAAAATGTCTTGTACTGTATCCTCGTCATTGCGAGGCTTAGACCCGACGTCCACCCAGCCGCCCCCGTGACAGGTCTGTACTAGTTCAATGATGTACTCCTTACGTGCTGCAGGGGAGGAAATATTAATTCATTATCCGTACTTCGTGCGGATACGGAGTACAGATTGAATAGAATCACCTCTACAACAAAGAATGCTCGTCCTCGGTACCATGTGCATTCAGTTGAAGGCTCTAACTACGGAGTAAGATCCTTGCTGATATTCAAAGGCTCGCCCAGACGAGATTCTCACGATACATATCCGGGGATGTACAAGTCAACCATGTAACATACGTAGATTTCCTCGGTCTCAAAGTTTCGATCTCGACTTCAATTCATCCTTCAACAATCTGACAGCATGTGCTGCCATGCCCCTTTTTCAACATGTCGGTTAGCATTTGTGCCATCATCATCATCATCATCACCACTTCAATAGAGAGAGAGAGAGAGAGAGAGACGCAGAGACCTAGGTATGGAAAATGTACTGTACGCACCATGAAGATTGATAACCTGCTCCAGACGCACCGTAATTATGGATGAGAAGATTACCGCCATTCTTCCTTTCCAACTCTACTCTCGCGCCTCCTTTTCTACTCGCTACACGCAGATTTGTCATCATTAGTGTCTTGTTCCCTTGATCAAACTTCGAAATACTCACGTCTCAATCCAACATTGTGACTTATCACTTGCAAATCTTCGGGCCTACCCAACTCCGGAGCAATTGCGCAACATCTCTCCTTGATCCGTTCGGCGAGCTGCATGTCCGGTTCGGCGGTCCAGTCATGGTCGCGACGCACACCACCTATGATGACGCCTCCACCGAGGGGACGGGGGAAGACGTGTGCAAACTCTCCCGGATTCCAGTCGGAGCAAGAACGTATGTACATGCGTTCGAGGGGCTTGATGGGCTCGGCGATAAGCATGGTTTGACCTTTGGTAGGGTAGACCGATGCATCCTCGACACCGCCCAGGAGTCTGGCGCCCAAGCCTGTACAGTTGAAAAAGGCCTTTGCGTGAGGAAAGTCTCGCATGAGTGTATCAACGTGGGTGTATGAGCGTCGTAGGAACTTGACGTTTCGTTGAAGGAGTTGCATTTGGAGCCTGTGCAGCAGATGAAAGGATTCGGTGGTGAGCCCCAAAGGAATCCTTGTCTTGGGAGGAGGGCAAAGATACGGACGGATATGCTCACCACTGAAGATATGCGACCGTGTTGATCATGAAGCTGGCCATGTCCAATCCCACCACGACCCCTTCCGGGAGTTCGTGCTTGGGAGCTTCCTCGATACCACCGATAAAGTCCCCGTACCACAAGTCCTGGCGTCTTTCGTCGCTGTCGTAAAACACTCGCATGGGCATGCTTTTTATCCCGCTCTCGGGAGACTTTGCGGCGATATCGGTGAACTTGGTAAACGACACGGCATCGTATTCGGCGAACTGGTTGCGTTCCTTCTCGAAAGAGTGCCAGTTGGCGCCGGCCCATGGCGATACGTATTCCGTGGGAGAGGTGAACCCCGGCAAAAATTTGGCCACCACGGTGATTTGCGCATTGGGGAATTGCTGGCGGGCTTCGAGGGCCGTAGTGAGTCCTGCGACACCAGCACCAAGCACTACGATCTCGGTGGGAGAAGACATGGTGACAGAGGACTTTGCTCAAAAAGGAGACAGATGGCCTCTTTCACCGTTTGTGGGAAATGTCAGTGCAGCAGTTTTATACAAAAGTCATTGCTGTATCTGTAGATAATGAATGGTGATGTTCCGCGGCTCATCCGTTTGTTTTCGGTGTAGATTCCAACAGTTTTATCTGGGATGGTGTGATGTTGTTAATTATCATCAGATTTTTCTATACAATGCATCAAAGACCTCTCGTCCGGGATGAGAAGGTGATTCGACGAAGTACCGGGTTGAGGTTGTGAAAAGGCGTGAAGATGGTGATTAATTGCTAAGTAATTCAGAGCTCACGCCTTGTTGCATGAGATGAGGCCTACCTTAGGCATCTACTAGGTAGGTACCTTAGGTAATGAACCGCCCCGCATATGTCCGAATAGGCGTGTCGACGGCCATTATCGCATACCATCGGGGAGGGAGTAAAGTCGCCCAGTTCGAGTTATCGTCGACCTAATTACTGTAACAGCACTCTTGAGCTCGAAAACAGTCAGAAATTTTATTAATCTGAGAGCTTCTAACCATCGAGTTATTGACACATGACTTGTTCAGATCTTACTCGGCGTCGCAAATATGCGAGCGGATGAGCACAGCCTCGGGGAGGGGTTCAGTGAAGTTACTCGCATCCATGCGTAATCTTTACCACATCGGCGACAATAAGCGACTTACAGGGTTTTGACCGGATCATCATCTTCCCGTGTACTCGTACTCGTACGAACTACGAGGGAGATTCTTGGAAAACCAATATACAAAAAAAAAAAGTTACCTGCGTACTGTTTGTATGGTGGTGACTGGTGGTGGTATTGGTGTTCTGGGCTTTCGGGCGTAGAGTACGGAGTGGTGTAGCTCGTAATACCTAATAAATCTAATCCTTTGCACCGGCAACATCTCCATATCGGTCTGGTTGGTGGTGGCGAGGAAATAATATGGCGAGCTCTTTTTTCGTCATGGAGGGAGTGATTCGTACTCCGTACCAAAGTGCTCGCATTTCTCCTCGCAAACGCAGGGTCCCTCTGTTAAACTAGTGATGAGGCGTCAATCATCATTGGCTCGACCTGCGTCTCGTTTCATGATGGTGAGGCCAATACTGTGTCACAGGCCCTCGACCAGGAGATGCCAGCTATTTTTGAAACAACTCAACACTTCGTTCCCCCGTATTTTCCCCTTCTGACGATTATGGTAGTCTTCTGAACAATCCAGACCAGCCCTTTGACTTACGCCCGCTTCGACACGCGGCCGGACACAATCCGTGAGGCTGGCGGAGTAACAAAACACATCCACACTCCGACACTCTTTTTTTTTCTTACAGTACATCCACCGAATTGCTGTGAAGGACAAGTTGAAACCCGAAAAGGTACAGAAATGAATTACCCAATCGTCTGGGGTCTTCACATGCAAGGTGAGAAGGTGCCAGTTGCTCCCGGATTTCTTGTCTACAAAACCCTCTTTCACCGCACCTCACCAGATCATCTCCCAACAACTTCCCAAGCCCAAGAAATATAACTTCCCAAGAGCCTACTACCCTCTTCTCGACCATTCCTCTTGATCTCTATCTCTATCTCTATCTCATCCTTATCCTTGCCCCCGCCATTCTTATTTCTGCGGTCCTCTCTCTATCCTCACCCTACCAAACCGTCCTGTTTCCTCGACCTCCACCACCGACATACAACGATTACCTACATTTGGCCGTATTTCCCCCAACACAAGCCGCCCATCATGGTCGCCAGACTCGGCAATGTGTCTGCCCTCAAAGACTTTTTGGCTTTCTTGGCCACAGTCTCCGGCGACATCTCCCACATCACGGCACCTCCATTTATCCTCGCACCTCAATCCCTCACGGAATTCCCCAGCTACTGGGCCGAACGACCGTCATTGTTCACCGCCGCTGCCCACGAACCCACACCGGAAAAGCGTTGCCTCGCCGTCCTGAAACTATACCTCGCCTCCCTCCAACGGCAGTACTACGTGGGCCGCACCGTCAAGGAAGGACTCAAGAAACCGCTCAACCCGTTCCTCGGCGAACTCTTCCTGTGCGAATTCACCGACCACGACCTGACGTCCGAGAAGGAAGACTCCGACAAGTCCTCCACGGTCAGGGTCATCACCGAACAAGTGTCTCACCACCCTCCCACGACGGCGTGCTACGTATCGTCCGACGAACGACACGGCATCCACGCCGAGGCGTACTCGACGCAACAGACCACGCTCTCGGGCACGTCGATCGTGATACGACAATCGGGCCACGCCGTCATCACCATCGACAGGTACGACGAAACGTACCTCCTCCCGCTCCCCGACGTGCGCGCACGGGGCGTCTTGACGGGCGTCCCCTGGCCCGAGTTGGGGGACACCTACAGGATCGTCAGTTCGGCAGGCTACACGGCCGAGATGAAGTTCATCCCGAAGAGGATGTGGGGTGGGGAACGCAACGCCTTCGAGGCGGCGGTGTACAAGACCGACGACGCCACAAAGGACGCCGTCTATTCCCTCGGCGGTCACTGGAGCAGTCGGTTCGGGGTCTACAACACCCACGGCCACCAGGTAGACACTTTTGACCTGGCGGACCCGGAGAACGCCCCCGCGCCCATGACCATCAGACCTCTCGACCAGCAGTCGCCGTGGGAGAGCCGACGGGCGTGGCGGGACGCGTTCGACGCGATCCGACGCGGAGACCAGACCGCCACGGTCGCCGAGAAGGGCAAACTCGAGGAGGCGCAGCGGCGGATGAGGAAACGCGAACGCGCCGCCGGTCAGGAGTGGGAGTGCACCTTCTTCAACCGGGTCGGAGAAGGGGAAGACGAGGAAACCGACCCCGCGGTGAAGAAGTTGTTCGACGTGGTCGCGGCCTCCGAGGACGGCGCGGACGAGGTGGAGAGGCTGAGAGGGTCGAACGGTGTCTGGAGGTTCGACCCGGTCAAGGCGAGGAAGTGGAGGGAGGGTCAAGGCGTGGCCAGGCCGGAGAGTCCCTTGGCCTAGTCGTCGATTTTGTCCAGCTGGTGGCTAACGATTTGTTTGATGCAGCGCGGAATCGTGTTTTCTATTGGCTTTGGGCTTTGTGTGTTTTGTCAGGTCAAAGCAAGCGACGGTGTTTGGAGGGCTTTGGCAGTTCGCCCTGGATTGTATGTTATTATCGCGCCGTGACCTCGTTGACTACGTGTGAACGAGACAGCGCTGGTTAGAATGATACCCCCTATAAAACATCCTCTCTTCTTCAGGAGATGAAATCGCAGTACGCAGTATTGTTCATGAGATTTTCTGTTTGTTTGTACTCCGTATCTAGATGAGATATGTGGACGTATGGGGAATTCTCGTATCCTGAAACGCGATCATCCAATTCAGTGATATCCCAGTCTCCGTGGCTGGCTCAGTCCAAAAGTCTTTTCGAGTGCTTATTTTACTCTCGTAGTTGGAGATGGGGGTACTTCCATAGTTCGTACTAGAAGGCAAGAGGATAAAAAAGGAGGTTCATGTCGTCGAACGTTTCATTAATTGAAATGGAAATTCTTTCGTGGCTTCTGGGTAACTAGTGATGAAGAGCCTTGTATTGGTTTGGTTGTTCGTGGCACCTGAAAAATTCAGCGAATAGTGGGTGATTGATCTCGTTTTCTTCTCCATTGCAGCAGTCATGGGTTTCTCTCTCTTTGGAGTCTCCCGTATCTGTTCTGTCGTCGAGGCAATTGTGATTGTGGTTGTGAATTTGAATGTGATTCGATTCAGTCCAGTTCCGCGTCTCATTGCTTAGCCGCATCCGGCTCTTGAGTGCGTTGCTTTCGTTCAGTCACAAAGACTTGATCTCCTGTACGCAATATCGCACCAGAAGGACCGGCGAACCCATACTGGCCAAAGACAGGTTTGTCTGCGTGGGCATCATTCACACGTCAGCAACATTCTGAATTCTTTCCGGTACTCTTTTCAAATTTGAGTTGACTTACGAGGAAACTTGTCATTGACTCTTCTGTCGCTGGCCAACAGCCCATACAACTGACGATCACGATGGATCATCTCTCCAGTGTCCGGATCGGCGTTCAGACTAAGGCACCGAACGGTACGGAAGATGCATTTGATGGTGACCTCCTGAGCTTCATCCGACTGAGACCGGACGAGAAGTGATGACCAATTGTCCTCGTCGTAAGCGGGTAAATGTCCCTTGACGTCGATGTGGATATTTGGTCTGAATCGTACAATGATGTCTTCGTGTTGCCAGTCCTTGGGGAGCCGTGACCTGGCGTCCTCCTCGGAAGCTGTCGACGTGATCAACAACGGCGCCGCGTCCGCGAAACGGATCCGTTGAGGTTGCAGACCCTCTCTCAAGGCTAGGGAGAGGGCATTGTGCTGACTGGGTAGATAGGCTGCCCCGGGAATCTCACGACGTCCTGTGCCTCCGATGGATAAGAGTCGTACATCTTGACCGAGGTGATTGGAAAAGAAGGAGGCGGATTCTTCGCCCAAGTCGATGCCGATGGCGGTGGTTCCGAAGATACTGACCTCGAAGGTTTTGTTTTGCAGCAGTGACAGCGGTGACGGGGTTAAGGGGACTGTGATGGAGGACGGAGGGTCGGCGTGGATGTGAGTGATTGTCAATTTGGTCCAAGAGTCGTCGATGGTCGGCTTAAATAGCATGAGCTTGAAATGCTTCTTGATGGTCAAGAATTTCGCCTCCTTGGAGTTGTCCTTGGGAGGCGTGACCAGGACGAAGCACCGGTCGAAACGGAGACCTTCATTGGTAAGTTCGACCGACGAGACCTGCACAGGCGGAAGAGACTTGACGGGATAGATGAAGAGCTAGCAGGACCACAGTATCAGCATCAAGTCGTTTGGACAATTTTAGGTATTTGGGCCTCATTACTCTCTGGATGGTGCACATTGCATCGCCTTGTCTAGCCTCATCCGGCAGCCATCAGCGAAAGAAGAGGACGCAGGACCACAGGAGAGAAGAGAGAGAGAGCCGACAACCAGAAGCGGGAGTCGAGGGCGAGCAGTCCACCTTTTTAGCTCTTTGGCAATCTTCCTTGAGGCAATGGGCTTTTACAGCGATATCAGGTGACAAATTGAAAGGCCTTTGCACTCTTCACGAATGCGAAATGTTGGATGGGAAAATGCTCGGGCTCGTGAGTGTCAGCACAAAAAGAGGAGTAGAAGCAGCAACCCAGTTGTCGGCTTTTGACTGCTCACGTGAGCAGATATGAGAATTGTCAGAGAAAAGATTAGTCAAATGACGGATGTGAATGACAGGTATGGTTCATAGCACATCCTACGAAACAGAACAATTATATCGATGACTGACCACTTAAAATGACACCCTGACTCAGCCTACGTCGACATAGCCTACTGAGGCCTTTTTATCGCCTTTCTCGCTTCGCTCCGGCGTTTCCTTTTTCTGTCAGCCCACCGACCGCCACCACGCGTACCGACTACCACTGTTTGTCTCCTCTCATCCTTCTTACTCCGCCCTTGTCAGGTCCTATCATCTGTGATTGATTTCAATTTCATAATCGCCCCCCGTTGTTCCAGCCTTGAAGGGTTGTTTTTGTCTGGTTTCCGGGATTCTTTCAGAAGTCTGTCCGATTTTCCTCTTCGGGGAACTTTTGTTGTTTGATACTCTTGGGACCCCAACTCGCTCGCTCCTTGATTCCGTTAAAGACCCTCTCGAAACTCGCGAAACTGCCCCTCGTATGGAAGCCAACGCTCCGGATGCTGTAGCTGTGTCCGAAAGGGCCTGTCATTCCTGCAGACAGCGTCGGGTCAAGGTACGACAATCTAGCTCGCACGTGGGCTGGCTTTGCTGACAACCACACAGTGCGACAAAAGAATCCCTGGCTGTCTACGATGCGAAAAGCTAGGTAGACCGTGTACTGGCTATGACACCGAACGCAAGTTCCTCGATGAAGGTGTCAAGGTCCGAAGGAAGTATGACGGAAATTTCCAAACGCTGCCGGACCACTCTAGAAGACCCGTCACTTCTCCGCCCACAAATACTGTAGCCCCGAGTACACGACAGGAACAACCTCCGAGGAATAGTCCATCTCAGTACCAGGGACTTCCTGTCCAGAGCCATACCAAAACCATCCCGGATGCCATTTCACCACCAACCTCATCCCCTCTCACGTTACCGGGCATAGCGTCTCTGAGTCCAAGACCATCGGTACCAGACATCCAATACCCTCTTTTCGGCGTCAACCAGCCAAACAGTCCCGGGTACAATATATTCCAGGGCCAACAACCTCAACCTTTCTTTTCGTCTTCAATCTCCCAACCATCAGCCAATATACCTTCTCATGTCCAATTTGCCGCCCAGCATACCCCGCATCAGCCCGACCAATTCCAGTACGGTCTGGAACAAGGGACGGCCAAGCTCTTGCGCGGCAAGCCACAGTATGCGCCATCAGAGACCGACACGTATGTCAGCGAGGACTACTTCGATCTAGACATTGACGCGTATTACGCCAACGGCAACAATGCTTGTGGGTTTATCCCCGGGCTGCCGGTGATCCTAACTGATACCAACGAACCCGAAACCGACGAAGACCTTCTCACCAATGATTATGCTTCTCTCAGCGGCAGGTCGTCAGTATATGATAGTTCGGAAGGGGGTAGAAAGCGACCCGAGTATAGCCAGAAGTACCTACATGAGCGTACAACAGAGCTAGCTGCCCTCACTCGACATTTTGTCCAGGTGGTATCTCCTTCGTAAGTCCCAGGACCCTACCGTTCGTTATGAGATGTACTGACCACTGCGATTAGTATGGACTTGTTCGATCTTGACACCTATTTCAGTCGAATAGTCCCGTTGAAGGCAGTTCAAAATGTGATGTTGAGATCGGCCATGGCGGCTGTGGCCGCAAATCAGATTGGCCAACTGTTGGCCAAAGGTGTCACCAAAACGGACCTACAACATCTGGTGCCATTGTTGGGTGAGAATGGAGGTTTGCAAGACACTGATTGGTTTTACAAGGCTGCAAATTATTACGACAGAGGAATTTCATATCTAAGGATTTTCTTGCAGCGGTGGTTGAGCGATACCAGCAACGAGATTACGGGATTCACGTCGAAATATGCTTCTAGGAGATTTTCTGATGAGGGTAGCAAAGAGTCGTCAACTGTCAGCGCGCCAAACAAGAGACGGCGCATAAGTGAACAGTCATCGGCCGGAGCAGACATGGAAGCCCTTGTCGCTGCCATTTCAGTCTTCTCCTTATACGAGTCGTTGGACAATCCGACTAAGGACTGGTCACAGTAAGTCAAGTCTCGTTCTTGCTTTTGCTATTAATTGACCATGTGCGACAGGCATCTCGACGGGTTCAAAGCTCTTCTAGACACCAAAATTCTTCCCCAAGCTGTCACTACTCCAGGCCCCAAAGCTTCTCCATTCATCTCCATGAAAGCCAGCCGAGCAGCCTTTTGGAACTTTGCTCGTGCTGATTACCTAGCGGCTTATATCAACAGATCCAAAACGCGACTCGACCCGGACAACTTGTTGATGTGGAAGGCTTTAGGCTTACCAATGACTGACGATGGCACCCTCGTTTACAATGATCCGTCTACCCCACCGAATTCCATCGTTGCATATCAACCACGGGATAGGGAAGACATGGTGTCATGCGCCTTGATTTGGATTGTTCTCCGAGTCATGAACTTTCTCGCGCCACAAGACGATAACAGCCCAGACAATTCAGCAGGCACTCCGAATGTCTTTGACAGTCCTGGCACACTAGGATTTCGAACGCCCTCCGAAAGCGGAGGATTGACGTCGGTTCAAGGGCGAATTGCGCGGTGGAAACAATTGCGTCGGCAACTCGAAGACTGGTACGACAACCTACCGTTCACCTTTCAGCCATATGCGATGATGGGAGCCGCGTCACAACACCCTTACGACCAACCTCGGGAAACGAGACCACGATTTACGAGGATTTTCTTCAGCGTTCCCATGTGTGCGGCGGCATTGCAGCTGTATCATTTTGCACAGATACTGCTGCTGCTCAAGCAACCGGTGGATGAGAGTGCACCGGGCTTCATGGCGAACCGGATACGAATGTTTAGAAAAGTGTCGGAAGAGTCAGAACACCACAGCCGACAGATCTGTGGTATCGCTTTGGGGAAGCCGCCTCCGGCCGTGAGTCGGCAGATGGTCCACTCGTTGCACCTAGCTGGACTGTGCTTCGAGGAGAGAGAGGACAGGTTGGTGGTGTTGGAACTTCTTGGTAATATCGAGAAGGAAACTGGAGCTTCAACTTCGCAAAGAGCTAGGGAATTGAGAGAGGCGTGGGGCTGGGGACCTGAGGTTAGGGAGGTTGTTTGAGTCAAACTTTGGCGAAATAATCATTTGATGAAGCTGGCCTGGTATGGGATGACTCATGATTTTCGTGCTACTCTAAAATGGACAGTGAACAGTGGACAATGGACAAAGGAAATTGTGGATATACAATATGATGGCACGACGATTCCGACAAAAAGTTGACTTGACGATATGATTCTTGACGGGTCAAGATCAGGAATATTGTTGTACCTAGCGTTTTGTGGAACAAGGGATTTGATGATGGCTTTTACAACATCCATCGCTATGAAGCTTGAAATGAGATTGTATTTTCAACCGCGTCCTCTTTCCCTCCTCATGGCCAGAAGTGAAGCAAACCACCAACACCAGCGCTCAATGGGAGGCTTGGGACTAGACAGTGATTTGATTTTCACCCTCCTCTCAGGATAGCTGGAAGAGGACTTGATTGAAATGAAAGACGTTTTCGACATGTGCTTGATCAGTCGGATCATTCCAAACAGAAACATGATTGCGTGACCCCGAGGGGATATTGTCGCCTGTGTTTTTGGGAATGTAAACTTCAGTGATACGTATGTTTTAAGTCAGCCTCATCACGCTGTTGCTGTCACGGTACGTTTGTTACCGTTCGACAACCCTCCCAAGCCGTAAGTGGTAAGCGAGGACGATAGTCGCGGGCAATACACCTATTTTGGAAATCAAGAGCGAGTTGTTTCGACCTCACGTGCCTTTCTCGCTCTCTAATTTCCTGATTAGTCTTTCCACGGCCGGAAGTACGTCCTGGTCTGTTCCCCGGCGCTTCTCGGTGTTTCATTTCCCTCTCAGAAGCTTTTTCCCGGCGTGTCGTTTTCGCGTAGCGAGTAAGAAGGCCAGTTTTTGATTTTGTGATCTTGTTGTCAGGTACATAATGCCGCCTATTCATTTAGGCCGCCGACACATGGGCGCATTACGGAGTACAAGGGCAATGGGATATTGTACATAGTAAAACTAGTTGAGATTCCCGGAGACTAGACCTTTTGGAATTATTGTCGTGAAGAGCGAGCGCCTTTTTTTTGGTCTCTGGTCTCTTCAACGATCCTAATTGTAACACATTCCCCGAAGAGACCCATTGCGTATGCCCTTTCTTGCCTCGTGGACCACTTTTTAAAGCAGAGAGCAGAATTATAAAATGAACCAAATATCCCCCCCCCAATCGGTTGGGCGTCAATTCGGATCATCAGGCTCATCATTTCCCAAGGTTTGCCTTGTTTAATAAGTCAGTGAGTACGGATATTACCTGAAAGTAAATTTGGTTGGGCATCAACAAAGCAAGGCGCTTGCTTGGGTCATCCCCCCGCCCCCCTTACTCCGTCCCGTGTATCCCCTGAAACAAAGTCAAGGCAAACAAGGCTATACCTTTGCCTCACTTTTTCCTTTTGGAAAAGAAGGTTATTTTTTTCTCCTCCGATACGGACCACTTGTCCAGTGTCGATCGATACGATCACAATCACAACCTCCGAGGTCAAACCTCTTTTTCTTTTGTGGTTTTCTGAAAAAGACCCCCTTCACCCAGAAGAGTAACCCAGAGAATCGACACCACCTACATACAAGGAGAAGACGACCTGAAACGTCAACAGCAATGTCAACCACACCGACCATTCACGTCCTGGGCGTGTTTACCGAGTCCTCACCGTTTTCGAGTCTCCAAGACAAATCCAATGCGACTCGTGCCGAACAAAGACTACACGGCCGGATTGTCTTGAAGAAACAGACCAGAGACTCCACCTCGTTCGACCACGTCGACGTCCAGGTCCACGGTGCGATCCGAAACACGATCGGATCCAAAGTGGTAGTGGAGAGATTCTCGTCATCGACCGAAACGTTGAGTGCCCTCGATCTCAAACCTGCGTACTCTGCGACCGGACAAGACACGCAGGCACAGGAACGAGAACAGGAACAGCACCTCGACTTTTCGTGTTTGGTACCGACGATGCCCATCAACGGGCGAAAGACCGTACACGAAAAAGGACGCGGCGAGGAGGGTGAGAGCGTCGCCTCGACGACCACCGACGACAAAACCAACGACGGCTTCATCCCTTCCATGTCCATTTCCGGATCGACTTACGTCACTCGAGTCACTGCCATAAGGGACAGACACCTGGTCCAAGGACGTTGTGAGGTTTTGTATTGGTTGGAAGCAGTGTTTTTGAAGTCGACTTCGACCAACTCGAGGAACAACCACACAACCCATGTGGTCCGCCGTCTGACTTGTCCGGTGGACATTTCATCACCTTGTACACCGTTGGAGGTCTGCGCTGGTGACGACTCCGGCACCAGTACGGCTACGACTATCACCAAACAGATCGCAAAACCTCAGACATGGGCGACCACGTTCCGTTGTCTCTCCTCTCCCCATCATCATCATCATCGTCGTCGTCATCATCCACAACCAGCAGAGATTTCAATCAGTCTACCTCGGAAATTGGGTTGTATCGTCTGTGACTCTTCCAGACTTGCCACGGGTTGTCGGAGATTGACCATACCTATATCTGTCAATGTCAAAAAACCCTTGTCTCAACCACACCCACAAACACGAAACGTGGCTGCCGATAATGTTGCACCTACAGAATCATTACAATGTTCCATCAATTCAAAATGGTACACGAGACGTTCTTTCAACACCGGATCTTCGGCGGTAGGGTCTTTGGTCACTTCCACCACCGTGTCGACCCACAAGACAACTTTGGTAACACCCCCCTTGTACTGCGACAATCCCTCTCTTCCTTTTCCTGAACACAACAACAACTCGACCTACCCGACAACAACGACGACAACAACGACGACAACAACCATGGACTTGAACCTACTCTTGCCAGAATCTTCAACAACCACCCCTTCGGTGTCGTCCGACTTGTTGAACATCAGCTACAACCTCGTAATCGAAATGCAATTCACCCTCGTCGACCGAGACGGAGTCAAGACTTGCTACAATACAGACTTGCATCTTCCAGTCCAGCTCCGCACGGTTCACCCGCCGCAAGACGTTCTTCGGACGCAATACAGTGGCAGCTTCGATCCATTGCTGGGATATGTCGAAGAGGATCATGTCCGATACGCTCCACCTCCATACATCTGTTGATTGCCGGTTTTGTAGTCATGGTGGGATTGGTTTTGTGGGGGGGGGGAGGGGGGAAATAGCATCGCTTGTGGCGACAATTATTGTACGGTTTATGCTGGATGCTTTGATGAATTTATAGATTTGATACCCTTGAGAGTTTTAGATAGACGCAACATGAAGCATTGGTATGGATGGTTGCAAAAGATCATTCATGTATGGATCAAGAGAGACTCGTTAACCTCGTCATCACATTTCAAATTCCCAGTTGTATCCTTGTACCTCTCACATCCATCCTGTCCAGACTGCGTGTCATGTCCAAACTGATTATTCGTAGATAGATGGTGCCGTTACCCGGAGGCACTTCCTTCCAGAAGCCAATACTGATCCTTTTCAGGGTCATGGCCTTGATTTCTGCGTGAGTACAGTGGTATGAGTTGCCGCCGACGCATCGCGAACGCCGGCCAGGACCAAGCTCCTCGCCACCAGGTCTTCAGACTTTGAAACTGTGTCGGGAGTTTCTCGTGACTTAGGTAAACCTCAACCTGATATACCACGCGCAGTAGGATGCAGGCACCGATAAACGTGGCCAACATTGAGGTGCCACTCGGAGTAAAGGGACGGACTGATTCCTCCATCGAGAAAATCGCAGCGGTGAAACAGATAGGCAGATACATCATCTGTATAAATTAGCTTCTCGGTGTCGCATGCGTGCACTAGCCTCAATATACCGTAGTCAATGAGATTCTCTTGCCGAGCTCGCTCAACCGATGAGATTTCTCGGCCAATCTCCGTTGGAGCTCTCCCGCATCCATGTCACGTCGGGTGAGTTTGCATCGAATCTGTGATTTGATTCTCCGTTAGCTTGTAATGCAACCGAAGTATCAGCGTATGGTGGCAATCAGGCATGATCTTACCTGCCATTCCCATGCCTTGCAACGGCCCTCCAAGCTTTTAAGGCGCACTTCCAGCCTTTGTAACCGGGTGAAGCTTGTCCGAATGCTATTCGGCGAAGCCATGTGCTCTGCCAATGACCCTGACACGTCTGTGGAGAAGTTGATGGTGAGTTGATCGAGAAATTCTGCGTAGACTTGGAGTGTTCGTTCCATCGCATTCCTCAAGTCCAACAGAATGGAGGAAGCAGCTTCGAGCCGTTCCAAGGACTGCCGCATGGAACACACTAGGCCCTGAATTGCATCTTCATTCTCCTGCCAATTTGTCAGTTTGCGTCTTTGTTCGTTCTTCACAGTGGGCTGAACTGCGTACTTCAATTTCCATACGAACCCAAGAACGTGTAAACCACGAACGGGAACTCTGCTCCAGCTTGCTCATCACAAGGCCCCACTCCTTGCAAATTTGTTCGGTCCTCGTTGCTAAGACCTTGAGAAAGAAGTAGCGGGCTTCATGCCGGTTGGGTGGTCTCGAAGGAGATCCCCAAGATTGGACTTCGCTCAACATCTCTGGGCCAGGTTTGGATGGCCGCCGATCCTCGCTATCGAAATAGCTGTCGACGAAGCAATACGCGGTCCATCTCCTTTCATCGCAACCTGCGACTACGCAGGAAATTTGTGCCTCATAGAGGTACGAATTGTCCGCGGTACAGTCACGGACCAGCGGTTCTGCAAGTAGTGATACATCCATGGATTGCCGCAACGCCCGTCCCGAGCCGTCGAGACGTGCATCCCTGCGAGGATGTGGCGATGTCCTCCACGCGTAATACGGCAGATGCAACGAAAATCGGAAGCAGACTGTCTGATTTACGCTCAGTCCGTTTCTAAGCTTGGGTCGCGGTCTGCACTTACTGGTAACATGACTTCAATACAGCTCTTAGAGGATAAGTATCCGTGAAAGGCATCCTGGAGTGCAGAAACCTGTTGCGTGGTAGCTGTGGCAACAAGAGCATAGATGTCCCAGGGTTCTAGATCATTGAGGAATCTGCGAAGTGTTAGCTATCAAAGATGATGGCCTACCGCGAGGAAATGCAGTGGCCTACATTAAGCGTCTTTCGATGTCCTTATCGGCTTTCGGAATAGAACTGTCGTCCGCGTTCTTCTCAAGTGCAGTACGTCCTTGTGTCCGGATTCTCTGTATATGTTGCAAAGTCAGTCAAGCTGGGCATAAGACCTTCTCGAGATGGTGAACATTACCGATGGATTCAACGCCTCGTACAGTCCACGTGCTGTCAACCATGTTGGGCCTGACTGGAAGCTGCCGCCACCACTCTCGCCCAACCAAGCGCCATACTTGAAGAGAAACGGTGCTTGCTCGCTTTGAAGCATATGCAAGCTTGCACCATAGCAGAACTTCTCGACTATATTTCTATGCGGAACAAGATAGTCAGGAGTTTCATCGTCGCGCATGAAGGCACAAATCATGCTCGATCCGTCGCTTTCACTCTCATCCTTATTGTTCTTGTCATGACCAGGATGGTCGACTCCGTCACAGTCCTCAATCTTATCAAGCAAGCTCTGATATACCTCCAGCCAGAGAATATTCGCTTTGCTGTCTAGGTTGTCTAAGATAAAAGTTATGTCTCGGCCCCTACCAAACATCTCAATTATGAAGTTAGCACTGGGTTCCGGCAGTGTGGAGTGCGCTTACTTTTTGTTCGATTTCTTGTAATGATGGCTCGGTAACCTGCTCAGCAACTTCCATCAAAGGTAGCCCCCTCGGATCTGGTTCATAGAACAAGTCTTCTTGCACTTCTGTCCTCACACGTGGATCGGATTGACCAATATGTGAATTATGAGGGAAGTTGATGCAACCTCCAAGCTTTTGCTTCGCATCCTCGAAGACACTATGCGCAGGCATAATGTATGCAGTCCTACCGCCGCCCCCAATAACATGGCCGTAAAGCCCATGATTTGACTCGTCAATGACCCAGGAGCCAGAATCACCCTTTGCCAGTGGTTGCGAAAATCTGCCCTTGAAAACTTTTTGGAAGGACTTGCTATGTGGCAGACGAGTATAAGCACGTGTACTAGACAAAGTTCCCTTGATGGTGCCTGCAGACGTAGTTTCCACAATAATTGCGACATCCTTCAGCGGCGCCCGAATAACGTGTGTGGGCTGTCTCGCATGCACATCGCTGCGTATGTTTAGCTGAAAGGCGGATGCTGGATCAGGAAGTCTGAGGAATGCATAGTCGAGGTCAACAGATGACAGTGACAATTCAATACCCTGTGATGCAACAGCTGAAAGATGTACAGGATCCTGCAACACTTCTGAACGCCTAATATCAGATGGTGGCATCATCTGATGGAAGACATGGCCAGCAGTGTAGGCATAAACGTCCAGCTCGTGCTGCACAAACCCTCCAATGGTAGCCTTTCGGACAAAAGTCCCAGCCTTAGCCACCGAGTTCACGGATACTGTGTTGCCCGTAATAGATACTGAGCCTGAGTTTGATCTGCAAGAAGCATCCTCGTTGTCCTGCCGAACAGTTTCCGAAGCCCATTGTTCAAATTGACAATCGGAGTCCGGTGGATAGGCAGCGTTATCGGATTTCATGCCTGGAAAGTCGTCGAGTAATCCACTTTCATCAATAATTTTCTGCACCTGTCTGCGAGGTTCGGAGTCCTCACACGTGAACATAACGACAGGGTACGTTGTTGTCGGATTGTCGCCTCTCATAAAGACGTAGAACTCAACCACAGAGCGACTACTAATGGTGTCAAGAAATTGGCTGAGATGGTCCACGATGTCCGGCGACAAAATTTCGAACGCCCTTACGGCGGGTCCTTTGGCTGTCCAATATTTGACGTCTTCGACCTGTTTGAGAAAGTGGCCAGTAGATTCAGCTGGTTCAGGCCAGCTGGTCTGTTGACTTCCTCCAAAGAGCTTCCACAGCCCGGTGTGGGCGAAGCGAGTGGGCATTTCATGAGGCGATGATGCTTGCCCAAACCAAAGGCTGGGCGAAACGCATCAACCCTAAAATGTTCGTAGGCGGAAGAAAGAAGAGAAAGGCTGAAGATGAAGTGGATGACCCAGGTTTAAATCTTGAAGCACGAGTCTGTCTGCTCTCTCATATGTCGGGCACCATTGCAGGAAGGCGAGGGCCAATAACAATCGAGTGTGGCGCTTTCTCATACAAACAGGGCAACTTGACAAAGCATAGCCTCGAGAAAAGCGAGACTGTGTTCGGTGCAGATTGGTCGCAGCACTTATGGAGACAGCACACCATGTGAGTGCTCAAGAAGGCGAAATGGCCGTGGCAGCTCGTTCGAGACGGGGCCACCCCAAGCATCATTAACTCGATGATTCTCACTAATTCATGAACAAGCTAATACAAGTGTGCTGCGGCTGCCACATAGTAATATTGTACCAAATATGGCGACATTTGAGAATATCGAACTTCGCGAACCAGCGGCGGCAACATATATTGCTAGAGCATTTCTGCCATTGTGAATGGGCGAGTCGGTAGCCGAATCGAGGAAAGACACTGTGATAGATGCATACGTACTGTACCAGAATCAGCAATTCCGTACTGCTTTGCGCAACAGAGGTCTTCACTTGAGCGCCCGAACAGTCGGGGACATCGTTCACAATGCGAAAGACTTGGCGGATGGAGCGCCAAAGGAGGACATTCGATCAAAGCTGTTCGCCAGCCTGGAGAGCCCCAAGCTCAGAGATAAGTCGGAGTTGCTCGATACATCAATCGATCTTACAGCCACGCTGCTCACCATGATATGTATGAAGCTGCCGCTTCACGCATACTGTTGTCGAAGTGTGCTCTCATGGGAGCACGGATCGCTACAAGACGCTCTTCGGGAGCATTTCATACAGCCAGTCATATTGGAACATGACATCAAATGGGAAAGGGAGTTCAACGCAAGCAACTTTTGTCGTATCACTGGGTTTTCGATTGACTGGACCGACAACCTCATAGACCATCTGCGGATCGACGAGGACAATCGGCGTTTGGCTATCTTCCACCATGCATCATTCCTGAAATGTCAGCAAAGGTATTTTGAGCTCCATCTGCCGACCTAGAGTTATGAGACGTTTGTTGATTCCTGTAGCAAGCTATTCCCTGCGGGATTGGTGGACGAGACGTTGAAGACAGTGGCTCTTTTCTTTCCCCAATTGGACTCAGACATAACAGCATTGTTTCGTGATTGTTCACGATCTCTCAGTCTTGACAAGGAGATGATAAAATGTGGTCGGCTTAGGTCAGCCGACCGCCAGATTGAGAGGTTCAAATGCTGGCACGACCGATTGGTGGCTGTGAAGCAACTATACGACGAGACACGACCCAGAACAATCTCCCAGCTGTGGTATGACAACCGTAACGGGATCCAGTGGCTCACATTCTGGATAGCAGTATGCGTCCTCCTTTTCACAGTTGCACAGTTGATCGAGGGTGCGTTGCAGACATACAAGGCGTACCATCCGACGGACACCACAAGACCTCAGAAATGAAGACTTGCATGCAGATACTGATGGGTACACCTCTAGAGATCGTGCTCACCTTCGGAGTGTTGATGTGAAAAGAATGAAAGAAGCGGAGTGTTCCTGATCTCGACAACACACCAAGCTCGGCGTGATTCGCCATCGCCCATAACTCGAGGAAGACACGCATGGAGGCACATTCTTCGGGATGACAGGACTGCGATGCTCGAGGACATTTCCATATGACTCGAATGATTGACCATACATTGATGTTTAATCAGCATTAATGAACCAAGTAATAAAGTGTGATTCTTGATCTTATGGATGAGCCTCGACACTCGGAGTCGTGGCACGGACGAATTCCGCCCATTCGCGGAGGATTATGTAAGGCGATTACTTGGGCCTGTAAACATCCTCATGGTGTCAAATAGTCCATACTAGGTGCCGGCTTCCCTTCGAAAAGCACTGCTTATAATGTCCTGAGTATTGGTCATATATGAGATAACTGGGTGGGCTAGGTGATGGTTAGATTTCTTGATGGAAGTAGATCCAACGCAACAATACTACTGATATTGAGTATCACTCTCGCAGCCTTGTCGAGTTATATACTAGAATCTCCCACGCTGGCGGCCTGGAGAACAAGGAGTCCCTTCAGCCATTTAGTCAATTTTGGAAGGAATCTCTCAGCAGATACGACAAATAAATATACGAACATGTCCAAAAGAACGCCGGTATATTTTGTTTCCCATGGGGTAGGTACTACACTTCCCGCACAGTCAGGGATGAACAATAGTAACATTAGACAGGGCCCGACCACAATGTACGATACAAAACATCCCGTGTACCCACACCTTCAGGCCATAGGCAAGGAGATCACAGAGAAAGTCAAGCCTTCGGCAATTGTTGTATTCTCAGCGCATTGGCAAGCCGCAAGATCCAACACGATCGAAGTGAACGTCTCAGAGAACGAACCTCTACTGTACGACTTCTACGGCTTCCCAAGACACTACTACTCTGAGAAATTCCCCAACAAGGGCTCGCCCGAATTAGCAAAGAAGGTCATGGACACGCTGGGCAAAAATGAGATCAAAACCGAAGCCACCGAACGAGGTCTTGATCACGGCGTCTTCGTCCCCTTCAAAGTCATGTTCGATCCCAATGCCAACCCGCTGACCGTGCCGATCGTCCAAGTCAGTCTTTTCGACGATGATACAGACGCCGAAGCACACATCAAGTTAGGACGGGCGGTACAGAAGTTAAGGGAAGAGAACATTCTGATCATTGGCAGCGGCATGTCTGTACACAATCTGCGACAGCTCATGATGCTCAGGGGTAGTGGTATGACAATGCCCTACGCTACGAGTTTTGACGAAGCGATAAAGGTTGCAGCCGAGACAAAACCTGGAGATCGTCGCGATGAGGCTATGGTTAACTTGTTGAAGAGGCAGGATGCAAGGCAGGCTCATCCCACGTTCGAACATCTGCTTCCCGTTCACGTTGCTGTCGGCGCGTCGGGCGAGGACCAGGGAAAGCAATTATGGACCTTGGCAGAGGAGAGTATGGCTTGGGCCCAATATAGGTTTGGAGACGTAGCCGCCTGAAGATTTTTGTTCTCTCGTGTGGTTCGAGCTGCTCAATATGTACAATTGGACTTTTTCTCAATTCCAAGCAACTCTAGAATAGGCATAGCGGTAGCCCATGTGGTTTTCGATAGGGGTTTCAAAGCGCCAATGTCGAACTATGGGAGCTGTAGTACTCGCCAGGTCGGTTGGGTGTCTATTCGCTCTTGACCAGTGTCGTAACTTTGTCCTCGATCTCCTTATCTGACAACCCTACATCGTGGTGTCAGCCAAACCTCGCTTTATTCTGCCCAAGGGGATTTGCCTTACCCGATAATGCTTCTGATTTCTCCTTTCCTAGTCCTGTTCGAAATGATTAGCTTGCCTTCCTCTTCAATACCCTCGTGCATATCTGCGCATACCGTATCTCACCCAGACCTTCGGCTCTACACCCACGGCTTCCCGTATTAAAATCGGCGTATTCGGGTTATGGTGCTTCATCGTTGGATATGCTCGCTTGAGGAACGATCTGTAATACTTTGTTAGCGACGTGCGCCGAAGCTCCTCTGGGGCGCGCTGTGCTGACCTCGTCGCTTCGCTTCCTTGACCGGAGCTGCACAAATGAAAACGCAACTCTCGTAGCCCTTGCGTGAAAGCATATTTGGTGGCCATGACGGCTGCTGGACTCTATAAATGCTCTCAAGGTCGTTCCGCCTACAGAAAACAGATGCGCAGGTTCATCAATGAACCTCCTCCCAAGCAGCGACATGAACTAACCCAAAATAGAATCGTTTCGGGGTTATTGAGAAAGCTCCGGGACGGTCGCCGCAACTTGCAGTTTAATCGCATCTTCTCCTCCCGACACCGTCCTCATTACTCATATTTCACCTAGACGACTTTCACATTCTCGCACCCAGAGAACAGGTCTTTCTTTGCCGGTGACACTCTCCGCTCCTTGAATATCAAAGTCGCCTGCGCATTCCCCTCGACTTCTCCTACATTTTCACCTTATCGAGCAATCGCTCGGTCTGACTCAATACCCGCAAAAATGTCCGCCCGCTTTGGCCTGCGCTTCGCGCAGAATTCTGCCCGACAGACCTCATCCTCGTTCACTACAAGCACTCCTTTCCAGTTCAGAAACACCATATTCCGAAGATGGCAAGGCACTGCAGCCAACCCAGCCGTTGATGCGGCACCGCGACAGAGCTTGTTTCAAAGATTATGGACCAGCGAAGTTGGTATCAAGACCGTTCATTTCTGGTATGTTACGATGCCATTGGGATTCATGCCGTGGCTTCCTCCTATACAGGCAATATATGTCGGGCAAAAGACTAATTGCGATATTTTGACTACAGGGCTCCTGTCATGAAATGGGGTGTCGTTCTCGCGGGTGCGTCAGACTTCCTGCGACCGGCGGAGAAGTTGTCTCTTACTCAGAACCTTGCTCTCATGGCCACTGGCTCTATCTGGACGAGATGGTGCTTCATTATCAAGCCACAGAACATGCTGTAGGTCTTCTCCCGTCATATTTGATGGTCTATCATGAGCAGGGTTCTGCTAGACATCAATTCTCACAGAAACGTGGCTGATCATTTCTCTTCCTTCTAGTCTTGCCGCCGTCAACTTCTGCTTGTTCATCGTTGGCACTATCCAATGTACTCGCATTTTCATGTACAACCAATCTGTGAAGGGCACGAAAGGAGCCATTGAGCAGATGGAGAAGGACGTAGTTGCTCCTGCAAAGAAACTCGAAGCTGCGGTTGAGCAAAAGGTGTAGCCGATCTGGACCAGAAAGTGGATGAGTATGAGATGAGTAGCAAACGGCATACATGGTTTGGGCTTTTCTCTGTGCCATTATGGGTTCCCGTGCTGGATTGTCTCCCTTTTCTTAGCTATTTATGTTTACAGGGTCATAGAATGAACCAGACATGGCCTCGTTGTGTTGAAAACCAATTTTTCTAATATTCAGAGTGTACTATCACTGATCTAACTTGGATTCTGCCTACAATTGATTTCTCATAGAGTGACTAAAAGTGAAGTGGTGGAGTGTAAGAGCCGAGTCATTCAAGCAGTGCGTCACCAAATTCCACATGTGAAGCTGCAGTGGGGGTTCAAATGTTTGTTCTTCTTGTCCCAACAGACAACGAACATCTTAAGTTGGCGCCGCGACAAATCCTCCCCTTTGTCAGACATGTTAGACGCATTTGAGATCCTCACGACCTCTGGTGTCGTTCTGTGGTCCCGCTGTACTTCTAGCATCGGCGCGACCGCAGTCAACCACCTGATCAACGATGTCTTTATTGAAGAGAAAGTCCGCCCAACAATCGCGCACTCAAGTAATCCCACCTACAAGCACGAGAAATACACATTGAAATACACTCTGGTCAAAGAGCTTGGTCTTATATTTGTCGCTGTCTACCAATCCCTCCTTCACCTCACGTGGGTCGACAAGCTGCTGGATGATGTCCGAACAATATTTGTCGAGGTCTACAGAGGACAGTTGGAAGAGCTGGACTATGCTGCCCTGAAGTACCCATTCGACAAGTACTTTGACGAGGAGATGCGCAGACTGGACCAAAGTACAGGTGGCGCAGTCACCGCGCAGCCACCTCGCGCAGAAGTGCAGGAAGAGAAACAACTCAGTGCTGAAGGAGGAGATACAGGAGGGCCACCACCGCCACAATCGCTTGATCCCCCCAAGGCGCAGCCACGAGCTGTGCCAGCTGTGAACGGAGAGTCGACACAGCCCACTCCCGTCCACACACCAGAGACCTCTCGACCAAGCACCCCTCTTCACGGCGCAGCGTCCCACTTGTTGGCAGAAAAGGCCAGGCCTGGCAGTCGAGGATCTAGAAGGGCTCGGAAGGCGGCCAATGCAGTTACATCATCTGCCAATGCCTCCTCCGGCGATGAAGCAAGAAGACGCACACCAAGGGCAGCCTCTGCCAAAAAGGGCAGAGTCTGGGGTCCAGATGGAATGGCAGACGAGGCAGATGATGTGACCCTTGACTACTCGGCCGTTGACGATGGCACAACCGACGATTCAGGTCTTCGCTCTCCGCCTACAGAGGCCATCAGTCAGGAAAGCTGGGGAACTAAGAACAAGCATGGTCAGTTTGTACTGAAAGATCTAGGCGACGAAGTCGACAATATCTTGAGCTCTGTCGATACAAACAAAGCGGAAACGAATGGAACCGGTGTTTCAAGATTTGGAGCCATCTCTGGATATTTCAGAAACATCGTCGGAGGGAAGACCCTCACCAAGGACGACCTCGAAAAGCCACTGAAGTCCATGGAAGAACATCTGATCAATAAAAATGTGGCTCGAGATGCTGCTGTTCGCCTGTGCCAGGGAGTAGAAGCCGAAATGGTTGGGAAGAAGACGGGCGCATTTGAGTCGATAGATGCTGCTTTGAAACCAGCCCTGGAAAACTCTCTTCGGAAGATTCTCACACCACGGTCGTCATTGGATCTACTCCAGCAGATAGAGACCGTTGCAAACCCCTCTGGATCAAAGTCCCAGCCTCGTCCGTTTGTCATCACCATTCTAGGAGTGAACGGCGTGGGCAAGTCTACCAACCTGTCCAAGCTCTGCTATTTCCTTTTGCAGAACAATTATCGAGTCTTGATCGCCGCCGGCGACACCTTCAGATCTGGTGCGGTTGAGCAACTGAATGTTCATGTGCGAAATCTCAAAGAGCTCACTGAGCGCGAGAACCTCGGCGCTGTCAACATCTACGAACGAGGATACGGCAAGGACGCGGCCAACGTGGCGAAAGACGCGGTCGCATTTGCTGCTGCCAATGATTATCAAGTGGTCTTGATCGACACGGCAGGCCGAGCACACACCAACACTCAACTGATGGCGTCTCTGGAGAAGCTCGTGGACTTTGCCAGGCCTGATTTGGTCTTGCAAGTTGCAGAGGCCCTGGTCGGAAACGACTCTGTCGGTCAAGCACAGAATTTCACAAAAGCACTAGGCAAAGGCAGAAAACTCGACGGATTCATCGTGTCAAAGATCGATACTGTCGGATCAGGCATCGGTACCATGATCAGTCTGGTCCACGCTACTGCTGTGCCAGTGCAGTTCATAGGTGTCGGTCAGCATTATGGTGACTTGAGACAGTTGTCTGTTCCTTGGGCTGTAAATATGTTGATGAGCTAGTTCATTTGCCAGTCCCGATTATCTATCGTCATCGAAGAACGGTACATAGTACATAGGGAACATTGAGCCAGGCACGTCTATTCAAGAACAAAATTGATGAAATGATACATGAATGAGGTCATCACCGAGAACTTGTAGGCTCTTGAATCTTTTTGAAGCAAACACTCGCCACACCTTGACCTTTTTGTCCCCCGAACTCGAAGACGGGGTATTTGATCCTATCGTGGACAACAAACCTGGCTGTACTCGACGTACCGTCATTGCTTGTCTGTGCACCGGTGAACCACGAAACGACTTCCTCCTCGGTCCAGTTACAACTGGTGATCAACAGGAACCCGCTGGGTCTGACCATGTCTAGAATCTTGGCGGGATAAAACTCGCACATCCGCCTGTCCTTTCCAGTGGTGGGATCCGTCATGGTCGTGGAGGAGAGTGAAATCGCATCAAAAGTCCCCTTGTCCAACACGAGGTCGAATCCACCTTCCGATACTGGCCACCACGGTTTTGTCGAAGGAGTGTCGTTGACTAGGTCGAGAATTTCAAACGTCATGTCGTTTTCTTCTTTCTTCTCGGTATTCGAACCTGCCATGCTCGAGGGAGGAAAGTACTGTCTGTGCAGTTTCCTCGCGAGTTCGATACTCCGACTTGAATAATCCACCCCTACCATGCGTCCAGTGTACTCTCCCTCCAGACGCAACGCGAACAAGGCACTGCCGTTGCCCGTGCCGAGATCCAGTACGCTGAGTTGGTGATCTCCGTCGCCGTCTTCATCATCATCTCCACCGGCATAATTGGGTGATAATGGAAAGGTTTCAGACGTCAAAAATTCAAGAGTCTTTGCTGGAGCTCCAACGTCGTCGAACCAAGATTCCAAGTCAGAAGGGTCTGGTAATTCGGTTTCTTCTGTGTCGTCGTCGTCGTCGGCCGCGTCTTCGTCCACCTCTGAACTATCTTGGTGTTGTTGATCAAGATCATTCTGGTAATATTTGTCCCAGCTGTAAAACAAGAGACATTGTCATGTCAGGATTTGATGGTGTTGAACAATAAGGAAGAGGGAACGTACTTACTATTCCTTTGTTCCTAGTTCGCTTGGATCAAGATGTGTTGGATGTGCCATTTTGGTGGGGTTTCTTTCTCAATTTCTACCGTTCCGTCGAGGTGCTATACAATCTCAGTTGTATTGACAAGTGTTCAAATATACCATCCATAAAAAAAGATGGCTTGCTCATCAGATACCGTAGTTCTCTCTATGAAGTGGCTGCAAAAAGAAATCTTTCTCCTCATCTTATCTTATCGTACATCAAAAAATCCCCCCCCCGCATTCCACTCAGCCTCGTCACACGAACTACGACATCTAAATGCGTGGTTTACAATTTTCCCTCGACTCACGGTAATCAGTACCTAGGTAGGTGTGCAACTGTGACCCCCCACAAGGGCGCCAGTGTTCTATCTAGGTATCTATCTATCAGGGACTCAGGACTGTACACACTCGTGTACACTATCAGGCCCCTCTCCAGATGAATTAACCTACCAACCTAGAAACCACTTTGCATGCGCCCCTCGAACGGTCACAAACACGAGTACAGAGAAGACTGGCCACACCGATGTATCCATCTCGCGTGCACGCTCCCATCTCATCCACTCCCTCGGCGGAGGATTTCTTCTCTTCTGCCCTTTCGAACCTCTTCACCGACGACCCTCAAACCCATCACGGTGTGCCCGGGCAGTCGGTGTACTATGACTCTCCTCGGTTCGGTAGACTATCTCTGCGCATCCCCGAACACCCCGATGCCGAAGAAGGTCGTAGACTCTTTGCCTACAACCTGTGGAACGGGGGTGTGGTGGCCGCCGATGCCATCGAGGTGGCCAGTGCCAACGACGACGGCGGCGGCGGCAGCCACCCGCAGCCTCAGGCTCTTGACCGGGCCACGAGTCGAGAAGAGAATGACAACTGGAACCCACGGTACTGGAGCGTGAAAGGGAAATCAACACTTGAGTTGGGCGCCGGTACGTGAGAGAACCACCAAAACCCCAAAAACATCCTTTTTTCTTCTTCTTCCAAATCGACAGAGTCGAAAAAACCACCAAGATTTATGCGTGGAGGAAACGTGGACGCCACGAGTTGAGCGAGGGCTGATTCGGTCTGTTGAATAATTTTGTTTTTTTTTCCTCGCAGGAGCCGCATTACCGAGTATAATAGCAGCCTTGTCGGGCGCGAAGAGCGTGACGATAACGGATCACCCTACTAGCACCGCCTTGACAATGGGTGCGATCGAGCAGAACGTCCACACCAACCTCCGTCTTCCCACGTCTGGAGTAAGACCCAGTACCGACACTACCAACCCACAGGTGCCCGAGGATCCAGCGTTTCGCAACACGTCTACACCGCAGGCACCTCTAGAAAATCAAGATCAGACAACCCAATCGGACGTATCGCAGAGGCAGACGTTGCCAATGAAACCCAAAACCGAGTCCTCGGTTTCAGTGTACGGATACACATGGGGAACGACGACGTTCTACCTACCCAACACTTACGGCATACCGGTGCCGGACCAACCCAGCTCGTTTCAGCGGATCATCATAGCCGAGTGTCTATGGATGCACGAACAGCACGTCAACATTTGCAAGACCATTCTTGATTATCTCCCACGCCACGACGATGGCCACGACGATCCCGACCCTGTCGGTGACTCCTCTTCCTGTGCTCTCTTCGTCGCCAGTTTCCCCAACGGTAGAGAAATAGTCAGGAGGTTCTTCGACATCGCAACAGGGGAAGAAGACATATTCTCACCTGCACAAGCACAATCACAAAACGAGGTCCAGGCCAATGATGATGATGTAGACGACGAACACGATGAGGATGACGACGACGACGACGATGAAGAAGTACGCTCGGTCAAAGGGAAATTAAAGGCAGTCGAGATATTCGAGGTCGATATGAATGGCGTCCGGAGAGCATGGGCACCCCGGCGGGCTGGTGAAGATAAATACATAGCGAATCGATGGTGTGTATGTGCCGTGCTAGTCCGGCGCGGTAAATAGTGCAGTGCGTATGTCTTGCTTTGGGGTCGGACAGAATAACCTCGGACGAAGCAGTAAGGGCACCTACAAAAAAACCCTCAGGGAGCCCTACGCCGCGTACTCAATCGATCATGTGAATGAAGCAACAAACCCCTCGTTTTGAGCAGCATTCGGATCAGAATACATATTCTTCCAAGAGCATTTCTGATTCTACAAGTAGCAGGATATTCTTCTTCCTCTTCTCTCTCTGTCCACCTCATAAGAAAAATGTTCAAGAGAATTCTGCTTGATTTGCATCATCAATCTTCCATCGTAACGTATTCAGCACCATGTAAAGCATCGTGTTGCCTGTCCATGAATTCTAGTAGGCAAATTCCGGAGGTCGATGGAATGCTGATGTTCGTTGCTCTACATGTGATCCGTAGAGAGATACAAGAGCTTGGTCGTCATTACACAAGCATGATGTTTTCTGCCCCATGCTCGCCAGCCGGGCATAACCATTTCAGCAATTACTCCCCCTTTCTTGCTTGCAACAACCTGCTCATCTCGCACCTCTTGGCGACGACAACTGAGCCCTAACTCCTGATCCGCCAAAACTAGACTCTTTTACCCATCATACCTAGGTAGTTGTCCCAATGCAATGCTTGTAATGTGATGCTCCTTCCAACGCCGCGCTGAATGCCGATTGATAAGAGCCATCATGTCAATATGAAGAATTCGAGTTAAACCTGTTGGTTGTGTAAGATGGAGGATTAGGAGGAGGCAAGTGAAAATGATATCGATCAGGAGACCGTACAGTGGATGCAACAGGATCTGGTAATCTCCGTGCTTTTGGAGCTGGTGCTTCGTCATCGCTCAGCGTCAGATCAATCACATCCTCGCGCTGGCGTTTGTTCGGCCTTGACGCCGAAGGCGCACTCGATTCTTCCCTGGAAGAAAGTGGTGGAGTTCTAACACTGTGAGGTGTTAGGGTCTCAACCTTTGGCCGAGGGTCCGGTTTGTCTCCAAGTTCGACAAGGTCGTCGTCATCATCGTCGTCATCACTTGGTGTAGGATTTGATTTGCGTTGGTTCGAATTGTCGCCTTCGGTTTGAATAGACCATCTTCCATCAGGCTGGACAGTGACCGCTTCGGTGTCCATAGATGTTGAATTCAGGATGTCATTAACATATTGATCCAAAACCAAATTCTCCCATGTGGCAGATTTGTTGCATATTGGACAGGTCCAAGTGGGCGCCTGTTCCTGAAGCTGTAGAAAGCAACCCGCATCAAAGCACTGGTGATGATTGCATGAAATGGACCGACATGGAGTAACAATGCGTGTGTATGCGACGGGGTCTTTTAGAGACAACACGCTCGAGGTTGCCACAATATCCGGATCGTCAGCTTTGGACCTCACTGGCAGAGTCAGAATAGGTCGATTCTCTGAAGAAGGTCGTACTCACTTTCCCGTAGGACTTGATCTTTGTTAATGGTTTTTCCTCTTCGGATCTCGGATACCATAGAGTCAATCGATTTTCTTTGAACAAGATTGACAACCAAGTAGAACTTCTGCGCAGGAGGTTTTGCCTGTTTAGCATGATAATTCTTGATTTAGATATCGGACACAGAAGAACAAAAGCAAGGAAATTTTTAGCGTCTGGCGCACCTTAGTAGTCAATGCATAAATCATCTCCACCGAGTTTGGATAGTTTGGTGGCTTCTTTCTAATGAAATCTGTGACATCTGCTGGCTTTGTCGACCCAGGTCGATTCTTGAGTCCTCGAAGATTCACCTTTATTTCATCCGAGTTGCATTTCAGCTCAACGTTGTGCGGAAAAGCGATCTCTGATTCTCTGGAAAATGGTGTAAAACCTTCCCCGGCACAGAAAACCATTACTCTGTATGATGAGTCCGTCTCTAATTGGGATGCGACTTGTTGTCCGAGAGTGATTGTCAGGCGAGCAGTGTCACGAGTTGCTTCACGTGCTACAATCGATCAGTCAATGAGAGAATTGTGAAGATTTTGTGACAACTCGTACCTTTACACTCGAGCGTCTGAGTAAGTGGTCGAATGATATTGTAGAAGGGGGAGTTCTTGAAAGTGATGCGGCCTGTGTTGTATCAGAATCTCTTCTCAATCACCAAGTACCATTCTTACTGGACTGATAGGACGGAGACGTCGACGACATGTTGTATGGCGTATGAGTGTTCGGAGATGAGTATTGAGGAGAAGCGGAAGAGGCGGGAGTGTGCGCAGAGTAGGGCGCAGGGTATGAATGATTGTAGGACGAAGGAATGCCTCTAATGTTCCCTCGAACCCTGTTCAGACCGGCAATGTCGCCAGCATTGCGCAGTTTTTCGATGTCTATTGCAAAGTCGAGATTAGTCAGTGGACAGACGCAGAGCGGAAGTGGTGACAATGTGAAGGAAGCGCTGCATACGTGCGATGGTCCTGATTTGCAGTTCACTTTTAACGCCTGACACAGGCAGCGATTCGGTTCGAAGAAGATTTTTCAGTTTTTCGACGGTCAAGGTCTTAACTTGGGCCACCATGGCTTGCGCCTGATCCTGCGCCTGCAAGTAGCCCGCCATGGTGGAAGGCGGCTTTGACGAAGTGGGAGAAGGGAAAGGACGGGCAGCCGGAGAATACTATCGTAGGAAGCCAGACATGGTGATAGAGCACAAAGGGAATGGGCACACGTGTGGCCCGAACACTCTGGAAGAAGTACAAGAGGGATTGAGAAGACGCTGAGATGTGGTTGTTGTCGTAGTACGAAAGAGTTAATATGAAGTGGAAGGTGATGTGATAGTCCAGTATTCGACTGCGGAAGTGGCACTGATTGGTGGTGGGACTTCCGCAGTTTTTTTCTGCTGCGTCCATCTCTCACTTGGGCCTTTCTTTACTAAACACAAACACTTCACTTTGTGTTATATCGATTCAAGTTCTCTCCTCAATCCTCAATCTACCCTCACCATGGCCAAATCCGCCCGAGCCTCTGTCACAAAACGCAACCACCGCAATCTACGTGCCAAAGTCTTCGGCCCTGCACACGATGCCCGACTGGAAAGATTATCCGCCAAACTACAAGAACTGGCAGCCAAACCGAAGGTGAACGAGGAAAAAGCCATGGATGTTGACGATACAACTGAACGGTTAGAGGGGGAAGAGCCCACAAACGACAGTGCAGAAGGTGAGAATTTTTACTGTTTTAAGATTGAAAAACACCTGCAGCCAAAATCTAACACATAACCCTCAGAAATGGAAGTTGATGCGGACGGTGCAAAGACAAAGTCTACCAAACCTCGGTCGAAGAAAAGCCAGTCAAACGGAAAAGTCCAAAAGATGTCCAAGAGGAAACCAAGGAATTTAATGGTCTTTGCCTCTGAAAGAGCGAGGAAGGCCAAGATGGTTTCTAAAGCGAAGAGACGGTGAAGCAGTCACGACTGTGGCAGTTATTGGCGCATATACACCTGCTGCAAGCTCGAATCCTTCTCAGCATCCTCAACGGAGAAACGATAATGTTCAACTTCATGGCTATTAACATCGTTTAATTCGTTGCTCGCGCTCGACATCTCCCATCATAGTAATAACGACATCTTCTCGTTGACGTACGACTGCAGGTACATTCTGCCCCAATAATCGACCTGCGATGGCCAATCCACGACGAACAGCGCTTCTCACGGTTCCAGTTACTGCAAGACCTGCTTCCCAGTCTATCGAACGATGCCGCCCTGGGGGCGCCATGGGTTATCTGAACTATCCGCCAGCGATCCTTTTCAGAATATACTGGGAGCTTTTCGTCGATTTTCAAGAAATCCTCGTATTCCTCTGCTCCACCAATCCTTTAGTGGAGGACATCAGACCCAAGAGATTCCTTGGAGATTTCATGCAGCTCCCCCAAAAAATGTCTGACCTGGTCACATTTTGATGATGGACGCTACTTTGTCGATAGCCCCGGTCGGTCTGCTCAATTCCTCCGAGTTTGCAGACGAGTTTGGGAAGAAGGCAGAAGTGTACTGTATGGCTACTTCTTATGGGCAGTACGGTGGACCCCATTCTAGTACGAGGACCCCTGCATTCCAAGATTCTTCAAGAGAAACTTGGACCCTTCGGGCCCGATACAAAATAGAAATGTTCTTTTCCCATGGTTTTGATGAGTTCCCTTTCACAGGTCATGTGTATACATTGGGAAAGCTTTTGAGAGTTGCTCACGATGACGACAATGGAGACTCCGAAGAAGCCCGATGCATGAACTATTGCTTGTTGTCGACTGGAAATACACCACGCTAGGTCGAGAGAACCCCTCTCTACCTGCTGCAACTGGTTCAAAGAGCAGCAATACAGTACAGCCGGCTTGTCAACCAAATCTGTGTAGCTCTAGACACCAGGCTGCGGGCATGGTACTCAATGCAATGCTCATCATCGAGATTAGCAGCAACGAGAAATGGCGGACCAGGCTTAATCACGTATGAAGTTTCGAGCTGAACAGTTTTCTGCTTATAGCAAGTATGAAGGAGTATGGGAAGGCGAGATATGCACTGTAAACAAGACTACAAAAATAGATTGACAAAAGGACCAAACAAGTATACTCTTGCAACTTCCTCTTCAACCGTCTTAGTGTTTTTTTGGTGCCTTTTTCACGTCCCTACCATGTCCTTCTCGCTCTCCTCTTACTGCCACTCTTCAACTGGTAGATGTTGATCTTTGAGTTGCCGCCACAGTTCTCCTTGGGGTCGCCCTGACATCCCGTGCTGCAATCGGCGTCGCCGCCGGGCGACAGCACGGCGCCGTTGATGACGCCCGCGCCGTTGCAGAAGCACTGGTTCGCGTTCTCGACGCCCATCCAGGGGTAGCCCTTGCCGAAGCAGTAGGCGGCGCAGGCCTCGACGGTCAGGGTGGCCAGGGTGGTCTGCGTGCTGCCGAACTGGGCGTTGGGGCCCAGCGCCCGGGCGCCGGCCGGCTCGCCGTAGCAGCCCACGTACCCGTACTGGGTCCCCGGCTGGTTGGGCACGTTGACCGGGTTCGGGTTCGCGGCCCTGACGTACAGCGTGTTGTTGTACAGCGAGATGGCGTTGGACCCGCCGCACGTCTGGGTGGCGTTGCCGGCGCACTTCATGCCGCACTTGCTCGGGTCGAGGGCGGTCGAGGCGGCGTTCAGCACGTTGCCCGCCACGCACTGGCTCGCGTACTCCAGCCCAAAGTAGGCCAGGTTCAGGGCCTGGGCCGTGAAGGCGCACTGGTCGACGGTCATGCTGCCCCCCGACGTGTAGCTCGCGTTGAGGGCCCGGTTGGGGGACGTCTCGCTCACGCAGTTCAGGTACGTGATGCCCGTGGCCCGGGGGGACGGAGACGGCGACGACGTCGGCGAGGACGAGCCGCCGCTCGACGTCGGGGGAGGGACGTAGTTGGACAGAGCCCAGACCGAAAGCCTCGAGTTGCCGCCACAGAACTCCGTGTTGTCGCCCGTGCAGATGGCCGAGCAATTGTTCTGGAGGACTTGGGAGGTCGAAATACTGTTGCCGCAATAGCATTCTAGACAACGAGGAGAGAAGAGATTAGCTGTCAGAAGCGGACTCGAAACGACGACGACGGTGATGATGGTAACGAGAGGGGTACAGTAGTAGGAACCAACATACCTTGGGCATATTCAGTGCCGAACAGTGCGTAGTTGCCCTTTGTACAAAAGGCAGCGCAATTCTCAAGCGACATGCCAGTGCTATTGGAGTAGCTCGACCCAGGGAGCGCCCTTGCACCGACACCCTCTGTGTAACAACCTTGATACGTCGCGGTGCTGCCATCGCGCAAGGGTAATTTGGACTGTCCCGCGACAGGAAGACCCTTGAGTGTTGGTCCGGTGTAAGTGGTGTCGCTCCAGATTTGCATCAGCTGTTGCCCACCGCAAAACTCGAACAGGTTGCCAGAACAGACAAAGTAGTTCTGCGCCGCGCAGGTCAATGGGTTTTGAATGAGCTGGCTCAAGGCACTTCCGCAGTAACACTGTGATGATGTCTCCATTCCAGCCATGGCGTACCCGTTCTGCTTGCAGTACGCGGTGCATGTTTCAATAGTCATGCCGGTCACGTTGTAGTAATATTTCCCGGCCAGTGGGCGAGGCGTGGAATTGTCAAACGCGCACCCCATGTACTGCCAACTGCCGACCTGTTGGCCAACCGCCGCGACCGATCGGTTCTTGTAGTCCTGGTTGTCGATGACGTTGACGGCCGGCTGGATAGGGCAGATGTTTTGAGCGGCACGTAGAGGACCGCCGGTGGGAGGGTTGCACCCTGGCAGGAGGGGGATCAAGCCGTGCACCCTCTCGTTCACCACGGGCGGTTGCTCAGGACAATTCTGATTGAAGTAAGGGTCCTCGGACGCAGCGAGAGGCGGACAGGCTCCAATGGCGCCGTTGTTGGTGGCGTTGACCCCCATACATTGCTTGATGGAGTCGATCTGAACCTGAGGGTCCCACCCGTTCAGGAAATCGCCGTGGAAGCCATAACCCGTGGTATCACCCTGAGAGAAGACGAACATGCCTCCATCACCCTTTGTGGCGACGGCATTGGGGAAGTAGATGATCTCCAAGAAGATATGAGGTAGAAGGATAGGGTAGCCGGGAGGACAGACACCATTGTCCATACCGGAGAGATAAGCGACATGGCTCTGGTCCGATTTGTACAGATTGACGCCATCCCAGCAACTCTGGAAATGGATCTGCGCCCGTAGACCACTGTCGCACGAGGTGATATTGAGGCCTGGAGTCTCAGGGATTGGACCACTGCTGTCTAGACACGCGAAGCTGGCTCTGTTCGAGATTGGAGTCGGACCGAAAGTCTTGTTGCCCCAGGTGAGAGTGTTGGGATCGAAGGCTCTGGCCGCTGCATCCCCAGAAAGCATTCGGAATCCAGGTGGGAACGGTTTCATATTTGGCACATCCACCCCACGATCCAAGTAATAAGCGACCGTGCCATCGTGAGGCACTTCTGCGAAAGTGCCATTGGTGAACCGGTAGTACAGATTAGGAGTCCAGTATGCGCTCTTGTCTGCTTGAACCTCACAAGAGGTACAGAAGGCGGCCTGCAGGTCGTCGAACGTTGACGTAGTGTTGATATCTGGAGAGGACCAAAGTCAGCACGCCATTCCACCGTCCTTGGTTCGATCTTTCGTAAAAAAAACAACTCACTGTTAGGTCCAGCGATGGTGTGGCAGTGACCTGCAACACCACCGGGTGAAACAATGGGATCAACTCGTCCAACTTGAACGGTACCACATCGCATGCGCCAGAATGCCTCGACATGACCAAAGGTCAAGCTGAGGAAGATGCACAGCAAAGCGCTTTGGAAGCTCGTCATCGTTGCGACCTGTTGGGAACTTGACGCAGAGGTCCGACCTTGGAAAGGAGAAACGAAGAGTGCGGGCAGGGCATGATTTTGTCCTCACGATGCCTTGATCAAAGAAAACTCACGACTGCTTTTGGAGGACGACGTGGCCGCGATGAGTCGAGAAACTGGGTATTCATTGTGATAACGAAACCCACTTACCTCGAAGCCGGAGTTCATAGCGCGATCAGATGACATGGAATGCAAAACAACACAAAGGAAAGGGACGGGGAGCGTTTGCACGCAGCATTGCGCACATGGTCGAATCGATCGAATGGACAAAGAATAGCATTGTTGGCGAGGGCGAGGTCTGGACCTTTTCAAGAGACCGAGACCGAGCGCATCAGTCGCCATCGCCAGTAGTAGAGGGGTTTGAGGTTGCCAACACCCATCCGGCTCATCTCCGAGCTAGAAATCATTGTGAGGTGACCCTTTCCGTGGCCAGATTGATGTAAGCTTCGTGTAGATCAGGAAAAGAAAAGATGAGACAGTCGATATACAGTCCTCGATGAAGGGAAGTCGATCCATAGAAGTACTGTTTGTTCGCGTCCACGAGATGTCTCCGAACGCGTTCCAGTCTACGGGGAATCATATTGCAATACATGACATATTGTACGGAGCAGCATACGCGTGTCTACGCACTTTCTAATGTAAATGCATGCATCCCTTCTACAAACTCATTGTAGCATTTTGAGCAACTTAGACAATGCTTTCTGTACACCTTCGAGATCCTGTAAAATCATTTGATGACCACTTCTGACAATCACCACCTCTGTAGGCCCTCCCAGGAGGCCACTGACATCCTTCGATCGCTGAGGTGGGCTAATCATGTCCTTGTCACCGGCGACGAAAACGGCCGGGCACTTGATCAGACCATACTCCGGATCTGAGTGATCATCCCCTGCGACCACTTCAGCCGTTGCCGCATAAGCTTCGACCGAGCATGATGCCACGGCATCCCGCATCTCTCGTTCGTGTGCGACTTCATTCTCTCGATCCGCGGGGAAATTCGTCGTGACGGCAATCTCGCTCACGACTACCATGCCCTTTTCTCGTGCTGTCTTGGCCAAATCCCGCATTCTCTGCTGAGCCGGTGGGATTCCTTTGATCGAACGGCCTACACCCAAAAGCAAAAGTCCCGCCACTTGAGCGGGATATTGGGCAGCATAATGGAGGCTGATGATTGCCCCGAGTGAGTGTCCGATGAGCAGGACGTTTTCGTTTTTGTTGCTGGCACTGTTGCCGCTGTTGCCGCTGCCGCCGTCGACGTCCCCGGTCGCAAGGGACGAAGAATGTTCTTGTAGATGTGTGATGAGATCGTACAAGTCAGTGACATATCGTTTGAATGACAGAGGTTTGCCTGGATTGAGAGTCGACTTTCCAAACCCTTCGATATCAACACTGACGATGTGATAATCAGACGGTATCGAAGGAATCAGTCGTCGAAATGTTTCTGTCGAGCCGCCTAGTCCATGCAGTAACAATGCGAGACGACCTTGCTCGCTACCTGCAAAGGTATAGTGAATATTGGTGCCGCTTCGGGTGAGGTGATATCTCGACACACTTGTCATCTTGATTCTTCTCTACCTTTGAGCAGTTTCGGAACCATTTGAGGCCCTAAAATGGGAAGACATTTGACAGCTTCATCTATTCTAGGCCAAGCCCATGTGTACCTCAGGCATCAAACACAAAGGCTTCCGAACCTCGGCCGGGGACGGAGGTCTAGGCTCGGCCGAAGATTTATGAACGACTTATCACATCTGCGTGATCCTGGCTGCGATTACACTTGTGTCTTGAGATACAAAAATGATATCTGTTCTCTGCGATACGAGACGTCCCTTTCGGCCGATGTCTGGGACGAGGAAGCTGAGAAGCGCCAGTGGCTGAGGTGATAGTTGGTACGAGATTCTAGGTCACAGGGTGTTTATTAAAAATAGATGCCTTCAAGTGTCGTAATAGTAAGAGGCATTCAGCCTTTCACTGTTCAGTAACGTTCTCAGATCGTTTTTTGCTTATCACTTGTCTGCAGCAATGGTCGTCGAAGCCCTCACAGAAGTCATCGCCCCGCAAGGTGTCAAAGCACGACTCGTTGCGACCAGAACGACCGACATCTCGCTCCAACATGCCGAAAAAACAAATGGACGAATTGTCCCTCTGAAGCATCCTGAGCAGAGCAGGGTAGACTTTGGCGCCGAAGTCTACGGGATTGACTTGAATCAACTCACTGATGCCGATTTTGAACTGATCTCAGACGCGCTCCACAAGCACAAAGTGTTGATCTTCAAGGAGCAGCCTAAGATGCTCACGCCCGAAAATCAGTACCTGTTAACGGCAAACTTCGACCCCAAAGAGACGACAGGGGGGTTTGCCCACGGAGCCGACCCGTTTCTGACGTCCCACAACGACGTCAATATCTACGGTATCCCGAGCCGGCCTGCCATTCCAGTCCAGCCTCAAGTCCACATCTTGGGAAGAGGTGAGGTTCCGGAAGGTCACTATCAGTTCCCTCCGGGCTTTAAGATCAAAGGTATAGATCATCGCGAATTCCACCTTCCGCCTCACATACCCCAGGAGGAACGAGAAAAGGGAGCCAGTCGGTTCTATCAGTGGCATTGGGACGGCTCCTTGTACAACATCCCGCCACCCCGAGTCGGATGCTTGTTAGCTGTCCGTACTCCTAAGGGGCCGGATGTGACTGTGCGCTGGGAAGACGGGACAAGGACCGAGATGAAGATTGCACCAGGGGCGACAGCTTACGTCGCTGGGTCTAGAGCACTTGAGCTTCTCGATGAAGAGACTAGACAACTGGCACTTCACAGCAAGATAGAGTATGCCCCACACGCTTTCAAGTGGATGTCGACAGCCCACAGCGCGAGGCTTGGACACATCCTGGAGACTGAGGGCCTGGAACTACCACGCGACAAACTTCCTCCGATCGAAGAGAGCAAGATTTGCATCTACCCCATGGTATGGACGAACCCCATGAGCGGCGAAAAGTCGTTACAGGTCCATGGACAAGGGGCCGTCAAGCTCTACCTCAAGAGTAGCCCCGATGGAGAAGAGAAGATCATTGATGACCTCAAAGAAGTCCGGGATTTCATGCATAAGTCTGTCTTTTCTTGCGATATGTTCGTGGCAGATCGGGTGGCTGACGTGCATTGTAGGATCATGAGACCGGCCATCTCGCCGGAGAACATATACGCACATCGCCACGATGAGCAAGATGTTGTTCTGTGGTACAACCGTGCTTTGTGGCACAGCATCGTAAGTGAAACTGAATGTCCTCTTTTCATGAAGAAAATCTACTGATACACCTGCCTCAAGACCGAGTTTCCAGAGTCATACGGCCCGAGAATCATGCATCAGTGCAACATTGCGGCTTCCGATCATCCCACACAATGAGCATGGTCCCATTGCTCGTTATGTTGTTTTTGGCCGGTACCATCAAGAGCTTCTGGACGTCTATTTCTCCGATTGCCATGCTTCAATAATAGAGTCAGTCATTAGCTTCATAGCCCAAGGCCTTGGTTGGCAAAAGATAGCAAGCTGTCAAATGTCTGCATGCCGTCGTAATCATGTGAAGGCATGTTCCACAACCAATTCAGGTCCGCTGGCAAGGTGAATGGCTCGTCCTGGTTGGTTTCTTGGAGATTTTCTTCAATGCGTTGAGGCCTTGAATTTGTTTCCGCTGTATAATTCTCGAGTCGTTGACGCATGTGATGTACAGTGGTCGAATCGCCTTCATTGTCCACCAACGATCGGGCAAACTCTGCAGCGTCAAATCCTCGACGTCGTTTCCTTGGAGGTTCATCTCTAGAACTATCAGCCGGTCTCCTCCGGACTTCAGCACGTCTGGCAATCTGCTTCTGCAGGGCCTTGAGCACCTTGACGCCCCGAGCTGCTATCATGCTCCTATGCCGACACGATTGGAGGTGTTCAATGGTTTGGCCCACAAGGTATTCTTCATCCTGGCCAGCCGATGCGGAATGTAGAATGTCAAAGCATATAATGATACAGGCTGCAACCGAGAACGCTTGGTGCGTCCACAGCATCGGACTGGTTATATCGTCGCTGCTCGCTTGGTATTCTTTCAAGATGGTTTTGGAAGCCGCCAGGCAGGTTCGGCGCGTGAATGCAAAAACGGGGTTGGAGAAACTGAGGCCCAGGAATTTTCTATCAGGGAAATGTCAGCATATTTCTAGTAGCGGACTTCATTATGTCCGGCGTAGCGTACCTATGGATCATGATGATCTTGTGGGCAGAACTCATCGCGATCGCACGCCTTGCCCAGGGAATATAACAAGGCCAGTTTTCATCGAGGGCAGTGTGTGCGAGGAACGAATGCCTGCCTGTGGCCAACGAGCGCATCTTTTTGTCGTGGACGAGGACTGCCTCGTGTTTAGTGTACAGAGTGTTGGATAGAGCCATGGCATCTTGTAAAGCCGGCATGATCGCTGCAATCTTGGCCAAGAACTTGCAAAAGCTGGTAACCGTCGGTTCCTCGTCCGAAAGGACATCACTCATGTCCTCGTCACAGTTCTTGGGAGGGAGGGAGGTCGAGTGTAGTGGATTGATAGAATATGACTCGGAAAAAGCAGTGCTGAACCAGTCCTGTGTGCAAAGTTCTTGCCACACTCGGCGACCGGTCTCCAACTCCAGATCTGACCCTCGGGCATCCTCGTCCAGGCGGTGTAGACCCAAGCTCTGTGCGATGCGGATCACCGATGCTAGCATTATCGACTGCGTGTTCGAGTGGCCCAGCATGTGGGCAGTGTTTGTCAACGAGGCAATCGCCTGGACGGCATACAAGGAATGGTGTGCAGTAAAGTTTGCAGCATTCAGAGAGGTGATGACCGCTTTGTGCCATTTCTGTGATAGTATCTTTGCTTCATTCTCACTGATTCCCCACCTCCTGGCCTCACACGATGGCGCAGACGTGATGGTTCCGGTCATGATGGAGAACAGCAGGGCCACCCACTGTAGATTGAGACCTCTAGAATCAAATCTTCCGTTGTGATCAGCGTAGAAGGAGTCAAGTGCTTTCGAAAACGACGCAGCGACATATGAGCCGTGAAACCAGAGCAAACAATTGTTATGGTATTCCACGAGCTGGTAGACCTGCTGTCGGGAGGGAAGGAGAATCTGCAGCCACGAGAGGAGATTCAGGTCAGCATCCAAGGCACTATCAAGGTCACCAGCCGGGCTAGCACCAGTCCCGTCATCATACTCGCAGGCTCTGAGAGCTTCCGGAGAAAGCATTGCTTTATCCGGGTCTTTCATGCGGCCCCATGCCAGGAATTCGAGAACGGTGACTGCATCTTCAATTTCTGAGTCTTGACTTGGTGAGGATGACCTGGTTTGTGTTACAGGTCCGTCCGCGGCTTGTTGGATGGCTGGAGAGGGAGACTGAGGCACATTCCTTGACTCGATTTCACCCTGCTGTTGTAGGAGAGCCTCAAGCTCGGCGACGCGAGTCCGGAGGGCATTGAAAGAAGGGGAATCTTCCCCGAGTTTCCCTGTGATGAGGGTGCTGTCCTGAGCAAGGATCCCATCATTTTCAGCTCGTTCACATTGTGCAGGAGCACCTCTCTTGACACAATTGTCACATGGGATTTTCTTGTCACACTTCACTTTACGGCGGGTGCATACGCGACAAGCAAGTCTCCTCCGAGGGGCAGCGGACATTGCATTAGTCAGACGCTTTGCGTGATAACATGGCTCTTCGATGTTTACTAATGACGAGGAGAGAGGATTCATTTCGACAGATCAAAAGTCATTGAAAGGGTCGAAAGGAGGCAGCCATGCTGACAATGGTCGCATGCTCCTTTCTGTATACTGAGGTGAGTTCCGATAATAAGCGATAAGTCGATAAGGAAGGAGGGAATATCCGTATGCGATAAACACTAAACAACAATCATCCTCATTACAATGCGATTTGACAAGATCCTCAATGGCCAGACTCATCCGCTTCTACTCCCGCAATCTACAATCATAAACCCTTACGACTTCACAACTGGGCCCTCATTGGCTCCTTTGGGTTCTTATGCAAGTCCCTAAAGTGCTAATGTGTCTTCGGCCGCCCACTTAGATGCTCGTTCGATGGTTGCGATAAGGCCTGCATCCTCCTCGGCCGAGCCCAATGTTCGTACCTAATCGAGTCCAGTTCGAACATCACCCCTTATCGATACGAGTCGAGTATATTCAATGGATCTCACGTCGGCTTCATAAGTCATCTGTCCTCGAGGTATCAAGCAGTGGGACGTCCAACAAGCCCAACTTTACCCATCAGACCGATAGCTACTTCACAGAAACCTGAAAAATCATGTCTCCAGCAGCGCTCACACCAGAACCAACATTCCAGGTCCTACCACTGATCAAGCGCAAAGACCAGAAATTCAGCTTTGGCGCCATAGTAGAAGGGTTAGATCTCAACAACATTTCCGGTATGCTGTAGTTGATTTTGTTTACTGACAAGGTGACTCACTGGCTAATTGTACGACCTGAACAGATGGCGACGTCAAAAGATTAAAGGAAACAATATGGACTCACAAGGTCATTGTCGTCAAGAATCAGAGGGACCTCAAGCCGGAAAAACACTGGGAGCTGGTGACACGTTTCGACCCAGAGGCCTCCCAGGTCCATAGCCACGGCGACTTGAAGACATTTCAACAAAAAGGCGGCGTCCTCTCCAAAGCTCGAGACGTCTACGGCATACCTGGCGCCGAAAATGTACGACTGATCGGCAAGGGATACCAGGGTGACGACCATTACGGCCTCAAGAACCTGACCGTCAAAGGCCTCTCCAACGACTTCCACGCCGACCCTCCCGACGAAACCGAGTTCGCCGAGGGCATCACGCGTTTCCAGAGGTGGCACATCGACGCACCCCTATACGCCCGCGACCCGGCGTGGTTCACGACCCTGCGAGCTGTCAAGCTCCCGACCGGGCCGGACGTGACCATCCGCTGGGACGACGGTTCTGGACTGAGCATGACCTCTCCTCCGGGTCTCACTGCTTTTTTCAGCACGTCCCAGCTCTATGAAATGCTAAGTCCCGAGGAACAACGACTCGCCGACCACAGCTGGGTCGAGTACGCCCCACATCCGTATATGTGGATCGAGAACTGCAAAGCCCCTTCGACCGGGTTGGGCCTCAAATCTCAGGGGAAGGAACATACAATTGAAGAGTTAGGAGATTATGATGAACGAGATATCAAGAGGGTGAGTACTGACAGGGTGTCTCCAAATCGTCGCACACATGATAGATCCTTAAACCGCGCCTTATCAAAGTGACCTTCTGAATTTTGAGTACTAACACTTGTTGGTTCCTCCTCCAGTACCCATTTGTTTGGGTGAATCCCATCACAGGCGAAAAAGCATTCCAAGTACATGGTCTAGCCGCACGAAAACTCTTTTTACGTTCATCCGCCTCCGAACAACCCAAGGTGATCGACGACGTGGTCGCCATCCGTTCTTTCCTCCATGACATCCAACCCCGCGTCCTGCGACCAGAGTACATATGGTTGCCCGAGGTGGAAGAGGGCGACGTCGTGATGTGGGATAATTACGGCACGTTCCATACCGCTGTCGACTATCCTTTGGAATTGTACGGTCCCAGAACTATGCATCAGGCGAATGTGGGAGCTAGTAGAGGTCCAGTAGGACCGGTTCCCATTCCTGCTACCTGCTGAATAAAAGAAGAACAAGGTCCTGCCACCACCTGTAGGCCAGGGAGGCGGCTTGGTATAGGTGTGTCCCTGGTTGAAATTTGGGTCAAGTTAGTTGTTGCGTGCTGAGGCGTTGTATCATGTACCATGTATCTCTTGCATAATTCTTGGTCCGTTTTTTCCCTTGGAGTAGGTAGTTACCTATCCATCTTGACGCATGACCACTTTGTTCTTTTCTGCACCCATTCACCCAATCAGGAAGACGACACAAATTGTAGCTAATGCATTTCTATTTGGCATCTCGTCAAAGAGTCACTCTAGTCAGTACAACTCACCCATTGACTTTGGTATCTCTTCACAAGGAAACATGGCGACTGAGGTAGTGTATACCAACGAATTGACACAAAGTCCAACATTCTCCCCGCAAAGACGGAGTACAAGCCATCCATGCCATTGGATCCGACCAAATTCGTTCCAGAGAGTGCCCAATCAGGCAATGAATCCACAAAGAGATAAGAACCTCGGCCGAGGGACTTTATCAGTCGGGCTTTTTTGTGCTGTGCTAATAGTGAAAGATAGGTAAGCCCCGTATACTCTCCTCCTACACTCGTAAACGCTGTCCAATAGATTCTTGGGCGATAGTATCGGACATGACTCTTTGATCCAATAGGCACCATGATGATAAAGATCCTTCCTTACCTTGTAATTCCAGTTGTTTGCTTTGTGCCATGATTTGTTTTGGCCTTCCTCCAAGTGGTGGTGAATTCCGGGGTATATACTTTCGTTGCCGAGTCTGTCCAATGCGATAAGAGTGTGCAGCGTGTTGTTTGGCCCTGTATTGTTGACTCCCACCCTGACCGAGACATACGTCCTGTATATATAACAAATACTTTGTCCAACCCCCTAGCCAGAAAGGTCGATCGCGCACACTGGAACGCTCAAAGTCGTTCGTTTTCAAACACACCTCCTCCTCCACCACCACCACCACCACCATGATGGCTATTGGCAAGTTCAACGACAGCGTGAGACACAGTCTCCAAAACTTCCGGCACGCATTCACCAGCCGTGAAGCATTCGTCGAGTACCTCGAGACGAAACCCGATGCTGCTGCCGCAGACGGTAGCAGAAGGGGGACGATTCGCAACCAATGGACCAACGAAGACCTGGACATCAGCCCTCCCGGTCACCGCACCTGGGGTTGGTACGACTACGCGGCCTTCTGGTTCAGTTACGGGTTCTCACCGGGTTTGTGGTACCTGGGGGCGGCACTCCTCGCCAACGGGTTGACCCCAGGTCAAGCGCTGGGTTGCCTCTTCCTCGGCTTCTTCTTCGGGTCGGTCGGCGTCGTCATGCACTCCCGCGCGGCCGCGACTTACCATTTCGGTTTCCCCGTCGAGAGTCGACTCGTCTGGGGTCTCTGGGGGTCGTACTTCCCCGTCATCGTCCGAGCACTTTGCGCCCTGATATGGGGAGGCGTCACCATCGCGACGGGAGGTTACTTCACCTCCGTCCTACTGAGATGCATTTTCGGGAATGGATATTGGAACATGCCGAGTCACATCCCAGAAAGCTCCCACATAACGGTACAGCAACTCATTGGTACGTCTTTGTTTGCCCCCCTTTATCGAACCGTACCTAGGTTAGGTGTATGAACCCCACCCCTCGTCGTTTGTTTCGCAGAGAACCAAACTTTTACTCGAAAAGTAGCGACGGCCGAAAGCTAACGGTATACCCTCTCGTATGTGCCAACCACAGGAATCATCGTTTATTGGTTCATGACATGCTGGACACTAAATGTGCCCCTTCCCAAACTTCGTCGGGCGTATGAGATTCAAATGCTCGTCACTCCGCCTGTCATCATTGGTAGGTCGATATTTTTTCCCCCTCAAATCACCCTCCATCCAGTAAAGCGGCTTTTTGACTTACACACAACCACCGTCTTGTGCAGGACTTTTCGTATATTGTATGTTGACTGGTCGAGGACATCCACATCAGGCGTTGTACGACGTTCCGCCCAAACATGGAGCGGCACTCTCATGGGCACTGGTAAGTAAGCAGGGAGGCGAACCCCATCTTTCGGAAGATAGACTGCAAAAAGCCCAGTCCTGACAGTTTGAGTTTTACAACAACACTAGTTGTCGGCGGTGAACTCGGGATTGGCCAAGACAACAACACTCATGGTCAACCAACCGGACATTGCACGTTATGCTCGAAGTCGAGTTGCTCCTGTCTGGTCTCAGCTCATCATGTTTCCAGCCGCAAGTACTGCGTGTGCCGCCATGGGCATATATGCCACCCAAAGCATTTTCAATGCTTGGGGAAACATAGATTGGAACCCGTGAGCTCTCTCTCTCTCTCTCTCCCTCTCCCTTTTTTTTCCAATCACCTCCACCCTGTCCTTTTCGATGTCACTACTTCACGTTTTGGCACTGACAGGTAAACTCAAAGTTGGGATTTGAACCATGACATGCTCGACCACGACTTCAGTCATGGTCGCCGAGCCGGCATCGCCATCATCAACATCGTCTTCATCTACGGAAACACCTTGATCGAATTGGGGGCCAACGTGATTCCGTTCGGGGCGGACTTCATGTCACTGTTCCCACGCTGGCTCAACATCAAACGTGGCATGTGGATGTGCTATATTCTCGGCGTGTGCATTTGCCCGTGGCAGATCCTCGCTACGGCCACGGGCTTCCTGAAGTTCTTGAACGGTTACAGCATCTTCCTGGGTTCCTTTCTCGGCATGGCATTGACGGATTACCTGGTCGTTCGCAAAGGCAACGTCTTTGTCCGGGACCTGTACCAAGCACGTGGTAGGTATTGGTACTTTCACGGGGTGTCGTGGAGGGCGATCACGACGTGGGTCATTTCCATCAGTTTCATGGTATGTGTGATGTGTCAACAGAGAGAATACACTTGCAAACCACTGACTGACATCCAAACAGCTTCCCGGATTCGCCCAGACCTTTGGTGCCCATATCGCCAGTGGAGATGGTTGGACTCATCTGTACGCGTTCAGTTGGTTCTACACGTGTACAATCAGCAGCGTGGTATATTTTGCCCTCTCATTCGTCGGTGGCAATTTCGCTCGAGAAGAAAGGACCATGCCGTTCGAGAGTCTAGCACGAAGTGCGGATAGCAGTGTCGAGGAATTACAGGCGGTCGACGTGGTGGTGTCCGAAGTGCATTTGCCGGTCGAGGAGAAAGTCTAGCCTTTTTTCCCTACCATTCCGTACTGTATGTACGGTAAGTAGTGAGTGAATCTTACCGTGTGAAAGATCAAGGTCTAGAATTCGACACCAAGACAAAGAAGCGAGATGAAAACGAGGTCAAGTGATACATCCAACTAGTCCTGATCAGGAAAGGGTAAATACAACTGTGACGCGTTTTTCGCGTTCTTTTCGCGAGATTTCACGAAGTAATAATCTACCTACTTGAAAGGTAACGAGTAAGATCAAACCAGGTTTTTGACTTATGGGTCCTCCGTACTAGGGTAGGTACCTATTGTAGGTAGTAAAACAAGCATCCCTTATCATTTATCTTTTATCGCTGATCGTTTATCAAACCCGTTGACGCAAGCTGCATGCCAGGATTTCATTAGGTTCTGACCGGGGGGTTTGTTTGTGATATCGAGTGTCGTGGAGTACAGTAGCCCTTACCCTAAGATACATGTAGACAAATGCTAAAATTCTCCGACGGCCGCCAATCGATACCGACATTGTGACGGAGAGTGTACATAAAAGTGAGATTGGGGCGGGGGGTAAGCAGAATGAGAAGCTCGAAAACCCACGAGGGTGAGTTGGGCTTGTACTGTGCTTTTTATCTAGGTAGTTCAGGTGAAGGAGAAGTTTTCGTGCCACAGGATAGATAGGTGGTAAAGATTTGACGAAACAGGTGGACAACAGTCATGAAGCACTTCTTCTTTCACTTATAACTAGGTAGGTGACCAGAATGATACTTTCTGTATGTACGGAGTACGGATACTTGCAAAGAACACTGGCCCATTCAACTGTGACGAATGACTGGTTCGATGATGGATACCCTTTACCTACATAGTCCTCCGTCAAACAATTGATAATCCGAAACTTACAGTGCTCCATACTACTCCGTATGTACCTACTGAACGAAATGTCCCAAAAAAAAAAGAGAAACGGATGGCAATGATAATAATAATGAAAGGGAATACGGAGTACTCCAAGTGACAAGGAAGGGGGGTCAAGGGGTGTGCTGTTTGTACAGTACTCTACGGAGTTTTCCGTAGGTGACGAGTGATTGGAATGTTTAGGGTGTGCCCGGGTTGTGCGTTGGGGCACCGTTAGGCTTGCATAGGTGTGTCCTTTAGGTAAGTATGTAGACTTTTTACGGGTACCTCGTGCGCCTAATGTCAGGGGTGCATACCTACAAACTGTACAACAACGAGTGCGAGTCTGTCCGTCCCTAGCAGAGCCCCTAGTCCTCTAGTTCCTTTTTTAGTGTCTAGACAAGTCCGGAGTTACAACTACGTACAGTTGTATACTCGGTACTCACAGGATATTATTGTCCAGCACAGGTACGAGTATGTGTGTACTGTACAGTACACTCATCGCCCCCTGTCCCCTGTCCTCGTGGTCTCCACCATTAATCCTTCCCGTCCGACACACACTCTCTCTCCCTCTCGCGTCCTGCCAGCAGCCGGCGCGTGGTCGATCTCCCACAAACCCCCGTCACTTTTAGACTTCCCACTCACTTCCCTCTACTGTATCTCCTCCCAACTTTCCGCACCTTGCGCCTCCCTTGTACTCCGTACCATTAGCTTCAACCAACATCCTGCATCACCCCTTCGGTCTCCGTCTCACACCGCCAGTATACACAACTCCCCTCTTTGTCGCATCGCCTGTTCCACTCGTCGACGAGCTTCACTATATACTTGCGACCATCTCTGGCGCATCAAAACAACCCTTTTCCCACCGGCGCGCGTCATAAATTCTCCCGGCGCATCGCGGCCCGTCACTGTCAGAGCTTTGGCCCATTGGTGCCATAACCTCATACGGAGTATCGCCATGTTACTCCCATCTGCCTTCTCCTGCGATGGGGGACAATTAAAAATTCCCGACTCGAGACCTCCTCAGCGGCCCAAGTTACCATCTTTCGCCGCATACCAACCATTATTGCTCGCGCCATCCACGCAATCGCGCCCGAGCCCGCTGTCCTCAAGCTGTCGCGCGCTACACGCCATCCTAGGCGCACCGGCGGCAATAGAACGATCGATACCCAGTCCTCCGCGTCAACGACAAGACCCTTTCAAAAACCCTCAGACGGCTTTAGGCTCGAAACAGATACCACCGCCGACACCTTGCCGAGGCGCAAACAAAAGAAGGCGAAGCGATTTCGAGGCCGATCTCGCCCCGTCAGATACCATCATGCAAGATTGCCCACAGACGCCCCAGCCCGTCCGGACTCCCAAGAGGCGAAGGAAGGTGCCTTTATATATGCCAATGGGTCTGTCGGCCGAAGACTTCCACGCTCTCGAGACACCGCCCGAGGAGACCGTGGAACCCGACCTTGATATGCCCATCATCAGTCCATTCGCAAGCAATAACAATTCAGACCGTGATTCCGCGTATGGGTCATCACCTTCAATAGACGATCCGGATTGGACCATTGACGACGACAGATTGCTCGTCGAGACGGTGCTCGAAAAACTCAAACTCTCCAAACGCGACTGGAACGAGTGTGCAAGGAAACTGGGGAAAGACAAGGATAGCCTGGGCAGGCGATGGAGTCTCCTCGTAGGAGAAGGCAATGTCGGCCTCAGGAGAGGACGCAGGATCTCCAGAACAGATTTGGATATTGCATCTTGGTAGCACCTTGCTTACCATACTTCGTCATTTGTATGAATACATTCGATTTTGGCTAGCTCCAGCGAGCTCGGCTTTCATAGATATCTCTGATGCATGCCAATCATGCTTTTGATCTTCTCACATCCTTCCTCAACCCATTCCATGTGATGCTGCATACACGTGGCCTGGAGCCAATCTGACACATCTGCTGCCATCAGACACATAAAACGTAAATCAGATTGTGAGGAAATGCTGGAGAATTGATGTATGTGCAATTGGCTGCATGGACGGCCTCGTCGATGCCTACCGCATTGCGGAGGTCCTTTTGGATGCATACTTGGGTTTGAGTGGCTATCGGCCCTTCATCGGGTGGTGCCGTTTTTGCGACCATGTAGGCCAAACGCAAATAAACGGGCGTCTCACAAAAATATGCTCCCTGCACGGTGCCGTCTTGGCCATTCGGCTGCTGATGCCTTTGTGTCAAAGAAGAGTTGAGGATAGCTCGCGTACTTGTATGATGCCAAAATCTTCCATATGAGCAGCCTGACCATAACTCGTCAAAATCGTATCTCGTAACTTCCAGCCTTGGTCATATATCGGACCCATTTCACACTGCTGTAGTTGCTTTTTTCAAACACCTTCAGATATCGAACCAACAAACCCGAGCTAGTGAACATGAGCAGTGAAAAGGTCATGCTCAGCGGTGGGCGTGACCATGCCTTTTGATTCGTCATACTGGTCAGGTGTGCCTCGGCGCTGAGGACGAACTCGCTGCCACCAGTAAATCGAGCAATTTTCCACACAATGCAATTGTTTTCTGGCTCGTACTTCGCCTTACCTTGGGTAGTTCGCTCGGTGATGCTGGCAGTGTTCAAGGGCGTAGGTATTCTGACCACCACGTTCGTCGCAAACAGCTTGCTTCCATAGTTCGCTTTCACAGCAATGCTGTACTCGACTTTGGTGGTGCCAACTTCACGCACAATAGCATGTACTTTGAAGGGAAGGTTGACGTTCTCAACAGCTCGATACTTCATGAGCTCGAATTCTCCATCCGGTGGTACAAAGGAGATGGTTCGGTCAGTCTCGAATTTCCCCAACTGTACACACTGGTGGAACTGGCAGTCCTCCAAGGTGACGGAGCCGGCGGCTGCTCTCGTGGTCTTTCGCTTCCCTTCTTGATTCCCGATCGGACCGTCCAGACCGTGGGCGATTTGTCCAACAACAAGCTGGTCATTCAATCCAAACTTGCACTCTGGCGTACCGGTCAAGTATGCCCTCATGACGATCTGACCAGTGACATCTGCCCTCAAGACAGTGCCAGTCGCGCTCATAAGCAAATTCACGTCTTCGATGACATCCACAAACGCCTCATTCTTTCGGTATTTGATATCGCCTCTTCTCCAAGATTGGGCTCCTGTGGCCTGCATTGTGATCCGAGAAGTGTCACTCGAGGGTGCGGACACTGAACGAATGGCAGAGGATATGTTGTCTGGGGTGATGTACATCTTGAGAACATCGATGTCACTGTTTTGAGGGTAGCCAAAGTCTAGAATCTCTAGAAACATCGTTAGCGGGACTGCATTGAGTGTAGGCACCACAATCATACCATCAAGCAGCTCATAGATCAAAACAAAGTTGTTCTTGACAGCCTCCTCGTCGAACTTTCCAAAGTATTGCTTTCCCAGCCCGATAAATTTGTAAAGGAATTCGAAGACAATGGCGGCATTGGCATTACTCTTTGTGACTGCCACAAGATAGATGTTTTCGTGCTTGACGTGGCTGAAGGTCGTTGAACCCAGGGTGAGAATGGGCGATCTCACTTGGGCATTGGAGATGACTTGGATGCGGAAGATGTCTGCGAGCCGTGGACGGCAATCTGGACGAAAGGCTCGAAAGATGAGGTTCTCGCCCTTCTGATTAAAGATCAGAATGCCACTGAGCATATTGGCCTCAGCAGCCTTGATGGCTGCACTTCACAAGTGAGTATCTATCAACGCAGGTACGTACGGAGTAATACGAGATCTAGAAAGTTGAATGGTCCGCAGAAGAATAAGGAGCGTCGAGGCCGGGTCGGAGTTAATTGGATTTCTCCGCGTTGGTCGAATCGCGCGACAGCCTCGTCGAACTCGAGGCTGGCGCAGTCCGTAACGCTAGCTTTATACGGATTAGTCTGGTTGCTGTTAAGATAGGCGCTTTCCCTCTTCGAGTAGGTCTTAACACCGGCTCCAAGTCGATTGTAAATCACAAACAGATAGCACCTATGAACTATACGGTTCGTTTTGTGCATTCTCAACTCCGAAGTGACCATCCTCTATCCTTTTCTATCTTTTCTGGTAGTATTCCTGTTCCTAATTCCAGGCCGCCGTGAGGACACGGTCGCAGCCTCTACCTCAGCGCGACCCATTTGGACGAGAAGTGAACGAGTATAAGATGAGGGTCCAACCTTCTGACGACCATGTTCGGCGAAGAGCATCAATTTTCAGCTCTATCATCTTGCAAGAGATCACACAGTACTCAACCTGAAGTTTAATCCACGGTCCACACACCCGACGCCGCAAACATGTCGGCCACTTCGACCATGAAGACCATTCTCATTGTAGGAGCAACCGGTGGCATCGGCGAATCTTTTGCACGACGCTTCCACTCCATGGGAAAGAAAGTCATCGTCACCGGTCGTCGGGCAGAGCGTCTACAAGCACTCAAGTCTGAGCTCCCAGGCCTCGAAACCTATACCATGGACAACACCGACATTGGCTCGCTGCCCGCTCACGTCAAGACTCTCACAACGCAATATCCCGACATCGACACTGTTTGGGTGAACAGTGGCATTCAATTTGTCTTTGACTTCAAGACCGCAGCCAGCGTCGAAGACGACGCAAAGGTCAGCCGAGAAATCACGACCAACGTCACCGCACCCATGATCCTAGCACGCCATTTTGTGCCCTTCCTCCTCAAACGCCCAGATCACGGAACCTTCATGATCACAAGCTCCGGTCTCGCATTCGTTCCCATGGGCGCCTTCCCGATTTATTGTCCGACAAAGGCATTCGTGCACCATTTCATGGTCGGTCTACGCCAGCAACTCATTGGTACTAATATCACTGTCATCGAAATTGCACCACCCTATGTCGCCACGGACTTGGACGCCGCGCACAAGCCTACAGATATTCCAGCGCCAATGCCACTGGCCGAGTACACCGATAAAACGTTTGAGATCCTCAATGGTAAGCCGGCGACAGAAATAAAAGAGGTTGGTGTGGGATTCGCTGCCATGGGCGCTGAAGCATGGAGAGGTGCCTTTCGGGGCATCCTAGAGCACATGAAATTAGGCGGTTAAGTGTGGATGCCACTTGGAACTTCCGTAGAATGATTTTGGAGACAGTTTTCCTATTCAGACAAAAAGAACGTGTCTAAAGCATGCATTGAGACGTGATTTCTCGTACAATAGCAGTCAAACCACCAACAGCAAAAGTGCAAGGCAAGAAGTCCTAGTAATATCCACCTTCTGCATTACTATAGAAACCATCACTCGTGAAGAAGGGCTACATAATCATCTTCTGTGGGTGGCTTGCCATCTGCTTCATAGACTGGGACGAATGGGATGGACATATCTAACTCAGCTACCCAAAGAGTCAGTGACCGACTTCAGCAATGCGGGTCGACGCCCTAGTCCCGTCTCGGTGCTCTTGCGTTTCTCTGAAATCCAGCTTCTGCAACCAAGCGAGGCGGAACAGGAGTTTCAGTTTGCTACGTTCGTTGGGTTCGTTGGGTTCGTTGGGTTCGTTGGGTTCGTTGGGTTCGTTGGGTTCG